CTTTCCGACTCCCTACCGAGCCAAAGAGTGTCAAGAGAATCCAAACATTGAAAAAGAAAAGCAAAAAGAATACGTATCAACAAGGAGGCTTGGGACGCAAGGCTCCTTCTGGATTCTGTCCGAGTTCGATCCCTTTCCATTCGATCCTTCGAAAACGCCGCAGCCTTTCCGTCATCGCCGTCACGGGCGTAACAAAACCTCATGAAGGGCTCCTTCCAGCTTGTGCAGGGAGCCGACTGGTGAGTCGGCGGCGCATTGGGGCGCTGTGGTGATGATTGTTGATCTGGCGCTTGTCCCGTGGAGATCAAATGTAGGTCAGGCGGCAATCAGAGAAAGAGAACGAATAGACACCGACTTCAGTGGATGCGCAGGCTCATCCTACGACACAATGCCAGAACGAGACGGGTGCGGCTGCTAGCCAATTTGTGAAAAAGCAAATGTCTCGGAGACAAAACACGTAGCGACGGATGATGGCCTCGCTATCGAAAGAGATCGCACTGGGCACATGGCAGAACCCATCAGGTAGGCAAGATGCGATCGGGAGGGCAATGGGTGCCACCTTCGCCTGATGAAACACATCTCACATGGCTTGTTTAGCTTTGTTTGCAACCCAGGCATCGATCTTCTAGCCCAGCAAGGAAACGGATTTGCAGCCGATAAACGTTTTCTTTGGTGCTAGGGGGATGCCCTTCGGGTGGAATAGTTCGAAGATTTGGCGCGAATGATTCTTTTATTCCTGAAGCGTTTTCGAAAAGATAACTGTTGTACGGGTGTATGCCCTTGCGTATAAGTTGTACTTCCACAATAGGATATCACGCTGGCTCTGTCGTATGAAACGAAGCTCTTTCCTCTCACTATCGCATTGAATTGTTCCCAGCTCCGGTGAGAAAGCACCGTCAGCTTCCCTCCATCTTGTTGTTCAACTCGCCACTAGTAAAAGAATGAGACCATATCAATGACTGTCAATGACTGTAGCGTCCTTAAATCCGATAAGCATTGGCGTAATCTCGATTTATAGTGTCATGGGATGCGAATCAATGTCCATGTCTTGTTAATCCGCGGATATCAATGACTTCTCAGCCTTTCTCTTGCAATTGACCGTCCTCCAAACGCTGAATACCGGGTTGCTTAGATGCCTTGCTACCATAGTGGCTTCAGTCTGATACTCGCCCCTAACACTTTGTCATCGATGCCCTCCCATTGTCGAATGCAAGTCAATTCTCCAGAGGCCCTCTTCGATTGTATCCTTGACACGGGGCACCATCAACGTCAACATCGGTCGCTGGTTCACCTGCATCTTTTCTGTCTTGGCCGCCACGACACCTCAACTGGGTAATCCCCAGCAACCTTGTCTCGTCATCTTTCTCCGCCAAGTGACACCATACCTGGTGGAAGACTCGAGGTCGCCAGTGTCCTTCTGGTCGTGATAGATAAGGGTGGGCGAAGGCATTTCCGCCGCGCCAAGAGAGGTACCGGCATGCGGTAGAGGGAGGGAGGGTTTGGATGTGAAAGAGATCATGGCGACAGCGACGGTCACGATCACCCAGCGGGTAGATTGTCTGCGGAGATGGCGCGCTCTCGGAAGTGTCACAACAGAGGCAGGCGATGAAGTTGCCGTTGTCGCAGTCGCGGGTACGCTTTGCAAACTGTCGTCTGGTGAGGAGAGATCTTGTAGGCAAAGCGAGGAGTCTCTTGCCTGGGCCTGAAATCGCAGGAAGGACAATTGATCGAAGAGTCCAAGCTCACTGGTGCCACTGGGAGAGGCGAGGGCGCAGACACGATGAGGACGTTAAAAGCGGTGGAACTGCTGTTGAGTAGACGAGAGCAAGAGATAATGAAACAGGTCAGGAGTTGTGAGCGAGCTCAGTGTTATTGATGAAGTGACCGCAGACAAGAGATCAACACGAGGGAGTTGTATTGGTGGTGGTGGCAGAGAAGGGGGTACCTGCTGGAGAGCCCATCCTTACCATCCTCAATGTTCGCACTGGGCAACTCTGATCCTCAAAGGCACGGGAGGATGGGGTTGTCTACATGTCATTCTAGACACCGGAGTCGATGTCACAGTCAAGCATGAAAGATGGATCCCCAAGATGATGATTCCTTTGTGGGTGTCGATAAGGTCAGGACTCATCGTACGAAGTACAACTGATTAGAAGGCATCGGCTCGAAGGCACTAAGGACCCTAGTGTCCACGGTTCCGGCGTTATAGGCGTGGGCTACCGGTAATTTAGGCACTGAGCACCCGCTTTAAGCGTCTCTCGAGCCACTTTGGCTCCCCCAATCCGCCTTGGTGAACACCATCCGCGTGCCCTCTACCGAACCTCCACCTGCTGAGTTCCCCGTCCGCCCAAAGAAACTGTTCTACCAATCTGCACGATAAACAAGCGCAGGCGATGTCGTGCTGCCTTGCAATTACCGATTTCCTCGAAGACTGTCCTTCATCCGACTAAATTAATGTACCACGATAAGCGAGGGGGAGCATGAAACCTGGGGCCGGGCGGATCTCACAAACAACCAACGCTTGAGGTAATTTCGACTACACTGCAATACTGACTCCGAAACCTTCGCAGCCCTTCCATTGACCTGACTGCTGTCATGCGTCGACTGCCATCTCACATCCACATGACCCGAGTGGGACACGGTTCCAGTCATTCAAATCTTCGCTCGATGACTTCGCCTCCTCAGCATGTCTCCAAACCAAAAGCTTCGAGCGAAGTATCACCACAGACCGTTTCAAACAGCCATGAATCTCTGAAATATGGGGTCGGTCCCAGTCATGCACCCTGCCATGAGCATGAGCGAATACCTATTCGTCGATCGCGTTGCCACTGTTCTAAGCGTCAGCGATGTGGAGGAAAACACCTCCTGGTAAACAAAAACCTTGGAATGAGAGTTACATGCGAGTTTCTTCGATAACTGGGTATGTGACCCTCATGGAACCGAGGGCCTTCGTGTCAGGCGTGACGGCGTCCAGTTTGGCGGTCAGTTAGATAGTTTTGCGTCGGAGGTGCTTGATAATCTCGTTTGCTGGATAGTCCACATGGGACTGGTGGTGAGAGTCGCGACAGATGGTGAGCTCATTCCACGTTGAAAGGATCAGACCCGACGTGAGGAAAGTCCTCCACCAGTCTTCCAGTGTGTTGCACAGGACCTGGTGGTACGCAGCAAGATCACGCAGCACTTGTTCGTGGAGCAAACGACACAGCCTGGGAAGAAGCAAGCCTTGCATTCCTCTGAACTGGAGATTATGGCTTGTGAACCATCGCAATGAGGTTTTGATCTCTACGTCGTTGGGAAGGTAGCTCATGGCCCCGTCCTTGAAAGGGGCACGCTTTCCCGGCCCGTCCGTGGCCTGTCACAGTCCTCCTCGGAGACAACAGAGTCCAGCCACGTCATATCGAAGTCAAGTTCCAAAGGCCATCTGAAATCGGGATCCTGGCCCAGACACCTGTACATGAAAGCCGGGATGCCCGACTTCAACAGCTCACTGTTGGATCGCAGCTGCGAATTCTCAGAAGGTGAGTTGAAAGATTGACATTTTTACAACGCCATAGCTCATACTCGCATGGAAGGTTCAAGCTGATACATCAGAGACGATTGCGATTCTCGGGGACATGGTCAATCACGATGTGAGAGTGGTCCATTTGGACAGGCAGCGAGAAATTCAACTCAATTTTTAGATCTACCTCCCCGACCAGGGGCCGACCAAAAGATGTCACCAGGGCTTGAGGCTTAGGCTACCGCACCAACTTAGGCCTCACATAGTCGGAGTGCAAAGGCGTGATGGATATGCTTCATGCATTCCGAGTGCTCGAAACAGAGCCGGTCATGATGTCCTAAGCCTACGCTGCATCAGGCCTGGTCCTCATCCCGAGCTATCAAACTGATGCTCTCATCTCAAATCGACTTTGCCTGGACTGGCCTTCCTGCTTGAAACCCGACCCTTGACAGGTGCTGGCACGACTTTGTCAAATGGAAGCCTGACTTGGACTGATAAAAAAATGATGATTCTACGAAGCATTTAGTGTCCTATATGGTTCACAGCCACCTGTGGGAGCCATTGGCCTAAAAACAAATGTTGAGGGTCTTCTCCCCATACCAGCGATCGGCCCGCCAATCACGTCGCTTTTCACCCGAAGCCCTGGGCCGTCAAAGTGAGGAGGCTTCCTGCGGCACTGTCCGCCCTGTATTCTGACTCTCAATCGAGGTGGCTCGACCTGATATCCGATTCTGGGAGGGGAGAGAAGAGAGCAAGATCGACACACAAGGCAAGTAAAGGGTGGAAGCCGCTCCATTCCAGCAGTCAATCAAGACAGGAAAGCAAACACACACGCAGACACGCAGGAACGCAAGCCAGCAAGCAGGAGGCGTCGCTGGCTTGCTTTTCCTTGCATTACTGGGTATTTGGCATCAATGATCCAGGGTCTTGTCTGCCGGCAGGTCTCTTTCCGGCTCCCCTAGCTCTTCCGATGACCAGCCTGCCAATAGGATTTGCTCGAAAACTCGCAACCAAGGGGCTTCATGCCTAGAGCTCCATCCAAACACGGCAACGATCATCAATGCCCCCCAATAACAGCCAATATCACCTACCATCACATTTTGAAGTCATAAGCGTGGCCTGTGGGTTTGCGGAGTACGGATGCTTCAAGTGCGAGGATCTTATCGCCAAATTCTACTCTCGTGGACGGGCCAGCGTGCTAATCAGGTTCCAGGCCTAGATTAGGTCGACACGACTCTTTTCCTTGCGGCACGAAAGTTCACCAACTCGCCAGGCGAGGCAATGGCATGTCCTGATTGATATGCCTGGGGAGCTGGTCTCCTGACCACATGCTTTCTTGCAGTTGCAAGCTGCTCAAAATAAGCGACAAGGAGTCAAGGACCCTCGCCCTTCGCTGGAGCAAGTGATATAAATGATCGACGGCTGCCTACCTGTCCTACCCTGCTTGTCTTCACCGCCCACCTTTGCTGTTCATTCTTGATCGTTGGTTAACTAAAGCACCATGTTGGATTCCTTCTTGCTCTGCAGTGCTCTCAATACTGTCTTTACTCTCGCCGACCTCTGGAAGTCCATTGGACCTGTTCAAGATGGCTTGAAAGACAAGAATACCATATTCGTGCTCAGCCACCTTGCTAATGCCACCTCCCAGACGCTCCTAGCCATCGTTTTGATTCTTGCGGCCGCTCTGCACTGGCCTACATGGGACGCCGTGGCCATCGCACGGGGTTCGCTGTTCTGTGGGGCTACGTTTGAGGTATTGCTTGTGCCTTCCGCTCTCTGTGCATCTCTTTCTAACACATGAGATAGGTTGTCGAGATAGCTGGAGCCATTGACGCCCTGTACCTCCAGTCCTGGAGCACCTGGAAGAAACTCTTGCTGGCAGGCACCTGGGCCGCATCCACGGTTGGCCTCGTGGTGACGTCTTTTTTCTTGTCAGTAGTGCTGCCTCACACTGGAAAATTTCTGGATTGACGTGAAATAGAGACAATGATGATGCCACTGGAATGTCGCTGTCCGCCGTGCTGGTCGTCATCAACTACGGAATCAGATTGAACTGGGCTTGCAGGTCGATCCCAACGCTGAGGCCCGGTCCACGAAAGCCCCGACAACGGAATCTGCTCGACGAGAGCTCACATACCTCGAAAATCCTTCTGGGTGATAGTTTGCGCTCGCTCCTCAACATACTCACAACGTTTGCTATAACAGCGTTAGTGGTATCCTTCCCTGAAAAGCAGCCCTTGTTCTATACTGTAAGATTGTCCTTCACATACCCTGCAGCTGGTGACGACTGACCCAAGCACAGCTACAAATTCTGATTGTCAACATGTTGCGAGCCTCGAACGCTTCCTGGAAGCTCTTGACTCGATGGCCTCACGGGGGCCAAACGCTGGCCCCCGACAGTGACAGCGACCACTCGTCTCGGGATGAAGAGCACGACCTTCCGCCCCAAGCGATGCACGCCTGGTTTGCCGGATGGTGATGATTCGGAGGGCGATATCTCTACGAGGCGCAAAGGCAGAGACAAAAGAAGCAACGCAAAGGACCACAATAACTTGAGTCGAAGGAGATACCTTTCGGGAGAGGGTTTTGGGAGACTTTCTTGGTTTTGGGGACATCTACATCACTGCTCTGGAAAAGAAGGAAAAGTTACGGCATGTCTACATATGCCCGATAGTCTGGGTTATCGCCATTTCGACAGTGGCATGACACGACACGACACGATATGATATGCAATGGAGCCCATTGCAAGTTGGTCAACAAGGTCTAGGTTATTTGTTATTTCTTTCATATAGTGCTGTGATCGCAAAAAGATAGGCAGGCTCATCCTTGATAGCCTTTTCCGAGAATCCCGACTTCCCTCAATAATATCGTTATCTATCAAAGAGGCCTTCAGCTTCAGGAGAGAGGGGGATGATAAAGAGCAATGTGGGGAAGAAGGTATCGACGATGCCCTGTCCCTGTGGGCAAAGAGGCGGTGAGGCTGAATAAGGAGGGTGTTGTCAAAGCATATTGATTTGCTGCCCTGCGGCGGTGAATGAATGTCGGTACGATTTTTCGTTGGGATGCACGTGACAGGAAACGTTGAGAAGAGTGCGTGCAAAGGACGGTGGGACATTTCGAGGACACTTTGAAACTTCAGAGTAGGGTTGTGGTGGAAATGTGCTCGGAGTAGGTATCTCGTAGCCAGGCTGGAGGATGGCTGGGCCTAGTAGTACTCGGTAGTAGGCGAAGGAAATCTAGCGAGTAGAGATGCAGATTGTGTCAAGGATCACGTGGACTCACGTGGTTGTGCTGGCCGCGACACAAATGGCAGGTTCCGCGAGTTCGTTCACCTTGGTTGTCAGTCCGGCCCTCTCGACCAAATACTATGGACAGCAGCATCGTCGAGCTGCGGACGTGGCACCGCCTTTCTTGCATTGCTGAGCGCTCTTTTGCCTCGATTGAGCGTTGTCTTCGGCTTTTTTCTGGACCTGGGTCGACAACAATACTTATCTTTTTTGCTGGAATGCTGTCCAAGCTCCTCAGCAGCGGTTGCAATCCCGCTCTGCGCAGGCACCCAATAGACCCTGGAGACTGAAATTGGTGGGCATTTCGCCAACGTCTGTCCCTTGTGCTCCTGGTCAACAACTCCTCCTCTATTTCATGCTCCCATGTGGCTTGGGGACCAACTCGGTGTCTCACTCCAGGCCGCAGGCGCTTCCCATCATGGCCTCACCATCTCCTACCCTGAGCCACCCCCGATGTGGCTCGTTCCTATAACCCCGCTTGTTCTACCTCCAGCCCGAAGCTGCCCAACAAGCATCAGCGAGGTAGTAGAGACCCGCAGAGGACCCTGACGACGACCGCCTGAACAAAATGCTCCCTAGAATCTCGTACAATCTCGACCGCAACGCGGAGATCGTGTGACAAGGTCTTGGACCCGGATAAGAGAAGCTACAATGAAGTCGGAGCAGCCAAGAAGACCTGGGTAAAACAGGGGTCCCGGATGGAGAAGCCTCTCGTCGTCAGCAGAAAAAAAGAATGAATGAGGGGATCAATCGCTCGCTTGGGCTGAACTGCAGGTCCGCAGGAATACCCACTTTCTTCGAGGACGGTAGACCCGAGAACGGCACCGTGTCTAGCTTAGGGACGAGGCTGTCTCCCTGGCGATGACGACGAGTCATTAGAAGGTCTGTATCCAGACACATATCGCCTTATTGCAGAGACGGATATCCCTGAAGGTGACGACGTCAGCTCCCGGCTCCTGACCTCGGTGCGCTCTGAGGCATGTTCGATGACATGACAAGCAAGGACGACGAGCCAAACCACCCAGGTGAGACAGACTCCGGCGTGCCTACAATGAGTTCGAGTTCTAGGAGCCACACAATGGTGTGCTCATACGTGGGCTTGGAGAGGCTACCTCTGGGGATGAACGACGATATGTATAATGTTGTTGGAATAAAAAGCCTTTACTACTCTCATATTTCCCATCTCTGCTCCTTTGGAACGATCTCCTTCCTGCACTGTCCTGTCCTTTGATGCAGAGAATCGATTTCCGTAGAAATTCGGTGGTGTCAGATTCTGCCGAGCATTAACCGAAGTCACGCTGGAAGGGCACCTCGGGCAGTAGTGAATGGGGATTTGCACCTTGAATCCTGAGGGTCCTGCGGCAACGACCGACACTCAGCGCGCGATTTTGCCCACCGCCTCGGTCATGACGAACACACTCATTCCTTCTTCAAACTTCACGAAGAACACTCGAGCAGAGATATCCCGACCAGTGTCATAGTAGAACGCGATAATTACACGGAAGCACCGAAAAATTGATAAAAAACCAAGAGCGAGCTCGAGGGATTCCATTGACTCAAACTAGTAGGGGCGCTCCCTGGGGCCCGGAAATTCGTCGGTCTACCTATCCGCCCCTAAAACTTCATTAAATTTGGACCTTGGGGGCTGTCTTTAGAGACCATCATAGGCGCCTGCTGGGACCGTCATAGGCACCGTCAGGACAGGGCCAGTGCCAAGGCAACTGCCACACCACTCCATGCCTTGATGCCTTTTTATGCTCACAACACCCAAAAACACTACAGCTCTGCAACTTTTAGATAATAGTCATTCGCACTTCAATCATCAAATTCCATCACCCAACCCATGATAAAACCTGCCTACTTGGAGGGCACATGTCCAAATAATCTACAGTTACACATCTGCAGGTAATTGGGACAGTGCACGCATACAAAAACAATTCCACGTCGCATTGAATCAAATCTCACTTGGTGATTGCCAGAAGCGACCACTACCATGTTGTTCTTGTTGCGAGGTCGTCGACTCACTCATTCATCAATTCAAGGATTTGTTTTATTATCCTGCGGGAAACTGGCGGAGCAGGCAGATTGTCATGACAACGACTATTCCTTAAGAGGTTGTTTGTTTCTCCCTTGTCGAGACCAGAAGCAGATTCTATTGGCTGGATCCTAGGAATTCCCACCACTCCGAAATCCGCAGCTCCAAAAGCCATCTGCACCTCCACGACTCCTTAGGATAATTGCATGAACTTTGTCTCGTTGTGACTCCGCCGCCCAGAAGGTATGATAGTGCTATTTCCCAGTCCAATTTCTACTGTTGTGGTTAGGAAAGAAGGATGGAAGGTCAAGGGCTGAGATTTGGTTTGGGCTGGGCGCTTATGTCATGCTCTCTGCCAAACACCAATGATATGTGACGAGGTTGGTATCAAAGCAGGATACACGATTTTACTCAGGAAGTTCAACACTCCAGTCTGCCTACAGGTCTATTCCTACCACTCCATGATTGGCCTGTACACCATCTGGAACAATGCCACTCTCGCCGGCTCTTGTGGAGATACGCTGAGCACTGAAAATGCCGCGATTGCCCCCAGTTGCGGACGTCTGATATCCTCTTTCAGCCTTTGGGGATAGGACACAACGGGCAAGGAATAGCGCCTTCCGCTTGAGACCGCTGTCGCTGATACCGTCGCTTGGTGAAGAAACGCTATCGAGCTGTATTGAAGGCTCGTGCGTCATGAAAGGAGGGAATATGGCAGTGTTTGCTACGGCAGCGCTGCCCATCCCATCTCATGAGGTGCTTCTGCAACGCACTTTGTGACCCTGCCATGAAATGCATTTGCCTTGTCCACGATGCAAACACATCTCCAGATGATGGATCGGAGGGTTCTGAAGGATTTCCTTGTCTTGAAAGGTCCTGCAGCGGCGCAGGTGTCCGCCAAGGGCGAAAAAGTAGCCGGAAAATTGTGTGTCTGGCAGGCAAATACGCCCACCACCGGCCAACGAACGCCTTGAAGGACGATCCAGCACTTGCTGCAGCAAATAACAGGCAGTCTTCAACTATCTGTGGTCAAAAATTCTGAAAAGGACCCATTATGGAGGAGAAAACGGCCGGAAACGGCCGGGTTTGTGCGCAAGTTTTCGACACCGGAGCTCGACCCCCATCTAACTCAACCACCACTAGGCTCTGCAAGCTCATACTCTGGCTACAGCTAGAGATATCAAATCATATCTTCGGAGAACAAGTGAAAAAGATCTACAAATAACGTTGCACGTTTGGTATTTTTTTCAGCGCCAAGCCTATGGACGGATCGAAGCACATCGATTCTCCTTGCCCCGTGAGTGCGAGCCATTCAAACAAAATGCTAACCCCATCTCTCAACTATGAGCATTTTAATGAAAGTGCTTTCGAAGTCCTCCGTCTACTGGTTGCGGAATGGGAGCGACGGAGCGAAATTCGGACCTCCTAGCAAACCACACGATTGTCCAGCAACCACGCTCAAGGATGGAAAAAGAAAAGTTGCACAAGACTTCTATGTCTCGAGGGATCCTCGGACGGCAATTGAGATTTGATTTGGATGCGAATTGGGAAAGTTGATTTTTTCAACATGGGCAAAAAATTTCGAAAATTTCAAAGACGGAATTTCGACCCGGCGACGACGACATCGTGAAGGGCGAGATGCAAAACACTCAATGCCATGCTTGGGAACTCTGCCGGACGCGTGGTGCGGGCGCAGGCACCGGTTTTGTCGTCCCGAGTACCCCGGGGCGTACCCCGACCCCGACCACCCATTATCGCGAGGACGCTTACATGGCGCGATGAGCGACGCTCAAGAGCATTGGGAGAAGCGACGGGGACGTATAGGTAACCGCCAGTGGACTATAGGGGCCGAGAAACAGTCCATGGGGCCGGTGCGGAACGCCCTGGCCGGCCTCGACTGAGCAGCATCGCGAGGACGATTGAATTGGGCGGTTCACGACGCGCAGAAACATTGGAAGAGACAAAGCAAATGTGCATGCACTCGCCAGCGGACCAGGGAGCTCGAAAAGCGCACCATGGGACCAGTGTAGGGTACCGCGGCGGACCCCGACCACCCACCATCAGGACGAATTCACGGCGCAGTGTATGAGGCTCACAGACATTATGACAAGCGAAGAGGACGTGAACGCAGTCACCAGCGGATTGGGGACTCGAGAAATCCTCCCTGAGACCGGTGCCGAACGCCCAGATAGGCCTCGACCACCCAGTATCATGACGACGCGAGCACGACGGGGTGCACGACACTCACGAGCGCCAGAAGAGGCGAAGGGGACGTACAGGGGTCATGCAGAGAGCCGCCAGCGGACCAGGAAACTTGAGAATCGCTTCATGCGACCGGCGTAAGGCACCGCGAGGGGGCCAGACCACGCTGTATGGCGAGGATGCGTGCATATCGCGATGTGCACGACGGGCACGAGCATCGGCCGAAGCGAAGAGGACGTGCAGGCAGTCGCCCTCGGACTCTAGGGGCTCGAGAAACACTCTGTGGGAACGATGGAGAGCGCCCCGACGAGCCCGACGACGCAGCATCGCAGGGACACTTACGCGGCGCGATAAACGGCGACTGTGACAATCAGAATAAGCCGCTGGGACGTGTGAGCAGTCACCAGCGCACCCTAGGGATACCCGAGGAAAGACATTGAAATGGTGCCGAATGGGTCCTCGGGGCGAAGAGGTGCCCTCTTCCGCCCTGTGTGTCCTGGATGCGACAGCTGATTCACACAGATCATGACGGACAAGCACGAGAGCAGGGATCTCATGTGGGAATGCTACGGCGGACGAAGTGGGTGGCAGGGCTTGGGGTGAAGCCGAAACGGTGCGGGTGAGAGGGTTCAGAGGAGAGAAGCACACGCCATATCCCTAGGATCTGCGATCGAGAGGACAAAGACCCGCTGATGCAGGCTGTCAGAGAGAGAGTATCTGGCTATCTGAGGTTCCCACATGTTCATGCAGCATCAAGTGCCCCAAAGCGAAGGAAAGGGGTGGTTGCCGACGGGCGCAGCCTTCGTGCGCACAATGGGCTTCCTCCCATCGGCAGAACGTGAGCAGGCAGGCTTCATGGCAGTCAGGTTGGCTAGGCGCCATTCTCACTGAGCAGCTCGAGGCAACGATGGTGCGGCTTGATTGGTCGACACCCAGGAGGGGACGAGACGCGGAACGAACGCTTCAGCGTGTTTCATTTGGGGGAGAAGTAGAACGACCACTCACTGGAGATCCAAGCTCTCTCTCTCGCGCTTGCCCGTTTGCAGTCCTTTGCAAAGGCCACGGAGACCTCGAAACAACTCTGCCAGACGAGACGCCAGCGCAGGCCTCTTCTCCCAAGAAGAGGAAGAGGAAGAGGAGTGGGAGTTCAGTGTGTGCTAGTGGAGGACAAGACGGATCCGAGTAAAGAAGTTGGATGGAACCCGTCTGGACGACGTTAAGGGAAGGAGTCAGAATGGATTATCACGACGAGTCCTGAAGGGAGGGTACCAAAAGAAAAAGAGAAAGAGGCGGAAAGAAAGCAATTCCGTCCGCTCTCAATCAGAAGAGCCCGCTCCGCTTAGGGCTGGTCTAGTCTGGTCTGGGCGATTAAGATAAAGAGCAAGTTATCTTTATCTGTCTGCTTCCAGGTGAGGCATATCAGGATGCGTGCGTGCGTGCGTGCAAGCATGCCCCAGAGCAAGCTGCCTCGAAGCACATACATGCCTCTCTCACGAAGGATCTGCCAGCTGGGCAAAGGAAGGCTAGATAAAATGAGAGGAGATGGATCTGGTCAATCCCCCCAAATCCAGACTTCGCGGCGTTGGGTGGTTTGGTTTTTCTTTTTGGGTTTCTCGTCGTCGAACCAGAAGAGAAGACCAGCGTGACTGCCGTGACGGATCGTTGAACACCGATGTTTCCTCCGCAAGGGGGGGGAACAGGGCGAGGAAAGGGGATGACGGCGGAAGGGAGGGCGTTGAAGGCACTGAGGGAGAGAGGCGACGATGACAGCAGCAGCCGGTGAAGCAATAACAGCATTAGCCTAGATATGAAGCAAGAGGACGAGGATTATATATTGACTTGTTGAAGGACACTGCAAGGACCTAACTAGGGTTCCGTACAGTCAACCGCCAGCGTGCTCGGGGTGGTCGTCTCTAGTGCCCAGACAAAGTTCTTAGGCCTTGAACAGGGAACACTGCAACCCGACATGATGGTAGGTGATGGTAAGGGGACATGGAACACGACTGCTAGCAGGTCCAACGTTGTAGCGCAACGGGAGAGCTCCGCGGGCACTTTGTATTTCCACATTCATTCATCAAGGCCACCCTCGATATGCCGACTCTTCTTAGCGGTCACGTCAAGACCTAAGCATGCCTTGTCTTGTTTGCACCTGCCTTCAGTCACGGACAGCCAGATCCCTCAGAACGCTTTGGGAACCATTGTAGCAACCATTGTATTCTCATGGCAATGCCCTCTTCCAAGAGGACGCAGGTGCAGGTGCAGGATTGAAATGAAACGGCGGGAGCTAGTTCGCCGCGGTACCCTCGTTCTGAACCTCCCGACAAGGTGCTTGGATGTCTCGAGTCTCCCTGAGGAAGAGAGCATATTCTGGCTGTGGTGTGATTGCTTCGTGTGAAAGGCGTCGGCGGAATTTATCGTTGCACGTAAAGCCCTAACACAAGGAAATGAGTGTTCAGAATATCCACGTCACTTACTTTGTGCGTTATCAAGGCCCATGTCCTTTTCTCATTGAAGATAAAGCATATATTCCCCTCTTCTTTTAAGCACACCGGGTGTCTATATCCTCCTCTTCTTAAATGCACTCTGGTTATTCCAGATCATTGATCTAGCTGAAGGGGATGTGTGACAGCAGGCTTCTTCAGCATCCAAGCCATATCTGCGCAAGGAATACCTCTAGACATTCAGCAGGAATATGACTGACTGCGGTGTAGCAGACAGACAGACAACCTCTGTTTGCCCATTTCTTTTCATGATCCACAACCTGACAGCAGCTGGTGAGGGCTCAACTCTCCTCACACACTTGAGGGACATGTAGCAGGCAACAGCCTTGCTTCGTGATCAAGAAAGTGTCTGCGCAAGGAGCACCTCTGAGCACGCTGCAGGGGTATGGCTGACCGCCAGACGGGCTCACAGACAGCCTCCATTCGTCCATCTCTTTCAATGATCTGACCGGAGGCGATGAGGGTTCGGGTCACGTCAGCGAGGGTACGATAGGAGGTGCATCCTCGATCCAGTGAGTTGGCAGATTGGTCACGATGAGTGGCATGGCGCCGCAGTCAACAGACCGATGTGAGGATATGTATTTCTGCGTGTTCGGGATTTTGCTCGTCGTCACCCTGGTTGCAAGATGTCGTTGGCGGGCGGCCGGTAGAGTGTCTCGCGTCAGGGAGGCGTAGAGGTCGTGGCGAGCCTACGTCAGGCTTAAGCTGCATGGGAAACGTAGCAGGAATCCGGAGTTTGGCTGTCAGGAAGCCAGGATACACCGTAGGCGACAGGTCGGCGGTTAGAGAACATTGGCTGGCCACGGATTCTTGTATCAGCAAGCAAGGGCAAGGGCCGAACTGGCCTGCGACACTCCACAAAGCCATTCATCGGCAACTAGATGCAGCGATTGAAGGCTGTTAGGAGGGAGCAGAAGTTGCCTGCGCTGAAAGCTGCGGTGGAAAGTTGTTTTGCACCTTCCGTGGATATGCGCGTAAATACCAAGTCTGGCTATACCAGATATGATATAGTGTCCCATTTCAAACCAATCACGCCCTTGCGAGGTACAATTAACCGAGGTAGTGGTGGAAGTCACTGTGTCGACTCTGGAGAAAACAAATTGACAAACCTCAGCGAGTCTTGACCAGTCACGTGTCAGTCGGTGATGCTGGTGTTGGAATCCTTCTCGGGTCTGTGGTAGGGATCTATGGCTGGTCAAGATGCACTTCCAATGCATCTTGCTCTCGCTCGAGGGCACTGCATCACCCGTGCAAAACGGGTCACTGCAAACCTACTCACCTTCAGGTGATGGGCATTGTCTTTTGTTTCCAAAGCTCGACTTTGGAAGACATTGTGTTGTGTCTTTCCCTCTTCTCGCTTTGTAGATGCTTTGCACACTGTAAAGATGTTCCGGATGATGTGATCTCCAACCACCTGTTGTGGGTGTCCCAGCAGTCTGTGCTTTTCAGCATCTGCCAGATCCTGTTGCAAGGTTTCCCCGGGCTCGATTCCTTCGTCTGCTTATGTAATCAGAATTCCGACTTTTCGATTTTTCGAGCTCTCTGAGGATTCGAGTTCCAAAACCTCTGGCAAGAATCTGACAGGAATCAAGTTCTGCCGGAGGGTCGACTAAAGCAGAGCTAGTGCATTGGCCTATCCGCTTGACTAGATTAAGGCAGCTAAGTAAGCAAACTCTTTTGATGATTGGCTTATATTTCTGCCCAGCCGGACGCTTTGGAGCGGAACCCTATGCCGCATCCAATTAAATTACTTGGAATTAAGCTTGAACTGGGGCTGACTCGGCAAAGATCAACAAGTTGTTGGCAAACGCAAGCTGCAGCGATGAGCGCAGTCTGCTGCTGTCAACATGCAACAACGCATCGATGCTATAACTCTTGAGCAGGCCTTGTTCATTTTCGCTGCAACTTCTCAATAACACATTCTTTTTTTTCTGGCTAACGCTGACTTAGGGTTGCTGATGGACCGCTATCCCCGTCTCAGTCGCTAATCTTGAGCTCGCCGTCGCAGGGGTCTGCGGATTTATTCACGATGCTGAATGGCGCTTGAACGATTTAAAGATGGACGGCGTCAGCACAGGGCCATGCAACAGACACGAGACGCCCAAGGCGTTCCGCTTTTATCCTCCCTCTCAATGCGAATGCTCCGAACCTGGTTGAATGGCCGGACGAAATAAGAGTGATGAGATACTTGTGATGGCTGTCTACGGCTCTGCATTGCTGCTTCGTCACTTGATCCGGTGTGATCTTCATGCAAAGAAGGGGAAGCAGCAGGTGAGGAGGAAGACACAATGCTCAAACCGACGCAGCGGACTTTATTCACACTTCGCGGGTTGATCGTAACTTTAGCGACACCTAGATTGCAAGAGATGGTTTACAGATACAGAATATTACTGGCCAAAATCACGATGGAGAGGGCGGGCAGAGATGGTCTGTTTAAGAAAAGGAAGCGCTTTGGGGCCACGGTTCTCCTCCTCAGCTAGGACTCCGACCACAGGACGATCTACATACCATCTCCATATCCTTGCCAGAACCGCTCGACATAGAGCACGATCCTCCGAACGCGTTTGATCTCGATTGGCCATCGCATGATCGCCACGATCACGAGCCAACGTTGCCAGTCACGGAACAAATGCCTCTGCCGCTTTCCTCAGCCTCCCGCCCTTGGCCTACTACCGAACGATTCTCCGGGAGCGTTGAGCCAAAGGCTGCATCCGTTCCAACGAAGTTGACTTTTATGAAAGAGGCGGGCTGGGATGCAGACAAAACATACGATGAAGACCGTCCGACTTCCATCCGATACTTGTTCGAGTGGAAGGTGATAGAAGTACCGCATAGGAAGCACGGATGACCACGCGACTGATGTGGATGCTTCTTCCGGAGTGCTGCCGGCGACGAGTCTTGCAAGCTGAGTGCGAGCAGGCATTGAAGCAAAGGCTTCCTTCAGTTCGAAAGTTCTACACCGGTGAAGCAGTCGTGCAGGTCTCCGTTACCTTCACGAAGAGATCCAACAAGGGGCCGACATCGATTGAGCCATTGTGGAGAAATATCTGATCACCCAGGCTGAAGACTTCGAGAACGGCAAGAAACTTCAGGTGGACGTTTCGTACAACGAGGAAAGTGGCCCCCTGTCGACCGGTGGCTCGGTAAGAGGTGGTGGTAAAAGAGGGCGAAACAACAAGCATCCGTCGGGCGCGTTATCGCACTGGCCATGGAGTGTTCCAATCCCTTGTACGGCCGAAGCCCACATACTGACTGGATCAAACCCGACGGGGGAGAAGAAGCATATGACTAAAGGTAATTCAGCTTCGTGAGTCGGCTGAGTTGGTCCAGACTGCAATCTCACCATGGCCTGGGGACCAGTGTCTTTGGAAACGATGGATTGTAGCTAACGAACGTGTTCGAGAGGAGAACGGTAAGCGAGAGCCACCATAATGTCCTCGGCATGCCACCCCCCTTGTTCACGTTGCCAACGTGCTACCTACCTACCTGGACATCGTCCGCAGCGGACAGACAGACATCCACACCGCGGACAGGCAGCCTGGGCCGATGATCTTGATGCGGCCTTCTTCCGACAATGCCAGCGCATTAGCGCCTGGGGGGGGGTTCTCAAATTCTTCACCGATCAGGGCGGATGTGGCTTGGAGTTTCGGTCGTGGCATCGATGCATCGAGCAGCCAGTTGAGGATGATTAATGGGAAACATGTCGGGGGCGTCACATGGCGAGGTAGAATGCATAGCGAATCTTGTAAACTCTGGAAAGCTTTGTCTTGTAACAAATCCTCTACCTGTCTCTCTATCTACCCTCCTCCCGCTGGTGACTCCTCTTCAATGGCGTCCATCCCTTGTGGGCGAAGTGTGTGACCTCGGGCACTTTCTTGATTCCCTTCCTCCTCCTCTATCAACACACCGTTGAAGAACAAGAAGGTACGTACGTATCGAACGAAGCCTTGGTCGAACGAGATCCTTTTCTTCATAGGTTGGAGGAAAGTCGCCCTTCCTTGACCCAACCAGCGCCTAGAGCTAGCTCTTGGGTTCGTTCGGGCAAATCGTCCTTTGAGGTCAGGCGGTGAATAGTGAGGGAGGGATGTAAACGTAAGTATGTAGAGCCAACTTAACTCAACTCTTGTCGGGTCGGTCGGTTGCACCTCTGCTGAATTTCTCGCCGCCACGGTGGCGGAGAGGATGGATACATTGTCCATGATCTTCAGGGCATCGATTTTGGTAGGCTCTGGCTCACTTACCACAATGATAAAGATGCAAGAAGCTGGCTGCTGCTCGAGGGAAAGCCCCGGAAAACACGGCACTGTCCGTGGGTGAGGGGGCCGCCTGGAAACACGCGTGAGAGAGGGATCGCATCTTGTTTGTGTATACGCCAGGAGGATTGATATTGGTTGTCCGAGAGGAAAACCAAGCGATCGAGACCGGCGCAATCCATATCGGAAGGGTGACCATACCGTTCAGCGACAGCAAAATAGGATAACTAGAGCCGGCATTGGCTGTTTTCAAAGGCTCGATGGTAGTATCCCACGCAGAGCAAGTGAAAGTGAAATGTCCACATCTCGCCAGGTGCCCGAGATTCCAAAATATGGCATTCGCAACTCTCTCCTTGTCGCCCTCATGCCCACTGCATCGACTTCGCAGCTCGTCGGCGAGGATGCTTCGAGCTGTATCTCTCGCCGTGTCCTCACCGAAGAATTCCAAGTTGTCAACCCCTCGCTGCTGGAGGATCTCGTCGACTTGGGCCTGTGGTCCGATAATACGAAGAATCGGATCATCACCGAAGGCGGCTCGATCCAAACCATCTCAACCAGCGGTGCTGGCATTCCAAACACAAACAAACAGACCACCTGACCAGCAAGATAAGTATCATCGGGATCCTGAGTTCTCTTCAGGCTTTGGAAATGAAGGTGGGGAGTAGATATTCCTTCTCCATCGCAACTGTCCTCGGTGAATCGCTTCGACTCGTGCATCCCGATAGATCAGCAAAACGACCTCTCCACCATCAGTCTTGCGTTTTCGGCGACGTTGACATATGTGGTTGGCCAAATTGCGCCCATCGGGTTCTTTTGTCTCGCAACGGTGTCCCCTGGGTGAGAAACCGATGACGAAGCTGGGGTGAGGGATTGTGCTTGTCTCCATGGAAGGGCACTCCGGATGTGTTCTTTGGCAGGTCATCTCTGCGAACAAATCATGTCATGCTTTCCGTCACGTCGCCAAGTTGTCTCGCCTTGGAGGCATTCGGAGGGCCCTTGCTGTTCGCTTGCGACCTGGTCAATCCAAGCCGAACCTTAATCCATTCATTGTGGTGAAACCAGAATGATCCGTTGCGAGAGGATTTGTGGCGCTGATATTCTTGTTCCCCTGCTCAGCCCTTTTTGTGGCTCAGACCACTATCTTGGGCGCAGCAAGGCCTTCCCCAGTGATCCTTCACTGTCTCCAACTTATCGAGTTTAACAGCGCCCAGCTGCCTCCCACTCCTGCGCCCCCAAGCCGTCCTCTCGCGAGGACCTCCTCAACAACCACGGTAATTGGTCTGCACCGAAGGAGGAGGAGAAGGATGTCTCCTGCTGTCATGACCTGTTATTGCGGAGCTGCCGTGCCAAAAACCATCACAGCGCCGAACCTTGCTGGGTAGCTACAGTAAAACTGACGAATTCCACTGCCGTGATATCCATGGTATCTGCACGTCGAAGTGGACTCCACTTTCCTTTCGAGGGCTCCGCACCTTCTTGTCGGGAGATGCTCTCGTGAGGTGTAGAGGTAATTGGCGCAACCTCTTGTAATCACAGCTTGACTCAGCGCCCCATCGATCAATCCTCATTAGTAGGTAGGTTTGTTTCAGAGTGATAGATGCTGGTTGGTGCTGGTAGTGCTTACTCTCACCTTCATCCGCCGTTTAGTAGACGAAAGCCTGAAATGATTGGCAGCTGCAACCGTATGGAACCATTCGTCGCGAAAAGGTGATTCGCATGTGTGATGGCACCCGTGCTCTGCTTGAGGTATGCAGTTCAGTGTCGGAAGTGTGACAGGTCAGGCCAGGCCAGGTCTTCATACGAGTAGCGGCAAGAGTTGGAGTGCTCCTCGACAAAAGCGTGCCGAAACACTGAAGGGCAAGTGGCACCCGTCCCTCTTGCTACACCACTTTTCACCGGGGGAGAGCGGCCCTTGAAGTCGCCCACGGTGTGCAGGTCCCATCGTACTGGTACCGGAGGCTGCGGGAGAACGAGATCACCGTGGCCAGAACGTGACGCGCCTCGCCAGCGGTGTCGAACGCGAAGTCTTCGCGGATGAGATGTTATGCCTGCGAAAAAGAGTAAGCTATGAGCCTTCACCGCCGCCATCACTCGCCAGCAACATCTACCCTCAGGGAGAGATGGTAGTCCCATGCCCGTGAGGCACTTCTGCGTTGACAGGATTTGCCTGTGTCATATGGGCCATTGTAGTCCTCAACGCATACACCCAGACCATGCCATGGCATGCCTAGATATCTCGTCGGCAACTCTTTATCAGCGTGTTTGAGGCGTTTGTCCAGTTCTCTTGCTGTCGCGGGCATTTCAACTCGGATATTTGCGTGCCTCCCGGATTGCCAATGTGGCCCAACGAACGCCTTCCTTGATCTTCAATCATGGCAGCCAAGTGGCCCACGGGCTATAGCTCCGACGTAGGCGACGCAACCGCGGCGGCCAAACACATCCACTCGGGCCGATGCAGCCAGCATCACCGTATCCCAGGGCAAATCGAGTCAGTGTGGGCAGTAGAAGTGAGGGATGCTTGGGTTTGGGTTGGCAACGTAGAGCAACTCCGGGATCATGATGATCAGCGTTGTGCTGCTTCCAAGCCTTTTGCGGGCGTGATGTGGTCATGGTCAAGGGTATCCTGGACGTCGTTGGCGGCGGCGTAGGGCATGCCGCTGCCCTCGAGAGTCGGATAAGAAGTATGCTGTACCAATATCTTCCTGACGCATATCACTTTGTAATTCCAAGTGCCTCCTCTTAATCGTCGGAGAATCTTCTTACTCCGTCGCAGTAATGCAGAGTGTTGACACTGAATTGAATGAAACCTGCGCGATCCAACCCAGGGAAAGGATCGCAGGTCGACTGCTTTCCCCGATATGCTTCCTGCAGGCTCTTTCTTAGCATTTCGATAACACGACCAAATCTGAAAAGTTCGAACAGTGCTTGAGCATGCATGCAGAGAAGGATCGAGGAGAGATGCAAGGAGGATGCGAGAGGATGGGGGCTCAGGAGGGTGTAATAGCCGGTTCAGCAGAGGAGGGACTGCAATCCACATGGGATGAGAACACTTCGAGAGAATCCTCATACGCGAGTCGGCGAGGAAAGGAGGAGCTTTGGTGAAGGGGGAGTCGGACGAGCACGGCGGCGACAGAGCAGGGAACTAGATGGTTCTCCAAAGTAAGTTTCTCTCAATATACCCTATGGTACGAAGGAAGCGATGAGGTAACCAAAATGGCCCATCCCCCGTTGCGTTCGCCGACAGTAAGCAACACGAGGTTATGCACCACTGATTTCACATGCCTGCTTCAGGACCTGCTTCATGTGAAAAACATGCAACATGCGCAAGAGCCGATTGATGGAACGATACCCAAGGAGTCATGGCGAAAGGCGCAATCTCCATACCCTCCCAATATGCGTATGTTAGTCTCAGAAGCAAGAGCCTGTGTGGTCGGTTCTCGAGTATTGGCAGCCAAAACATTACGAGCAAGGGTCGGATCAAAAGTTGAGCTGGATGCGGAGCTGGGGCTTGGAATGAATTCGTCGGCCTCCTCCTCTTGGTTTCGCAACGGTACGCTTGCGAATTTCAAGGAGGCGGTTGAAGCGAGATCCCTCGAGATATTCTTGCCTTGATTTAGATGGAGGTGTCCTTGCCCCAGGACGAAGGAGACATCATCTCATCTGGGCGTGTAGTCAAGCACAGCCAAACAGGATGCCTTCATTGCAAGGAGTGAGAAGAAACGCATTCCGCCACATCCGCCAGCAGCAGAGAAGTCCCAGGGACCGAGACGCTCGGTAAACCCAGGAATTTCAAGTCTCCTCCTCGGAGGCCATTTCTATTGCTTGCTTGTCAAAGCTGCTTGTTTCCCGGCCACTGTCTCTTAGCAGTCCCAGGAGACGCAGTCACCTTCGGTTTCCACATTTAATTCCGCAGGGCAGGGTTCGAGGGAGGTATCGGGGACAGCAGGATTTCGAGAGCGCGTGGCTCGGTGCAGTCTTGGGTATTCAGGTTGAGGCGGTCGATACATGTGCCACGAATCAGTGCAGAGTCCCATCGTCGATCCCATTATTGTTTAGAATCACGGTTGGTGTCCTGATGACAGCGTTGCTCAGGCTTCGCTCCCTGCTGCAACAGGCGTCTTATAGATGGACGATCACGTCATGTTCGGAAGGCCCATGGATTCGCTCGTAGGGATTCGCGACTGAGTGTGTATCAGCTGGTAACATATTCAATCTTGATGTCCATTCCTGTGGGAGGCGTGTCAATAAGCTGATCATAGTTCATATCACCTACAGATGCGATCCTCCGACGCAACTCCAAAGGAAACCACCCAGGAAAAGCAGCTTCAAAGGTGCATGGACCCAGCATAGAAAGTCTAGGGACTGAGTATTCTGACCTCATGCGGGAGCTTTTGATCGCAGACAAGTTGTGCCTTGAGTGGTGAGGTCAGGAAGAACGTACGGAGTGCATATCAGAAGTAGGAGGTGCTGCGCATTGATGCTTCATGGAAAGCGCTGTGTTCAGCCAGGTCATGATGGCGTCGACAGATTGCGTTGAAGTGAGAGAACCCATGGGCTGCGTATTCGCAGGAGAATGTTCGCGTCACCTTCCCGAAATTGGCCATCCGCCAATTCAAGTGATGCTGCCGCAACGTCACCACTCCGGTCTACCTTCTTCTTCCAGCAGTCAACCAAATATTAATATGCCGAGCATAATCCGCCGACCAAACACGTCGCGGCGGCTAAGACGAGCCTTGTAAAGAACCACATTCAGCTTCAACCCACCTCCTCACCTTGAACACCCCTCCCGACTCGCGCACAATTCGCCCAGGGTTTCCCCCCTTCACTCTTTGGGAAGAGTTCTGCTCATATACCAGACTCGGGATGCCGCCCCTTGTGGGCGAAACGGGAATTCTATTTTTGGGCCCTTTCACGCGTCAGCCTGGTGTCACAACATACCAATGAACCAATAATACTGGTAACCAGTTACCAGCGTGCTGTGGTTAGCGCTTCATAGACCTGCAGGGCCAAGTGCAGCACAGCGAAACAGCTCGCCAGCGCCAACCGCCCATGTCTCTCGCCATCCTTGTCTCTCACCATCCACTTGAACCCAGCATATCTAGCGCCTCATTGAGCATAAAGCCTTTATATTTAAGCCCATGGCTCCCCGAGCTCGCCTTCCTCGTGCCAAGGGCAAAGCGCAGGGGCACAGAACTGGTTCTCAAAGCAGAACCCCAATCAAGAAGTCCACGCCCAAACCTCAAGCTGGTACTCGAAGGAGTACAAGACTGGCAAACAAAACGTCAGTTTCTTCCGACTTACACCTCGCAACACCGGCACCGGTCTCTCAGCGGTCCCGTCTCAAGCGGAAGCGTCCTCAAGACCCCGAATTTGATGCCGACGGGACAGAAAGCGTTCGCCCTCTGAAACAGTCCCCAAGACTTCCTCCTCCTACGTACCAGCTCACTGCGGACAACTTGAGGATACTCAATGCAGATATGGGCTCCTCAACCAACGACCGCTTGACTCTGAAACGGACCTTGTCCCGGCGTTCGATGACTGCATCAGAAACAGAGACAGACAAATCTCAGCCTTCGGCTAAAACTACCACCTTCTACAGATATCAGCGCCTTGCGGCTGTTGGTCTCCGTATACATACCGACATACCCGACGACATCCAAGCCGCTGTCGATAAAATTGTCGGAACCGAAGTCTCGGAAGATCGTATCGCTGGGCTTGGCAACATTACGAAGAAATTCCACCAGGACTGTAAAGAAAAGATCCGGGGCGGACGCAGCGAAGCCGACTTCGTTGGAATTCTCCGCACTGCACTCATATCCATGAAGCCCGGCAACATTGAATTGCATGAGATGGCCGATTGGCGAGAGGACCTGAAGCCGACTATCCAGCGGCCGAACATGAACTGGAGCTTCGTGGAAAAAATTGTCCGCCAACAGGATGAGGTTAACAACCCTTCGGCACTTCCAACACCGAAAAGCCAACAGCAGTCTGGCCAGATGGGCACCGTTCCCCAGCCTTCAATGCTTGGCGCATCAAATTCTGCGTCCGGTGACCGGCCAGCTCAATTCGATATGATGCCTCCACCTGCTCCGAGCCTCGTTAAGACACCACGTCCCGATATCTCGATAGGCATACAACAATTCGCTCTCATCCCGGCCCTCTCCGCCATTTTAACACGAGATCTTACCGATACGGAGTTCGAGCGATTCCTTCAAGCCTTTGAGAACATCACAATCCCGGGCGAGCGAGGCGAGAGCCCAGAACCGCTTCTCATTGCCGTGCCAACGCAAACAAGTTCAACCCTTATGTTTCCGTTTGCTGTGGCTGAAGCCAAGGCTTACTCGACCGGCAGACAGGTCTTCGAGGCGCAAAATCAGGCCGCAGTCTCCGGGGCTTGCGGGCTGAAAATGCAACTGTTGCTGAATGAGCTGGTCAAACGCTCCACGAGCGGTCAGATTGATGGTCCACATCCCCAGTCAAATGGTTCACCTCCGCTTTTCTTCTCTATCTGTACCGAAGGGCCCTACCACGAGCTCTGGGTCCACTATACCCATATGAAAAACAATATACGTGAGTTCAACATGGCGCTTTTGAAGATTTGCAATGGGATGTTATTGGAGAGCGTAGGGGACTTTATCGCCGCAGTTGACGATGTGATGCGATGGGGGAATGGCAAGTTTTTCGACTCGGTGGTGGAGCGTCTCGGAATAGTAGCAAGAGGAGCAGGCCTGTAAACGCGGACGTCGGGGCATGCGTGGACTAGGGCTTTGTCCTCACTGGCGAAGAGGCCGTTATTTTCGTTCCTGCGATGGTTTTTTCTTCTCTTCGGGCAGAAGCTGCAGCGTTTGCGAACCTCTGGTACAGTGGCTCCATCCTTCACCGCCATGCTCTCACAGAGTCTCTGACGCCTCTGGCGAACGCCTGGATGACCTCGCTCATGGATTTGAAAGTGCCATTCCAGCAACAGCCGCCTTGCATTAATTACTTGGACCAATGATATATTTGTAACATGGGAAAATTTTGTCTTTTTCATATTATAGTCGCCGATGCGCGCCGGCCGTGATATATATATATATTTCCCCGAACAGTCGTCGCCCACGACCTTTTCGCTGACTTATCCCTCGCCGCTTTGCTCTCCAGCTAACGACTATTTAGTCGGTTCGCTCCCTCGTCCGCTCTTTTCTGTACTCTCCCTCGGTTTCGATGATCGGAGGAACTTCTTCAGACTCATATAATGACTTGATATCTGAAGAGCTGGAGAAATATTTCTTGACGACCATAGATTGATGTTAAAAGCCTTAATGAGAGCGTGGCAGCTTTCGAAGATTGTGTCGAGTTGTTTCGAACGAAGACTGGGGAGACTGGGAACGATGGGAACGATGGGAACGATGGGAACGACGGAAAGAAAAGGAAGAAGATGAAGACAATCCAGAAGGGAGATTGTAGTTCTTCGAAAGGTGCTTCGCCGAGCACCATGTGTTAAGAGTATTCTTCTCTTCCTCACCTTCTATGAGTGCTCTTCGCCTCTCCTTTGTGCCATGAGGTGTGATTATGAGCACAGAACACCAGGTCTGAGTGGCCCCGTGTATTCCGTAGCATTAGGAGTTTTCTTGTTCTGTGCCGATGCGGTTTCCCTCCACGTGGCTAGCTTGTGTTAGGCGGGAGGTTGACATAACCTTGAACACGAAGAATGCAGAGAGAAACTCACTGGAGCGCTGACAGCGCCAGCGTTCCTCCGGGGGGTCCGCTTAGCGTTTAAGTTGCACGGATAGAAGGGGCATTTCCGTCCACTTCGTCGGTCGGGAAGCATACTAGTGCAGGGTGGAGAATCAGCAACTTGGCCACGCTTTCCTGGTTGGTCCCCCCGGTGGAAGGTCGGGATGCTGCAGGGTGATATCTGCGCGACGGGGATTCTCTCGCCAGTGAGCATCCTGGTTTTTGGATCCCCTTTGCAATCAAGCATGCCGGATGGCATTGCTGGAAGTGAGTTGATGGATTCCCCCTCCCAGTCCTGCATGCGATTGCCTCCGCCCGCAGACTTAGCCTCCGTTCCCTTGAAAGCACGCTGAACGGTCTTGTGTGGGTGGTTAGGTCCGCAGGAACCGTTGCCCTGGACGGGGCCTAATCGTGAGGGAGGGCCAATCCCCAAAACAACATTTGATCAGAGATCGGATGAAATATACACTCGTCGCTGAGCTCTCAGCTTCCTCGCGATCCGTGACTCAACGACCGCCAGAGTCGTCGTGGAGAACGAAAGGCTTGCCAGGATGTCGTCGACGTAAGCATTGCAAGACCGCGCAAGTTGAGGGCGTGCGGCACGGCGCACCTCTGGCGGAGGGAGTGGCACCCTGCAACCGAGCGAAATATCATTTCGATGGTGAGGTAAGTAAGCGGGTATACAGGTATGCGGGAGTGAACAGCGAGGGTGAAAGCAACTTGAGTATGAACGCATTCAGGCCAGCAAATGGGCAAGACGCGGAGGAGTCGCAAAATCCCTGGATTGACTGCTCCACGTCAGACCCCTAGGCGACCACTCCAAGCTGACTCACAACTTCCACCCAGCTCACCTCGCAACACACTCGCATTCGTCACACAGTTTTCATCCTCCACACTGCTTCTTCGTCGTCCTGACGGCTTCCAAAGGATGATTGATCTCAGCCCTGCTGGGCCAATCCCGAGAGGTTTGTGGATGAGACACAGATAACGGCCGTTGGGTGCAATGAGGTTGAAGCTATCGAGGACGGTGCCCATCAAATTAGATGCAGTGTTGTCGGAAGCTATAGAATTGAAATGGCGATATATTTCGGACTATCTTTGGCATTGTGTTGAATTCCATTCATAGACTTTCATGGCAAGGTATCGGTGACCTCTAAAGTAATTAGGAACTTTTTAGCCTCAAGTTGCTGCGCAAACAGGGTCACTTACCTCAATCCCGACAAAGCCACACTGTATCTCGCAGAGTACGCTCCGTCCCCAGCTTCCCCAATACTTCATGCCTTGAACGAAGCCATATCCAAAGCGAATAGGAAAAAAGTCATCAGGAGAATACCAAACAAGGGTTTCTTCTTCAATCTTCTCGACGGGAGCAAAGGTCCGAAATCCAGGCCGGGCAAACTGCCCTTCCTGGGAACGGTAAACGCAGAAGCGATCTCTGCGCCCAGTGAAGTACATTGACCATGTCTTTCGAAGACAGAGAGTATGTTGTCCGGAGTCCCAGTTGAATCAGGGCCAATGGAGTCTCTTTTTTCTGATATGGATTCAGCAGTGTCTGAGACGGCTTGGCCTCAGAGTTCTCCACTGCCTCTCTGGTCTCTCTTGTCTTCCACGTCCCCTTCGTTGCGCAACGAGGAAGTGTCAACCCGCCGCCAGAAGGCGATGGCCGTGTGATGAGTTGATGCGGTCAACATTCCGCCAAAAGAGTGGCATCGAACAAGATTGGGCCATCTGCTGAGAACGTAACTCTCGAAGCCGTGTTCCCAAGTTCTTGTATCCGGTGAACAGGTTGGGAGTTCTGGGAGGCAGTTTTTTGAAAAGAGGAGAGGAATTCAGCGCCCGCACCGCCGCGCTGAATTGAGAGCTGGGGACGCAGACCTCGATATCCTGTAACACGTTAGACTCTGGAAGGACAGGGGTGTGAAAGACAGCAACATGTTAGATACAGGGTACGTTGTAGTAGTTGAGTACAAGTTCACCAACAACGACAGTGGCCACGTCCGCACTCTTCAGCAGATTGAGCGCCGTCTGCAATAATAATACATCTGCACTCATGTCGATCTGCAGGAAATACGGAGTACAGAGCTCCCGCAGTGCCGCCGCAAATACCTCGGTATGGCTTTTCGGTCACGTGAAACTAATGCAGCCTTGGCGCTTGTTGATTAGACACCCTTTCGAACAGGGAAAACGCCACCTAAACGCGTTGGCGTCGGGTGGCTGATTCTGAACTGACAAAGTGGCTCGGTTTGGATGATCGCTGGATTCCCTCCAACGTTATTTTCAACAGCGATGAATATGACGATGTTCAAGTATGTACAAGCGAATTTTGCGATGCTTGAATAGATGCTCATTGACTTTCCAAATTTTGTCGGATCTTCATCTTGAAGTTGGGGACCAGTATCAGAGCTTCCACATTCCCGTCCGAGCCCCTTTTCTGATCCTGGCGGGTGACATTGGTCGACTTCAGGACTACGAAAAATACCTTTCTTTCCTCACGACGCAATGTTCGAAGTTCGATGCGGTGTATCTGGTCCTTGGAAATCATGAGTTCTACGGTCTGTCTCGATCTGATGGCCTGGCTCGTGCCTACAGACTTGAGAAAGAAGAAAGGACCATGGGAAGACTGAGAGTCCTACATCGGACAAGGCTAGACGTTCACCCATCTCTCTGTATTCTTGGATGCACTCTTCAGTCACATATCCGCCCACAAAACCGCACAGTGGTTGAGCAACGGGTAAAGGATTTTCAAAGAATATCAGATTGGACAGTCGATCTGCATAATGAAGAACACCAAAAGGACCTGGATTGGCTTCGGACCGAGATTACCTCAATAATCGCTGAATCGGAGTCAAATATCAAAGCGAGATCTATCCTCGTCATTTCCCATCATGCGCCTATCAGAAAAGGAAGCAGTCATCCCCAGAATGAGAACAACCCTTGGGCAGATGGATTTGCGACAGACATCCTCGGAGTCTACAAGGAGATGAGCAGGGTGCAGTGGTGGGTCTTTGGGCACACACATTACACCACCCAATGGCGTGAGCACGGAGTCACCCTCATCAGCAATCAACGGGGCTATATCTTTGTCTCTGACTCGAATGGAAGTAACATTAAAGAGTCTAAAAGCGAAGACACACGGCATTTTATTTGTTCCTTATTCAACGGAAAAGAGAGTCACTTCAACCCGCAAAAATGTATAACAATCAGAGTCTGAGATCGCCATGGTAGGCGTATCTCATCCAAGTATACCAGACTGAACATCCCCACGCGTCGGAGGCGGCAATTGAGCCAATTCGACAGACGCCACGCGCTCTTTCACCTTCACAAGATCCATATCCAAAGTACGAAATGTCAGTTCCAGCTCTGGATACCTCTTTATGGCAAGGCCAACATGGTCCAGGTTGAATTCGCTCCGCTTAGCTTTCAACTCGTCTGCGAAGCGACTCACCAGCCATCGAATATCCGCAGAATCGTGAAATTTACCGCGTGTGGCCGCTGCACGAAGCTTGCCTTTGAAGATATAAACTGGGTCCAGAAGCGACACAACGCCGGAAGCGCCAAGCTGTCCTGAAACAGAAAGAGTCCGCGTGGCGAGATCCGGCATTCGGTAACGGGCGTCTGCTCGAATCAGCAAGGTCTTCCCTAAGGAATGCGACACACCTTCGAACTGTTCGACGAAGACCTCAACAAGCACGGCATTCCCGCGGTCAGCTCGGTCGGACCACAAGAACGCAACATAGTCAGTGCGACTTTGAGGAATACATTGGAAACCGGAGTTCCCATCGAGCAACTGAACCAACGCTTCCTTCGAGGTCGAGGCGATGCAGTCAATGTCCTTGTTTTCACGTGGTCCGCCAAGTGCTCCAATGGCATATCCACCGAAAATTCCATGCTTGATGTTGGCTTTGTCCAGCAACTGATAGAGTTCGATTGCAGCATCATTCAGGCGGGCTTGCATCATGTTGACGGTTTTCCTGTAAAATGTCTATGTAACAATAGAGTCCTGTCGGGAGTCTTACATCACTCATTACTGCAGCTCACGCTTCTTCTCATGTGTAACATTGATGCGGCGTCGTGGCCCAACGCCATTGGATCAGTACTTTGCTTCGCAAGACCAGATCTTCAGAGTCATGAGGTCCGACAAATGGAGTGTTTTGGAGTGTCGGGATTTGTAGTCTCGCCCTTCGGCCTCGTTATTGGCGGATTGAGCAAATCTTCCCATGAGAGTGGCATCCGGATGTCAAATTCAGAGCAGAGCCATTAATTACTCCCGGCAGGGATTCGACACGACTTGGTTCTACACTGGTGATATTCCCGGCCGTTTTTTAACTGTGGTAAGTGCTCTAATCTTGTTCCAAGCCAAGCAAAGAGGGACCCGGTATATCCTCAGTTGTTCCTGGTCCACTGCTTGATCACAGCCATCCTCTGCATCTCCTGGTGACCATGCCTCTTCCCGAACATCGCGTCGCCGCCGTAGTTTCTCGCCAGCACAATTCCCCATCGAGATCAACGATGGCTTCCACACGACAAGACACTGGAAGGAACCGTCCTCCCCGAGATAGACATCCTCGAACGTTTGCCACCCCATGATACATATCACCCCTAGCGTGGTTAGGGTCAATGAAGAGAGTCTGTTTCTTCTGGTGTGGGTTCAAACGGTGCTTGAGAGCGTTTGCCTTGAACTTCTCTCGGGCCCCTCCCTGACCTCTCTTGCCATCCACGTCTCCTTCATTGCGCGGCCAGCCCGTTTGCGAGGAGTGCTATCGGCGGCGCGAACAATAGGTCGGCTACATAGCCGAGTTTGAATGCCATCGTCAAAATCAGGTCGAGTCATGAAAGAATGGAACGTTGCCAGGCAGCAGGCTGGGCTGAAACAGCTCGGCGTATATATGAGGTATGAGCATTGTCGTCCTTCATAAGGAGAGGTTGTCAAAACTTACGCGAATCTAGAGGCAAAAGGGATCTAGCTAATCAATTACCCAGTCCCACGGTGCAGCCCGGACGCTGCTTTTTGCAGGTCTCGCGTTTTCATCGGACATAATTACCCGAGCACCCAGCCGGGGACGGACTTTAGAGGTCGATGAGTTAGCGTCGGGGGCTGCACAAGGCGGCACCACCCTCGTCCCAAAGAGGGGTAGGGCGCGCATCGTCACAAGCTCATCGCAATCCCCCCAGTCTGACTCTGGGCCACCACCATCACCACCACCACCACCACCATGGCACCCCATTGAAGGGTTTTCATGGTCCAAATCGATCTGTTGCAATGCTGCTGCCCCAACTGATCTGGAAACAGCACCCGCGACGGCGGCGAGAACGCGTGACGACGCGTCTCGTACCAACTACCTACCTACCCTCTCCCGTACCGGCGAACCCAGAGGCCGGTCTGACGTCCATGGTATTAAAAAACAAACGTGGAGGAACAATACTGTTTGTTATGGTGATGAGGATGTTGCCGGTGCCGATGGAAAACCGCAACGCGGGTGAAGCAGGGACAGGCAGGGTGCGCAAGATCCATGGCACGGACACACGAGTCACACACCCCATCTGAATCCATGGGGGACAGAATGATAGAAGGACGAACAACTATCCTCCCCGCCCCCTCCCCCCTCCCTGGGCCTGTTCGCCTCCCCGACCGGCGCTGCGCGGGCTTTGGTGCAATTCTGCAGAGTCATGCGAACAGCGTGAGAATGGGCACGGGTCTCGTCTCGTCAGAGGCACCACGTCAAAGGTGAATTATCGACGCGATAGCAAGGAAACTCGGAGCATTCCCACACGCTTTGCTAGTGCAAAAGGAGAGAGAGAAAAAGAAGATACAAGGGGCGACGGTGAGGTCATATCATTCATAAGCGGCCGTTATATAAAGATACCGAAATCAGTCCTCCAGAGCGGCGTTGCTGTCGCTCCAATCGTTTCTCCAGACGTTTTAAGGGCTTATTGCACCTTCTTCCGAGGCCGTGAATCATTTTCATCTTGGGTATTTCATGGTTTTTTTTCTTTTCCTTTCGAGGGAATTCTCCGTCATTATCCAAAGCCTTCTCTTCGCAGCCACCACATCATTCACGCGACCGAGTCTCCAAGTCATTTCGGGATGAGAGGCAGCTTGGTCTTGGACCGGTTGTGCAACATGAAGGGGCGCAGGGACGGGAGGGAGATCTTCTGGTGCAGCGACGGCATGGACAGTTTGTGACTGAGGAGCCCACGGCGGCCGGTGACCTGCAGCCCCCGTCCAAGGCTCCGGGCGGGCTTCTCACTGTTATTGTCTTGTTGTTGTCGCTGTGATTGTTTGGCGCTGTGATACGACGAGTCGGACGAGGGGCGAGCGCTGCTGAGGTAAGGCAACGTGGTGTCCCAGTACTGGCTCCACTGGGGCATGTCGCACTGCTGGACATCCGGCACGTTGGCCATGGCTGGGGTCAGGCTCTGGGCGAAATTCTGCAGCCCGTGCTGGGTCTGGAGCGCGTTCAGGCCTAAGAAGAAGTTGTCCCTCATCTCGGCCTCGAAGGGGAACCCCGGATGGGGCACCTCCAGCTGGGTTTCAAAGGGGGGGGTGAGTAGCACCACGACCACGAGGGCGATGGCGAGGACGGGGCTGCGCACGGTGTGGAGTTGTTGCAAGGCGGCCATCTGAAGGTGGTCTAGTTCCCCCGTGACGGCAAGGGTCTTGACGGTCTGCGGCCAGGCGTAGTCCTGGCTGAGGGCGAGGATGACGGTGAAGCGGGTGTCCAGGGGGGGATTTTGGTCGCCGATCTGCTGCTCCAAAGCGGTCATCCGGCGATGGAGGCCCGACACGCCCAGGACGCTGCGGGGGAGTGGATCTCGACTGCGTGGCAGCTTCTTGTAGTCCAGGGCGTTGCGCAGGCAGTGCTGCAGGGCCAGGACCTTCTCCTTGGGCGTGGGCAGGCCGATCAGGGTCAGGGTCTCGGCGATCTTCGCAGAGCTATTGAAGGTGCTGGTGGTAGCCGAGATGCGTGCGGCCGGCAGGAGCGTGAAGATGAGACGATCAAGGTTCTTGGGCACTCGGGGCAGGGGGTTGGTACTCTGGTAGGAGGCGCGGTTGATCCATGTGAGCCAGGGCACGATCTCGTTGTCCGAGGAGCACAGCACGGCGCGAATGTTGTCCGCGGTCCAGCGGATGTAGAAGGCGTCGAAGGGGTCAACCAGGCTGAGGATCAGGATCGCCAGCTTGCGGATAAATGTTTCGTTGATGTCCACGGGCGGAATGGTCCACGACTCTGGTCGCGGGCCTGTGCGCCGGGCTGCTGCCGCTGCCGCCGAGACTGGGGAGAGAAGTGGTACGGGGATTGTGACTGAAGCCATGTGGACGACAATGAGGAAGCGAACGAAGCGAAACAACAGCAACAAAACGGTGTGACAAAGGGTTGAGGAACATGTCCAACCCGGGAGGGGTCTAGCGAGAATTCATATACCGCCTGCATCTTGAGGGGGGGAAAGTGAGAGTCCAGGAAGACGAGGAGGAGGAGGAGGAGCAGCAGGGTGCAGGCAAGATGCAGTAAGATGCGGTGTCAAACATCCACACCCACACCCACATCCACACTCACAGCCATGGGCCCCAAAGGCAAATACAGTACGGATGTGCCAGCAAACGCAAGTCCAGCAACCGTGGACAGTCAAATCAGACGACTCGGTCGATGGCTCCGGAGGAAGCTGAAGCAAGAAGAAGGCGGCGGACACTCTGGATTGCACTGCCTGCATAGTGTTTGGCAGCTTGGGAAAGGGAAGGGAAGCCTCTTGTTGCCATTTTTTCCATGACATCGACGTACATACATCCCTCGATATGCAAGGGATAAAAGAATAGTTCGACGTCCCCACCCCTTCGGCGAATCCACTTTTGCTGTCAGCCGTATCTCTGCGTGCCGGGGTTGTTATAGTTATAAGAAGGTAAGAAGGGAGGGGATGAGCCCCCAAGCCCCCTCCTCCATTCACCTTACGTTGAAAAGCGAGGAAAACAGCTGGTGGAGGAAGGAAGAAGTTGAGGTTAGAGGTTGGAGGTTGGAGGCTGGAGGTTGAGAAGAGGCCAAACAAACCTTCGGGTTTCCTTGCGATCCGAACTTTGACTTGCATCGAGGTCCGCATCCTTTGCCCCATCATAATGCACTCTTTTTACTTACCGGCATGCTTAGTGTGGAGTGGACATTAGCCAGAGAGCGCTCTGAGTGGCTGGAGAAAGGGAGGGAGTCCATCCAGCCCAGCCGGAAGCAAGGAGAGTGGATAGACAAAAAAGAGAGACCACCAGCATTTGCCATATGCAGGGTAAGCTCAGGGCACGTCGATCAGCACCAGATTGGGCGTCGGGTATCGGATGGCATGGCGCAAGGGAAGGGGCGGCGAATCGGGACTAAGCGTGTTAGTGCGATATCGCGTTATCCGTGTGACTTCCATCCAATCCAAGGCGGGAGGGAGGGGGAGGAAGGGAATACGGTCGAAGTCGCCGTACCCGGACTTCGGGAAAAGCTGGGCTGCGACGAGGAGGAAAAGTCTGACGGGAAGAGAAAGAGAGAGAGTGAGAGAGAAGAAGAAGAAGAAGATTGTCCATGGGACCCCTACCTGCCCTACCCTACCCTGCCCTGCCCTGCCCTGCCCTGCGTTACACACCTTCTGGTCATCCTGGGATAATACAATGGGAACGAAGATGTTAGATAGACAGGGTCCTTTGCAGGGTTGTTTAAATATCTCCAAGGCATCCAGCCAGCCAGCCAGCCAGCCAGCCCAGATCTTGGACCCCTCCATCATCCATCCTCCCATGGCAAGAGTGCGTGAAGTTGAAGCTATGCTACGATATGCTTAACCCCGCTCAATCCAACCCCGCCAGCGAGCCTGACTAGCCAGCCAGCCAGCCAGCCAAAGTCAAGCCCCTTACGTCCTTGCTCCTTGCTCGTCCTCGTTTCGTGCCCCTTGCACTGGCTCTGGCACTGGTCCTGACCCTGGCTCGCTCTCTCTCTCCTCTTCTCTAGCCTGGTCTGGTCGTGGAATGCCAAAACAGGCCATGGAGGCTGACTTGGCGTCTCCCTCTCTGTCTTGCCTCGACCCGACCAGGGCCAGCCACTCAACTCAGACTTGTCCTTTTCTGCGTGGTCGCAAGTAAGTCTCCAGGAGCCCCCGGTGGAGTGTGGAACCATGGAACTGAACTTGGTATGTTAGTTGGTTCGCCTGGTACTTCCACTTACACTTGCAATAGGTAGGTAGCTCAGTAGATAGGTAGGTGAAACGGACCAGATCAGACACACGGACAGACAGACCAGATAGACAGGCCAGATAGACAGAAGCGCCTGCCCTCTTCGTGCTCCTGGGCCTTGATGTGTCTGTCTGCCGTTCATTCCCTGCCTGCCCGCCAGATCCGCCACGGGCCGTGTGTTTCGATTACACTACACTACATATGTCCATACATACACCACACCACACCACCCCACCCCACGACACACGCGCGTGTTGATTCGCGAACGGACGCCAACGCCAACGCCAGGGCCACATTCCCCCCCCTTCCCTCCGTTAAGGTGGGTGCTAGTGTCGCACGAAAGAACCTCAGTTCGTGAAAGAGGTAAGGTACATTCTAGGTAGGTAGGTAGGCAGGTAGGTACCCGTCTGTCTGTCCACCGTTGAAACGACCGACCACGAGATGATCAGGAACCGAGTACTTTGCACATGCAACATGCATATGCATTCAACACTACCACCACCGCGCCCCCCCACATACTTTCTCCCTCCCTCTCTCCCTCCCTCTGGACTTTAAACATGGCCTTCTCGCGCTTCATTCTTTAGCTAGGTAGGCAGGTACCTACCACACCAGTCTACAACGACGACAGACACTCGCTCAAATTTCCGCACACTGCAGCAAAGACGACGACGAAGAAGAAGAAGAGGAGACGACCTATATGGACCTGGGTCTTTACTCACCCCTCTCCTTTGACCTTCCCACGGCGACGACAGGGAGAGACGACTACTTTGAGTGCTTTGCCGCGCGCGATGAACACCCACAGCAACCCTTCTTAGGCTTTGAAAGCCCCCAGTCCATTCGAGACGGCCCCGGCGACTCGTCACCACTCCCCAACGAACCCATCTTCGACAAGGTGGTCATGAGGATCATCCCCAATGGGCACAACCAAGACATGCATGGCCCGATACAGTTCAGAGGTCCCCCGATGATGGACAAGGTGGTCATGCAAATTCACCCCCGGCCGCACCCCCACCAGCAACGCGAGCAGTCCGTCGAATACGTCTTCAACAACAGCTTCGGTCCCGCGCTCGAATGGCCCAGTCCAGGCACCAGCAACCACATGACCATGATGTCCGGTGAGAAGAGAGGTCATACTGCCCGACACGTGGAATGCCTTTTGGGAGACGCGAGGACATGTTGCGTCATCGCCGAGCACGTCGGTGTTTCTCTCCCTGATTCAGGCATCAAGTGCGCTGACGAAGCAGCCAGATTCCAAAAACACCCAGTTCTGCTGTGGCTTTTGTTCCAAGTCGTTCAGGCGGAGGTATGGGCGACCCCGTCCAAGAGGATCATTTCGCTAACCAGGAAGTAGAGAAGAGTGGCGGGAGCATCAAGACTGGTGCAGAAACCGGTCACGGGCGTCCATGCCCAAGCGAGGAAGAATGGCGAGATGCCTTGCCTGCACCGAGCGGGACATCGACTGTAGCTCGGCACGCCGTGTTTCAACTGTGCCACAGTCGGCGAAGACTGCACTAGGCGTGAGTTCTCTGCTATCGTCGTCGACGCGGATGTGCCAGCGGTGCCGTTTCTAACGTGTGGTGTTCACAGGGTTAGGCCATCGGACGGGTGAAGGTGCTTCGAGCTTGCCCAACTCCCCAGACGCAACGTGTCTAGCCCGCGAACAAACGAGCTTCCCCACCAGTGTGCTCTGGTCGCCGCCGGCCGAATCTCCCCGCGGACAATCCCAAGCCCGAATTCAGAATGTGGTGTATCAGAACTACACGCGTCGTTTCGAGAGCCCGATGCGATGGTGGATTGCCCGGTTGAGTTCGCTTCCTCACCCCAATTCCGCCAATCCGGGGTTCAGCGAGGGTCACGGCCCGTCGTCGGCACAGGGTTCCAAGCCGTTGCCTTCTTTAATGGAGATGGCGCAACAGCTCGACGGCGATCTGATGTCGTGGCACCAAGAGAGTGCCTGGAAGGTGTTAAAGACGGCCATTGCCGCATTCGGGAGTCAGGGCATCGACCCAAAGTCCCATCGGTGGGAGCCAAAATATGGATGCGCCAATGCCTGTCGTCCAGACTTCTGGGCCAAAGCCAAAGCGGCGATCGACAACAGCCCCGACATCCTCTCTTTTCAGGTCATTCTTGCCAACTTCATCCTGGGCATGATTCAAACCCCCGCGCCGGAGCACGACGAGAGTTTTGCCGCCGAAGCGCCGTCAGCAATATCCTTTCCACGTCAGGACAGCCGCAAAGTCGGCAACAGGTTCATCAGGCGGGGTATTTCCGATCTCTTCCAGCTGGCACGACAGGTGAGAGATCTTCCAGCCGGTGGGATGGCTGCGACCGCGGTCGGCCAGCATTACCTGAGAAGCTTCTTCAGCCTCGGCCTTGTCCTCGATACCATCTCGTCGGCCGTCGACGACCGTCCGGTGCTGATCCACGATGAAGACTGTGCCACCATCCTCGGCGAACAGACACAAGGACCACCCGCCGGGCAGCCCTCGGGGCTGTGGCAACTCCATCGCCTGCAAACCAAGCAGGTCAAGGTGGTCAAAACGCCGGACGGAAGACAGCCCATAGATTGCCATTTTCGCCTGTTGGAAGAAGGCGCTCCCGTCACCATCTTGCTCTTTCGCAAGGTCACCCAGCTGCAAGCCCTGCTCTTCAGACAACGGCCGCAGCTCGAGCTCGAGGCAGCCGTCCTCGAGGCCATCGACGTGTACAACCACGGCAACGAGCGCTGCGGCGGGTGGTCGTCCGACCCGCTCAGCATCTGTGACTCTTCGGGCACCATCAACCTCGGGATCCGATGGCATCTGGCCAGCCTCCTGCTAGCCGCCGTGATCGAGCGGATCGAGCTTGTGATGGCGCCATCGACGCTCTCCAAACAGGTTCGCATGACTCTCTGGAACATGCGAATGAAGGCCGTCTTCATCCTCTCGGGCCTCGCAGACCTGTCAACGGCGGGAACCGACGCAGAGCAGTCCACCGTTCTCGTGGCCGAGAAGGTGGCTGAGGCATTCCTGGACGACCCCTGGATTCAAGTCCTGGTCAGTGCTATGCTGCAAGCTTCGAAGATGTCCGAGACCTGGAGGAAAGACGGCGAGACCATCAGGACTCCACACATGACAGAGACACTTTCACCCAGCGAAATAAGTTGCCTGGATTGCATCAGGCGTCTTGGCTTGCAGCAGTGAATCGAATGATGGCCCAGCTCGCGAGAGTCTGAGCACTTGCCAGCCACCTGGCATAGGATGTGGAGTTGTTCGACCTCTTGCTCTGTGCACTCAGAACCCTCTTTGAAAGCGTTTCCCGCGATCAGAGGAGCTGGGCCACTGCCATTCGGAGACAAGCCTGCACCTGAACCTGAAGAACACTCTTGGCCAGCGGCGGCCATTGTATTTGTACCTCCTTTTGCTCACAGTGATACCATGTATTAGACCGGTGTGAAGAGAAGAGAACCCCTGGAGTCAATGGAACAGCTGGGAAGGCGGTCTGTGATGAGGTTTGACCGAGGTCGCAGGCACAGGGCGGGAGGGAAAGGTTTTGTGAGAATCTTCGGGCTCGTCGTCTCGCATCGTCTCGTTTGCTTGTCTGTCTGTCGACGCTGTATGTACCACTACAATGTGAGTGATTTTGCTTCCATGCGATATGTATGCCAGGGATCTCGCGCACCCAGCTCCCAGGAGTCTTGTTTTCACAATGCCGAAACCTGGACAAGTCGCCGACCGCGCACACCGTTACCTTGGGTCCAATGCTCCCTGGTAGTCCAGACTCTGCAGGAGCAGCACATCGGATCAATGCTGCCAATCCGGGGTCGTCGTAGCCTGTCAAAAGCATTGGAAGCACCAAGAGACAGGGATGGGCCCCAAAACAAGACTGCGTCCGGGACAGAAGTAAAGCATGTGTGACCTGGAGATACCAGCAGCCTAGAGAGCCACGGGCACAGAACGTCTTCGACTCTGATGATCCACCAGAATCCGACCTTCTCAAAGGACGAAAGAATCACCCCAACATGGATAATGCTCCTCTAGCTACGAGTCGATCTCGAGGCAGAGAAGTATCCATGCGTGAGAAGAGCTGCTCCCAATCTGCTATAATGTCGTGCGAGGTCTTTGGGAACTCTTTATGCGAATGCGAGCAGTTGACAGCCAAGGTATGGTAATCACGTTCTTCAATGTGGCGAGCGGCGCCCGCTGATGTCAAGCACATCACTGCCAAATGGTCTCAACCATGGAAACCCGATGGGTATCTCGGTGTGGAGGCGGAATCGGGAGGTACGCCAGCGGGGGCATCCGAAGCGATGGGCACAGAACAGTCTGTGGTGGGAAGGGAGGCGGTAGGTGGTGAGCCGACAATAACAACGCTTCCGTCTATCAGCAGATCATCAGAAATGAGGAACGCTTACCTTCTCTGGAGATGGGCGATCAATGTCCATTCAACCTCAACTTACGTTCTGAGCCTCGCAGGAGCCAACCAGCATATCTCGACGCACACGGGGAAATCGCTGAAATTGGGGTACTGCTGCTGCTGCCCATGCGACACCATTGAACAAATAGGCGAGCTGGATGCAATCCGGGTTGTGTTTCCACATCCATGGCCAGTGCTATGAACCTGCACAGGCCGACAGCGACACTTGATTGGGCTGGCGAAGAATCGCAGGCAATGCGGAAGGATGAAAGAGCGTTCTGGAAAAACCTTTGCAGAGCCAAAAGTGTCAGAATATGATGATACTGCAGCATGTCGACAGGATACAGGTCACAGGAGCCTCGAGGTCTCCAAACCCTGCGACGAGCGCCCCATCAAGTGAGGCATGGACATGACTAGCAGTGCAGAAGCCAGACTGGAACAAGACATCGTCCGCTGCTGACAGTCAGCTGCGGTGAGAAGAGTCAAGCTCTGCCGCAACAGAGCGTACCAGAGGGCGCAGTATGTGGCTTGTGAAGGAGTCCATTCTCTTGATAACTGTCAACAGACAGCTTGTCTTATTCGAAGAAGGAGCTGCGCCCTCGAGAACATTGTTGGACAATTTGTTGCCTACCACCAGGCATTGATCGGCTCTTCCTCTCAGGATCTAGTCAACACTGCTCGGCCTGCGACGAGCTCGAGGAGATGCCATGTCTGAGCCGCGCTGTGTTCCGACCCAGGACGAACGAGAACGAAGGAGGATGACGAGGACGAGGACGAGGAGATTGGGGATACGAGGGACTCCCCAGCGTCGCTTCTGATGCCTGCGTTGGACACCTTTTCGCCTGTTGTGTTTGCTCTTGAACAGCCCCAATATTGCTCTGGCTGAATCTTCTTACGTAGAGAAGGGGATCGCCTTGGGCAGCAGACGGAAGGGGGTGGCTCGCACAACATGAAGCAGAGGCTGGCCATTTGGGTAGAGAGATGCTGCCGGCATACAACGGACCAAAAGCGACAACAACGGAAAGCAATCAGGGTCATTCGATGGAAGAGGTACGCGTCAAGAACGCGACGCAGGCACTGGAGCTTGTGCGCAGTTTCAAAGCCACTAAGACAATAGTGATCGCCGCTTTTGGAGGCTTGATCTCTAGCTCCAAGAATAAGGGAAGCCCAAAGGACAACAGTGAACGCTGCTTTTAGACCATCCAGTCTTGCTCCAAAAAGGCAAGGCGGACGATAGAAACAGAAAAGCAGCAATTGTAAGAAAGCAAGCGCTTGTCCCATTCATTTAAGCTTCAAAAGCATAAGGGCGGATGCTCCGCCATCTTTTCGGGCAAGGCTGGAGGCTTGTATAAATCCGGCCTTAGTGACTCCGAGCGGGAGGACATCCGAAGCCAAGACATAACTTTTCCATCAAACAGCTTGTGAGATGTATCCCGTCCTTGTGCCTGGGCTCGCGAACACCACAATCCTGCTGCGTGCTAACTTCCACATGTAGGCTTGTGGTTCTTCCAATCTGTCCGTTGACATTCCTTCGAGCAGTACTTCGCGTTGTGGCATCGCACACACGTCAACAGGCCCGCTCCAGGCCTGGATTCAGTTTTTCCACAAACTCTGCATCCGCCACCTGGGTGAGGGACAGTACTGGATTTGCGGATCTTGCTGAAATCGAAGAGTTCCTCACAAAAGGGAGCTGGGAAGCATGGAGACAACGCTGCCCGAACAAAGTACTTCGACACTGAACCCCAATGGGGCACGCCCGTGAGGAACGTTTTCGGCAGCTGGCCGCTTCCACAGGAGCACAGGAGCGGCTGGCCGTTCTCCAAAGACAAGGGAATGCGCGATTCCGTCAGATATTCACAGTCAGGACGATGCTCCCATGTCCGGCACCGTTCGATCATCGCCGGCAGCACCTGCCTCCACAGTTTCAATTCGACGGCGTCCACCTTGATACTGCATAACCGCATGGCTGAAAGCGCTCCTAAGAATGTATTGAGTTTCGGCGTCAGGCTGTTGGTCAGTGGTAATATTGCCGAATCCAGAATGACCGTTTGGTTGGCAACGTCCAGTTTGAGGCCAGCGACGAAAATGAGAACGTGTATCCCTCCACGCATTGGGTCGTTAAGGCCAAATAGTCGGGCTGGTTCACCCTGCAGGCCGGAGAAGTGTATAAGAAGTGAAAATAGGGAGTCTTTAAATCGAACTCGAACGTTTTCCTCCCGATCTGCGAGCATCGGACTGTCTCTCAATTCGCGCTCTCTGCGGCTGAACATACCGGAGGAATGCGTCACGAGCCATTGGATTCCTTTCTTTCTTGACGTATTGATGGTGGGCAGGCATTCCAAATTCGTATAAGGCGTGTTCCATACCACGGGTGGCCCTAGGGTTGGGTAAATGGGGTGGATGAATGACGGGAAGCATTTCCAGTCCGCTGCGCCGGCCAGTGGTGCTTCTACTTCCACGTATGAAGACTTTCTTGCAATCCTAATTTTGCTCCTCGAAGCAAGGACGGGAGAGGGGAATTCGAGAGCGATCGGCGAGGCGATCAGCCCCACCGTCGCGATGACGCTGCACGGAGATACCTGAACGCTTTCAACCTTGCTTCCACTTTTCATGGCCGCCTTGACGTCCTCCGAAAGGAGTTCAAGACGCCCCGTTAAACTTGCGATCCTCGGAGCCTTAGAGTCGACATTTGCAGTGATCACGGTCCGCGCAACCTGGCCCTGGGGAGAGGAGTCTCCCGAATCACCGTTCGAGAGGGTGCAAAGGGAAGCAGACCCTGGCTGATTTGGTGGATCTTTGGTCATGAAGACGTTTTCTTCATCTTCTAAATTGGTTTCGTAAATATTCATTTCAATACCAAGAGCCTTTATGAACGTTCTTGAACTTTGTGGCGTGCTCTGGATTCCAAAGGCAATTGATGTAGTTCGGGGTTCGATCAATAACGTCCATGTGGGAGCCCGGAACGAGACGAAGAGGTCAGAACTGCCATTCCATTCCAGCCCGTCATCCACAATATGGAGGCTGAAGGCGTCACTGTGCCTCTCGCCAGTCGTGGAGATGTTTCCAAAAGAAAGCTGGACGGCAGAGAAGATATTTTGCCACGGCCGAGACCTCGACGCCGGGGAGGACTTAATGATACAGTGAACGATTGGCGTGCCAATTTCCGCGGGCTTGAGACTTGTTATCGCTCTGAGTCTTTCCCGGGGTACCTTTAATGTGATGCAAATGACCGGGGGAATGCCGTTCCAGCTCGCCAATCCTTTGGCGACAGCAGTTGAGGGTTGCTTGACCAGGCCCGAGAAAGTGTCTACGGAATACACTTTGAAGATGTGGAGGAACAGATACAGCTCCTGGATGTAGTTCATTCCCATTAAGAGACTAGAGTCAGTCTCGATAAGCCTCAAGAGATGGTCCATGACTTTGTCCCAGTCGACGGCGATCCTGCTGCGCACAAACCGTAGAAACAGAGCATAACTCCCGCGGTGATGGCGTACGAGCGAACTTTTTGATATGGTGTGCACGCTGACGTCCGAGAACAGTTGCTGCATGTTCTCGTGCTGAAACATATGGAGATACACATCATGGAGGATCCGAGCACACCCACTCTCATCGACGCGAAGGCGACGGACTTCCCCTGCGCGTGATGGCGATGGCGATGGCGATGGCGATGTTCCTTCGTGAATGCTCTGCTTCCATGTTAGTCTAACATGCATCTGTCCAGCTCTCGTATCGTCGCTGGCCCGGATGAAGCTCGAGTCCATCATCAGGTCGTCCATCGTCGAAGAAGCCGACGCATTGGTCCAGTACTCAACTGGGAAGAGACCTAACAACGTCGAGATGGTTGGGAAGTGGCCCTTGAGAAGGCTGTCGATGTACGCCGTATGGGTTTCTTCTTGCTTTACTAGCGATTCGGTGTATAGGCTGGCTGATGGTCCCTCATCCAATAACGGCGCGGCGGCCACAAGGAGGTTCAAAGCCCCTACGTGGTCAATGAGGTTCGACGTGTCAATCACGCCGAATGTGAGCGGTGCTCGAGCAGAGTCCGTGTATTCCTCGCCATCCAGGACCAGCGGCTCCGCGTGATAGGGATCGCGGTACATACCCGCGGCCCTTTCGCTTTGAGTGATTTTCTTTTGCTGCAGAGCGTATGAAAAGGAGATGGCGTCGCCTGCGAAAAAGCGTATTGTAAGACAAGAGGGAGGGTACTGTCTGAGCGACCGTGCCCAGGATCGAAACTGAAGTTGTGCCGCCTCGACAACTCTGAAGCAGGAAGAATCCTGCGTCATTGCCTCGGAATGGAACGGTGACTGTTCGGTGAGTGGAGTATAGGCCGTCGCAAGGTGAAAACCCAGTAATGGGTCGGTGCCGTAGTGAAGCGTGGACCTGTCAGTCACAAACATCGGGTTCAGCGTGTCGGTTCTGCGCGGGTCCTTTCCCTCCCTGCTCGTGCTGCCGTGGTTCCAGAAGTGTTGATGAAGCTTGGGGGCGTCATGAATGGCACCGATGCCGGCGGGAGCTGCAGATCGAAGGCCCGATATGACAAAACTGGTTTCGCCAAGGTGATACGCTCGGCTTTCCATGGCCCTTTGCATTGCTGCTTTTGAGCGTTCGAGAAAACGTTCTCGGTCATCCCGATTCAAACGTGTGAAGCGGTAAGTGTCCCAGATATTCCTCACCTTCGTTAGGGTCCTCTCGTCGCAGAACCTGAATTGTTGGCCATATTGCCCTCCATGCCAGGTCTGCGCTGAAGCCCCCAGTGCGTGTAGTTTTGTCGCTTGGCTGTCCAGCAACTCCAAATCCTTGCTATCCAGACAGAGGTGATAGTATATGTTCCATATGGAAGCGTCATTAGACCCGTCGACGTCGTCCAAAAGAAGAGTAAGCAACAAGATGTTGCGTGCTGGAATTGGCCATGTTAGCAAACCACACCAGTGAGGAAGGAGCGAAGCAGACCAATGACGGCGGGCTCAATGTCACAGCATGTCACGTCCAGCTTCCGGCCTGACAGTACATCAGTAGATGGCGAGAAACCCGCAGCATGGGCTCTGCGCACCAGAGGCCTGGTCGGAATAGACCGTAAACAAGATATTTCGCACGTCGCCACACCCTAAAAGCAGAATATTCGCAGACTGCTTATATGGAACACCTCGAGTCAAGTGGACGGCAGGTGTGTTCCCAATCGGATAAAAATATGTCACAATGTCAACAACCACGGGAGCTGCCATGATGCGGGACGCCAGATGGACATTTGGGCAGCCGACGATGGAAGAGAACAAGACACGACTGAGAAAAGAGCGCGAAGTTGGGTCTGGCAGACCAAAGGTAGCTGGGCCTAAGTCGTGCCAGCGAAGCTGGTCACCTGATCCTCCATTCGGTTGACCTTCCCAACCCCTGTGCTTCGTCAACTTTGTGACCAAACCTCTTGTGGTTCACTTGCACAGGGGGCTTCAAAATGTCCGTGACGTGCGCCAACCGAGCAAATGCACCGATCATGCTCCCCGGGTAAAGCAGCAGAAGGGCTGCAGCACATCATGTCCTGTTAGCAACCAGAGAATTAGACAATTCGCTGTTCTTGTTGCTTAGCGGCCCTGCTACCATCTCGTCCTGTGCAATTGGAATCCCAGCACAACCCTCAACAATTCCTCGAGATTGTTATTGCGCAGAGCCATTCATTCCAATATCGAATTTTGAGTGAAATTGGCGCAGCGGCAGAGAGCAGCGGGCACCTAGCAGACGATGGGCTGAGGCATAGTTGGCGCAAAAAGGAGATGGAAATGCATTCACACGTCAACGGGTGCGAAGCACATCCCGTCGGGAACCCTATGAAAGCTCCGCCGAGGACGCTGTCGGTGAGCCAGAGTCGTTGTATCCATTCATCCTCACCTTGCTTCAGACGGGCGATTTGTTCGACGAATAGCAACCAAACTGCTGCAGCTGGCGTGCTATGGTGCCAAAAGGGACTCACCTCCTGCTGCTTGGTCTCTCATATGCATGTCTCACTACCGTTGAGTGGAAAGAAATGCATAGTAATGTGGGAATGGCACGACTCTCTTGCTGGATTATCATGATGGTCTGCGGTGTAGTGAAAAAGATGTCACACCAAGCCCTCTGCTTCATAGGCGATCGCCTGAATCTGCTTGATGCCCAGAGGAGTCTTTGAGAGTATTTAAGCAGACGACTGCCATAACTCGTCGAAAGTTGACCACCGAGGTAGAACTCTTGTGATATTGATAGTGCAGTATTCTCAGTAGCGTTCTTCGTTGGAAGTGTCAGCCAGTCTTCTGGCTGCAGGGGAGGTGATGGCCGTTCCCAAGGAAGTAGATTGAGCTGTGATTGACGTCGCTGACCGGCATGGTAATTTGGAGGCGGGCTGGGGGCGAGTCGGGGCGCTCTGGGCCCGACCGGAGACCTTGACCGGTTGACAATCTGAAGTGTCTTCATAAAAGTCCCGAGGTGGCCATGGTGACGTTACTGTAAATGAAACTCAGCGACGCTCGCTCGTCGGGCTGGCGCCAAACTCATATGGGGTCTGAGGTTCTGTCCTTGGTGCAGGCGGCTACTCAGCAGGTATCACAAGGGATCGTTGAGATATCTGGGAGTCCACCATGTATCCCTGACTCTTTACCGACCGAGAACGCAAGTCATCTCACTTGCAAGATCGTGAGGTGTTTGTTTGTCAGGGTGTCGAGGGATGAAGCAATTTATGTCTCTGTCGGATGGTATTCGTGATTCTGCATCCAACAGCGAACAAGTAGGCACTCGCCTCACAGGCAAGATCGGATGTTTGAAAGGTGGCGAGCAGCTCGTCATGACGGAGGAAACGGGTGGGAAGGCCTCTGAGGAGGAGCAGGTGGTCAGCTCGGTAGCGAGATCCTGAGATACGGTGGGGTTCGGAGCTGATCATATGACGCTGGGTCTGGAGTCGAGGTTAGCAGAAGGTCTGTTTGCAGGTAGGTTGTTGTTGGTTTCAGTGACAACAACACCTAAGCTGTTTGGCAACGCCGTGTTCTTCCACGCGTATGATTGTATAATCGACAAGGTCGAGAACCATGAAGCAATAATCATGTAAGATTACAGTGATCACAGGGCAACGAGACGAGCTCAAAGGAACAGGGCATGAAGTGGGAGAAGGAGCTCGACTGCGCAAACGGGAATTGTAACGAGACGCGCACGAAGCTCTTCAGCCTCGTGCGGAGCTTACCCAGCCTCGTGCGGGGGAGCTTCCAGGGTCCAGTATAGAGATAATCTATATTCCAGTGCCTGTTGGGCGGTGTGTCATGATCATGGTGAAAGCCGCTGTGTCTGGGGCTGCGCCTTGAAACATTTGATGTGGTATTTGCGATGATACGTATACATAGTGACTGAAAGAGGCGTCGGTATAATAGTAGCTGGCTAGAACTGCTTATCGAGGACGGTCGATTCAACTGTGGAGCGACTCGATTCTCGTGGCGATCTACCTTAATTACTCAAGGGCTAAAGAGGTTCTCGCCGACGGTGATTCGATACATGTCGGAGGACACAATGGCATCGCGAATAGAATGGAACTCGGTTGAAATGGAATTAAGTATTCATCGAGTGAAACCAGACTGAAGCGCAAATTACTTCCTCCGCTTCCGTTCATCATTTGTTCCCTTCTCCCCCCGTTTCCCAGAGCAAGCACTGTATAATTAGTCGGCCTCGACGTAGTTATAGGCGCCGCAGTTGCCGTTTGAAATGAAATACTGTGTGTCGGGAGAGACAGAGCTCGAGGGTTCGGCGCCGAAGCTGTATTCGCCTTCGACAGTGCAGCTATCGGCAGGGAAGTTGAAGCACTGTTCGCCAGCGCCGAAATTCGCATTGAATGCTGCGGCTGCGCACGCCGGGTTGTTTATGCACGAAACACAGCAGTCGTAGGCAGTTGAGTCGTCCGTGGTGGCGAGACCGACCGAAGGGCCGGGGTAGATTACGTCGTAGACACCATCGCCGTTGAGCGTGCCCACTATGTTGGGCGTTGCGCAGGCGGCGTAGATGACTGTTGAGGTCGTTGCTGTGGTGACGACGGTGGATGTGCTGGTTGTCGTTGTAGAGGGTGTAGTAGTGCTGAAGGCAGTGATTAGGGTAGTGGTTGAAGTCGTCACCGTCGTGGTGTAGTTGGCGCTTGGAGGGGTGATGGTTGCCGTAGTCGTCGCCGTCGAGGTTGAGGTGATAGTCGTCGTAGTTGTTGCTGTCGTCAAAGTGGCCGAGACCGTGGTGTGCGCTGTTACTGTTGTGACAATGGGTGAGAAGATCTCCACAAGCTCCTGGCACTCCACTGACGCGGCATATTGCGCGCATGTGTCCCATACTGGTCTGCTTGGCCTGCCTCCGCTCGAAGGCTGGTCAGGTGTGGGTGCTTTGCATTGAGTCGATGGCTTCTGCCATGGCAAGGTATACGACGACCTCCTCGAATGAGTCTGCTTCCAATTGACTGCACGCTTGCGCTTCTCAGCCGAGCCAGGGAGTGTGCTAATAACTGGGAGGAAACCAGCGGAAGTCGGCACAGTGGACGACAGGGTGGTTGTGGTTGTGGAAGTGCTAGTCTGAATCTCGGTTGCTGTGGATGTTGGCGCAGTAATAGTGCTGGTAGTAGTGGTGGAGAAGAGAAGTGTCAGGGTTGTGGTGAATGTCTAGGCGAAATCAGTCATGGAAAATTGATTTGTTACCGAAGCTGGTCGTAGAGACTTACACTGGTGGGTGTGGCAACCGTAGTGACAGAGGTGCTGGTGGTGGTAGTACTCGTTGTTGAGGTGGCTGTGACTGTCGACGGAGTTACCGTGACTGTGGGTGTAAAACTGGACGTGACATGGACTGGAATGGTAATGGTAGTCGTGTGTGTGGCTGTGGTCACCGATCGCACGGAATTTGGTTGTCTGATGGTTGAACAATGTTCGATGGTCAAGGTCTCAGACCCAGACAACGGAGGGTAGGGGCCGAGGGCAGCAGAGAACAATGGCCACAATGCCAGGAGTGAGACAATGGGAACCTTCATGGCGACTTTGCAGATTAAGGAGTGAAAAGGTCAAACGAGTGACATGAACGTTGAAAGGGAAAAGAGCGACAGGAAAAGAACGAATACCCCAAAGGCACCGGATTGAGAGCCAGGACCAGAACGAGGATGAGAATAGAGATTACGGAATGCACGACTCTGTACTCCATATATATATGTATATCCTGACGAGCACTCCGCAATTCGAAATCACGTTAGAGTACCAGTAGTTCACAACCTTACTCTGACTTACATGGAGTCGACTAAGCGCTCCGTACTGTTCGGACGTGACCATGAAATAGTTAATAGTGAGCGCTCGGATCGTTTGAGATGTGTAGAAAATTGGAAGGCGAAGGGAGTTGTGAAGCTGAGTCGACCGTTCTGGGGAAGGATTAATCTCGCATGGACTATCAACTTTACCTAAATGAGAAACTCCTCAGTGCTTAGTTAAAAGCTTCGTGGAGCTTCTTTTCAGCCACATCGCCCTTACCCCAAAGATGGACGCGTGGTCTCAATCCGTCTTGGACGTTTGTGGATGGTTCAACGAAGGCCAGCTTTGCTGGGAAGGATGCACAAAGTCAACGCTGGCAACGTGACTGTCCATAAGAGAAAGAGAATAATCCTCTGATGCCTTGGGTAAAGGAAACAAATCATGTTGTGCCACCGCGGACGTAAACATTGGCTTCCCATCCAGATGAACTGACACGAAGTCATACGTGCAAGGAGTAGTTCGTGGATTAAGGGGAGGATAAATCTAGCTTTGGCCGCGGGTCCCGCACGCACCCCCAGACCGGTGGGGACTGCTTGAGCTTCTTCAAGAGCAGGGAAGTAAATTATGGCGAACCCTATCTTTTACGCCTAGCGTGGTTTTGCTGGGCTGGGCTGGGCTGGGGAGGGCTGGATCCATTCCTTGCTGTCCCCACCACCTGATTCAAATCCCTTCCAACAGACTGAGATTTTCGAGACCATGGACTCCAGGGAGTCGCTGATCTCTCCTCTCCGTTTCGACCCTCTATGCCGTCGTTCCTCCACCTGCCCGAAGTAAAGGCTGGACCTGAACGGTCAAAGCTGCCTGGGGTTTGGTCCATTGACGCCCCACAGAACAGCCCGCAGACAAGTGAGACGTCAGAAGTACCTCGTACTATTAAAAGCACCCCGTCCTCTCACACCTGTTAAAAAGATTCTGAATTTCCACAATCAATTCTGCCCATCTTTCATGGAATCAAAATGTCGAGCAATTCAGCAGAATTTAAGAGCTCACCTGAGGCAGAGAACAGAGAGCAAATCCCACGCCACAGCAACGGGCGTCTCCAGACCGGTCTTCCTAGCAATAGCACTGGTAGGTGACTGGACAGGCTCCCCAGCCAAGTGAGAGCGGCATGGGCCTTTTGCAAATATAAATTCGCCAAAGAGATCCTCGTCCTCTGGTTATCACTCATCTTGGTGGCAGTAGGTCATCTTTTCTTCACTTCGACTTTGAAGACTCCTTTTGAGGTATCCATTCATGCTCGTCTCACCCAATCCATGACGCATTTCATTTCTCTTAGACAACTCTGTTGCTTTTTTTTCACCTCAAACTTCCATATTCTCCGTCCTGGCAAAGAACTGGCCAGAGAGTGTTTTGATTAAATCGTGGGTACCGGTATATCAGAGGGGTCGACAACATTTCCGTCCTTTTCCCTTACTCTATAGGCAGTTCGCTGTCTCGGGCGTCAAGGGCAACAACATTCACACATCCATTTTTCGGTCGGCAGATATCACCAGCCGCAGCATCCGGGCAAAAGCCGGGTCTGTCGTCTCGGTGAAAGCACCCCAGTTGGTGTCGTTTGCCAGTATTGCTTTCGTCGCGTCGGCCATTACGCGAAGCTGGAGGAGGAAAAAGTTGAAATGCCTTCGTCTCTATCAATATTGCTTGTCCAGAATCGTGCTTATGACGGCACGCACAGCTTGTGGATCGAAAAAATCTAGCAATGCGGAATGTGATATGGGTTACAACAACAGGATCAATTGTCAACTAACGGTGCTTGTCCATGTCGTCAGCAGGTGGAAGGGCTTTTGCAAAAAGATGATGGCGAGACCGAAACGCTGACGGCATTAGTCTCTCAGCACATCGTCGATGGCACAGGCAACGCAGCGCTGCATCCCGTTGTTTCAGGGGAGCGCAAATCTCAAATGAGCATGAGTTTTCGTGAGGAAGGAGCCGAGCTAAACATGAACATGAATAGCTCCCATTTACAGCGACGATCAGAGAAGAGTCGAACTTACTGGCGTTGCTGCACAGGGTCGGGCGCTCGCCCTCACTTGATTTGCAGAGCTTTAATATCTTCCCCGCCGGGACGCATGTGTCATCCAAGCACTTTGCGAGAACCAAGCCTGTTGATGTAGACGGTACATCGGAAAGAAGGAAAGCTTGGGTGACTGCTATGGCCAATTACCCAAAATTGTGTGAAGATGGCATCGCTTTGTCCGGCTCAGCGGTCATGTCGAATCTGGCACAGAGGCACCCGCGCGCACCGTGCTAGCCGGCATTGTAATCAATCGTCATGCATTGTTCCAGAGCCAAAAAAATATTGACATCAATCTCCTGCGGCAGAATGCCCGTGTTCGGGCTTACCATGGACCCTGTATAGCAGAGGTTGTCGCTTCACCCGATCAGCGTCGGCAGAGAGAACATATGCAGCGTTTTGCAGCTCACACACCAATCCGCCGTGACGTTGTTTGTTCGGATCGGTCTTCCCGCAACTTGTTCTGCTTGCTGCTTATCCGTGACGCAGAGCGCTCGGATGCACAGACCTCCCTGGAAAGCTTGCTAAGGGCATGGCCGGCCGCTCCCACCGTGTTCGGGTCATGCGGTGGGTAGGGACATGGTGTCGTCGAGCAGAGTTATGTAAGCGGCAGTATGTCTAAATCGGGATGATAGATCCCAAGCAGCAAACCCGTCTCCAAATACGAGGGTCATTCTGAATGTCCGGTATCTCGTTCATAGCAGAAGAACATGCTTGTCCGGGGTGGAAGGTGTCCTGATAGTTTCAAGGCTCACCATGTTTATCCTGAGACTTTGGAGGTGGCCTTGTCTTTTTTCTGCACCATCGAGATATTGTGTCGCCCTGCTAGAGATGAAGAGTTCCTCTTGATTTGTGTGAGAGAGATTCATTCTCCGGTGCAGCCGCAGAAGGCAGCCATGCGGGTTGTGACTATCTAGGTTGGGCTTTAGGTACACAGTTGTTTTTGGTTCATGGGATAGCACACGGTATCAGCCCGAGACATTTTCCCATCCATCCCCTTGAGCGTTTTGTGCTATGTCTAGTTATTCCACTTCATAGCGAAAGTTCCCATCGATCTCGTGATTGAGACGCTTCGACGAGCGAGACGAGATTCCTTCTCTTCTTCGGGCAAAACGACCACTGACGCGCTTCGTAGGAAAACCGTAGAGTAGGAGGGATCGATAGGCGTGTGAAAACCTCAAATGTCGACTTCGATATAGAGGGGGAGGGTTCTGTCGAAGAACGGAAAGGGAACAGGGTACGAAAAAGCTATATCTCCACAAGTTATCGTTTATAGAAGGAGTCGTGAGGTCTCTCGGTTTCTCTCGCCACAGTAGAGGTCATCGATCCTTCTATGGCGAGTTACTCACAGCCTGCACCAGGTGAAGGCGGACCCTAAAGCAGCAGGCCGAGTCCCCTCTTGGTGAGATTGATAAACGTGGTTGTGTTCCCGCTCGAGTTGAGACATTGATGTGGGCTGGAGAGCACAAGTCCGACCGATACAGCCTTACATTTCGAGCGTCGTTGTGTCAAATCAGAGTGATCTGATCAAGTGGCGGATGGATGCCAGTCGAACAATTAATTAATTGATGAGGAAATCCACGAGACTGAATTATTCGCCAAGCATTGCTGATATCAGCCGGAGACATTCAACCAATCGGAAAAAAACACATCCAAGCCCAGGGGCTCAATGTACCACCTTACATATCCTTCCTGGTTGAACCTCATACAACTTCTGCAGTCTGGCCGAGCTCGCTGTTGTCTATCTTCCGCCTAAATTATATCTCCACATAACATGTTTTGGAGGTGGAGTGGTCATGCAGCACATCTTTCACGGACCCTGAGGGGCACATCCCTGAGAGACACAATGCGCACAGGGGCGACGCCCAAGCGAGCCTCCAGGCATGGCCGAGCAACTTTAGTAGCGATGTCTACCCTGTGTCATGTCACTCTCACAATGGCTACTGGAGGCGAGTACCACTGTTCCAGGCTCTTTCGGTAGGCTGTGTGGGTGTTGAGGCAGACCTCTGGTTAGGGAAAGACGCCACCGATATCTACGTAGGGCACTCGGCGAGGGCACTCCGGACCAGCCGTACCCTTCGGAGCCTCTATATCGACCCGCTCGTCGCGATTCTCACCCACCAGAACTCCCCAACACAACTGAAGGTCGCGAATGAGACAGTGGACATGGTCGGAGTGTTTGACGCTGATCCTGGTGTCTCAATCGTACTCCTCCTCGACTTCAAGACAGATGGGTTAGCCTGTTCGCGAGAAAGGCTGGCTGACCTTTTGGGATGGCCGTGCACAGGGGGTGGTCTCTCGGCCAGTGACAGTGGTCGTGACAGGGAATGCCCCCTTTGACCAGGTGATCGCCAACTCAACATATCGAGATGTCTTCTATGACGCCCCGCTGGAGGATGTTGAGAACGACATGTATAGCGTGCAGAACTCTCACTACGCGAGTGTCTCCTGGCGACGCGCGATCGGCCCTCAGAGACTGGGTGGAGGGGTTAGTCAATTGCAGCTGGCTACGCTCAGAAGACAGACTCATGCTGCCGTGGTAAAGGGGTTGACATCACGTTAGTGGGGCACGCCTAGCTGGCCAGTGTCTCTCCGGAACGACATCTGGAGGCAGTTGATGGCGGAAAAGGTCGGCGTCCTCAACGTGGACGATCTGGTCATGGCCACGCGATGGGACTGGAGCTGGTATCATATTGCCGGGCTTTTTCTGTGCGGATGAAAACCAGTATTGTCATATAACTTTGAGGAGGACTTGACAAAGCTTTGAAGCCATACTTATAGTATGGTTTACCTCTAGGTACTATGTACATGTGCGAAATGTATAACTTGTGCTCTACCATGGAGGCCAGATCCGGTCGCCAGTCGGCCCAAATGTAAGTGGGTCCCACTCCTCTCTTAGCTCCCTTTCTGGGTGGCCTTGCCCTTCTTGGAGCTTTCTTGGGGCGCCGACAGAAGAAGTCTGGCCTAGTATTTGGGTCTGGAGTTCTCTCTCGCGGAGACGGTTTCGCGCTTCCCGAGGGGCGTCCCCAGTCGGCGGGAAGACAATGAAAAGATTTTGAATCCCCCGTAGGATAGCTACCGGCTGAATCATCCGCCGGTAGAAGGCTAACTCCTTGTCCTCAGAGCCTGTATTATAACCATCATCGTGGCGGGCGGTGGCGGTACAGAGGGTGAGGCTCAGGTGAGCAAGTGGTAGGTGTCTCTCGATGAATCGGAGAGTGTCGGTCCAGTTGGCGAGTGACGGCGTGCCGGGACCAAGGTCGTCATCACAGGAGGTGGGAAAGATGACTCGAAGGGAACGGATATGCGGTAAGGCGTCACGCGGGACCGACCGAAGGAAGACTAGGGCTGAGCGATGTTCAAGGTAAGGCGGGATATTCTCCGTCCAGTGGGCTTCAAGCGTCTGGACGGAGAATGTGTTGGAGCGGTAGAAGATCTGGAGGGCCTGAGACCGAAAGCCTTGACTGACCAGGAAGTGGTCTCGAGGCCACTGCCAACATGTACACTGGCCAGATGTGAACGCCGCGTGGAGCGGAGGGCAGCAGCACGCCTCTAAGGTTGCGGTGCACTGCTGGCAGCAGGATGGCCGGGGGGTGCCCTTCCCCTCCTCCCATTCAATAACTGTCGGCGCGAGAAGGCCCGAATGGCGTAGAATCTGCAGCTGGAGCTCATCGGGGAGGCGATCCCAGGGGAAAGGACCTTGGGGTGGCTGGTCTTGGCCCATAGCCTGGTGAACAGTGGTTTGGGCGAGGCGGCGCAGGCTGTGGTCGGGCCGCTGGCCGAGACGGATAGCGCAACTCTTGAGGAGCGGCAAGCTCGACAGCGGTAGGAGAACCCGTTGGGCCGCGGCGTGGTCAAGCGTGTCACAGACTACGCTCAGTCGAAGTCGCCCGGGCGTTAGTCGCGTAGCCAGAGTAAGGACAAGTCTATCCCACTCTTGTGGTAGAGACCACATACTGGGGTTGTCGAAGGAGAAGGCAGCGCCGGTTCCGCATTTGCAGCCAGGGTGACAAAAAAGGCATGGAGAGAGCAGTGGATTGTCCCAGATGCGCTCTTCGAGAGAGCATATGTGGCCCGGCACACAACCGCATGCGGTCAATCCAATGTGAAGGCTAGTCATGACCTCCAGTGCTTTGGGGCTGAGCTATGAGAGGGCTTTGAGACCACCCGGGCCGGCGCGAGAGATCTTGAACTGGTTCTCGCTGTAAAGGATGGTCACCACTTCAACATGGATAGCGCGACACACTGAGAGGAGGCCCCAGGGTAGACGGTCACAGACACAGTCTATCCCGTCTGGTCCAGGGAATGGCGCGTGACCCTGAAACCGCTTAGAGCGAAAGAAACAGCTGTATCCTGCGAGAGCGTCTGCGGTGGATATCACAGCGCCAGGGCCATCGATCGGCGGTCTCCAAGTGTCGATAGCGGTGTCGAGGTGGTCAGCGCACTGTCTCGCGTACTCGACCTTATAAGGACCCTCATGATTGAGATCGATAGGGCAGAACCGAACGAGGCCGGCAAAGACATAGATTTTACGGCGAATCAGAGGTGGTAGGCTAAGTAACGACGCCATATAAGTGGTGATATAACAGAGGAGACGCGGTTGAAGGTGATGTGTCTTACTCGGTTCTCTGGAGACTACTTATAAACTAGATAAGAGAGTGCTAATATTGTGACAGTCTCTGTAAAGGGGATAGAGGGTGACACAACGAAGGAAAGTAGGGCGAGACCTTTATTATGCGAACTGGTGGCGCTCGGTTGCTACGCTCAGTGCCCAGAAAGGGATCCTTTTAAATCGGCCTTTGGTTGACCCTATACGGAACTAATCCTGTGGGACTACGCTACACACACTAATCGTTTCACTTAGCGCCAGGTCTTTCCTGCTCACCTTTATAGACTGTTAGGATAGTGAGTGGGTTTAGCGAGACCTGCGCCCTCTAGAGCGGTCTGGCCTTGCAAGAGACGGGCATGATGTCTGCCTTGCGATGTCGCAGTTGTGACGGCCCTCTGCCGCTGGAGGTTCCACGGCCACTGATCCTCAAAGACCATATATGAAATGGCCCAGCGAGTAGGCGACCAAAATGGCCTCCGAGTGGTGGGGACATGACAGCGGTCCTATATGTCCCAGGCATGGGCACTTACTCTTCCTCCCTCCCTAAAGGGGTACAATCGCCCACGGTGCAACCGAGGTGGCACATGCAGAGATGCGAGCAGCTAGTGTATGGGGTTGGAAAGAAAAACGTGACTGAAGCTTTCGGATCTCCTTCTTTCTCTCTCGGCGCACAGCCTCCTCAGCTGTGGTGGCAGGTTCATCAACCAGGCAACCAGGCACCCAGGCAACTAACAGCTGATGCGGGCTAGCCACTGACAGAGCATGAGTGACAGTCAACATGCCCCTGATTTGCCAGCCAACTAACGAGTACTGCATCTTAAGCGGAGAATGGCACATCCGAATAGAGCAGCACGGGGGATCCGTCAGGGAGCTTCTCACCAGAAGAGCCTGGAAATACTTCTCCAGCGACTGGGGATCACACTGCCAAAAATCCAATGATCCGTGCGTCCCCGAAACGAGACATTCGCATTGCTTACACAGGCCAAGGCTTTGCCTCCAAAGCTTGGATAATGCATGTCTATTCACGAACTTTCTCGGCGTGCGGCAAGCGCTGGAGGGCTGCCTGCTGTCTTAGTTGGGGTGTCAGTCTTGCCTGGTCTCTCCTGCCAATGAACTCGCCACAACACCATTCTTCACTTTTCAGGGGGTTATTCGGAACCGGGCTGTCAGTTGTGCTGTCTGCGAAAGCAGCTGTTCTCGTTTTGCTGACAAGATGGGTCTCTTAACCATAGACAACCACAATGGTGCTCCAGTTCCAGATCCTGAACCGATCGCCATCAAGTCGTTTTGAGTTTAACACGCACTTGCGTCAACACTTCTTTCAAAATTCAAAACTCAACTCAAAACTCCCGTGCAGATCCGAGCTTCTCGGTGGAGACCGTTAGCCTATGCAGCCAGCCAGCGCCTATTGTGTTTGCTGATGGGGCTGCAGAGAGCACATGTCAATTTACGAACGGCTCAAGCCTGAGAATCGGTGGCAGAAACAATGCATGCCTGGTTGGCAAGGGGCTGGTTGACACCGGCCCTGGCATCTCTGCATCGGTTCTGGCGATGGGGCTTGTCTCGCTTGCACGAACTGCCATTTCCACCAAGTTTGACCGGGCTTGAGCGAGAGAGATCTTTGGGCGTTTGTGCAGCTAACGGTTGACTGCATCCATACGGCTCAGCCACGCTCCTCGACCCCAGACGTGTATGTCGAGGATGTCATGGTGTGGGGATGAAGCATCGGGACCCCCCTCCCTCGCTCTTCCCCTCGCCTTCGCCCGGTCAATCTGTTTTCTTTCTCCCGCAGCCTTTGGACTCCAACAGAGGATGGAGACAGAAACTAAATGGCCACAGGTGAATGTGCTTCTACTGGTCAGGTCAAAGCGACTTCCTGATTGGGCTAAGTGAGTCACGTCCTGGCCCCTGTGAACAAGGCGGGGAAGCGACAGATTCACCCCTTCGCAACGGGATCGGCATGCATCATTCCCTTTTCTCTCGGGACAGTACTAAGAGGCATCCGAGACCAGCATGCGGGAAGATCCTGGATTAACAGAGTTTCACGTTGCGAGCTGGCCTCTAGGATCTGGATGATCAGCTAGGTAGCTAGCTCCGCGCACTCGCCTGCTCCTTTGGCATCATAACGCCAACTTCTGAAAGATGTGGAGGTGGATCTCGAAAATCCCGAAAGGGATCGAGGCTCTATGTACGAACAGCAAGCAGCTCGCCGCTAACTTTCCTCCCGGCATCCCCAGTGCACTGACTGTCGACTTCTTGGGTCATTCTTTCAAGGCAGTCTCTGTGCTCTGTCTGCCCAAGTTCTGTCGCATCAGCGTCAAACGCATGGTGGAATGAGGGTCCAGCCAGTGCGTTTGGTGAATACGTACGCTCTCTCTTTGCACTGAGGGCAGACTCAGTTCGGCAGTGAGAAGACGTTCCTGATATTTCTGCCATGCATCTCATTCGCAAAACCTCCCAACCTGTCGATCAGAGGCCAGTGCTCGATCCAGCCCCAAGCGTGTGGGGTCTTCACATCGACCGCGATCGAGTCCATGCCATTTCCAGCGTCTTTCACAATCCCTTGTTCTCGCCTAACGGGGGCCTATTACAGGGCGTCCACCTACTCATGCATGCCCTAATCTGCAATCAACCTCCTCGTATGGCGCTGGCACTCGGAGCTGAACTTGTAATAACCCGTCCTGAGCCGGCCGCTCCACATGCAATATCGGGTTGGACGAGTACCTCTTGGAAGTCACGGGACCGGTGACGGTGCCTGTATTTCTTTCATGCATTAGCGGAATGTGAAGAGCAGCGGAGAGCGCGAATTCTGCGTGCCGCAAAGACCTGGATCGCACGGATGCCTCCTGAAGCCCACTTGCTCACACTAGCTACTCCCACATTCGCTGCTGACCTTTCTCCTTGCGGCAGGCTACTCCTGGTGCGAAAAGCTGTTGAGCTTGGGCTCTTGAATAGCCTTCCCGGGTGCTTTGACCTGAGGAGAGTTTCGCGCAGAGTACAAAACCATGGGCGGCGGGAAGAGGGGGGGGAGCTTGTAAAGGGTCCAATGGGATACTGCAGGTATCACGACACTTGCCGATCAGAAAGTGGCTACAAGAACGCACGGACAGAGACGCACCAGGGAACAACCGGCACACACTATAGATCCAAGTAATGGGCCTTTCGCTGGCCAGGTCGTCTGCCTCATGTCCTCGTCAGTAGCGCCATCCTGGGGATCCGCTAACACGCACGTCCCTGGGACTCTCATTCGACACCACTCGTTTATCGTCCGCTTCTGTCGTGTCCCGATGCATGTCGTCGGCGGGTTTTTGGATGAATTGGTTTCGTATCTCATGTGACCGAATCGGAGAAGAGCAAGAGAGAGACGCGAGCGTGGTGGAGGAGGAGTGGACGTTTTGGGATCATCGCCCGGCACATCAGAATCCAACCCAGGCAGGATTCTCTCTTCATCCTCAGAGGATATTGGGAGCATATTCGATGCGAGGGGGCGGGCAAACTCCGGTGACGAGGAACTTCCTGGCGTCGAGGGGAAAGATATATCAAGGTCGTCCAATCCCTCCCTCCTGGACCTGTCTCCCTCCCTCGCCAGCTCATGAACAGTCTGATTCTGTGAGCGTCCATCTCTGATCAAGTCAATATTGTGCTCTCCCACATCCCACATACACATAGTTTCCGTTCCCCTCCCTGGTCTTTGCAAGCAAGTTTAAGGGCAGAAACGTTCGTCATTCTCTCATACCACCCCCTTTCCAACGCAGAGCCTTCAAAGCCTTGTTGCTAGCCTGTCACCCCATCATGGATCCCAGGTTGAGACTTGCAGCCCTCCTCAACCACGAGACCGAGTGTGTTCCCTATGACAATGAAGAAAAACACCTTTGCGGTGTCCACGACGGCCGCGCGGCCGGGCGCAGCTCGGTCATGAGCCTCTCCCACGTCTTGAGTGCTGCCGACAAGCTGCTGGGTCCGGGACCAACACCAGCAGGAGCAGGGTCAGAACCAGAACCACCAGTGAAATACGATGACGAAAACGTGCCGGCCGGCCCGCGTTGCCACGCGTACACGGAGGAGCACGGGTACTTCGTCTGGTACCACCGCGTGGACCTGGAGGAGGACTGGCGGGACGTAGGGTTCGAGTTCCGCGCGCGTTTTGGCGAAGGCCGTGCGCTCATGGCCCTGCAGAGCCTGTACTACAGCTTCTCCCGCAAGAAGGGCGTCGAGTGCCGCGTCGGCACGCACGTCCCCGGCGTCATGGAGTGTACGGACAAGCGCTACTCCTGGATGCTGCCGGAGCATCGTCGACGACCACGCCGGCATTGATTGATGCCCTGCACGACACGGCACGTCACCCACCATGAATACTTCGAGGCGGCGGGGCGGCGCTTTTTGGATCAGTGGGCGGACGATGTGGTGGTGTCTTTCTGTCCTTTCCTTGGTGGTGGTGACAACGTCGCTTTGGATTCCCATGTGCTCGTTGCCCGTGAGTTCAGGGAGGGTGTATGGCTGTCTCGAAAATGGTTCTTTTATGTCTTTCCAACCCGCTCTGGGCTTCAACTCAGCTTCAGAGCGGTGTGACAGTTGAATATGAGGTGTGTTGGGGGTGTTGGGGTGGGAGGTTTCGGTGGTAATGAATGACAACATGGAAAAGTCTAATACAGAAAATATTTCTCAAATGTTTTTGGTGTCTTTCAATCAGCTCCCTCTCTCTCTGTGTGTATGTGTGTCTATCTCTCTCATCGTAGCACCGCCACCGTCCCGAGCGGCAGCGTGGTCGAGGCAATTTTGTGTCCACTCATGATTACAGCCGTGGGCGGGAGAGCAGCCGTATACGCAGGCAATGGAGAACACTAGAGAACACTTACCCACCCTCTCCTAGGAGGGGTCGAGGTTCAGACTCATCAACATATCAGATCTCACTGGCCCGTGAATCTTTGTCCCCCCTTTTTCGTCGGCGACAACTGCACCCCGGTGGAGAGGAACACGCCCCATCCTACACCGATAGCCAGGCACCGACATTCATCGTCAGCGTAGTCGGAATGCTCCTGTTCTTGATGCAGTTCTTGATCTCACTCCTCTCCCTCGAATTATTCCAATCGACTGCCAGAAATTGCATCCGGAGAAGGGTATCGGGGGTGTTGCCGCGGTGGAATGTTCACTTTGCGGTTGTCAAGCTTGACCAAGTGGCCAGGACACTGCATGTTGCGGACTAATTCGCAGAGGTGGGCCGCCGTGATTTGGACTTTGGTGAGGTGCTCGTGCAGGTCGTTGATCTTTTCAGTCACTGCTCTGTCCGGTGTCAGAGACGCAAGGGAGAGACAGAGCCCTGGAAAGTCCGCATTTGGGAAACCACCGTTGTCGCGAAAAACCTGGATTATGGGGTAGCCTTTAACGACAGAAACCATCCGTCTCACTAACCTCTTCATTCACCAGCTGCTCGACGACCAGATTCACCGTATCACCCGTCCAGAGAGTGCCCTTTGCATGCCAGACTGAGGCTGTGGCCTTTCCCCCCGCTGGGTATGAAAAGTTGAAGCCAACAACGCACTGAATTCCTCCCTTCGAACCTAAAATATACTCTTCGGCAAAGTATCGGAAGGCCTTCTCCTCGTTGTAAGTGTGCCACCTCGAAAATGATGTCTGGGAACTGGGGTTGATCCTCGTCTGGACGATGCTACAAAGAATTATAGGGGTCCTTGTCGAATTCGAGAGGTGGGGAGGTGGACGTCTTTGGAGCTTGTGTGGTGTCTGGAATATCCTTCTCGGCCTTCCACGTGGGGTATGCGAGGAAAGACAGCTTTTGTGTATAAAATCCAGTGATTATAACCTATTTCATGGATCCCTGGACGATTGGATCCCGGGGGGCACTTAGTCGCGTAAGATTTCGCATACAACCAGCTGGCTGAAGGACGCATGACCAAGAGTTTCGCGACCCAGTGCGAAATCTTGTTCAAGCAAGGTATAAAACTACCTAAAGTCGAAGGTTAGTTTCAAGTGCACTCAGCGACCAGATTCCGAAACTTACTTGAGGGAGTTGAAAGTCTCGTCTTCCGAGGGAAATTCCACGAGTCTGGGGTAATGCAAAGGGCTCAATTTGGTTGAAGCGCATCCAGTTGTATGACTCGACAGAACACGAAGGTAAAAATTCTCGGACACGACGCAGTGCAGACTCGAATTTTTGATCGTGGTCAACGAGAGAGGAGGACGCAGCCGTACCTACCACGGGAGGTGTCTTCGAAGTGGCGCGACTCTGCGATGGCCACAGGCGTGCTCTGCGCTAGCAACATTGCAAATTGGTTCATGCTGGCGAGGTCCCTGTGACGGCAATGTCATCGTATCGTCCTCGTGCGGACAATCCTTCATGGCCATGAGCGATACTTCGTGTGAGGAAAGATGACATGATTCAGGCAAGGGTGAAGAAGAACTATTGAAAGGGAAGACAGCAACGTCAAAAACAGGCCGCCTTTGAGGTTGCTTGCTCCGGCCGAGCACAAAGTATTGTCGCTGCTTTGTTGCTCTCACGTGCTACGAAGCTTGTCTTGGCTTTAGAGCAGTTGTCCTGTCTTTGCATGGGGATACCAACTAGGAGAGCTGCAAAAAGATGACTTCTATTTTGTACAACCCCAGAGGAAGTGTCTGTCCAGGTCGTTTCTGGCTTCTCGCTTATCGACGGAATGATGCCCCAGACGCCACATCCGCATCTTGCCAGTACACTATTATTATGTTCGCTCCACTTCGGTCCTCCACATTGTCGCGTCTGACATGGAACCGGAGCGGCCACACCGATTCCTGCCGCTTATGGGCTCTGGGCCACAGATCTGTCCATCCCGAGAATTGGAGCAGGGGCCATCAGTTTTATCCTCTCGAAAACAATCCTCAGGGTGAGATCTTTCGAGGAGTGTGCTATTATCGAACGCCTTCTGGGCCTCTTCGGGAGTGACTCTTCAGTCGCAACAGCTATTTCCCGCTTCTGGAATCCTTGTGTGCTTCAGTCAAAGACATTGCCTGGCGGCGACTCCTCCAAAAATACGAACCAAACAATGGCGCGCTGGAGAAGAGGCGGTGATAAATCACATTCAGCAGAATCTCTCGACTATGTACTCACAGCCACCTCATTGTTTCCGATCTCGACCTGCATCAGCGAAAGTGTTATCCAGCGCCTTCTGTGTAGGCATAATTAGTCTCCTCCTTTTGCCATCTTCAAGTGAGTGGCGTGAGTACGCATCAGACTGCACATTGTGTAGGTCTGATGCTGCTTGCCGGGACGTCGCAGAATCATCGTTCAACTGGATGGCTGAGGCAGTAACGGGAACATCGACCCGATCTCGCACTCCCCTACGCCTGGTTGTTTGTGCGCGTCGTGGTCGCCGCTCTCGAGGATCGGGTGGTAGGATCGTCCCCCTTTTCAGACGTACAGATTGAGGTTTGGGTAGAACCTCCAGTTCCTGCTTCTGGGCATTTGCCGCTTCCCTGTTGCGGACCACCGTCTTCCGATAGGCATCCAATGCCTCACAAAGTGTTCGTAGCCGGGCATCAGCACCGTGGTCGAGGATGTTCTTAATCGCTCGAGAAACCGCTCGTATCCCATTCACGTCGCCTAAGAGATGTTGTGACAATCCTTCAACATGAAAGCTGTGTTGTCCTCCTTCTTCTCCTTTAGCCGGCGCTCTGAGCCAATGCACGTTCACACAGGCAAGTTGATGGTCCATGGTGAGGGAGAAATATTGTGGTTCATTATAATCGAATTTTCCCATTCTGAAGCTGCGCTGTGTCAGATCTATATGGCCGTTTAAGGTGATAGCTCCAGCACTGGCGGTTTGGTTTGTTGCGACATAATGAGTCCCATTTTCAGCTTGTGATTTGAACTCGATCTCTAGAAAGGGAAATCGGATCTTCTGATCGGGGGTAGTATAGCTTCGGCCAAACTGGTCGTCGATGAGAAGATCAATAGTCCCGAGTTGGTCGCGGGTGAAGGCTGTTTCGGAATATCCAAATGCTAAATCGGGCTTCGGTTTAGGCAAAGGGAGTGGGTTAGTTAGGATAGAGACGTCGAGCGGGACAGGGACGGAATTGAACCACAGCTGTTTGGTGTTCGATGCTAATCTTGAATCGGGAATCTTATTTATAGCAGGAATAATACCTGGCGCTAATTGCTGGATGATAATATCTTTACTCTCGTTCTGTACTCTTCGCGATGTCGCTATCAACCCTTGAGCGGCAGCGTCGTCTATTTCCGGAGATGATCGTGAACGGGATATTATTCTTTTTGCTCGCTGCATTAGCTGTGCCGGAGGATCATTGCGATTGATATAAATATTTCGGTAACCCAAGCACTGCCGGTAATCTGTGTCAGTAACACTTGCAGCGGATTTCTCAGACTTTTTGGACGTGGATACTGTGCTTTCCAAACTATTATCTGGAGACGGAAGGACAGAGGCAGCTTTATGGGCGGGCATATTGACCAATGCCTCAAGAAGTTGTAGCTCGTTTTCTGTCGAGGTTCTGCGAGACCAGCAGGATTTGTCCAACCAATTCTCAATGAAGTCTTCCTTGTCAGGTCCGGTTCTCGTCGTAGTGTATTGCACTGGCCCGTGTCTCGGACGCTTTTTGTCGTGGTTTGATTCGTCTCCGTCTCTGGTTTCCATACAACGTCGCCGTTTAGCTGCCAGAATTAGCAACATAATTCGCCAAAGTAATGACGGCGACTGACTGCTCTTTAGGGTCCCTAGTTCCGCAGGTGAAGGCGTAGATTGGCCTTTGTCCTTCTCTTTGCAATGATGGTATTGCTTCACTGCTGGCCTCTGTGATGACCGCGCCTGTCCTCCTCTTGCGGCTCGCTGCTGGTTCGCAGCTTGTTTCTCCTGTCGTTGCGGGCTGTTGCGGGAGGTCTTGGGGCTCACTCTCACGTTCTGCTGGCGGTGCTGATTGCCTGCAATGCAGTCAGTTGACATTGGTAACAACGCAATGAAAGAGTTTGGAGGGCATGGGACTGACAGTTTTGTATTCTTCGGCTCCTCCGCTGGCGCTCGGTTGCGTCTTCGTCCTCGTCTTCGTCCTGCGCAGAACGGTGCCTTTCCCTATGGTCATTCAGTTAGGTTGAATTCCAACTCATGAACGGTGTTTCCCACGTCTGGAACCGATCGGATCGGGCTTGACATGCTGAAGGCCAGGTTTGTCGTGGCCCTTTCGAGCTCCGCTTGTGTCTCGCTCTGCAACACTCCCTGCCATATCGACTGGCAATGATTGATACGTAAGACCGGCCTACTATCTATAGCCCACGCATGGAGCAGGAAGCTGAAGAGGCAGGCGTCGCAGAAGGAGGCTGCAGCAGGCCTTTGAGAGTTGCGCTTTAGCCGCCGGGAGGCCGTAGCCCACTGGTGGTTTGGCCGCACGTATGGCCTGGTGCATTGAAACTGCCCATTTTTGGTCGCAGCACTTGATTTCCTCTGCAACAGACAAAGCAACAATCCTGCTTTGTAGGCTCTGCTTATTATATGAAACAGTGAATTCGACGAAGGCTACAGAAAAGAAGCCAGGAGCCTCCCGACGACTCGAAACCAGGGAACAAATTCCGCTCTCTGCGATCACAACTCGGCTGACCTTCCTTCCTCTCTCGGGGAAGCGATTCTGAAAGCGCCTTCGTACAACGGCGGACTCGGTTAATGCTCGGTAGGAACTAACCACACCAAAGTTGTATGGGAATCAATTCTTCATGACATCGATCTATTCTTGCGTTATCCTTAAACCTACCGCCGCCTGTTTTGTCTAGCCACCCTTGGGATTCATTTCAGCTGAGGTAGGAAGCCTTGTTGCTTCGATTTCACTGGCATAGTAGTCTGTCTACGGACTCGCTTGCCACTGCCACTGCCAACGGCAGGAGGCGCCATCAATGGCGGTAGATTCTCCACCAATTCAGGAGAGTCCTCAGGCGAAGGACTGCGGCGCGACCGTGGCTGATCTGGCGTTCGCAGTGCTAGTTGTGTTGGCCCAGTCGATCTCGATGGCGGAGGGCTCTCTGGTACATCTTCCACCTCTTCCTGGCTAGTATCTTCTGTGAGGATCGGAAGCTTTCTATGTCTCTGTGCTGCCTGAGCCATCGGATTGGCACTCAAGCGAAAGGTGTGCATGCATGCATGCGCTCTGAGGTCTCTCAGTTGGTCCTTCAACTGGGCGCTCTGTCGGAGGCTTTCGGCGTCACGTCCGAAGCCACCGAATCAAGCAGGACGTCGGCTTTGTATTGGCCACACAATTCGGCTTAGGAACAGGCGAGTTCGACTTTGGCACTTGAAGAAAGCAATGGCTGAGCAAAATATCATAGTGTATTCTTTGTCATTGATCCATGACTATAGATCTAATTCATCTATCCCTGAATCCTGTGGGCCCGAAAGACTGTCTTGCACCGAGTGACCACGTTTAAATTGCATTTGAGATCCAGGAGTGATTTCCGTTCTGTGTCCCATTGAGTATTCCATTCGTTCCATTCGTTGCATTCGTTCCATTCGTTCCATTCATTCCGTTTATTCCATTCACCGTCTTCAGTGGATGCCCGTCGGACAAACTCTTGACTGGAATCTTCTTGGCCTCGGCAAACTCTTTGCGGAAGATGGCCTCCATCTCCCTTCGGATTGCCACAACCTGCGATGTCTCCGAGTATTCAACATCATCCCAGCTGAGGCTCTGGTCCTTGCTAATGTTTCTCTTGAGCTTTAAGCCATGAGCGAGACCGATAGGTAAGCCACCAATGGCTAGGGATGCCTCGGCGGGCATCAGCTTGCCAACGACAGTGTAGCCGCCTTCTCCGTCAAGCATTTCGCCCACCTTAAGGTCGCGCTTTGCCGTGGCGACAACATCACCTGCAAATGTCTTGGTCTGTCCCGTGGGTTCTCCACGGCACATGATGCTAGCTGCCGAGTATCCAACTTCGAGACCGATCAAGTGGAAGGGTTTGTACTGTGTTGCATATCGTCCAGAGGGATCGGTCTCCAGACCGTATTGTCGGAAACATTCCCTTTGATAATCGCTAGGGGCTATCGAGAGTTATTAGCATATAGGCCTCACCTGTCTGAGATTTCTCACAGACACCAAGGCGAGCGAAACTGGTCGAGGCTTACCTTCAAGAACAACATAGACACCAAATCGGGCCTCCTTGAATACGTCTCTTCCGTTGCTCTCCAACGACGACACCACATCGACCATGCCACTCATCTCACTAAATCCACCTGCGGAAGCCGGCTTCAAGATTTTTGCCATGTCGTGATATCCACATGGTGTAAAGCTGAGCCCATTGGTAGGACACCGGAGACCAGTACCGTTTGCCACAGCGGCCATTTCTAGGCACGATTTGGTTCCATCGAGGAATGAATTGAATATTTGAGGGTTGAGATTGTCCACTGCAACCTGTTCAGGGGTGAAGCCGTATAAATCCCAGACTGTATCCGGGGTAGAGTACTTGTACTCTGGGAGATATTTGGTGCCTTTGCCGGCACACACGACTTTAAACCCACAAGTTCGGGCCCAGTCGACTAGTTCTGAGATCAAAGCTGGTTGGTCGCCATATGCCATGGAGTAGATGATGCCCGCCTCTTTTGCTTTTCGAGCCAGCAGTGGGCCGGCCAGGACATCTGCCTCGACATTGATCATGACAATGTGTTTTTTATGCTCACAGCACAGCAGCGCATGGCGGACGCCGGCGGCTGGATTTCCAGTGATTTCCAGAATGACATCGATATCTGGATGAGCGATGAGGGCCGCAGAATCAGTCATGGCAATAGCCTTGCCTGCCTTGATTCCCTCAGTCAAAGTCATGGTCCCGGTCATATCGATTCGGCTCTCGGGGTAGTTTGTTCTCCGGAAGGCATCATAAATACGAGCAGTGTTGAGGTCGCAAACACCAGCAAGACGGATTCCCGTGGTAAGATGGGCTTGAGCAATGCTTTGAGTCACCCAGATGTTAGCTGAAATGTCATGCAACAGCCTGAAATTGCCATTATCTGCTTTTGAGACCTCTCTCTCGTTGTCAAGCAGGCGGCAAGGCAAAGACTCACAACATGGACCCGAACTTTCCTGCTCCAATAACACCGATCTGAATGGGACGGCCAGCGGCCTCCCTCTCGGCCAGCTTCTCTGAAAGATTGCTCATTTTTGGAGAGATTGATGTGTTGGGTTTTGGGAGGACGGTTGGGCAGGCTGACTTGGATGAAGTGTCCAGAGGCCGGAAACCGAGTCCTAAGTAAATAAATGTCGATTTGGAGACGGGAGTCTTCGCCCCGCGACTTAATGGCCTCGGCATTATCGCGCGAGCGAGCGGCTGATCAGGAATTCGCGATGCGCGAGCATTATCGTCGAGGATCCATTGATGGGAAAAACGATCGACTGCGTGGTTGTTTTGTCCTGGTGTGGAAGTTCTTCCGGTTGAGGCGTTGGCAGGGCAAGGAATACCTTCTGGATTAGGTGACGGCGGAGAAGCGAGAAGGAATTCCATCTCCACGCATTCATTGGGGTTGTGGGGAGCCCGGGGAGAATCCCTCGAATGCGGGTCGTTTCAGAGGAGAATGTAGGGAGTGAGATACGGAACAACTTCTGCAAATGGAACGGCGGAATCCTGCCATCAGCCATGACTTGTTTGGACGTGCAATCGCTGTCCGAGTGGAGCGGTGGCAATGCGCATCACTTGCTCTTTGATCGATGTGGTTTTGGGTCTGGAATATAATTTTTCTCTGATCGCAGACAGAACGAGACTTGTTCATTTCCCTGCAACAGTCAAACACCACTCGAATCTACTTTTTCAAATACGCAGAATACAAGGAACAGACACACTCAATAGAATCAAAATGGCACCAGTTTACCATATAGGTTCGTTCGATTACTCTCATAGCGAGGTATCAGTATCCTGACATTTGCAGTTCTTTTCAAACTCAAGCCCAATGTCAAGGAATCCGAGATTGACGAGCTCAAGGAGGCGCTCACAGGCATGGTGGGAAAGGTTCCAGGGTTGATCAGAGCCGACATTGCTCCACCACACATCAGCACAGCCCATCGTTCTCAGGGCTTCAACATGGGGCTGGTGGCTGTTCTAGATGGGCCAGAGACGATAAAGACGTATGGCGAGCACCCGGAGCATCAAAAGTAAGTTCTGTATCGCTTGCAAAGTTCCAGTTTTGCTGAGCCGTGTCATAAAGGGTTCACAAAATACGCGAGGCTCTGTGTGATGATACTTTGGCCTATGACCTTGAGTATAATGTATAGGTAGCGACCTTTAAAATCATGAAATAAACAAACCATTCTATCTGGATCCTGTTGGTGCTTCATAAAATGGTAGCTTGAGCCAAGCTTAATCTTTAAATGGCAGATATCTCTAAGACGACACCGCTACGATAGACAGAATACCGTCCATGGATAGTTTGTACAAGTAGAATCTCCATCCGCACCAAAAACAACCGTACCAAATCAAGGCCTTTTAGTCGACTGAGAACACATGGGTCAAATTTGTATCATAAATGGACTTCTATCTTCTTCAAACCAAGAAGCTCAGTTGACTACCTGCCTCGCTGCCTAGCTACTTATCGATATTTTCTGTCTTAGATCCATTGGTACCAAGTACTTTACTTCTCTCCATAACCAGAGTCGAAAGGGTTAGAATGACCCCGAGTAAAGAAATCAATAAGCCCACACCCTTGGGTGACCATTGGCATCGGCAACATTGTTCTTGTTCATTCGACCGTACCAAAATCGCAGGACCAGAGCGCAGGCCGCCACCATGAAGCTGCACGCAGCGCACGTAAAGTTACCGGTAGGATAGCCTCGGTCAACTTCGCTGGGTATCCAGATCCACTGAGCGATGATCTGACCAATTCCAGCAGCCGAGTTGTTCAAAGCCGTAGCAACCGCAATGGAGGCGATTCCAGGAGAGTTTCCAGAAACCCAGGCACTCAGCGGCGGGACACACGGGAAGGCTCCAGCAGATGCAAGCACAAGACAACCATATCGAGCGGTGTAGGCGTGGACTGGGAGGCAGCCAGAGATCAACCAGCCAAGACCGCCCAAGATTGACCCAAAGGCAATGTGATAACCTCGAGCATTGAGACGATCTGCCGAGAAGGAGTAGATCAATGCAAAGAGATATCCAACTACCCAAGGTGGAATTGTCAACAATTGTGCTTCCAGTGACTTGTAGCCCAAGCCAGTGATGATGGTTGCGGTGTAGAATGTGAAGGAGGCCAGAGGAACCGTGTTGATCAACTGCGAAAGGACTTGTCAATTCCAATGGTTCATTCGCGGTGACAACTGGGGTATACTTACGTAGATGCCATAATGAAGCAGCATCCGGGGTGAGAAACAGGTTTCCAATGTTTCCTTTCGAGTAGCAGGCGCCCTGGAATAACTTGCTCCCTCCTCTCCGAGTCTATCGTCATAAGCCTTCTTCTCTTCCGGCGAGAGCCACTTGGCGATGGATGGATAGTCGGGCAGGCAGAAGAGAAGGGCAAATGAAAGGACGACGGTAATGACACCCTCAATGATGAAGAGCCACCGGAACCCCTGCAGTCCACCGTCTCCATTGAGATGTCCAACGCCATAGGCAATGACACCGCCAAAGGCACCGGCAAGATTGGCATGGGCTGCGACGAAGGCGATTCGCAGTCCACGTTCCTCGATACGGTACCAGAAGGTAGTGAAGTAGACAATGCCTGTCATAACATATGTGTAAGTAGGCATGGTTTAAATATAATGTCCCAGTAGTCTTACCTGGAAAGAAGCCGGCTTCAAAGATGCCAATGAGGAATCGAAGAACCACAACTTGCGGATAGGTCTTGACACCAGCAAATCCAAGAGTCGTTGCACCCCAGCAGAAAAGGAGGATTCCCAGCCAGAGCGAAGGGCGAACATAACGTTTGATGATCCAGTTGGATGGCACTTCAAACAGAGTATAGGCGACGGAGAACAGGCTGACCGTGACGGCATAACCTGTTGCGGTCATTCCGGTTTGAGACAAAAGGTCATCTTTGGTCTCCTTGTTGAGGACTTTGGCATTGCCAACATTGCCTCGGTCGAGATAGTTGAGCAGGTACATGAAAGATAGCAATGGGACAATCCTCAAGTCAGCTTTTCGGACCAACTTTTTCAAGTTGATGCCCGAAGGGTTTGCCGACTCGAGGCTCCCATCCGCAGGGTCAATGACAGCGTTGCCCATTTGACGTTTCTTGAACTTGTCAGTGTGATGGACCAAGAAACAATGTCATTTTCCAGCTTACCTCTTCTTCATGTATGGCAACCACATCCGACATGTCTCCAGAGTGGTTGTGCTCGCTCTTCATCATCTTGTCAAAAATTGTGGGAAGGTCGAGAGGAAAGTGAAAGGGCAGGAAGTGATGGTGTTCAGGAAATTGTGGCAACTCGTCCAACGAGCAGAGCTTTATACCCAATTCCTCCCCCAAGACACGGAGGAGAGGACAATTGACAGCCCGCAAGACAGGCGGGACATTGGACAAGAGCGAAATCTGGGGTGTGGGGATTTTTTTCGCCCCGGACCGGTCAAATCGGCTAGTGAGCGAACATTTTGGGGGGGTGGGTGTCGACGAGCGAATGGGAGACGAAGTATGGACAGCAGGGGCCGCGTATATTACCATTTCTGTCCGGACTGGACGTCGGTCGAGTCCCGCGCCACATGGACTTCCAAGTCACATTGGACGGGCAAAGTCCAGACCATGCAGAGGCTCAGCTCGGTCCACAGTCTTGCCACATCCCAAGCGACAAAGACAGGATTCATGCTGTCCAAACAAGGAAATATAATGGGATATACCAGCTTCTACATCACCAAACGTATAAAGTAAGACCACTCCAAATACTGATGTCAAGTGGTTGGAGCATTTGCAGTCAAAGTGGAAGACGAGACCTCCAATGGCCGGGCTGGAACAGCTGTTGACCGCCCCTAACGGCGGGCGAATTCCCCTGAATACCGGTCTCTTTATCAATAATCAGTTTGTCAAGGGTAGTTCTTCAGGAAAGTTAGCGTGTCTGGATCCCGCGTAAGCCACCCTGTCTTTATTTTCCCATTCTTCTGGGCCTCTGGTTCCCAAACTTGTTGTATCGAGTATGATCTGACCATGTTCCTATAGCACAGACCAGACCATCGTTGAAGTCGAGATTGCTACAGCAGAGGATGTCGACATTGCTGTCAAGGCAGCCCGTGCAGCGTTCAACGATCCATCATGGCGTGACATGATTCCTGAGGATAGGGCAAAACTCATGCTCAAGCTAGCGGACCTCGTTGACCAACACAAAGAAGAGCTATATTGCCTACAGGCATGGGAAATTGGCAAACCATACGCCTCATCCATGGCGATCGAATGGCCGCTGCTGACTGCATGCCTGCGATACTACGCCGGGTGGGCAGATAAACTCAACGGTGTCACGATTCCAATCAACTCCAATAAGTTTGGTTATACTATTAAACAGCCCGTTGGAGTGTGCGCTGCCATCGCCCCATGGAACTTCCCCTTGGTCAATTGCTCATGGAAGCTGGGCCCAGCATTAGCTACGGGTTGCTGCATCATTGTCAAGCCATCGGAGTATTCTCCTTTGTCTGCCTTGTACCTCGCAAAACTTGTTCTCAAGGCTGGGTATCCGCCTGGCGTTGTCCAAGTTCTCAATGGCTATGGCAAGGATACCGGTGATGCCCTCGCACGGCATTTGGATGTGGACAAGATTGCCTTTACCGGATCAACCGCCACGGGCAAGCAAATCATCAAATCGGCGGCGATCAACATGAAAAAGACCACCATTGAGGCCGGCGGGAAATCAGCACTCATCGTCTTTGATGATGCAGACCTGGAACAGGCGGCAAAATGGGCCATGGCCGGAGGTATGGGCAATGCTGGTCAGATATGTTCTGCCAATTCTCGTATTCTGGTGCAACATGGCGCAGAAGAAAAGTTTGTCAAGATCATGACCGACCTCATCAAACAGTCCAAGGTTGGTATGCCCTTTGAAAATGGGACGACTCAAGGACCACAAGCATCCAAGATGCAGTACAACAAGGTCCTGGATTACATGTCTCAAGCAAAAGCTGAGGGGGCAAAATTGGTCGTTGGCGGCGGTCCTCTGGAAGGTTTGGGCAAGGGTTATTTTATCCAGCCCACCATCTATACCGGTGTTACAAGTGGGATGAAGATATTTCAGGAGGAGGTGTTTGGTCCGGTTCTGTCCATCACGTCGTTCAAGACTGAAGAGGAAGCTCTGGCACTGGCTAACGATTCATCATACGGCCTGGCAGGTATGGTCTTTACCAAGAATATCAAGACAGCCATGCGAACGGCATCTCGGCTACAGACCGGTATGGTGTGGATTAATGAGAGTAATCATTATGATGTCAAGATGCCATTCGGCGGCGTCAAGGAGAGCGGGCTAGGGAGAGAGCTTGGGGCTACCACGTTGGAGGCATATCTGGAAGAAAAGGTGGTTCACGTCAACCTTGGGCTGGAATTGTAGATAGAACGATAGACCACGATCCATGTTCTGGTTGTATGAAAGATAAAGTAGATCGGAGTTTTCGTCTTGGTCGAATTACGATATGAAAGATCATTTTCGGCTTTCAATCCTCTTGCTGAATTGTGGTATGATGGAGATGAGCATTGCTCTATGGCAGATAAAAAGTCGCCACAATAATCAGCATTGATACTTGGTGGCACCCAAGGCTGGTACGTACTTACCTACACAATATTTTGTGACCTACTTAGGTATAGATCTTCCCAAGTTCAAATCCTTCGGATGGCCGGAAGACAAGCCAAATTCAGACTCTGGGACAGCCCCAGAAGGAGTCGCCTATTTTGCCGCCTTCGGCTTGAATGGCTTTCATCCAGGAACGCGCAAAGTCCGCCAAGCTTACTGTTCTCGGAACAGACCTTGTCGAAGCCATTCCTATTTATTTAAAGCCAATTGATCAAAGGTTGGCTTCTATGGACGGTAAGAACGTCGGTAGCCCTACACAACACAAACAAACGTCAGCCCTGCAACACCTGTCTCACACCAAAATGGGAGAAGTTCATATCATCGCTATCTTCACCCCGAAGCCGGGCAAAGTTGATAGGGTGGGTCGCTCAGCCGCTCTGGTCGATGCCGCTGGACTCTAACATGTCAATAGCTGAGCGAACTGCTTGCAGCCCAGGTCGCCGAAGTGCATGCCAAAGAAGATTATTGTCTTCGATTTATTGTCACAAAGCAGATCAATGAAGAAACACCCGACTTTGTGCTATTCGAAACGTAGGACTCTCCTGCAACTCGGAGTCCCACAAGGATTGGTACTAATGTCTGACTCTAGATACAAATCCGAGGCGTCGATAGATCAACACTTGAAGGAACCCCACTTTCTCCAAATGTCCAAAACTCTTGGGGCGGAAGATGTATTGACCAAGAAGCCTTATGTAGCAAAGACCATAACAACGGGAGGGTTCGACTTGGACATGAAACTAATGTAGATCTAGACCTTGAGAATCCGAATTCCGGGGTAGGAGACATAGCTAAAGGATTTAGTGGTCCAAAGCACTGGGGAAGAACATATGAGAACTTCGGAGCCTCCACACGGTGCAAACGGAAGACTTTCCTATTTTGTGATCAGGACTAATTCGGAAATGCTAATAAACTTTAGCCCCAAGGGTTTCTTCGCCATGCCAGATATGTACTAGTTTTGTTCCCGCGGTACGAGGCTGGGACTTCACATGGTACTTCACCGAGACAAGCCCGTACTTGCTTTCCCTATCGCGACTTTAACCTCCCATTTCTTCCGCATTGTACGGCGAATCTGATGTGATCATTTCCAGTGGACATCCTTCCGAGGCTCAGATAAAGAGGTTTAAAACCTAGGATGTTCAGGACACCACTGGGTCTGGCATTTTCACAAAAACCGCAGGTTATAACTTGGTCATCTCAAGCACTTGCTCGACCGACGAAACATCTCCAGCAGAGACATCCCATCAACATCTCAAGATTCAACACATCGACAATCTCGTCTCAAAGTCTCAATACAAACACGAAAATGGCTGCCCAACCCGAGAAAGCCTTCGTCTTCGATAACGGATGCCGCATCTCACACGGCCAAGCGCATATCAAGAAACCATTCACCGACGTTGACTTGACAATGCACGAGCTGTGCTATCAGAGCACAAAAAAGTTCTCTGGTCAGCTCGGCTTCATTGAATTCAACACTGGACTGCGCCTACCGCGTCACATCCACATGGACTTGTCCAAGCAAAAATTGCTGGATGAACGAATCATGGTGCTTCACGGGGTGGGATTGGTGGAGATTTGCGGTACGCCATACGTTGTTGGGCCCGGCTCTCTAGTAGACATTCCTGGTGGAGTGCCACATACATGGACCGCCTGTGCGCCGGGTGTGAAATTGCCAGATGGCTCGGTCTCGCCGGGGTCCTTTACCATGGTTTATGAATACGAGGATCCAACCCAGTTCTTCCCAACGGCATCGACCAAAGTTGCGAAGAACCCTTCAGATTATGTTCCTTTCGAGGGCTCCTATGATGAGATTCGTATGCCGATATTGACCGCAGAAGAAGTTGTTGATAGATGTACCATCGTTTTTGACAAAAAGCTCTCCAAGCTTGAATTGGCATAGGGGAGAATTCATTGAAAGGGCGGCAAATCAAACATAAAAAAAAATCACTTAAGAATGAAACACAATTAATGCAAACCGCGTTGAAAACCAGACGTTTTGTTGATACATTTATGGCTTGAAAAACTTTTCTATCTTTCACGATCTCGCCAATCTATAACTTGGACACCAGCCTCTGCGTCGGGGTCGACAGTGAATCATAGACTGTCAAACTCAGACTGTCAAGTGGTGTATGGTTGGTATGCGACAGTAAACTCCGTGTGTTGACCAATCCCGGGTGCAAGTCTTCGATCTTGTTGCACCCGATCAGACGCATGTCCATTTCCATTTCATCTTTGAGCAGTTGAATCGCCCATTCCACACCCTCTTGGCCATATGCACTCATTGCATACAAGAAGGGACGTCCGATGCCAACTCCTTTGGCACCGAGGCATAGAGCTTTGACGATATCCGTGCCGCGGCGGATCCCACCATCAACGAACACGTCAATCTTCTTGTCGAGCCCCAGTTCGCGCAACACGGGCATCGTTTCGGCCAGCACCTCGATCGCAGATGGTGCAAAGTCGAGTTGCCGACCACCGTGATTCGAGAGCAATACACCTTGGACGCCGGCGTCAACAGCACGGATAACATCTTCAACACGCTGTATTCCTTTGAGAACAATAGGCATCCTGGTGATGCTCTGGAACCAAGGGATATCCGCCCAACTGAGACTAGGGTCGATGAAGGAGGTGATGGCTCTGGCGGCACCTTGGCTGGTGTTTGTTTTTTGCCCATTCAGAATGTCGGTGCTCACATCAACATGCTTGCTGCGCATATCCTTTTCCCGTCTCCCCAGCTGCGGTGCATCGACAGTTATAAACAGTGCCTTGCATCCTCTTTTCTCCGCATGTTGGACCAGCTTCTTCGTGATCTCACGGTCTCTGTTGACATAGAGTTGCAGCCACTGCACTTGATCGTCGCGTCTGGCATCAAGGATTTCATCAAAAGAGCATGAGGCAAGTGTTGAAATCATTTGGATGATGTTGTGAGTCCCGCTGGCACGCGTAATGACGACTTCACCCTCTGGGTGTCCAAGTTTGCCCAGTGCCGCGGCACTCACGAAAAACGGAACAGATGATGGTGATCCAAGTAAGGTGGTGGATAAATCGATATGCTCGACATTGACAAGAACCTTAGGCCGGAACCAAATACGATGGAATGCATTGTGATTCTCTCGCATGGTCTGTGGAACTCAACTGGTTAGTGCTTGGTATCATTGTCTGACGAATGACCAGATTCACTTACAATTTCGTCGTCAGAAGCACTGGAATAATAAGCCCAGGCACTCTTTTTCAATGTTCGCCTTGCGACGGCCTCAAAGTCGTATAGGTTGTAACATTGTGACAGTAAAGGCTTTTGGGCTACCCTCTGTAATCGCTCCTTTTCTTCGTTGTCCACCACCTCCTCCTCTTCCGCGGCTACTGTGCTCATGTCGACAGGCCCAAGATGCTTCGAATCGTCCAGGTATTTGTCCATTGTGTCCGAAGGGTGAATGGGATCGAATGCCGCAGTCGCATCTTTGCCCTGAGAGAAGTGGAGGTCAGATAATGAGATTTTGGTGATGGCTTGCGGCTTCACTTACGGCATACTTCAAGATGATACGTTCGCCTCCAGGATGTTCAGGAAGAAACTCGGTGACATCGTATGCTTTGCCCTGTAAGACATCAGTTGGTAAGAATCAACCAAAGACTGTAGCCAAGTCTATTCTTACGTGGACAATCACCCAGCACGACTCGGGGTTATTGTGTTTTGCGACTTCAGCTCCAGTGAGTGCCATCGTTCCTCAAAAGCTTCCTGCTCCTGTTGTGGCTAATGCGGTGTTTTCAAGTTGAACTGAAAGCAAGTTGATATTGAGGGTGTATTTCGTGCTCTTGACATTGACGGGATCATCTAATGTATCTCGGTGATATCTTGGTCATTTCAAGTCGCGGTCTCGGAAGCCCTGATTGGATGCAACGGAATTCATACCTCTTTGGTGGAATTTCCCACTCAGAACCCAAAAGAGATAATTTTCCGGCCAAAGATTCACTCTCTTCCGATGAGGTTCGATATTTGTCGATTCTACGAAGCGTTCATTCCCCAATGCTCTTCTAGAGAATCCCGTACGTGCTTTGTCGGCCATCCGTGTGCCTTTTCGGCTTCGTGCAAGAGATGCAGAATCGTTCTTTGTTCATCGACTTCTGTGACCCAACCTCCACCTTTTCGACAGTTCAGCATCGTACAAATGCATGTTGAGAGTCAACTTACACAAGAGAATGATGGGTCCAATGTTGAACTTTGGATTGGCGAAATAGTTTGACTGCGCTATGCCGCAGATCAATCGTGTGTGGTGCATAATTACTTTCTGAACCGAAAAGACACAGGTCAGTCACACTTCTCGTCTTGCCTTCTCGAGGTATTTATAATCAACACCCATCTAATTGATCCTTGAAACGCACCTTCAATTCCCGGTGAGCACGGTTATACTCTAGTCCTGCTCCTGGAGATGGAGTATCAGGCCGGTATAGGTTGAGTAAAACCTTGCAGAGGTGGAAATACTGTGTCCCAGTTGCTTCCGAAGATCAATCTGTCAGTATTGGACTTTGAAAGGTGTTCACAAGAGAGGCAGCATCAAGGCTCAACTGCATACCATGCCAGGGGGCGTAAAATTGAAGTTCCGGCCATCGTCTCCCTTCAGATAGTGATGGAGCTTCGAAAAATATTGGGGTGAACGAAGCCGGTTTCATTGCATCCCATTCATTCACTTGCTGATTAAGTTCCTGCCATCGGGCGAGCGTCTTGGGCGCATCTGAGAAGCAGTAGGTCAAAATGATCGCCGTACAAAAGATGATACGGTTCGCCCAAATACTGTCTGGCGCCTCGGACACTGAGAATCTAAATTCTTGCTTCGAAAAGTCGATTTTGGGCGCTTGGTGAATCGAAAGCGATAGGAAAGCATCTTGACGCACAAATTGCCAGAATGCTGCCTCGGCCAGTCCACCAGCAATAGCACAGCTGCGAGAATTGAAGAGGGCCGAAACCCCTTGTAGATGACTGCCGTAGTCGTGTTGTGTCACGTAGCCTTGTACGGTGTTAGGACTTTTCAGCTCCCAAGATCTTTGCAGGGGCAGCTCACCGCGCATTTCTTCAAACTTGCGCAATATGACTGCAGCCGTGAGAACATCGTCATTTGTGTTAGAGGTCTCCTCGTTGATTAGACTTATGAGCATTCCTATGCATCTGGTGTGATAAACTTCGGCCAGGACCGCATCCACGGGAACCTCGTAACCCTCAATCGTGTCCTTCTCTGGGACACCACCAAGGTGTAGCGCGGATATTGCGAATATGGCATTTAGCACAACTTCGCTGACCATGGCCAATTCAGGCACCACAACACGAAAATGATCGGTAGGATCCGTGACATCAAACTTGGCCGTTAAAATTAGCTGTCATGCAAGAAGTGAAATGAAACCCCACATACCCAAGGAGACAGTTCTTTGACAAAGTGCCGCAGGAGCAGTGCCTCGGTACGGTTATTCAATGGGCAGCGGCTGCCAGAGGATGGAAGACTGATGGGTGGAAATGTTGTGCCCGTGTGGATGTCGCGGTCGTTGAATGGTGACAAATGGGGCTGTAGAGGGAGGATATCCTGGCCCGCGTAGAAACCGTCTGAATGAAAAGATAAAGGGCTCCTAGTGGTAGACTCATGGTACACATGATTCGACGTACCCACGCTCGGTGATGTGAGTGAGTATTCAGCAGTTGTCTGGAGATTTGTAGTATCTGTCATTGTTGCATCGGGAGCGTCCATAGGTTGAGCTTTTAGTCCTTCGAGTACATCTGGAGATGCGTTTGGGATCGTGCCACAAGGTATTTCCGTTTCATCTTGTGGTTCTGGCTCTGGCGTAGAGACATTGTGGTTTTCAGATACAAACACTACTACTCCAAGTCTCAGAAGTGTGCTAACTTGTCATAATCAGGAATACGTGACCGACTTTGCTTTGGAACTTGCAGATAGTGATGTTCATTTGTTTCATTTTCCTCGGGCCTCGAAGCTTCTTCACGTCGCCACAGGGAGATAAAGGGTCGTGTTGAACACTTTCGACGAGAGTCGACACAGTTTTGGCAGACAGGAAGTTGCTCGTCACCTGTAATCTCTCGGTTCAACAGTCATTCAGAGCGGTAGAGTTGGGACCTGTGATTTACATTTGATGTGCCGCTTTCTACAAGTGTCACTAAGGCATAGGTCAATCGAGAGCCCAGGTGAGAAGATGCAAAGGAAGACGCAACATACCATCCGCGTCGTGACCTGTTGGCGGGCATTGTCCAGTCAAAGCAGCTTCACGAATGGTGGGTCACCATCAGTCGACATTTAGACGAGCTCTATGGATCATCTCGGAGCCAGGCTAATCGATTATCTTGCAAAGGGACATATGATCATGGTGGTAAGAGTCCAAATTAGATGGATGATTGCCGCACTAGCAATTCTTATGTACCATGATCCAGACCCATTGTGCGAAACCTTCGGCTGCGTCACGAAAAACGCGGGGTTCCCGGAAAGACGCTGCAAGGCAAACGGCAAAAGCGAGAAGCTTGCCGCACACACAGCCCCACGATTGTTCTTGTTACTTGGGCATTCATTATGCATCGATGTCATGGTGTCAGCTCCGGCAACAACCGAGCAGCTACCAAAACCACCACCAAAATGAAGGCAACCATTACTCAAATATTTGTTCTGGACGGAAGTGAGGTCGACGCAGAGAGCGATTGCCGTTTCCTATTCTTATGGGAGAATCAACGCGACCAAACCACAGGAGAGTCATGTTCGAGAGCGAATTTTGTCCGACCCTGGTACGAGAAAGACAAATTGATCCCGGTTGATCCGCGACACGGGGCCGCAATCGACGATGCACACCCGTCCGGATATCGCTTTTTGGCATACTGCCAGGAAAAGACCATGGGGGTGAAGGTGCTCAAGGATATGCCGGCCATAATGGGGAGAGAGGAATTGATGGAGGGTGTCAAGTTGCAGCAGAAAAGCACGACCTGCTCTACTGGCTGGCCAAAAAATGGGTGGAAGGTGAGAATGTCGAATTTTGAAATGCACTTATCTATAGGACTCTTGCAAAGGTCAAGGTATGAGTGGAGGAATAGCAATTCAACCAGCAATTCGTTGCGCTTCCAACATGTCTAGGTGAATCCACCTCGTGGGCCGGCCATGAATGAGTTCACCAGAGTAATCTCGTCAGCATGGAACGGTCAATGCTCATGGCCATATATTTCCGCTCTTTCGCGCGTTGTCTCTTTTGCTCACTCTCGCAGATTCCCTGACCAGCTTTCTCTTCGCCGCTCGCGTCATACGGTTTCCTCATGTTTCAGTTGCGGACACCAGCTTAGCATCACTCGGCCAACTCATTGACATGGTGGACTTCAGCGACTATGGCGTTTGAAGAAGATGGTTTTCTCGGGAAGCGGACCGGAAGGAGGGACAGAGCGGCATCGTTTGAATGTTAGAGGTGAGTGAGGCTTTGATTTGGGCTAGCTGGAGGAAAACAGAGCGTCAGTAGAATCAGGGTCCAAGAACGATGATTTGGTGAAAACTTCATCCACTTGCGCGTTGTCGCGTCAAGCTTTGCATGCAGATGCATATTGTAACGCCATGAGAAGTAGATGTGGTCATGGAGAACAAGTTGCAATGGAAGCACGGTTGGCGGTTCTTTTTGTCCTCTATTTTGATGCGCAGGTAAAGTCGGTCAATTAGGAAACTCGGCCGAAAAGCGCACGGCATGAAATTCCGGGAACAAATAACAATAATCGCTTTGGAATGAGAGGAGAGCCCACCTCCTCAAGCACCATATGAACTTGTTCTTCGCTCGACAACGGGATTTTATGAAAAACTTCCCGAGATCTCGCACTGGAAAGGGCTTCGCTCGGCAATGGATGCGATACCACTCAACGTGCACTTCGAACTCCGGAAGCCTCCAGTTTACAATTCCCCTCATCATCCGGACTTTCGCAAAGGTCTGGAAAGCCATCACCTTTCGGAATCGGCGGCTACCGATGACGACGGGCATCTTCCACGCCAGGAAGTGACACCAGATACTTCCGTCAGCCAAGCTCCAGAACATCTGACGTTCAAGAAACCCAAAAAGCGGTGAGGTTGACTGACGTGCGGGACCTGCTTGATACAGCGACCGAAGGACATGGTAGAACGGTACTGAGAGGTAATCTGTTGTGGAACTCGAAGCTTGGTCTTTTGAGAATCGTCGGATATGGGCCTTGTCCAGCGACGTGTCGGTTGAGAAATAGTTGCACCGTTTTGAGCTGGCTCAAACATTCATTGTACTCCTTCCATCACGAAACTTCAGATGATCAAACTTCCTTCTCCTTCATAGGAGTCACCATCGAATTCCGGAATTATGGGCGTTGCTGGACTTTTCAAGTGAAGTTTCCGCTGGCATTGACGTATGAAACTGCCTTTGGTCTCTGTCGCCACCCAGATGTTGCGACCCCGGTATGCAGTTTCTTGTCTCTGTCATGCGTGGTGTCCTGCATTGGCTGATGCGCCAAATGGAGACTACTCACTGCAATCTGTTTCGTTCGGGGAAAGCAATGACGCTTGCCCATGCACAACAATCCTTGGCCTGTGACTCGATTCATCTGACGTATCCTCCGATGAAGCCCCATCATCCGAGTCATTTTGGATGCACGGATAGGCGTGTATTCTTCTGATCTCGAATATTTGACTCTTCCTCTGCAAGCCACAGGTCTCTTTCGTTGTAGCTGGCGACTGTGCACCTCAAACGCGCCCATCTCTTCCTTCCATGTCTACTCTTGGTTCGGCGTAGATAAGTTTCAGTCCGACGAGGCTGTCAATCGCGGTACCACCAATCAGAGACCTCCGTTTGCGGAGCCTCGTCGGAGCCAACATTTGATCTCACTTTCAACTACTTCCGAATCAGTGACACCCTACATCTGTTCGTTTAGTTTTCAGCCGTTCCTTTTGACCCATACCGACAGATCTATCAGACACCCAAACGATCTTTACAGACTTCAAAATTCCACAGGAAGCGCGAATACTTCCTCAAGACGTTCGATTGGAGAACTATAGAGGGTCAAAGATTGTCGATCTCTCAAGCACTTTGACGAAGCAGTAGCCGCAACGGAGGGAGTTCTAGTTTCGTCATTTTTATAGGGCGATCAAAAGCAGCGTTTTGGAATGGTTCACCGACCTATGAACCTATATCTCTGTCGCGATCAAATTCATCCTTTCCGCAGGGCCTTTACCTTTTTCAAGCCCTTATGTACTGGAGCCAGACCGGGATGGCGCTGACCCTCGAGCTTTCCCGGCCACTTGTTGTACCTGACCATGGTCACCGATCCAACTACCACTAGGTCACGGTCCATCATGAACTCGTGGAGAATGATGACCGTGTAATGTCGGCCACAGCGACGGGTGCAACCTAGCGAAGATGGACCCTGAGCAATGGTCAAAGATAGGGTCGGTGGAAAAATATGGAAAGGAAAATCGTCGTTGACCTTCTGCATTTTGGTCGAAGTCACCTACTCAAGCGGCGACGACGGCTCAATGGGCAACAGGATGTCTTCGAGGCAGAGAAGGTTAGGTTGGGAGTACAAGGACATAAATGGGAGGTGGTTTACTTGCATGTTTGTCGAGCGAAACGCTTGAGGAGCCTGTACCAGGTGACTTTTATAGTTGTGAGATGGTGTCAATCGAGCCAATCATTTCTGAGAACCATGTACCGCTCGAATGTCCTCGCACCCCATCTTTTTATACACTCTGATAGTGAGGAGGATGTCTAGTGGAGTTTGAAGAGGTCTGAGTAACAGTGGCATTTGCCTGGAACATCCGATAGTCGATTGGTGGTTGCCTTCGAGCATTCAATAGAACTTTAGCCAGACAATCAATCCATTTGCCAGAGGCACCCTACTACGTCTTCTTGCCGCCATTCTTTTCAGCAGCCTGCTTGCGCGTATAGAAATGACGCCACAGAGACATTACTCTGCATTCATTCCTAGCTAGCACAGCGCAAGCCTCGTGGGTAACGATCGCCATCCTCTCTGTCGACTTTTGTATTGTGTTATACACGCATGAAAATAAAACAGAACAACACGTTGCCCGCCGCCGTCCCCCTCCTCTCTCACCAAAACGTACACCGGATGTTGTCAGAGTCGTCAGGGATATCAGGATACTCGGGCCTCCTCAGCGACACAAAGATCTCGGCTCGCTGCCGCGCTTGCAAATCTGTGGGCAGCAGTACAAGCAGCGACCCAACTGTCGAGGCCCTCCCGCTATTTCTGCAGGCAAAGATGGCGCGCCGCAGCACCTCGTCATCCAACTCACGCGACAGTATCGCCCTCCGAACGAACCGCAAATCGAGTTGCTGTTGACAGTCCCTCTCCTCCTGCGACTGCAAGGCCGCAGAGAGGACCGACACGCGCTGCGTGCTGACTGTGCCGTCGGAAGGATTCTTGGGGAGGGTTGGAAGAGGCCTTTTCTCGAATACCAGTTCTGCCGATGATCAGTCCCAGCTCTAATTCCAAGGACACAAAGGGAAGATCTGTTACCTGTAGTGTTATTTGAAGTGTTATTCGTGAAGCTCATCGAAGAGATACTCGAAGAGCTCATCCAAGTGCTGAGCGAAGTGGCCATGTTGGCGTCTGGCTTAGATTGCAGATCTATGGCCTTCGACGTGTATTGTGGGTACTGGTTAAACAGTCTGGTGTAGAAACCTGAAAAGACCCGACATCCATGAAGGTATCGGAGAAGTCTGATCTCCGACAGGACTCCCCCCGTCCGTATGCCTAGGCAAGACGACTTGTAGTAGTAAATGGTCGGGACGAAGACTTCGAACGAAAAAAAGAATCTGTCCCTGATAGAAGGAACCCAAAAGTCCAGGGGTTCCCAGGGGTATTTTTCTATCTTCAGGCTGTTCCTGGCACTCAAACTTCACATGCTGTCGAGTGGCAGAAGTCCGTAGTTGTTTCGGTTCGTGGTTCCTGACGGCAGCGCTGAATGACACATGCAAGGTGTTATAAATGGCAAGAGTCTCCACGATTCGCGACGTTATGGCTGCCAATTAGTGTGTGCCTTCGAGTAAGCGGAGTGAGGGTCGATGGCACCCCGTAGATGCTCGCGCAATATCACTTCTGACACGGCAAATCCCATGTCGGAGCGCGAGCGCCATCCCTAGATCTGGGATGGATGCAAAGCAGGGATGGTTCATGGCAGAGAGATCGCTCGGACCACCACCACCGACAGACCACCTCCTCTTCTTGGATGGTATTGGCTGACTGGTTCTTTTGCGTGGCATTCTATCCTAGCATCGTCGCTTTTGCCTAACACTTCGGCAAACCCGAGGTACCTGCCGCTCACGATCCAGTAGTAGCTCTCGGTGAGATGAGGTCTGCGTTCTGAAACCCTCCTTGAGGGAGAGAAGAGAGTCTGCACACAGCAAGGACAGGGCCAGGATGCAGCGTGCAAGAACCACGACAACGAACTTGCGGCGTAAGGGGCTGGAGAGAACCCAGCTTGGAAGGGAAGAGGCCATCCCACGCCCCTGTGGCTCCACGCTGGACTCATCCACCGTGTCTCTACATTGACATACCGAGCAACCAGTCGAAGGGGTCATTGGAACGCGTCCGATTTGCCAGAAGGCCTCATGTCAAAGTGCTGGTCGATTAGGCCTTTCCTGTCCATGGAAGGTGATCCATGCTTTTCCCGCCGGAGGTGGAGGTTCAGCATCGCGACGGCTCACGATCTCGCAGATCAGCCAGGCCGCCCGATGGACCGTGTGTTTTTGTGGAATGTTGGTCCACATAATATGTCGCGGGCAAAATGTAATTGGCCTTTTGCAGAGGCTGGTAGTAGCTGGGGTATGGAGGTGCCGATATTCCAGCTGGTGTCATTGGTTGAGTGTCATTTGACTTATGACCGCATCAGTGACATGTTGAGGCTTATTACCAGGCCACCCTTCCAGCTCCCTTTCGACCTGTCAAACCCCGTCCCTCCATTTGACATTTTTCTTGGGCCCCCTTCTTTCTTGATACTCCAGAGCAGGAAAATAGTGCTCGGGCCTAGCCACCGCTGGTGCCGCTGGGTTGTCCAAGCTCCCTTAGAGGAAGAGAACCTCGACCACCTCCCCACAGAAAAATTGGGGCGAATCAGACATCCCCCAGGGTGGCAAGCAAGAGTTGAGACTAATAGACACCCTAGATGGGATAGGATGAGATGGACTGACTTGTTCCATGCAAGGGGCACGACGCAGGACGCAGATCTTGCCTTGAAGGAGTCAAACCTAACAGTTCTCTTTCCATGCCATCGCGTCGAGCAGCCAGAAAGCCACAATCAGCTATGCTCTGGGTGGTGATGGTGACGGTGTTTGGAGGGCAGAGATATATAAGGGATACCTCGCCTGAGACACTTCATGCGAGGAATGCGAATTCAGGGATGGAGGCAAGTGGTTAATTGCAGTTTTCTTGTCATCAGAAAAGGTATCTTCACATGCTAGGTAGCGAGGTAAGTAGGAAGGGCGTGGTTGTGTGTGACCAGCTGTCATCGCACAAAAGTGTCAAAGGCACCACCGGCTTGTCCCCACCACTGGAACCCATCAGGACTATCAGGACCATCTGGACCATCAGAACACATCATAACAAAGGAGTTTGCTCGACGCGAAATACTGAAGGGTACCTCGGCGCTTGAGGTTCAACTTTTACTTGCCTCGTCCCTTCCGACCACCAGCACCGCGCGCGCCACATCATGATTCACCCGGCGAAGTAGGTTTGTCATATTCATCCAATTCAGCTTCTGAGATGACGCCCAGCTTGCATATCACGCGCCGCTGGTACAGTATATGGAAGGTTGCGTCGAAATCAAGAGCTGGTAGCTGTTCAAATGCTTTGATTTTTGCAAGCTCCCCTGACTCGTTTCCTATTGGAATCGTTTTGGGAAACCCCTCTGTTCATTGTGATTAGGCGAGCTGTTGGACTGTGGTGCCATCAGTCGGGATCGGTATGCATCAGTCAGTGCTCTCTGATTCTGAGGCATCCTGGAAGACCAGAACATACGGCGCTTTCTTGCGGATTTGAAAATCGTTCAGTAAGGCACGTGTGTCAAATAAAGCGTCATGTAAATCATCGTCGTGGGGAATTGAAAGCTTGATGTACTGACGGGAACGGGGTTGTCTCTGTGAATCCGCCAGCGTACGAAGGTCTTTGCAAAGTTGCAGTGTCTCCGCAGGGTTGGCCAATTCCGAAACTCACTGTACCACTTCTTTCATGATCATAACGGCGCGGACGGTGTGAAATCACGCCCTTTGTGCGGCTCAGGACGGCTCTGTACCATGTGCGTCCCAATCGCTAGCCCAGATAAAGGTATTACACCTCCACTGTGTCCCTTTCTCCTGTTTTCCGCTGGGACCCAGTGGTCGGGCGCACATCCAGAAAGATCTTCCGCAATTAGCCCCCGGTTTCTTGGTCAGCATGGTTTTGCAGGGTTCGCCGTGCTCGCATTTCGGTGCCACGGGCTTAGAGAACAATTTACCCCATGTTTGCCTGGCCGAGAAACTGGCAGCTTCTTCCTCGAGCGATGGGGGGGCCTGAGGCATCAACGGTTCTTCAGACGCTTCTTCCCTTTTTGCCTCAGTCACAGGCTCGTCAACCTCGGGGGTCTGAGCAGTCGCTGGTCTGGTGGAAAAGAAACCTCTGAGACTCTGCTGACCCTTGCCGACGCCGTTGGGGGTTGTCTGAGGGGCCGTCTTGCTGCGTTTCGCCACTGTCGGTGCTTCTGGGGCCCTTGCTGGTCTCTTGGCGCTGATTCCTTTGCTATTGCTAGAAACATTCGACACTGTTTTAGAAAGAGCGCCGGTGTCGTCTGCTTCCGAACGCGTCAGGTTGTCGGCACCGACGATCGCTGTCGTCAGAGGAGCATCCAAAACTACACCGTTTGTGTCTGTCTCGTCAATGCTGCTCTTCGACTTGAGGACTGATGGTTTCCTGGTGAACATATCCCGGATGCTTTGCCGCTTGTCGAATTCTTGTATCAGCTTGCCCGACGTGGGCAGTAAGCATTTGGTGGTCCATTCCTGTTTGCGGACGCCGTCCACGAACATGCCCGGTGGGTTAACCAAGTCTAGTATATGTCGCCCGACACCATCGACAAACACAGTATCCTTCAATACGGCATAGACTGGACAGTGATCCGATCCCATGAGCCCTTCCTGGATGTTTGCGTCGCTGAACCAGTCTTTCATGTCATAGCTGCACACCACGTAGTCGATTCTTGATCCATAGTTTCCCGGTCGCGCATTGACTTTGGTCTCCCAACAGGTGTACATGCCTTTGCGACCTTCATGAAACGCCCGGCAGAGATCCCACATGATGGGTCTTTCTCTACCCTCGTCCCTGTCCCCATGGACTTTGCCACCCACGAGCAGCTGGTTGAACATCCTCCGTGCTGGCGTGGAAATCCACTGGACTGGATCAACCCCATTCTTGCGCATGTTCTCCTGTGCTGCTGCAGTGTCAATCTCTTCCCTGGATATGTTGAAATCCCCTGCCCAGACCACTCTCTTGCCCATTTTCACCAGGTTCCGTATTCTAGCGTCGAGCACGCGAAGGTAGCTCGTGCGATAGTGTGTTCGTGTCTCATCTCGCTCGGCCGGACAGTATGTGCCGATGAGGACAAAGGCAGGAAATTCGAGGATGACACATCGTCCCTCGGAATCGAGAGTGGCGGGGTCGTAGTCTGCTTCGGACAATTGTTCAGCATTGGGATATCCGCCGATCTGATCCTCGTCGGGCAGGTCTCGAAAACTGGTAGAGCTGTTCGGAGGGGTCAGGATGCCGGTGATGCCTTCTTCGGCTTTTATGGGGGCGCAGGTCGCGTTGCGCGTGTAAATGACCACGCCAGAGTATCCTGAGAATGTCAGCATGGCCGAAACAACGGACATGGCTTGTTGGAACCTTTCTTGTGCTTGGGCAGACTCCAGTAGTTGTCCCAGCCGGGCACCAACACCATGTCGTCGCGGAGATCTTTCCTTTGGATTTTTGTTTCCTGGAAGATGACCATGTCGGCCTCGAGAATATCAAACATGCCCTCAAACGTCCTCTTGTCTCTCCATGGCTGGTATCCGAACGGATTTCGTATGCCATTGACATTCCACGTGGTGATGCGAATCCCCATGTTTGCAGGCTATTGAGGTCGCCGGCGCCTCATCGTCGGAGCGATCGAGGGTGGGTGAGGGAGAAGTGAGGAATCGAGGGAATCGCTGGAGGGTTGGGATGAGCTACAGGATTGATTGTGGTGTGACAGAAATGAGAGAATGAGTGACAGGATGGAAAAACAAAAGGCTGCACCACCATAAAGGCGAGTGTTGCGCAGTTGAATGAATTGGGCGGAGAGACGAGAATCGGGGCGATGATGTCGCGAGCGGTTACCCGGTGCCGTCGCAGCGGTGCAGTACTTCTTAGGTACCTAGGCACACGGGTAATTTGGTATCTGGCGCGCTGGGTATCTAGGTATCTTGTTGTCTTGGTAGCAGGCAGTACGAGGGACGCAGTCTTGTCTTGTGCCACCTCATTGTCGCCTAATTGCTAAACTGCGCTTGTTGCCCTGGTGCGTCTTCTGAGACTCTGACGTAATGAACCACCCGGCGCAGGCAACGCATCATTCATTCATGTTCTCCAACTCAACTTCCTCACCATCTTCCAACCCAGTAATTGTTTTCCACTTTGCACAAAGCTTTGAGAAGAGAGTTCTTGTCCCTCCTTTGCAATACCTGGGTCTTTGCTGCGGTCAGCGTCGAAATTTTTCTTTGAGAACCAGCATTGAACTGTCTCGTGCGCCTTTGGGTACAACTTGATCTGCCCCGCCACAGTTGGGTGGCTGTGCCATATTTTCTACTTCGCAATTGTCTGCAGAAGGAGAGAACCCCCGAATTCCATTGTCTTGATCCTTCTTTGACGCTTTTGCATCATTCCTGGCAAAAGGTCTCATCCAGACCATATGTTTCTTTCGTACAGATAAGATTCCTAATCTATCCCGGGCCTGGGTAACGGCCAACAGCGCCCAAGATGTTGGAAAGTCTGGTCGCCAATCTCCTCAATCGATTCTTGGGCATGTACGTCAAGAACTTCGACCCCAAGCAGCTCAATGTAGGCATCTGGTCGGGCGACGTCAAGCTGCGCAACCTTGCACTGAGGAGAGAGGCTCTGGATCAACTGCACCTGCCAATTAATGTGGTAGAAGGCCACCTGGGTGAACTGACCCTGTCCATACCATGGTCCAATCTGAGAGGAAAGCCCGTCAAGGTCAACATCGAGGATGTCTTTCTGCTCGCCGCGCCTAAAGAGGAAGATGACTACGATGCCGAGGAGGAGGACAAGCGGGCGGTAGCCGTGAAACTGGAAAAGCTGGAGAGTGCCGAGCTTCTCAAGGAGCGCAATACCGAGGCCATGAGCCCAGAGGAACAGCAGAAGAGTCAAAGCTTCACGCAGAGCTTTGTCACAGCCATCGTCGACAACCTGCAAGTCAGCATCAAAAATGTCCACATCCGGTACGAAGACTCCATTGCGACGCCGGGCCACCCGTTCGCCGTGGGCCTCACCCTGAAGGAAATGAGCGCCGTCTCTACCGATGCGGACTGGCAGCCGACCTTTATCCAGTCCACCTCGGGGACCACTCATAAATTGGCCGTTTTGAATTCGCTGGCTCTCTATTGGAACAGTGACGCAGACCTGTTCGGCACCGGCAAGGGCGGTGACGTTGGCGCCGAGGCACAGGAAATCGACAAGGATGAGCTGATACGCCGCTTCCGAGCAGGTATAGAAGACACAGGCCACTCACAGTATCTGCTCAAACCCGTCAGCGGTCGGGCCGGGATTGAGCTGGACAAGACGGGTCGCGCAGACAAACCGAAGACGAAGGCGCGACTACTCTTCCAGGAGCTCGGATTCATCATTGATGATGAACAATACCGCGACGCGCTGATGCTCGTAGACCTTATGCACTACTTCGTTCGCCATCACGAGTACAAGAAGGATGCGCCAAAGGAGAGCCCCAAAGAAAATCCTCGAGCGTGGCTCAAATTTGCTGGAAACGCCGTTCTGACCAAGATTCACGACCGGAACAGGAAGTGGACGTGGGAGTATTTCAAGGAACGCAGGGACACCCGACGCAAGTATATTGAGCTGTTCAAGAAAAAGAAAAAGGAGCAAAAGTTTACCGAGCAAGAAACAAAAGAAATGGCCCAGCTGGAGCACGATCTGAGCTATGAGGATCTGCGATTCTGGCGGTCGCTGGCACGTACCCAACTCCGGAAGGAGAATGTCGGTGTCAAGAAACCCGCCCAAAAGCAGACATGGTCCTCGTGGATCTGGGGCTCCAAGCCTGAACAGGCCCCGGAGAATGACGAGGATGCAGGCATGACTGAAGAACAGCGCAAGGAGCTCTACAACGCTATTGACTGGGACGAGAAGAAAGCGATCGCCGAGAGCGTCGATCTGCCCCGAGAGAGTGTCAAACTTGAAGTAGAATCGAGTCTCAGGACTGGCAGCTTCACCTTGAAACGCGATCCTCACGGTCAAGAGACCGAGGTTCTCAAACTGGTCTTCGACAACTTTAGGGCAAAGGCACTTCAAAGACCCGACTCTTTCCTGGCTGATCTAGCACTGGGGGGCTTTCGTGTCTACGATGGTACGACGGAAGGCACCTTGTTCCCACAAATTGTCAAGGTCAAAGGGGTAGAAAATCAGCCCAAGGATGAAGTACAACAAAATGACACGGAAAGTTTCGACGATGAAGCAGAGGCAGAAAGCGCAAGTGCAGAGAAAGAGGAGCAGGCGGAAGACAGCTTGTTCCACCTTGTCTTCGAAAACAATCCTCTTGATGGAAGCGCCGACACCAAAGTCGATTTGAAGCTCAAGAGTCTCGAGTTCATCCACAATCCCAAGTTCGTGGTCGAGATTGTCAAATTTTTCAAGCCCCCGGAACGACAGATGGAATCCATTGGCGCTCTGCTCGAGACTGCAGGTGCCACAGTGGAAGAGATTCGTCAACAGACGCGTGCAGGCCTTGAGTTCGCATTGGAAGAGCACAAGACCATCAATGCAAATCTGGACATCCATGCCCCTATCCTCATTATCCCTGAAAGCATTACGGAGAAGAGCACACTCTGCATGATTCTCGATGCAGGTCATGTCAGCCTCAACAGCGAACTCGTCGACAAGGAGACAATGCGGGATATTCATGCCAAACAAAAGCAGAAATACACCGAAGAAGATTACAGACAGCTTGAGGGCTTGATGTATGACAAATTTCACCTGAAACTCGAATCAACACAGGTTCTAATTGGACCCGGCATTGAAGAGACGAGAGCGCAGCTGGAAGCAGAAGACGACTCGCATAACATGCACATCATCGACCGCATAAACATGGCCTTCCTCCTGGAGAACTCAATCATACCGAAAGCTCCCGACATAACAAAGGTCCGCATCTCCGGAACGATGCCTGTTCTCCACGCCTCCCTATCAGACAAGAAATATAAGAATCTTATGAGGCTAATAGAGGTTGCTGTTCCGAAATTTGACACGCCAGAGACCGAGGCAAATGGCAGCATCGTTGAGTCGCGGCCGCAGAAATCTGTCGAAGACCAGGCATCGAAGAGGAAATCTGTACAACTGCTCGAAGCTAAGGATATACCAATTATCGAACACGACTCAGATTCAGAAGACGCTTCTCCCGACAGGCGCCAGCGGACCAAGCCCGAAACACCCGCAAATATACACCAGCGCAACTTTGAAATCAACTTCACGGTCGAAAAACTGCAGGCATCGTTGTACAAAGCCGATCCGGATGGCAAGAAGCCAGACCGGCTGTTGGTCGAACTGGTGGCGGAGCGTTTCTATTTCGATTTCTATCTTCGCCCCTACGATATGGTGGCCGAAGTGCTGCTGCGTTCCCTAAGTGTCGACGACCACATTGAAGAGGAACCACTGCCCGAATTCAAGCAGATCATCTCCTCCAAGGGCTTTAACGCAGAAGAAGGAAAAGATTTGCTCAACGTCAAATTTGTCAAGGTCAATCCTGACTCGCCTGAATTCCAATCTACCTACGAGGGCATTGCTACCAACCTTGATGTTGCCGTGTCTACCATCAATGTGATTGTCACAAGAAGGACGCTGCTCACTTTGCTGGATTTTGTTCTTACCACGTTCACGAGTCCCGGGGATCAGCAACCGATACAAAAAGAGACAGACGAACCGGGAGAGAGAGTCGGTGACCCTCAACCAGCAAAGGCCCAGGCAGACAAGATTAGAATCAAAGCCCAGTTGAGCAGCATTGCGCTGATTCTAAACAATGATGGCGTGCGGCTTGCGACACTCTCCCTGAACTCTGGTGACGTTGGAGTCTTCCTGGACGCCGGCACAATGCAGGTCAAGGCAAGATTAGGGAGTCTCTCGCTGGTCGACGATATCAACGAGGGTGCACCCGAGAATTCACCATTGCGTCGGTTAATTGCCATTGAAGGAGATGATCTAGCAGATTTCAAGTATCAGACCTTCGACTCTTCCCGCAAGGACTATCCAGGATATGATTCGGGAATCTACCTTCGGTCAGGATCCATTAAAGTCAACTTCCTAGAGGAGCCATTCCGCAAGATCATGGAGTTCGGGGTCAAATTTGGGAAGATGCAAGCCATCTTCAACGCAGCCAGACAGGCGGCAGCCAACCAAGCTACACAGGTTCAAGAAAGTGCGCAGAAGATGCACATCGATATCGTCATCAAGACACCAATCGTCGTTTTCCCTCGAGCCATGGTCGAAGACCGACCTCGTGATCTCATCACTGCGTACCTTGGCGAGATATATGCGAACAACAAATTTGTCGGTGTCCAAGGTCAAAAGAGCGGTCCTCTCGTCAATAAGTTGGCGGCTGGCATCAGACACATTCGGTTAACCAGCGAGTTCCACCACAGCGATGGCAAGTCCCAGGAGCTGGAAATGATTGACAAGGTCGATCTTGACTTCAAAATTCGATATCTTGAGCACCAGGTGGGGATTGAAAGACCAGATCTTGAAATCGATGGATCTATGTCGCCGATGAATCTGAGGGTTTCCCACACTCAATTCAAATTCCTGATGGAACTGTCAAAAACCATTCCAGCAGCTTTTGCGACAGAAGACGAAAGCGAAGAGGACATTGCCGAGGAGTTGCCATCATCCACGACAGAAAGCGCAAAGGCCGCTGAGCCCGAGACTACCACGTCCGAATCGCTTGCTAAGCCCTCATACCAGGGCCCCGAGCTTGGAAATGGTGAAGAAACATGGACCAAACTGAACCTTGTATTCAAAGCACCAATGATCGCTCTGGAACTGATCCTCGCCGACGAAGACGAACCCATTGAGAACCTCGAGGCAGCTAGCCTCTCGAAATTCTCCATAAACGAGACGAACGTCAAGCTTAGGATGATCAGCGACGGCGCTATGGAGGCTGAGCTTGTGATACACTCTTTCACCGTCCGCGACAGCCGAACAAGAGAAACCAACAAATTCCGGAAGATAATGTCTCTGATCAACAACGATGTGCAGCAACAGTTCATGGCGAGTCTGTCGATTACTGGTGGGCAAGAACGCCACATGATTGTCATGCTTACGATTGACAGCCCCCGGGTTATTGTCGCTTTGGATTACATTTTTGCACTTCAGGCTTTCGCAAATACGGCGTTACAGTCCGACGGGCCGTTACCTATTGCAGAAGTGGACGATTTGACTGAAAGCAGCGATGCAAGCCTCGATGGTGAACAAGGCCAGAGAGAAACTGGGGCTCAGGAAGCCGAATCAGCCGGTCAACCATCTATGACTGTATCATTTCGACTCAACGTCGTGGATGCGCAAGTCATTCTCATCGCAAATCCCACCATATCTAACACCGAGGCCATTGTACTCGGTACCAAAGAAGTCCTCGTATCCAAACAAAACGCGATGACGCTGCAGGTCAGCAAAGTCGGTATGTTTTTGTGCCGCATGGATCGCTTCGAGACGAGCCGTCTTCGAATTCTCGACGATTTCAGCGTACAAATGTCCATGGAGAGCCGGAGTCAAGGCAAAGACTCGTCTTTAACGTCGATTCACGTTGATGTAGAGCCTCTGGTTCTCCGTCTGTCACTTCGTGACATCTTGCTGGCGATGCAGATTGTCAGCAAGGCTTCGTCCACAACCCCACAACCGAAAATTCAAGAAGACACGGAGCCAAAGAAGCTCAAAGACGTGAAAGCATCCTCCAAGGCCCCTTCTACGAAGCGCAAGTCGATAGCCGGGCAGTCCACAGCAGCACAGAGATCGAAAAGATCCAAGTCAGTCTCGAAATCGACCAAATCTGGATTGCAACAACAGCCTACAAGGTCGGTGGTCCTGAGCCGGGAAGAGATGACTGCGCAAATCGAAGGAATTCGGGTTATATTGATTGGAGACATGCACGAACTTCCCTTGCTGGACTGGAGCGTGAAGAAATTTAATGTCGATGTCCGCGACTGGTCCAGTTCTTTGACAGCCGATACCAAGATCAATACTTTCATCAACGTATACAATTTCTCAAAGTCCGCGTGGGAGCCCCTGATCGAGCCTTGGAACCTAGGATTTCACATGGCCAAACAACTCCATCCCGAGGTGCTGTCCATGGAGCTGTATTCACACAAGAATATGGAATTGACCATCACGTCCGCCACAATTGCACTTGCTTCTAAATCTTTCAACTTTCTCTCTACGGACGAAGACATCCTGTCAAAGCCGCGCGTGGCAGATGCGCCGTATCGAATCCGCAATTACACTGGATTCGACCTCAGCATCTGGGCAGATGAGAAGAGCGAAAGTGCGGCTGCAGCCAAACTCACCGACGGCGAAGAATATGCCTGGCGATTCGAAGACGCAACATCCATGCGTGAGAGTCTTTCGCCGGAAGGTAATGCCGGCCTGGTGGGTGTCAAGCTTGAGGGCAGTGGATTTGATAGCGTCGTCCGGATTCCAGTCATCCGCGAAGGAGAAACCCTGTACAACCTCAAGCCGAGGAAGGATGGTGTTCAACACCGGATGCTTGTCGAGGTGCGACTGGGGGCTGACAACGTCAAATACATTACTTTCCGCTCACCCCTCCTCGTCGAAAACAAAACTCAGATACCCATCGAGATGGGCGTGTACAGTCCAGAGGAGGGACATCTCCTCAAGATAGAGAAGATTCCTCCTGGTGAAGGCAAACCTGCTCCCGTGGGAGCAGCATTTGTCCATTCACTGGTCTTACGCCCTGACCAGGGATTTGGATACGGCTGGTCGAATGAACGGCTGTTCTGGAAAGACCTACTCAGAAGACAAACGAGGGCCCTCACTTGCGAGTCAGAAGGCAGAGACGAGTCACCACCTTTCTTTTTCCAGATGCACGCATCATACGATGACAAAGATCCCATCACAAAGGTCTATCCGCACATGAGGATCCAAGTCTCGGCACCCGTCGAAATCCAGAATTTGCTACCGTACGACTTCAAATATCGCATCTATGATAAGAACACGAAAAAGGATTGGACAAACTTCCTCCGCAAGGGTGGCGTGAGCCCGGTACATGTCGTGGAGCTATCTCACCTTCTACTACTGAGTGTTGAAGTGGAGGACGCCCCCTTCAAACAAAGCGACTTTGCGATCATTAACAGCGACACGCAGGAAGGATTCCGCCGGGAGAAAGTACTGCAGCTGAAGGATGAGAAAGGTGCCCAGTTGAGGCTAAAGCTTCACTATACCAACATCAAAGACAGCGGAGGAGCCTTCAGAGTGTCGGTGTACAGTCCCTACGTTCTTCTGAACAAAACTGGGCTTGACATGAGCGTTCAGAGCAAGGCTTTTTTCGGGTCTTCCTCCAAAGCTTCATCGCCCCAGGGCGCACGGACAAGTTCTGGAGAAGGAACAGCTCTGCCAATGCTGTATTCCTACGCTACCGATGATCGCAAGAACCGTTCTCTCCTCAAGATTGGCGATTCTGTATGGAGCAAGCCACAAAGTTTCGACGCGATTGGGAGTTCGTACGAGGTCGCTTTGCCCTCCGCCACCGGCAAGTCTGAGATGCACGTTGGGGTATCTGTGGCAGAAGGGGAAGGCAAATACAGCTTGACGAAAGTTGTTACCATTGCACCACGCTTTGTGCTCAAAAACAAGATCGGAGAGGATATCGAACTCCGGGAACCTGGTTCGTCAGAAATTTGGAAGATGAAGAACAATGATCTCTTGCCCATGTACTTTATGCGACAATCGTCCGAAAAGCAGCTTTGCCTGTGCTTCCCAGGAGTCAACAACCAATGGTCGTCCCCATTCAACATGGCGAATGTCGGCATGACCCATGTCAAACTCGCCAAACACGGCCAAAGACAAAGACTCGTCCGCGTCGAAATCATTCTCGAGGACGCTACCTTGTTCTTACACTTCAGCATCGAGACGAAACACTGGCCATTCTCGATGAGAAATGAGAGCGACACCGAGTTCTTGTTTTTCCAGGCCAATCCCAATCTCGGTGAGGATGAAGAAGAAGACAAAGGAAGCGGCTGGAAGCCTATCCGGTACAGGCTCCCTCCACGAAGTATCATGCCTTATGCCTGGGACTATCCTGCTTCGAAGAACAAAGAGCTCGTCCTCACCGCCAGAGGAAGGGAGAGGTACGTTAAGTTGGCAGAAATAGGCAACTTGTTCCCAATCAAGCTGCCACCGGACGACCGTGGTGGCGCGATGAAAGTGATCGACATCAATATTGTCGCCGATGGACCAACGCAGACGCTGGTATTGTCCAATTACAAACCGTCCCGGTCGATGTATCGACAGAAGACGGGCATGACAACCGCGTCACAGACCAGCCTCAACCAAGGATTTGAAGTCAAGCAGATCGAATCTGAGGTCAATTTCAAGGCCGAGCTGCGACTGGCCGGCATCGGAATCTCCCTCGTCAACAGCAACCTGAAGGAACTCATGTATGTCACTTTCCGGGAGATGGACCTCAAGTATGGGGATTCCAAGCTCTACCAAACATTAAACTTCACCGTCAAATGGATACAGATCGACAACCAACTGTACGGTGGGATCTTCCCGATCTTGCTGTACCCGAGCGTGGTGCCCAAAACTGGCAAGGAAATGGAGGCGCATCCCATTTTCCACACGATGGTCACGAGGGTCAAGGACGATTCATACGGTGTACTTTATATCAAATATGCCACGCTGCTCCTGCAGCAAATCACGGTTGAGCTTGACGAAGACTTCATCTTCGCCTTGCTCGATTTTGTGAAAGTGCCCGGGGCGTCGTGGTCGGAAGAAAAGGAAGGAAAATTGTGCGACGAGAGTCTCGATGTCCCCGAGCCCACGCGAGAAGAACAGGGCCAAGACGTCTATTTTGAGCTGCTGCACCTGCAACCCATCCAGCTTGATCTCTCTTTCGTCAGAACGGAACGTGTCAACGCCGAGGACACTTTCGTCAATAGTCCGCTGATGTTTATCGTCAATGTCATGACCATGTCAATAGGCAATGTCAATGACGCTCCCATCCGGCTCAACGCGCTGATGCTTGAAAACGCGAGGATATCCGTTCCAGCCCTGATCGCCAACATTCAAAACCACTACACCCAGGAAGTGCTCCGGCAAGTGCACATCATTCTCGGATCTGCCGACTTCCTTGGCAACCCTGTTGGATTGTTCAACAACATCAGCTCTGGGTTTGCCGACATCTTCTACGAGCCGTACCAGGGCCTCGTGATGACCGACAGGCCCCAGGAGCTCGGAATCGGCATCGCCAAAGGAGCCAGCAGTTTTGTCAAGAAATCCGTCTTTGGCTTCAGTGACAGTATGGCCAAGTTCAGCGGTTCCATTTCCAAAGGTCTTGCCGCTGCCACGATGGACAAGGAGTTCCAAGATCAGAGACGAATGTCAAAGAGTCGGAATCGACCTAAACATGCCTTGTACGGCGTCACTGCCGGGGGAAATGCCTTTGCCGCAAGTATGGCCAGCGGTATCGGAGGCCTAGCACGCCATCCTCTAGAAGGTGCCGAGAAGGAAGGAGCTTTGGGCTTTGTCAAAGGGGTCGGAAAGGGCTTCCTGGGTTTGGCCACCAAGCCTGCCATCGGCGCCTTCGACCTCGCCTCGAACGTGGCCGAAGGAGTCCGCAACACGACGACGGTCTTCGACTCGGAGGGCCTGGACCGTGTTCGCCTGACTCGCTTTATCGGTATGGACGGTATTGTGCGGCCATATTCGCAACGCGAAGCCCTAGGGCAGTTCTGGCTCAAGACCTGCGACGACGGGCGGTACTTCAACGAAGAATACATTGCGCACTTGGAGCTTGAGGGCGGCGACATGATGGTGATGATCACCTATGACCGCATCTTGATGATACGGACCAAGAAGCTGCGCATGGAATGGGACATCAAACTGACGGACGTGCAAACCATCAGCAAGGAGAGGACGGGGATGAGCATTGGTTTGAAAGGAGGGGCAAACGGACCTTTCATTCCGGTGGCGGACGAGGGCAGCAGGAACTGGCTGTACAAACAGATTGCTATTGGTAAGTGGACAGATTTTGAACACCAAAAAAAGAAGAGATGCTGACCAACTGCCGTAACAGCTGTGAACGCATTTAACGACAAGTATAACGCAAAAGGATGAGGGGGCCACGACGGCATGGACCATGAACGTCTGTTACGACTGTGATTTAAGCCAGACTTGTGTATTTTGGGGGCGGCCCATCTGCTGATGCTGACAACACATCTGTTTGCATTCTTCCATTTCAACGATATACGCAGCCTTGTCTCAGTACAATATCTGTTTTGGACCTGTATGGAAACAGCAGATTCTTGTTTGAATTTTGTCCTCCGGGACTCAGATGTAAGATAGGTCGGTCGTGAATATTAATGTAGTGAAAAAGAGAGAAAGCTGGCCAAGGAGCGTCACCGTCACTGACCGGCATCGTCACTTGGCGTCGTCTGTTGCGTCCGCGTCCAGGTCAAGAGCCTCGTCGCCATCGTCCTGCCTGTACCGTGCGCGACACGGGGACTTTTCACAAGAACAAAACCCTTCATTCTCTGTGCTTCTTTTGTTCTTCCCACTTCCTCTCCTGCTTTTTCATCTGTCCAAGCAAGCAAGCAAGCAAGCCCTTCACACGTTCTCCTGCTTTTCTTGTCATCTTTCACCTTTTCACACCCTTTGATTGTCATCGTCCTTCCCCTGAACGCTCTCGCCATGGATCAAGCCGCGCCTGTCACCGATCAAGACGTACCTGGCTCTCATCAAGCCGCGTCTAGCACTCATCGACCCGAGACTGATAACCCGCAAGCCGCGACTGGTGTCCAGATAGAGGTAAGACGCTCGATATCCCGTCTCTAGCAACCCGTCGTTTCGCGATATTCTGCTTCCAGTGTAGCCTTGGAAAAAATTTGATTGAGTACACAAAAATCGATTCTCAAGTTTTTTCACTCACTCTTTCTCCCACCCTCTCTCTCTCCCTCTCCCTTCCTTCCTTCCTCCCTCCCTTCTCCTTTTCAAATATGTTATATATAACATGCGTCGCGTCGCTCGCCCTCGGCCTCTGACAAGCCCATGGCTAACCAAGAACCATGGCCAGCCTCATCAGCAGCAACAGCAAATGAGACTTAGCCAGATCCTCGAGGAGGCAGTCAAGAGCACCGAACTGCCCCGGAAGCCCGTGGGCTTGTTAGCGGCAGCAGCAGCAGCAGGCTCATCGATTCCGCCGGTGGCATCACGCCCACTGCAACCCCCGCGAATGCCGACATTTCCATCGGCTTCACCCATCCCACCTCGAGTCCCAAAAGTGTCGACATCTCCCTCAAGTGTGCCGATATCTGTTCTCCTGGCCTCTCTTGACACGACGACTCCGCCAGGGTTTTCGATGACGGAGGACCAGCCAACCACGAGAGCAAGAACGGACACCGTCATCGGTCATGGCGCCAATAAGAAAAGTAACGATTCGACCAGCCCCCACGACGTCAAGAACAGGAACAAAAATGCCAGCACCACCAGTGCCAATGACAAGGGAAAAGCAGTCGAGATCATCGATGTCGATGGTTTTGCTCAAGCCCATGAATTATTCGAGGCCGAAACTGAAAAGATCGCAAGTGAGAAACTAGCCGGCAAAATGAAGGAAATCGAAAGCAAAAACGATCACGCGGCCCGACTCCAGCGCATCTCAGTGGAACAACAACAACAACAACAACTCCTCGAAGAACTGCGCGCCGACCTCATCCAGTCCGCCCAGGACAACAACGACCTGCGCCATGAAGTGGCCGCGTTGGAACAGAAGATTGCACACATGGAACAGGAGAGGCAGGACTGGGCGCGTCGCGAGGCAGAACTGATTGGCGAGGTGGAATACTGGACGATCCAAGCACACGCGCAAGCGCAAGCGGCAGCAGCGGTGGCAGCAGCGACGGTGCTGGAACCGGCTCCTACCGACGAACTGTACGACCCTGCCGGCAATTTCAACCCCGACTGGGACATGCTTCTCGATGGTCAGGGTCAAGGGCAACAACGGCACTCTCGGGATCTCACACAAGCACAGCCATTACCACATGCACATGCCCAAGCACTAGCACCAGCACAAGCATCAGCACAAGTACCAGCAAAAGATTTAGGGTTCCGAGGATTCGGAGTCAACGCCAATTTCGCGGCTTAGTGCGAGGCTGCTTCTGCTGGCGCCGCAGACTGATTTCGCCACGGAATCAGGGACCAATAACTTCGACAATCCCAGACGTGCGTTTCCTCAATCGTACCCCTGCAGATGCGGAAGCTGAGACGGAAAGGAACGAGACATGAAGTTGCACGTGGACTGATGGAGGTTGTCGTGTTGTTTGCTGGGTGGTGGTTGGGACATACACGTGCACACAGGGAAAATGCCGCCGGCGGCTGGAATGGATTCATCCTCAACCATGAGGAGCTTGATCAATCAATCAGTCCGCCAAACCCACTTTGTGTCTTTCTTTGTTTTTTGGTCCAGAGGTTCCTTCCTGCTCTTCCTCGTCCCTCCCACCTCTTCATGTCCCCATTTCACAACGCCAAAGAGACCACTTCATCGAGAAGGGAGGGGTTGATGGCCCGTCGAGGAAAGAAGGAGGGGCGGCTGAGGATATGATGGGGCAAGATGATTGATCCCAGATCACGCAACAATGACAAGTGGCCCCCAGAGGGGAGGAAGACGGGTCAGCCAAGCCAGCACCCTGGGGAGAACGGTCAAGATTCTTTCTCTCGAGCGGTAAAGTGAGCGAACCGCAGTTGCTCAGTGTCGAGGGAATCGCAGATGAAATCTGGAACCTAGCCCATCCGCCAAGCCATCACGTGCCTCACGGCTTGTCCTGACTGCACGCGTAAGCACGTGAAAGCGTGACAGTGCAAGCCCGTCTGCCTGCGCCGTGCCACAACTAATAATGTCATTGTTGGTGACAGTCCTGCAACCATTCAGATCGCCGGTCCTCGTGCTGCTACGAGGTACATGTGGCTTCTTGCAAATGTGTTCTTCTTCCTTGTGATGTGATGTGATGGTTGTGCACGAATCTCGAATACTACACAGTTCTTCAACGAACTACTTGCAGACGCTGGTAGAACATCGCCCATAGCTCCTCCCTTCGACTCTCTCTCTCTCTCACTACCACATCTTCTCCCAATTCCTCCTCACGATGTTCATCTGCGCCAACCTCGCCCGCTCCACCTCCTCGAACCCGCCTTCCTCCCAGATCTTACAATCCTCGTCGATCTCGGCCTTGCCGCTCCAGATGTCGCATGTCTTGGGGTCCACGAACTTGGTGCGCTTGAACACCTTCCAGAACACAAACATAAAGATGCCGTACGCGAGGCCGAAGTAGTTGGTCACAAAGCCCTGTGTGCTCCACGGCACGAAGCAGTCGAAGCCGATGAACAGCATGACGGTGCAGCCGACCCCGATGGCCATGTACGCCGTGTACGGGGCGAAGGGCGCCTTATAGGGAAGCGTGTTGCGGTCGATCCCCTGGGCCTTGAGAGCGCGATACCACCCCACGTACGTCCAGAGCATGCACGTGTAGGTCAGTATAAAGGCGATGGTGCACAGCCAGATGAACCAGAAGAACACTGTCACGGCCGCGTTGGAGGCGACAAGGTACGTGATCAATGAGATGACCGTCACCACCAGAACACAATAGGTGGGAACGCCCGATTTGGTGCACTTCATCAAGAACTTGGGCGCAAGCCCGTCACGGGCGAGCGAATAGAGCGTCCGACTGGTGGAGTACAGGTAGGCATTGCCGCACGAGAGGCCGGACAGAAGGATGAGCGCGTTGATGAAGCTGGGCAGGCCGGTGATGCCCAGATTTTGGATGCCAACCACCCATGGCGAAGCCGCGGAACCGGCTTTCCCAGAGCTGATGGCGCTGATCAGCCGGGCATCTCGGGACGAGCAGATGATGCCCACGCAGAGGACGCCCACAACGTAGAAGCCCACCAGCCGGTAGAAGACGAGACGGGCCACACGGGGAATGGTTCTGCGGGGATTTTGGATCTCGCCTGCCGCGAGGGCGATCAAGTCTGGTCCAGAGATGGTGAAGGCGGCGTACCGAACAACGCTCCAAAAGCCGAGGAAGCGCCCGGTGGCGCCCGTGGTGTAATACGGGTGCATGGCCAGTCCGTGTTTCCAGAAGCGGAAGCCGTAGGCATCATGATGGGGGTTACCACCGACCATAGTAATAAACGTAAGGAGGATCAACCCCAGCAGAAGGAGGATTTTGGTCGAGGCCATAATGAATTCCGATTCGCCGTACCATCTGTAATGCAAGCATTAGAGCACACAGATAGCAAACTAAAGCACTGTTGAACGTACCTCACGGCGACGAGATTCAAGAAGACGCAGACCACCAGAGCCATGGTCACCCACACCGCCGGGTTGACGCTGGTGTTCCAATAGGTCATGACGGTAGCGACAGAGGCATACTCGGTGCACACGAGCATCGCCCCGGCGAAGAAATAGGTCCATCCCATGGCAAACCCTAGAGCAGGATCCACGTATCGACCACCGAGCTCGAAGATGGTGCCTCGTAGAGGCAGCCATGCCAGCATCTCGCCCACAAGGAGATAAGCAGGCCAGATGAAGAGGAGGCCCCAAAAGAGGTAACCCAGGACAAGCGACAGCGGGCCAGCATTCTTCAGACTGCCACCGATACCCACAAAAAGAGCGGTACCTATACTCCCGCCAATTCCCATCAACTGAACATGACTGTTGAGCAATCAGCACTGAAAACTGGGTGGCAGCATGGCTAGAGGCGTTGCAGCGTTGGAGCAGGCCTGGGAACACACTCACCGAGGCGTCAGACCGCGCTTCGTCTGGCGATATTTGGCCCATTCAGTTGCCGATAGTCGCCTCTCGAGCAGGTCACCCACTTGCGGCGCTTCGGAGACGACGACCGCCTCTCCCTCACGGATCTCCTTGCTGTCCATCTTGCTGTTCATCTTGTTGTCCATCTTGAGGAGGCCGTGTTTGTGCTGCTGAGGAGGATCAATTTTCGGACCGGGACCCCCATCGTAGCTTATATATGCGGGCACAGATAAGAACCAGACATGGTATAGTCGTCCATGTCGACTGCCGAATAGCAGCTGCACAGCCAAACAGTGGCAGTTGCGGGCATCTCCACGGTGTGACCAGGATCTTCACCCGGTGGGATTCTCGTCTCCAGGATATCGCGAAGCGGCGGAACTGTGTCATTGACAGGAAAGGCTAGACTCACGTGGGAGCTATCTGAGCTCCTCTTGGTGATTTTGGGAGAGGCTGGTCACGGCGTGCCCGTGTTGCTATTCCAGCCTAGCAACACCCGATAGACGGTAGTCTGGATAGAACAATACTGAGAACGCCAACGCGCTATGATGATCGTCCACATGGTTGCATTCCAGATGGTCTCGGCCTGGTGCCAAGTCTGGGCGATTATACTCCAAGCGGCAAGGTCATGATGCAGTATCGAAGTCTTTATCGCGGCTTATCTATCTCACACACTTGCCGTTACCGGCGATTGGCGCGAGAAAAGGCGTGTGCCAACGCCGCCATTTCCTGTTGTGGTCCGTATTTGCTGGGATATGGGGGCAAGCAGGCCAGACCTCACACGCGTTGATAGGCAATTGCTCACGGATTTTCCCACGTGGAATGACGCTGGTATCGATATGTGGATGCGCAATTTAATTTGCCTCATGATTGCTTTCTGAGTTCTCGTACAAATATCTTGCCCGTCGGATGGTAGCGGTTGTGTTAAATTCCCATATCAGGGAGAGCTATCCAGGATGGCTTGGGGCTGTCTTTCCGCGACGAACATGTCCGTGGCCTTCGTTGACTGCGTGTCTCGACAGGTAATTCCCCTGTATTGACCACTGGTATAGGAGGACGTCTCGGATGCAGGTCATGGGAATGAAGTCCCTTGACTGATGGCAGACACGCCGCTGAAATACGCTCAAGATTTCAAACAGGGGATCAGCACAGGCCATCTGAGACAAATTGCGATCACTCAAAAAGGCATTCAGAGCGGCGAATAAGGAGAGCACTTCCATCAGAAGGAGTCTTGGGGATAAGACTTCCTAGATGGCTGGCTAGGTCTTGGGCAGCACAATGGATGGCCATGTTCAAGTGAGCGAAACAGTCCAAAGGTAGGCACAAGAGAAGAAACTCAACAGGAAGCTTGAGCGAGCTTAGCAGACACTATGGCGTATGCTAGTCTCAATACAGCTAGGCTCTGTGCTAAAAAGTCACATTGGCCAAACTGCCCGCAGTCGTCACCACCCACAACGACCAGGCAAGCATCGCACACACGCGGAGTGACAGTCCGTTGTGACACAAGAGAGAGAGAGAGAGAGAGAGAAGGAGAGAGAAGTCTCATGTCTGGCAAAGAGCAATGTGTGTCACCTGGTGACCTTTATGGGCCCAGACAACATCAACGTGTTCTAGTTAGCCCAGCTGTCATGACTACTTATCTACTCGTCCTGCATTGGCACGTTGTGGATATGCCCTCAGTAAAGAAGAAGGAGAGCTCCTGGGGATGCTGCGAAATACTCAACATCGAGGGACTTTGAGAAGGCGGGGGTTCTTGCCGCATCCCAAAGCCTCCCGCCAAGGAATGGCACATACATAAACCTGCTCTTGTCTGCTTTCTCCAGAGTAAATACACTCTCCCCTCTCACCGCTACCACCGTCCTGACCATCCTCGCCTGTTATAATCCTGATCTGTTACCATTACCACCCCCTTCACTGTCACCACCATGAGGGACCCAAATTCTCTCGGTTCACAGCCAACTGCTGATCGTGTCGTACCAATTGTCGTCGGCGCCGCCGAGAACCTTTCGAATGTGCTTGCGAGTGATCAGGGCGATACCACCACACAGCTCCCAGGTCACCCCGTCAGTCCATTCGGCCAAACGGAAATCATGCTCAGCTCAGTGACCAACAAGCTCGACTCAATGACCAACAAGCTCGACTCAACGATTAATAAGCTCGACTCAATGACCAACAAGCTCGACTCGGTGAACAACAAGCTCGATTCCATGTGCAACAAGCTCGACTCCATGTGCAACAAGCTCGACTCGACGGACAAGTTTAACTCACTGGACAACAAACTCGACGCTCTTACTGCTCGAACCATGGCAAAGTCAGTCCTGTCCCCACCGTGAGCCGACGACAATGAATGCTGACTCTATAGTGCACATAACAGTATGGCGCGACTCCAGAACGGGCATAGCCACTGGCACGAGGAACCCCTTGTACCACTCGTGAATCCTGCCACCAATGCCGCCATTCCAGGGTTTCCTCCGTCATACTCAGACGTTACAGACAACATGGATGATCAGGGGCTTGATGCTGTCTTACGGGAGTTGGAGTTGTCGACTGAGGGAAACGCGCTAGAGAAGAAGAGACGCATCAGGCAATTCATCGGTATCAAACCGTTACGGGGATATTAAAGAGCCATCCAACCAAGCCTGACGAGAGTCACCCACACCGCCTTACTATCACGGTCTTTCTCAAACATTTGTTAGCAGCCTGTGCGTCTTATACATGGGATGCCGGCCTCCGCCGTCACATCAGGGGGCATTGGGCCTAGGGAGCGGCTCTTCCAGACGGAAATCTCACCTCCAGCAGTCTTGACAGCTTTTATGTTGTATAGACATGTATTCCTTCTTCGACCTCGGAGCGTATGTGGCCCTGGAGGTCGTGGGGTCTGTCTCTGTCTTACTGTACCGAGTATCTAGCCTCAGTATGGTGCTGAAGACGCATCGGCATCATCATGAATAGCTCCAATGCGAAGTTTTACTACCATGCATGCGTCCTCCCAGTACCTTTTCTACTGACCGTTTTCTACCCGATCCCCTTGCCGGGGCAAAACTTCAAGACCCCAGCTAGATAGGTCGACCATCTCTCCGCCGAATATCTGATCCGAGATCAAGATAGCTCCTACCACTCTGCCGTATGCCCTGCGCGTCAGCCAGCCTCGAGTCACGCTCCGCCTTCACCGGTAGTGCACAGTGGCATGGGGGCTGAATGGGCTCGACGAATTCTCAGTCCATTGTACGGTACATGCCTCATCTGCGGCTTCGGTGCGCGCCAGGGTTGATCCAACAGGTAAAGCCTTTGCTCCTGGGTATCGCGAAGATGCTGCTGCACGGATGGGAAGACTGGCTCGTTGGAAAACGCCTTGGTTTCAGTTTCAAGTCCTTTCCTAGTGCGCGGGGACTACCGGGCACCTCTCGGCACCGTGGCACCCACCACCTACTGTCAGTAAGATTCATGGATCGTGGGGGGGAACCCTCTCTAAGCTCATTAGGCGTGAAGAGTAATAGAGAACGGGGCGCGTCAACCCCGGAACTATTGCCTGCGGTACTACAGTGGGTAACATAACGAACCAACCAATGCCCAAAACTGCCGCCGCAGACTACTAGATAATATGTAATCAACCCCCAGGCTGGTCGACCCGATACACGCACTCGGCCACATTGAACCAGCCCTCATATTCGATCTCATCCCTCGTCTCGTCCAGGTCGTAGTGGTAGTGACCCCCCTTGGTGGTCTCTGCATCGGTATCCGCACCAAATCCTCCAGCAGACACGGTGAAGCAATGCGTGTGTTCCATGCGCAGGCCCAGCCCCCCGTCGTGACCCGAGTGCAACACGCTCAGACACACCAAGGGCCCCGTGCCCTTCTGCTCGTCGGCCTCGCCCCCAAACGACATATCAAAGTACCGCAGCCACCGTTCGAGGTCGGCCCGCGACGTGAACGGCTGGGCTGGGAAGTCCGGCATGACGTGCAGCTTGGCCGTGCCCTTCTTGATCAGGAACACGCCGCCAAGTGAGATGAGCTGTTGGTCCCCAAACGCGGCCCGGAGGGCGTGCTGGATCGTCGCGGTGAAGTTGAGCGGACCAGTACGTGTCCGCGCCGTGACGTGCAGGCACTCGACCGGCACGCCGTCGCAGCAGAACAGGTTGCACATGAAGGCGAAGCCCGTGTTCGCGTGCGGGATGGGCGCGCAGCACACCGTGTCCGCAGGCGTGATCTTCGCATAGTGCGTGCGGTTGCGGACGACCTCGACCCCCCCGACACCCTGGCCGGCAGCGGCCCCGTACGCATAGTTAGGCATGAGCTCCGCGTTCTGCCCCAGCACGTCAAAGGGCCCGGCCCCGGCACCGAGCAGGAAGCCCGTGGTAGGGGACATGTCGGCTTGCCGCGCGATGGCCGCGAGGTCGTACCTCTTGGTCAAGTTGGGCGAGGGAGAGAGGTTTGGCGGCCCGCCCACCTCGACGATGCGGGGAGATCCACCCAGGCCCGGTCCTGCAAGGTGGTAGGGCGCATGAGTCAAGTCCGGAGGGGTCGACACTGTACATGAGGACACGGCAAAGTTGGAGGAGAGGCCCGAAGCGATGGCATCGGCGAGAGACGCCAGCGAAGGCGGCGACAGCTCAACCTTCTTGACCGGCCAAGGACTGTCAGAAGCCATTGCTGCTGATTGTCATTGGAATCCGACAGAGAGACTTGTCGTGGATGCAGGCAGGCCTTCTATTGTGTGTGGTTCACTCGTCGCAGAGTGATTATCACCCTGTCAAAGACGGCGAGACGGATATAAGCCACGACGCCGTGAACCTCGGACATGGGAAAACCGTGGACGGAACAACAATCTTCCGGCGTCCAAAAGTACGAGGCGTGTAATAACGTCGAGACACCAGCAAGCAAGACCATCCCAGCGCCACACAATGCAAAGCGACTGCCATCACTGGTGAATGCCCATAAGCCAAAAGAGATGGCAGACGTAGGTCGCCTCTACGTCAAGACGGTTTCCAGCCATTGACTGCGGTCGCCGCCGGTCGGCGGCTGGCTGTCTGGACAGTACTTGGACCGCAGCTGCTCCAGATCCTCGACGATCCGGTGCAACTTCATCCCGTGGCAAAAGAAGATGGCTCGCTCCAACGACACGTAGTAGCCGTTGTGTGTAGGCCCGCCCCTTTTGGCCGTGATGATGGACCGATGGGCCGCCCGGTAAAAGACCTCGCCCGCCTCATGGTAGATCTGCGAGATGTTGACGTTCAACGCCGGCAGCATGACTGAGATGCTCCCTCCTCCAACCTTCAGGTATTGGGTGCGAGGGCGAGGGCGAGGATTCCTGGGCTTGCCATGGGCCGCGCGTGGGGGGAGAACAAGAGGGAGAGGGCGGTCAGGGGTTGGAAGAACAGGAAGAACAGGAAGAACGGGACGAACGGGGAACTGAGGTGGGAGTGTTATGGAGAAAAAAGGGTCCGCATCGACTTGCGCAGGCCTGCGAGTCCACGTCTGTGAGGGAGGAATCGGTGGAGGACGGGGTCTCAGAGCCCGCAATCTCCTCTGGCGAGGACCAGGCGACGATGGCATGCGTGCACCAATGCCAAAAGGCGTGGGAGTTTCTGATGCAACCAGAGGTGTGGCTTTTCTGATTATTGTTGTTGTCGGCATCGCCCGGCTGGCTTCTTCGGCAGCGACGTCTGGCATCTCTTTCTCTCCCTCGAACTCAAGCATGTCTTCAGGTCTCACCCCTTCATCGTCGTCCAGCTCCTGGCTTTGCTTGCGGACAACAGTGGTGGCCTCTGGGAAAGTACTCGGCCTGGACTCGACCGCAGAAACAAGGCTATCAGGGGAGGGATATCCAGGTGGTGGTGATAGCATGCGAGGGAATGGGTGTCTCTGCGGGATGCACTTGTATTGAGGACTGGTTTCCGTCTGTCGCAGCTCTCCCTCGAGAGCTCTCTGCTGGCCCAGCAGGATCTAAGAGGCATATAGCTTCAGTATGTTGTATGCCGAAGCCAAGATGACCAAATCAATAAATATGCAAGGATGCTTACCGTCCTCTGTGTCTCGATATCTTTGCTAAAACGAGCGAATGCATTATTCTCCCACGCTCGACAGGCTTGAACTCGGTTGTGAAGAGGTTGACGGCGACGCCTGAGCACAGCATCGTCCTCTTCTCGCCGCTTGAGCACCTCTCTGAACTGGTCGACGCCTCTGTCCTCGATGACATGCAGAGCCTGGAGGCGAAATTCAATCTCGCAGGGACATTCAGCCTCTCCCCCTCGGGGAGGCAGCGGAGGTGGCACGGCCGGACCACGGCGTGGAATAGTAGTGGTGGACAGTCCGTCCTGTGCAGACTTGAGCTTTTCCAAGAGGGCCTCTATCGAGGGAGGTGGGATGCTGCTCTCCGTTGATACAGACATGGAAGCTTCAATCCAGATTTCGTGTGTAACACAAGGCGATGATCAACAGTGTTCAACGCTCAGAGCAAGGTTGTCCTAGATCGAAGGGAGCTTTTTGTTGATGTTTACAGGGCACGTTGCAGGGGTCGGATAGTCTTCACCAGTATAAAAGGTTCGTTCTGGAGAGCTGGGATTTGGGACACTGGGAGTTTTCTCAGACAATCATTGCACAAGATGAGAGAGCACGGCCCAGCTAGTGTTGTCGGCTTATATCTCCTCATGTGACTCTATGGTGCTGTGCTGTTGTGTCGTCGAAGAGGCGTTTGTGGCTTCCTGCCGCCTACCTTGACGCGAGGATAGATCTTAGCACACCTCCGCGATCACCCTCCTAGTGTCCAAACTCCATGTCTCAGATGGCCCTCCCGATGGTCGATCTCCTGGTCCCCTGTACTGCGTGCAGTGTGCCTCTTCAGCCCGGTCAGAAGCATATCTCTCCCCTGTCACAGTACTGCAGCGGCTTACCTTTCACACCTTCTAGACCATTTTGAGTATGGAGTCTTTTTCTTGCACAGGGCGTGGTCGCCGTAGATACTGGACGAGGAGCTTGACGCGGAAGTATATGCAGATTAGCGGCAAGCAGGCTCCACCGATAAGTCCAACGAAAGGGCCCAGAAGGATGATCAGAACCGCCGCGATTTTCTCGTAGACCCAAGAACGTCGACTCCGTTGGTCCAAGATTTCTTCCATACCGGGGGCTGTTGATCTGGGTTTCGGATTGTTCAAGAGATCTTCACCCTCTTTTGCGTCGGGGATGTTGCTGGGCTGTGAGGCAAGAAAATGAGGCTGGAAACCCTGGTATCGCTATTATGGGTGGGTTTGGGGGCGTAACATCTTTCCACACCACTCGTGCAATCGGCGAGGCCGGGATCTCGTGAGCTGATCCCTGCTCCAAGAGTGCAGACTGTCAGTGGCGCTTGGCGTGGCCTTCTAGGGCGAGAGTAGCCACCATGGGCATGGTCCTTATTGGTACTGTCGCTGGCCTGCCGTGCGAAATGCTCGTATTCGCAGCCCAAATGCCAACTCCTGGTCTTGGAAGAACATGATGACTATACCGTTGCAGGTCGCCATGGCCAGGGTTGTTCAATCAATCGGATAGACGGGATTAGTCAATTTTGTCTCTGCTAACGCGCCCATGCCATCACATAGGCTGCTGGATACCACATTTCGGCCAATTCTGGTCGAATTCGCCTGCTGATATCCGTGTCTTTCTGGTTGACAGGGCGGGGAACCTAGCGGAGGGCCAGTCCATCTCCACCATTGACGCCTAGAAGTCTGGACAGAAGACATGGACTGAGGCTGCAACAGAGTACGGCGGCTCGCCAGGCGCTAGAGATGGTCATTTGAGTCCAAGTTCATGCGGGACTATTCTCCGCACCTGCAGCAGCTGAAAGTTCCCACGTCCTCGTGTAACCCGGTGCGTCAAGTGTGTTGGAATGCCGGGAAAAACGGGAGATTTGGCTAGTGGCGACCCCCGACCTTAATCGATCGACATTTGAAGCGCCCCGGCTTCGTAGGGAGGCTCGTTAGCATGGCCCAAACACCAATCAAATATCCGTGCTCGTCCCTGGCGGTGGAGTTTCAGCCGTGAAAAACGACAGGTCAGATTTGAACGTCCCTAGAGCTGTCGCTGTGGCGTTGCTCTGGACGGCCTGGTCGACGTCCGGTTCGAATGTGCAGCGAATGCCCTTGGACGAGAATCACTCCCCATTGAATCATCCCGCCATTCATTGGCAGAACAGCCTCGCTCTCCACAGCTGCGGCTGCATGGAGAGACTATGCAGCCCTCTGGAGCGATGGTAGACACCCAGGCTGCTCGACCACAGTCCATGCTTTTTGTTCACCGTAAGGGCTAGGTGCATAAGCTCTTACCAGCCTTTGCCTTTTTAGTTATCTCTTGTGGAGCGGCTCAAGAAAGGACAGAAAGCAAACTAGAGCCCTGAAGCTAATATCAGCCATTACGCAATTACCTCATGTCAGATACGGGACAAGAAGCCAAGCTTGGGGATGGCGGGCCGGGAAACTATGGGGACGACGTCTCGGGTTGTGCTTCAGGTAGGCAGGTGTCAGTGCCCCAGCAGGGAGCAAAGTGAGACACCGGCCATGTTGTGTGTGTGGAAGACAATGGTCATTCATTCGCAGGCTATCGAAAGCTGCCTTGTTGTCTTCCAAAGGGGGCGAATGGTGTGACGTGACCCAAGAGATCATCCTGGAGCAAGGAAACAGCGAACATAAATCGGTGAGGTAGAATACGACGTCCCGGTGGTGGCAGAAGTCCTCCCCCCTGCCTTACACACCGTCTTTGACAGGTCAACGTGTCTCCAGGTCCATGCACAAATGGATCCTGGTCAGTTTTCCAGTGAGGACCCCGGGTCACAGGAAGACGGATTTGAAGTCTCCGCGTTGACTCTGCATCATGGCCAGCCCATCCCGTGGAGAAATCCTTTGTTGATATCCGGGAAGCGCCATCTTCTCAAAAGCCATGCCATCACCATGTGCAGATGGACGCGGAAACATCCTGGTCATGGTTGACGTTGACGCGTCTCGTCGATCGCCTGTTACTCAGTTCGGTCAGCTGGTAATTTCAGTCAGTCTTCATAGGGGCAGAGTTGGAACCGCATACGAGAGCAAGTGTGCTCTGTTTCCTAGCCTGCTGTGGAGGAGAGAAATTCACACGTCGGGATCAATCCATACCTATCCAGGTCCCCTTCAAAACAGCCTCTCAGTACGCCGAGCAAGGCCTGCATCCGCCCTAAGGCTGCACTCCCAGTCAGTTCAGCTCCAGCTGCCCCCGTGTCGCCAGCCAGGTATCCGTCCATGTATCGTTCCAGTTGTGGTCACAAGCGTAATCAATCATCTCCCCACAGGGGCGGCTAGCTTCTGCTTCTTGGAACCAGATGCGCTCGTTGAATTCTTGGAACGAATGGTAGAACTCGGTTGAATCTTCCGTCTCTTTGTTTAGCCTGTAGAGAGAGAAAACTTCCAATGCCGGGACACCGTCGTCATCCAGGCTCATTCGGACAGCCACAATTTTGCCCGGCGCAATCGTGGTGAGATCACTGTCTGAGGGGCGTTCACCCTTTCGGCACACCGAAACCTTGCGCCAGATCTCGGACTTTTCGTCTGCTGCCTCGCTTCGGTGAAATAGCACCAGAATAAACCTGCTCACCTCGACTTCTTCGCTGAGTCTGCTGGACTGGACTTTCATGAGCGTGGCGGGGTGGTGCAGGCGATGTAGGTCCATTCTGAAAAGAGTATTGACTAGGTCTTGCAAGCCCGGCAGTTGGGACAGGCGATTGAATCTGTCTCTCACGGCGGAGAGAACGCTTGCGAATGGCCAGATTGTGGTGTGGTCTCTCTTTTTGCCAGAGTGATGGATCTGAAGGGCTTCGTCCAGCCCATCATCGTTGGCCTCCACCATCAGGCAGTGTAGGACCGAGACGAAGAAAGTCAGCTGTGGGCATTCAGAAGAAGGATAGTAGGCGACGGCGTGGAAAGGAACCCAACTAGCAATGGGAGAGATCTGGGAGACCGTAGCTGGTGTAATTGGGGTAGTTGACCTCGTCCTTTCGCCAGATGCAGGAACACTTGCGGACTGCGTGACTGTCATGGTGACGGTTGTTTTTCAGGGTCAGAAATAATATTTCCAGTGGCAGTGCTTTGTTTCAGCGGAGCAGTGTACATGTCAGGCAGTCCAGGCACTGAGGTGATTGCCGTTGCATGCGCCCGGCAGGTTAATCAAGTAGAAACGCAATCCTGGTGAGAAAAGCGACGGAGATGGTGTGGTATTAAGAGAATAGCGAAGTCGATCCTGAATATAAGAATACAGTGGAATGCGAGAGAGGTAGACGGTTAGCTGCTAGATGCTAATGGGACGCCCCGTTTGGAGGAGCTGTAAGGGATGAGCGATGAGGGATCCGTCGTCCACGTCATGAGACCAGGGTTGTAGATGTCGACAATCCGAAATCTATCCTCAAAAGGCAGGAATCAGCCAGATAAAGTAAGGGGGGCAGGGAAGATGGAGAAGACAGCTAAGGGGGAGGAAGAGGTGGGAGGGCAGGAGGGAAGCAGTAGGTGAGGAACAAAGACGCCATTACTCTGCTCTTCGCTACGGTCACAGGAAAGTGGCTGCCGTGGCTATTGACCTGCCACTCCGCTGTTTGATCTTTTTGGCCTCTTTGGCCACTTACCTGCGTTCAGCACTCCCTCCCGGAGGCACTCGGGCCCCCCTTTCGAGGTCTGATCTTCTCAATCTGATATCGCACAGGCCTAGCAGTCTCATCCCACCACATACATGTCTGATGCCGCGAGTGCTGCTCGGATTTGCCCACCAAGAACTTGAGTGGCTGCTGCTGACCGTCTTTCCCCAGTGGAGGTAACCGCAGCCACAGAGGTGCAAACAATGAGCCATATCGAAGACAGCCTGCAGCATCGAACCGTTTCTGCCAGTAAAACATAAGTAGTTAAGAAGGCAAGAGGATTCGTCCAAAGTCCCACTCGCCGAGGACATGTTTCTGAGCTCAACACCGGAATCTTGTGGATCTAGAGCTCCGCCCAACAGCGACGTCTGATGATGGCCAATACGGTTCTTCGCCAGGTGTAAGCAGCAAAGCTCTAGCCGCCAATCTCTCTGACATGGCACCTCCAGCGACCGGAGCTGAATTGCTGGCGAAGACTGTGTGATCGGGCGAGGCTTGTGCACCATCTGACGTGACAGGCCGGCGAATCGGACGGAGCTTGAACTTCAAGGAGGCTTCCTCCATGACCCCTAAGGCCAGTCTTTTACCATTAAGGGATTGAATTTGGGCCTATATTAGTGGAAGAGGGTTGTTCTGGACAAAGAATATGCTGCCGATAACCATCCTGATGCTTTGATCGTGCATAAGTCTGACAGGATCTGGAGGATCACCCCACCCGGAGCTAACTCCCAGATCTGGGGCAATGGAAATTTGAGAGAACGTGGGAACAAGAACCGCAGGAAGGGTTTTCTTCACGCGATCAGTACCACATGCGCGGATGGAGTAGATCACAAGTATGATTTCTTTTTCGACAGCCGGCTTACCATTGCTTATTTAGAACAGCATTGGGGTATTTAATGTCGTCTTGCGGTAGCTCGGACAGACCTGTAGAGAAGTGGTAACCCTTGCAGGGGTCGTTACGGCAACAAGGTGGTGCCAGTGCTTGAGAGGTTCAAGTTCGGCCTTGCGCAGAGAAGGCACAAGGCTCCAGGCGGAAAGGGGTCAAACTCACCACCCCAGCGACGATGTACCAAGTACTTTGCCGTAGTTTCTATCGTCTACCCTACACTGAGTTCTCATGGTTGCGATCGAGTGAGGTAGTGGTAGATGGATCGAGGACTCTGGGGGGCGCTCACGAATAGCAAACAAGCAAGCGCCAGGTGCCAGCCCAGTTTGATCAGGTCGAGAGAAATGTCGCCGAATGGGAGAATTCATCCAGTAATAAATGTTGTGGCTTTTCTTTCTATATTCGAATGGGAAGATGAATGCGTTGGGCAGCTCTGCATCATGGTTTGCATTTGGAACTTGCATGCTGCAGTCTTCGCCTCACCTTTGGGCACCCGGAATGAAACTTTCTTTCTCTCTCTTCCTCGATACGACTGGGCGCGGTGAGAATCGAGAGCATGAGACGGGATTGAGGGCAGCTGCAGCGAAGGTCAAAGGCGGTAGGCGTGATGGTTGGCTTGCTAGGTCGGCAAGTATTGTCCTCATCCGCAGTGTTCGTAGGCAAGCCAAGGCGCATCCAACAGGCCAGCCCGTGAAACAGTCGGCCAGTTGAGCGGTTTGCCAGAGGAATCACGTTCCTTTGTTGGACGCGGAACTGGCACCAGCAGGGGGTTTTGACTAGGTTTTGGGTTTTTCGCTAACGGCGCCGGGTTGAGGAGCCAGGGTTGATGAGATTCTGGAGGGCTCAAGCGGCAGCGGCAGCGACGGCAAGGGCGATAGCAAGAGATTTAGGCGTAGGACTCTGCCCGTGAGAAGAAGTATATACAACAGAGTGTGAGAGGAAGAGATGGACAGTGGGAGAGTAGAGATAAAAGATAGCATGGAGACAGGAAGTGCAGCCTGCGTTTCTACTCGGCACTCTTTCCCTGTCTTTCTTCTGCACCAACAAACCCCGACAAAACAGTATATAATCGACACCGCGGCGTGGTGAAACGCCCTGCGTGGTGAAATAGCCGGACGGTACTTCGACTTCCTCCACGCTGTGACCGCCACACACTCAGGCGACCATTGGGCCAGATACAAATGAAGGATGGGAAGCCATGAACCTATCTCATATACGGTCTCTGTTTAACAATACGCGACATTGACTCTGTTAACTCTCGGTTCCTCAGCCAGGTGAAAAAGTGCAGAAACTGTCTACTGCCTCTGGAGACCACAATACCGGTTTGGGGAGCTTTTCAGCACGAGAGGAATAGAAAATTTACGGTTGTGGATCGTAGTATTAATTATTATGTTCGTAGCCACCACTATCTACGATATGTGCTGCCATATCCCGCCATAGACCACTCCGGTCAGGTACTTTCACACTGATCGACAAACAGCGGAAGACCGACCCGAGGATGACGGGGCGTAAATGCTGTACCCCGTAAGAGGTAGCCAATGTTGTGGCTCAAAGTCACCGCCACGTGGCTAGTGGCATCTTGCCGCCCTGAATGCACACTGCTGGGATATGACGCGTGATCCCAATCAATGGTCGCATTTCATCTCCCCAGTTGCGGACCCTGCGTCCCACAGACACTATACACAAAGCCTCAGCGCCAAACACCACAGCCTAAGCGCCCAGCAGCTGAACCACCTAAGGCTGTCGAGGACGCCGCTGTTTCCGCAGCGCGACAGTACCGGCTCTGCTCCCTATTCTATATAGTACGAATGGAATGTTATTGTACATGCATCGCAGAAACAAATTCTCATATCAATAACTATAGCTGTCCACCATCTGTACTGCCATCCCATACTCATAACACCCTTGTCCGGTACTTCCTCGCAGATCCGCAAATAGCCGAGGACTGGACTGAGTACGATTGCACAAGTAACGTGCAGCCACACCAGCCAGAACAGCGCGGCTTAGCGATCTTGCCGCCTCAATGCCACTATAGAATCTACACGTGATATCCCAGGTTGCCACGTATTGTGCCAGTGCTCTCCAATTCAGCCTTGATCTGCCCTGTGTTATAGTATAGGCATAAGCCCTGCACCTGCCTAAGCGTCCTGCTGCCATCAGCTCGGCGGCCAGCAGAGCGCACAAGATGTCGCTGTTGTTACACCGCCCGTGTTTCATGACCTGTTCTACGACCTGTGGCGGAGACAACAGATTCCTGATGTGAATGCCATGTCGCCACCGTCCAACGTTCTTTCTTCCCTTCCTGTCACATTGTAAGCCTTATTAACGTTTCTTTCCAAATGCTTGGATGCTCAACGTCCAGCTGATTCGGCCTTTTTCGTGTCTAGCGCTGAATTGGCCTCCTCAGCCTGACCGTAGCATACTGAAGCCCGGTATCTATCCTCAGCCGCGTCCCTCTCCTTCCTTCTGCCACGCCCTTTCTCCCATCTCAGACGAATCATCGCACACTTGCTCAGCATTCCTCTCTAGCTGCATCAACCTTTTAAAGGCTGAGGAGTTCCTCAACACCGCAGGAGTCAGTCCGACGTGACCTGAGATCTTTCCACCTGCGGTTTTTGACTCCTCGCGATGCCGAGCCTTGCCGTTCAGAACTACTACGTTGGGTGGATATGCGCACAGAACATCGAATTAACCGCCGCCATAGCCATGCTGGACGAAGAACACGAGATGATAGCAGGACAAGACACGCAAGATCATAACAGTTATGTGTTGGGCCGTATGCACCAGCATAATGTGGTGATTGCCTGTATGCCCGAGGGAGTGGATGGGTTAGTTCCTGCGGCCAACGTTGCAAAGGACATGGCGAGGACGTTCCCCGCGCTCCGGATCGGGCTGACGGTTGGCGTTGGTGGCGGCGTTCCAGCCTTGGCCAAAGGAATCGACATTCGCTTGGGGGATGTTGTGGTGAGCAAACCCGAGAAAACTTGGGGAGGGGTAGTGCAATATGACAAGGGCAAAGCGGAGGCGGGAGGGAAGTTTGTGGTCAAAGGGAAGCTCAATCAGCCCCCTGCTCTCCTATTGCACACTCTGACCCAACTCCGGGCACGACATACTATGCGTCCGAGCAAGGTGCCAAATTACATTAAGGAAGCGATCAGACGAAACCCTATGATGGAGGAATACGGCTTCACTCTTCCAACCGAGCCCGATTGCTTATACTGCAGTATCTGCGACAAAGATATTGAAAACCCAGCGGCTAACTGCAAAGGGTTCCATGCTAAGCGAAAACAACGGAAGAATAACAACCCGATGGTTCACTACGGAGTGATCGCGTCAGCGAACCAGGTGGTGAAGGATGCGGCAGTACGAGACCGATTGCGAGATGAATATGATGCCTTGTGTGTGGAAATGGAGGCCGCCGGACTGATGAATGAGTTTCCGTGTCTTGTAATCCGCGGCATCTGTAATTACGCCGATATGCACAAGAACGATGCGTGGCACGCGTATGCTGCGATAACTGCGGCTGCATATGCCAAAGAATTCCTTCAATACATCTCACCGGCGCAGACGAAGCTGACAAAGCCCATTCAAGACATCGTGGGTAAGTAGCACCAGTTAGGTGGTGAATAGTATTAGTCTTTTCTAAGACATTACTGATGTTCGAACTACTCTCTATAGCCTCCCTCGACAACCATCTAGCTAAACAATCAAGCTTGGTGGAAGAGCATCTTCATGAGGTCAAACGAGAACATGAGAAACAGGAACAGCGGTATAAGAATGATCACCACCGTCAATGTCATCGAGTATTCAAAACAAGCACATATGAACAATTCAAGGATGTCAATCCCGATCGGGTAGACGGTACTTGTCAATGGGTGTTGTCTCATACCCAATATATCTAATGGTGCACAAATACTCAGGACGACTTACTCTGGATTTCGGCTGATCCGGGCTGCGGTAAATCAGTTCTCGCCAGGTCACTTATTAACAACGAACTTCAATCCTCGGACGAACATACCATATGTTATCTCTTTTTTCCAAGATAACGAGGAGCAGGATAGCTTGACGATGGCTCTTTGCGCCCTCCTGCATCAACTGTTCTCCCAGAAGCCTCAGCTGATCCACAATGCCCTTCCGGCATGGGAGAAAAACGGCAAGAAACTTGTGAAAGAGGTGGCGGAGCTATGGCGAACATTGCTCGCGGCCGCGAAGGATGACCAGGTTCACGATGTGACGTGCGTACTTGACGCACTGGACGAATGCCGACTGTCCGACCGAAATGCTACTGATTGGAATGTTGGCCGACTTTTACACTCAGACATCACGCTCTCCTTCTCGAACTCGAGTAGGGCGACTGAAATTTCTTGTGACCAGTCGGCCATACGATGATATTCAAGCGGGTTCCGGCAGATTCCCGACAATCTCCCAACGATCCGACTTCGTGGTGAAGAAGAGAACGACCAAATCCACGGAGAAATTGACTTGGTCATCCGAATGCGAGTGGCACAACTCGCGGCAGACCTGAGATTGGATGGCCACATAAAGGACCAACTAGAAACGAAACTGCTAGAGATGGAACATCGCACGTACTTATGGCTCCATCTCGCTATTGAAGGTATCTATAAGACGTACCAGAGCAGTTTGCGACCTGAGGAAGTATCGATCAAGTCTCTCCCCGTAAGTGTTGAAGACGCCTACGAGAAATTTTTGAATCGTATCAGTGGGGAGCAGAAACGCAATGTGTACAAGATTCTACAAATTGTGGTCGCCGCACGACGCACTAACCGTTCAAGAGATGGCCATCGCTCTTGGGATAGCATCGTCAACACTCGCTACCTCCCTGTACAAGGTCAAACTCGACCCTATCAGGCAGGAGCGTAATATTCGTGATTGGTGTGGTCTCTTTATCTTCATAAATCATGCTCGAATATACCTCATTCATCAGACAGCCAAGGAGTTTTTGATCCAGGACAAGAACTGCACTACCTTTTCATCAGGATGGAAGTACTGCCTGGATCCGCAAGGAATCCAGAAAGAGATGACTCGAATATGTGTTGAATATCTATATTTGGAAGATGTTTGGCCCACGGCGGAAACGCTTATCCGGAAGTTCCAAAAATATCGGAGATTTGACAAGATTTTGGAGAAAGACAACCACATCCAAAGCCTTTTGGCCTATTCAGCAGAACACTGGCCGTCTCATCTACGAGAAGCATCCTTACCTCAAGATGATTTGGCAACATTTCGGATTCTTGGGTTTTATCAGGTCAACAGCAAGTTGTGCAATCTCTGGTTCCCAATATTTTGGCAGGCGACGAGGCCATATGACGATCTTCCGGGGATGAGTGCGATACGACTTGGGGGATTACTGGGCCATGAAAATGTATTGGAGTTGACTTTACAGCGGAAAAACGATTACGATATTGACGAATCAGGCAGAGACGGCCGAACAGCATTAATCTGGGCAAGTGAGTATGGCCACGAGATGATTGTGCAGACACTTCTTGAGCGAGGAGCAGATATCAATGCCCAAGGAGGACTCTATGGCAATGCACTCTATGCGGCATCAGCGCGTGACCACGAGACGACTGTGCAGACACTTCTTGAGCGAGGAGCAGATATCAATGCCCAAGGAGGACTCTATGGTAATGCACTCCAAGCGGCATCAACGCGTGGCCACGAGACGATTGTGCAGACACTCCTTGAGCGAGGAGCAGATGTCAATGCCCAAGGAGGTGGATATGGCAATGCACTCCAAGCGGCATCAGAGGGTGGCCACGAGACGATTGTGCAGACACTCCTTGAGCGAGGAGTAGATGTCAATGCCCAAGGAGGTAGATATGGTAATGCACTCCAAGCGGCATCAGAGGGTGGCCACGAGACGATTGTGCAGACACTCCTTAAGCGAGGAGCAGATGTTAATGCCCAAGGAGGTGGCTATAGTAATGCACTCCAAGCGGCATCAGTGGGTGGCCACGAGACGATTGTGCAGACACTTCTTGAGCGAGGAGCAGATATCAATGCCCAAGGAGGATTATATGGCAATGCACTCCAAGCGGCATCATACCGTGGCCACGAGACGATTGTGCAGACACTCCTTGAGCGAGGAGCAGATATCAATGCCCAAGGAGGATTATATGGCAATGCACTCCAAGCGGCATCATACCGTGGCCACGAGACGATTGTATAGACACTCCTTGAGCGAGGAGTAAATGTCAATGCCCAAGGAGGATTATTTGGCAGTGCACTCCAAGCGGCATCAGAGGGTGGCCACGAGACGATTGTGCAGACACTCCTTGATGCAGGGGCGGAGGAAATATGGCCGCAGTAGAAGTGGGATTGATCGGTGTCGTCCTTTTAGCGAGGAGTGCAGTACAATCTAACTTAGAAGAATTGAAAGTCACAGACCAACTCCATCAGCACTCTGGCATCGTTATTCATTCTAATAGCTCATCAACCTCTTCTTCGCCCGCGCTTCATTATTTGCACTAATTCTGGTTCGGTCTCTGGTCCACCACCAACCGCTTAACTGTCTTTTGGTGTAGTCGATCACCTCCACTGTCAACCGTCTAAACGACGTGGCCACGTTGTGGTCGAAGGTTATGGCAAGGAATGGGGGTCTGCTCAGGGGAGGAAATCTCTCAACCGGAACTTCTTCGACTTCGAGTGTGTCGAAGAGATGATGACTTCGCCGCCGAGCCCGTGGACGGCCACGCCACCAAGGTAAGGCCGCCGTTAGCGGAACAGGCTCAACAATGACAAACCGCAGATGGGGAGTCCGGTGTAGAGACTTAATCGATTGTAGTTAAAGTCGGTAGATCATCTGTTGGCGGGTGTACGAGCGAAAAACTCCATATAGAGGTAACTGCGCAGGTCAGGCGGTCAGGTAGCGTTCAGATCAGGTTGATCGTCATCGACTATGGCATATCAAGCGAGGGGAAAGGGGTGCTGTTCGAAGACGCAATATCTTGGATGCTTCCAGCCTTCAGCCGCAGGGCGCTTAGGCATGCGCCAGGCTTTGTGTAACGTGGCAGAAGACTAGCAGATACAGGCGGGAGAGCAAATTATGACAAGTCCAAATATCACGTGCAGACGTGCGGGGAAGGAAGAATAATCCTTCAGTCCCGCATCCAGGTGACGGGCGCCTTTCCACATACAGCCAGGCGAGTACGCGCCTTAGCCGGTGACCAAGCCAGAGTTAGTCAAGTGGCTTTTTCAGGATTGGAAGCCACCTGCCGTCATGACCCCCGGCCTGCGATCCAGTGCTTTGTGAGGGAGAGGAATAGAGAGCTGTAAAATTCCTGATCAGAGGCCGTGCAGACTTACATCGCACAGTTGAATGAAAATCCCGTGTTTCGCCGTTGCCAGCTAAAATATGAACGTTTCAAGAGCCGAACCAGGCTGTGGCACAACTAATAGACGTTCAGGACAAGCAGAGCCAACTGCTCCTGACCAGACAACACCATCTGACAATATCAAGGCCCATATACCATTTCACTCCAGCTTGTGATTCCTCCAATTCATGAGCAGACAGACTATACCGAAAAGTCAGCACATCACCAGCTTGAAGTCGTCCCATATCAAAGCCACCGCCTCTCTGCCCCATTTTCCCACGATCAAGCCCGCCTAAGCCATATCCAGTCTCGTTTTCATGAGATGCATACGTCTGTTCATTTTGTCGCGTAGGAAGGACAGCTCGTCGCGGTATGTGATCCAGATCCTGAGTTTGTTCTCGACAACTTGTTCACTCTGTAGGGCTTGCAGGAACACGTCGGTTTTGCAATGGAGCCCAATAATTTCGTACATCTCGTCAATGCTTTCGTCATGGGCGTACTCGTCGCCCTTGGCCACTTCTGTGACACGCTGGCCGAGATAGTCGGAGGCTGTACCCATCATAGACGTTGTCAAGGCACCATGGATGGCGCCCAATTGACGTGACCAAGAATCCAATAATGAACCCGGCGGAATTTCATCTGCCAGCTCTGCAGGATAGAGCCACAGCAGGAGACTGAGGGAGTCGTAGGTCTCCCACAACCTTTTCAACAGCTTCACCACAGATGGAGGCTTTGAGACAAGATCGAAGCGTCAGTGATGGCGGCTATCTGGGGGGAGGAACCAACACAGTACCCCATAAGCGGTGATGATGGACTCGTCCTGAAGAGGATTGAGTCCTCGACCTGGCCCGGGAAACTCGACCGCGATGAAGAGGAGGCCGTTCGCTTTGGCCAGTCGCACCGACACTGGCCCATCGTCAGCCAGCTCGGTCGGTCGGTCGTAATGATGGAAACCCGTATCGGCCAGTCCACCGTCGTGCCAGGAGCCTAATCCCAGGCTGGTGACAGAGTTGGCCGGGACGACCACCACATAATTCCGTTTCAGGTCAATGGCGTTACGGGACGACAAAAAACCTTGAGTGAAGTGATCGGAAAGAAAATCGCAGTGCAGCGAATGATCGATGCGGCCTTGAAAATAGGCCTCTGGGCTCGTAGCCACAAAATCCATTGTATTGAAGAGGAAGGAGAGCAATGAGCGACGACAACGAGGGAAGAAGGGGCCGATGACAGGGACCGAGGAGGAGACGGCGGGATCACAACAAGGAAACAGGTGTCTGAGGAGGGAGGAGGAGGAGGAGGAGGAAATAAATCCATACATCCTTTATTACTTACTCAGTTTGTAGTCAACCAGGGCGGCCGAGTCCTGCGCGGCTCTGGTCACATCACATTTCATTTCATTCCAACCCATCCGAGCATTCAACACTCAGAATTCAGCGTACCTTTAGATCCGCGTCTGCGTCTGCACCTGCAGCCTGCAGTACAGCTTACAGTGTGCAGTGTGGCTGCAGCTCCATTGTATTTCATTCCCGTGGGATGGTAAAGCTGCTTCGGCCAAACCTGGCCTGGCCTTCACTTCACTAGCGACGCCCTTTTCCATCCATCAACCCTGTCGAATCCCATCACCAAATGGAATTCCTCTGCGAGCTGCAGTAGCTTGGCTGGGCAGACAGCCTGGAAGATGCCACTGCCATTGCCACCGCCTGGTGCCGCCGACTTTTCATCCCACGACGTCTGAATTACTGGTGTCAAGATCTGCATACAACGCTCAGGGAGCAGGAGGCTAGCCGCTTTTCTCTCGCCTCGCCCTCTCGCCTTGTATCGATCAAGGGCACCTAATACCTGCACAATCATCCACCCATCCACCGTCCACCATCCCCATCCGAAGACCCCCATCCCGCCCCTGGGAGAGAGGCTAAAAGGGCCTGGCCGAGCCAGACTGGTGCCGCGACCGCCACTTTGCAAGGAGAGCAGGGGGCCAAGGCAGGGCGTGAGGCCCTGCATCGGGGAGAAAGACCAGAGAAGGGACCTGTCCTCTGGAATATCGGGCTTCCTGGACCCAACCAAACCAGCCTACCGTGAGTCCCCCGAAGTCGTCCTGCGCGCTCCGACTGACCCTTATGTACTTACTGTACCTTGCACCAAAGTTGTGTCACCACCACCACCACCACCACAAGAGTTGGCGCCCTTGACGCCCACTGCTAGCCTCACTAGCCCTTGATGGCCTGCCGTGACGTGGCGTGGCCTGCTTTTCTCTCTTCCTATGTCTCGGAACCCTTCTCCCATTCCGAAAAAGCCACAAAATTGACCTATATACCGACCGACAGATTGACAGCCTCCTGACCATTCAGATTCAGCAGTTCGAGGTTTTGTCCAGCGAGCCAACCAAATCTACGCTAATGCAGTACGCAAGAATGAATCATTAGCTCCAAGCGTGTGATATCTACCTAGGCTGCTCGCAACTTCTCCTGTGCCGGGTATTCTTCTCTACGCGTCGCTAATGAGGGCATTCTAGACCACCAACCAACCGGTTCCGGCAAGATGACTGACTGAGTGATTCCCTTTACCATTGACACGTGCTCGGCTCATTCCCGGTCGGCAGCCTTGCCTTTGCAGATAGATAGGTTATCTACCGTGAATGGGCTCGTGATAGAACGGTCTTTCAATGGTCTTGACGTCGAGCAAACATTAATAGTCCTGCACAGCCGTGGGCGGGCTACTCCTGGTCTTGAAAGCTGACCTTGGACTACACAGGACAGGGAGGCAGGGAGGGTTATGGGGACCGGCGCTTTGGCACATCCACCCCCGCAAGACCTGCAAGAACCGTCACGTCAGTCTTGTCTATTGTGTGTGTGTCTCTGCTGGAAGGTTCGAGGTTGCACAAGGGGATCGTTATCCTGTGACCGGTGCGTTTCACCGTCTTTTCCAGTGTGCGTTGGGATGATTTTAGCTACCAGTGACCCTTTCGGCGTCGCATTTTTCAACTGTTCGCGGGACCTTTCGCACTCTTTCACCTCGAAGCGGTTTCTGGCGCATCGACATTCGCCCCCAAGCAAGATCGATCCGAATTCTGCGCAAATCACGGCGGACTCGGGTGTACCATCTGTCTGGGTAGTGGTGGCTCGGTGGATAGATGCCACCTTCAATCAAGATCTTCAAAATTCCTGCATCGAACAACTTTCTCTTCTTCACTTGCCATGATATCGTCGAGGTGGTGCAGTCTCATGCCCTCTATGTACGGTCTCCGGTTAGTCATAACTGCACAGACCCGAATACTAGGGACATACTCCTCTGCAATTGTGATAAGTCCGGCCCACCGCGACGAGCAAATTTGTTGAGACGTTGTCGACCTTGTCCTCGAGGATGTTTGATATTGGTTGTAAGCCGGCCGAGGGATGGGCGGACCAGTCTCTTTCCCAGCGCGTCGGTCATATTACTTCGGAGGAGATCTCAGTAAACAGCAGTTTCACCCGTACCGAGCAAGTTCCCCCCAAACAGACAGAGCCATGCTGAGAAACCAGATGCTCTGGCGAGGATGCTTGTGGTGTCCTCGGCTTGGTTGAATTGAAGCACGGACAGGGCGACAAAGGAAGAAAATAAGAACGGAGGGAAGAGAAGTCTGGCAAGTTCTCAGAGGACGGGGACATTGAACTGGCAATTGTTATACAGTGATTCTCCGAAAGACGACTCAAATCTCAAAGTGTTTTGCCCCTTCGGATGCCAACCTGCTTCATTTCATCCGCTGAGTCGTACTCTGGGACCTCACTTCAAATTGAGAGCGAAAGAGAAACTGCAAGTTGAAGATGGCATTGGTGAGCAGCGATGTATCACCGGGGATTGTTCTTCCAGCAGAATTGCCGTCGAATACCAAGGACCAACTGCGGCTGTATTGGAAACAACGTCTTGCTTGCTGCTTCGCCGTTGTGATCCCAACCGGCTCAAACCTGCCGGGCGACGTATGATTCCATGTTGAAGCTGTCCATCCGTCAATGATAGACATCCACTTTGCAAGACGCTTTGGCGGTGCTGTCCATGGTGCCATCTCAGCCTGGTCATTTATCATTGTCATCCACCTTCGTTCATCCCGTCGTCCGACTCGCATCGCTTCTGAACTTCTCTTCTCTTCCGTCTGAACCTTCGTTTGTCTTGCGGATTTTCATGGAATCGTGTTGTCGGCTGGTCCGGTGCCTGTTGCTGCTTGCTGCCGCTGCTGCTCGCAATCACATGCAATCGACGATAGTCTGATAGTCAACCCCGTCCCAACCCTCGCTTCCGCCCAATCCCCCAAATTCCACCTCTCCCCGCGAAATGGCCCTGGTGACAGTATATGAGGTCCAGTATAAGTGTCTTCCCGCCTTCCACGCAGTCATCTATATACACTGCCACGAGAATGGCGGCCTGATGTACCACGCCGTCGGCTCCTATACAGCCGGCTTTCGGTACGAAGCGTGTAGGAGTGAGCGGCCCGAGCAGTCCAGGAGTCTGTATAAGATGTGGCTGAGGGGGAAGGTGGCACCCGGGGACTTGGCTCGGGTCGACTTGATCTGTCAGGATGTGCCCGTCCCCATCCTCAGCAGTGTTTCTGGGGTGCGCATCGAGCGATTGCCGGCATTGGGTGCATCAAGCGCTCGGGGACTTGCGGGCTGCTGGAGTTCTCCAGAAGATAGGACACACGAAATAATGGTGGTTGGATTTGGTGACAGGGCCGGTGTGCAAACACGCCGCAAGAGGCGGGAATCACCATCCCATTCCATTTTCCAACATGAGTAGCCAAGCGTACTCGTTCGGATAGGGGTCCATGAATGTGGCTACCCAGTGGTGCCAGTCGTCCTCAAACCACCCACAGCCCATGAGCGCCTGTGCATATTCCCAGTAACTCGGATACCAACCCGCGAACTCCCAGTCCAAAAGGACAATCTTCAGTTTGGACTTTGGCTTGGCCCGGACCATGATGTTCTTGGGTTGCAGGTCGCCATGCGTAGGAGTCAGGGTGGTCGTGAAACACCAGAGGCAGACTCTCCTGGTAGAAAATGGCTCTCCCCTCGATGGCATTGATAGCCTGGCACTTCTTAATAATCGCGTCGTTGAGTTCCGATTCCGTGGCGAAAGGTTCGCTCAGGCTTGCTGCCGGCAGCTGATCCCCATGATCACCACCAGCCCAGAACAGAGCGTCGCGCAGCGGTCTCTCGTCGAGAATGCAAAATCCTCCCTTTGGCGAGGGCACGGCGCGCATTCGCAGCAAACACGCCTTGAGTTGATCTGCCACCAGCTTCTTCTCTGAGCCGGTGAGCGCGGGCCATAATGCGTGTAGCGTCTGGCCTTCCACTCGTTATATGACGATGAAGTTCTTGCTGCGGTCGTTATAGAGGGCGTAGACGCGGGGGATGGGCATCCGGGCGCGCTGTTACACAAACATCATCATTCGTCCTTCGTCCAGGTCAATGCCCGTGCCATACTTGACCACAAAATGAGGCCCCACCGACACGACCCTGGCGGTAAGGCGCTCCGAAAGGGGCCCCTGGGATCGTTCAATGTCCCTCGTCGTGGGCAGCCTTGACGACGGAGTCGTGTCGTCAAGGCATAGGAGGGGATCCAGACCGAGAAGGGCTGGGCTGGTGGTGGTGTCACCGCCTCAGGCGGCTTGAGCGCGCATCGTAGGCGACGGGTGGTGCGTCGCCAGAATCGGAGAAACAGGGTCGCCGTGAGCACCAACACCAGCACCAGCACCAGCATGACAATCGCTGCCATCGTGGCCTTCCTTCGTAGGTGTGCTCGAGACACAACAACAACCACACCACACCGCCCACAGCAGGCCCGTCGACGCCATGTTGATCCGGAGATGCTCGTGCAGGCCTACGAGTCCATGTGACAAGAGGTTGATGCAGGTCCCCAATTTCTCGCCAATGATTATTCCAACATATGGACCGCAGTCACATCCATCCACCCGCAGTCCTTTCTGCAACGCCCCATGTCCCTCGACTTAGAGATGATGCAGCGACAGAATGCCTGGCCATGCCTTCCAAGGTTTCTGGCACAACCCTCATGATGATACTCTCTACGTCCGTATATAACCCTACGGTTGAGTAGACGTCCTCCTGTCCTCACACCGAACTATCCAACAACAGTCATTGCTGCGCCTGCTCAAGCGCAAGGTTTGAGAAGAAGAGAGGACAAGAGATGGGGCGTTCGAGATCTGAGTTACATACCAGGGACACACTTCACGGGGAGAGTTGAGTGCCATGGCGGCGGTGTCCCTCATTGACAAGTGTTCCGAGCAGGTGCTGAGCGGCGTGCAGCTCGTTAGGGAAACTGAAGAAGTCGAGATCTTGTTGCTGGCCGAGCTGGAAATGGCCGGTGAATAATATGTCGGTCGAGCAAGCGACCACATGGGACGTATCTACGGGGCCATCACGGATTGAAGTCTAGCAGAACCCAGGGAGAAGACCTAACATGACGCTGATTCCTTCGACCGAACCGCGGCCGACGAAGGCGGTGTGATTGATTCTCCTCGAAGCGGCGAGCGAGACAGACACATATCTCCGTCTATCTCTCTAACTATGACCTGAACACACGTCGCTCCATGACAGATCGAGTATGAACCTACACTTCTTCTAGGAAACAGATGCGCCGACACATAGGAGGAGGAGGAGGAGGAGGGGATGCCACTCAGACGAAGCTACCGGCCAACAGAAAGAGACGAGTAGCTCGGTCTTTTTCGAATCCCTGATGCCGCTGAATGCAGAGGCTCTTCAAGTCGTCGACCGAGGCTGCGTGATTCTCGCCAGTTTGTTCTCGTTGAGCTGACGGTCGGCCGTTTGCTGGAAGGCCACTGCATCGTGACATGACATCAAGCTCACCACCACCACCACCGCCTACTCAACAGTTGCAGTCGACATTGGACCATGGGATATATTGCCGACAGAGAATTAAGTTGTCTAATATCATTTGCCATGGCTGGGTTTTGGTCTGCGAGGAGAGAGAGAGAGAGAGAGAGAGAGAGTCACACACTTCACATTACAAGAAACAAAACGGACGAGATCGTCCAAACAATATCCCATTCTCCTTATAGAGGTTCTTGATAACGACAGAGCGATGGTTAGGTGGTTGGTTGATGTGAGAGGGAATTCAAAGTCCTCCTCATCACCGTACACCACGGGTATGAATAATAAAGGAATGAATCCGGGAGGGTGTCCTCCTCCTCCTCCTCCTCTTCCAGCCGTTGATAAAGGAGGGTTAGTATACATAACAGGGTATATCGGAAAAGACAGTGGTGACGGTAGCCTCCCCTCCCCCCCAAATCGCGGTCAAGTAGTCCCGAGCCTCATTCATTCCTCCTTTCATTCTCGAAATAGCCTCCTCCTCCTCTTCGTTCTCCTCCTGGTTTCAAGGTTCAGTTCTGTCCCTGGCCTCCCATCCGCGTCGACTCTATTTCTCTAAAAAAAATTCCCACCCACCTCCTCTTTACTTTGTCCCGGGGTCCTGGACAGATCGTGCTCGTTGGTTGATCCACTCCATCAGGTCTTCGAGCAAAGCCGGCCCCATGATGCCCTGCATCAACAGCCCGGTGTGGCCATAGGGAAAGGCGCTCAGTGTGGTGGGGCAGCCCGCCTCCTCGAGACGCGACGCAAAGTCGAGGCTTTCTCTGAACAGGATGTCGCCGGTCATGGCCACGATCTTGGTCGGAAAGGAACGCATGGACTCAAGGGTCTTCTGGTCGGCGTAGATGGGACTGGCGCGCCAATTGTCCCGGGACCGGTCCCCAGGACCAGTGAAGCATCGGCTCTGGAAGAATCGCATGGTCTCCGGCGTGAGCCAGGGCGCGTCCCAGTACTCCTTCCATCGTTCCTCGCACTCGAACGTGTTGTCCAAGCTGGGAGCGACAAGGAGGAGCCCCACCGGTGGACATCCTTTTGCCGACCAGGCCAACGCGGTCGCAGCGGCCAGGTTCCCACCCCTGCGGTTCAAATCAGTAAAATCGAGCTTCCAACTCCAGGGGTCAAGATATCTCACGATGATACGCCAGCGAGAATCACGTCCCTCTTTCCCACGCGTCCCCGAACCCAATTTGCTATCAACATGGCGTCGTCATGCGGAAGAGGAAACTGCCCGCGGCGATAGGCACCGCTAAAAACCCGACATCCGCAATCGATAGAGAAGTCAGAGCACGGAGGCGCGCCCGAAGAGGGAAAAAGACTTACGAGCCGCAATATGGCTGAGGACGTTGTTATCACCCGATATGTCTCCCAGCATCCAACCTCCCCCAGCAAACCACACAATGACCGGCATTTCACGGCGCACGTTTCTCCGTACCAATTGCCTCACACGCAGTTCGTGCGAGATATAGTGGTCGATGATATTTGCCTCGAAGTGGAAGAAGATGTCTGTTTTCGCCTCGTACGGCGACATGGGCGTGATACGGTTCCCCCACACACGAGGCGGATACCACTGTACCACCTCTTCGTGGAAGGACTTGTATTCGCCACACAAGTGCTCCGAAATCTTGGGCGACAAAGGAGACAAGGGGACTCTCAGGTACTTGGCCATGGTCCAGTCCACTCTGGGAGTGCAGGGGAGCAGGGTGTGCTGCGCCTCGCCGGCACAGCTAGAGAGTATAATGACCCAGTGGGTGATATGGTACTCAAGGTCCTGGACCGTAAACGGGACATTGAATCGTCGAGAAATCCATTTCGACATTGCCTCCATTGGCAGGGCCCGGGGCTGAAGAAAGTCCCTGTTGGGGGTTCCTGAGACTGCACCGAGGAAGACAATGGCCGCGTTCATTAACCAGTTGAAACGTCTCGTCCATCCTTTGCTCCCGCCGTTTTCAGACTCCGGATTTGCGAGGATTTGACTCAGGAGAAAAGTTTGCTGCCAAACATCAGCCAAATGCAGTTGTCGGCCGGCGAAGTGCTTGTTCAAAAACGAATCAATCCGGGATATGTCCCCAGCAGTGATGGCCTCGAAGGATGGCCGGTGCGAAAAATCAAAGACATTGAGATTGTCGTGTGAGAAAATCCACGTCAATAGAATGTTGAGGATGCAATACCTCAGGTTTTCGGACCGTGGCCCTTCCATGGTGACCTAGAGCGCGATCAGAGGGACGATTGAATAGAAGACCGCTTCGTGGGTGAGAGGCGTAGAGAGATGGTCTATTACTCACCTTTGGCGGCCAGAGCCCGCAATTGAGAACCAGGAAGTCGATCTGATATTGGAAGAGAGACTGGGGAAGGAAGAACGTAAGTGGGCAGGTTGGGGTCGATAGATATATAGACAGACACGCAGCCAGGCGGTGACTGAGGGAGGGGATTGACAGGGCTCAAGCTTTGCAAGGAGGTAATAATGGCAGAAGTATCCGAAAACCAAGCGAGTGAAAGCTGGAATAGCAGTTCTGGCCGACGGCCCTTTGATCGCACCCTGTCTCTGACGAGAGGTGACGCTTCCTGTCTGCTCTAGATCACTCTAGATCACGTATTCCTTCAACAACACAAACACATACACACACTCTCTCTCTCTTTCCCTCTTTCCCTCTCCGGGTTTCTCTTGGGCTGGGATCTGGGATACTACACTCACTTGCACAGCCTTGATATCACCACTTGTCGAGCAATGGCCGCCGTCTCCTCACCTTGCTGTACTGGTAGCCACCATGGCCACGGGAGATCCCCGTTTCTCAACCAGGATCATGACCTTTTCTCTTTCCCCCTCGGGGACGTGAACCTGCTTTTCCCTTTGCACCCTCCCACCCAAGTATCATCCCGCGCGTCTTAGCGTATGTGATAGGAGGGTAAAACTCTGAGAGCAATCAACCACACTGCATATTACCTGCCTTGGCTGGCAGAATGATGGTGGAGAGAGGAGTTCTGGAATCCGAGATGCAAAGCAATCACAGTCTCAATCACATTGACGTGTGGCCCCATTTGAGCGTCGAACGTGGGAGGTCCACGCGCCTCACTTAGTGGGAGCTCAGGGCCAGGATGATCCGGAGAGGGTCCCCCATGTGTTTCATTTAGCTCGCCGGAGACTTGGTCATGGAATAATAATGGAACTCGGACGGGGGTTCGCTCACCAAGGTCGCGGATGGCATGCTGGAGGGAGTAGCGTGAAAGGGGACGAGGTTACACCAAAGGGGTTCAAACTAGCGAGCCGCGTGTCTTTGTCGCGAAGGGCGAGACCAAACGGTTGATTGGACCAGACAGCCTCATTCCCACAACCAACATACGCTGTGTTTTGTCAGTGATCATCTACGTGCAGGGGGATCAACAGATGGAAGCACACCACACCGTGGGTGTACCAAGTTGTCCAAAGCGCCAGTGTCTGGAGCATCGGGACACGAAGCAGGTCGACAGCTTCCAGGGACGAACCCAAACATCCGGATAGGAGTGTGAAAAGCAAACGATGGCATAGTGAAAGTGTCACTCTGGAAGCATGAATGGTCAACGAACGGTGCGTCGCGGAGACACTTTAGCGCAGCTTAGCTTTTGGGGGGCCGAGAAGCCCATCCGGTGCCCCCGCTGACCGCTACTTGACACCAAATCACTGATGGCCTTGCTTGGGACATAGGACACTTGTCGTAGGAGGAAAAGTCGTGGCGTTGAGGTCAGAGAGCCGCCTGAACCTTAAGTAGACACCTGGCCAAAGTGGTGGTCAAAGGAGGAAGGGGAAAAAGGTCTGTGCATGGGGGTGACTTGCTCTAGACCTCCTTCCATACCTTTGTACCTGCCTGAGATAGCTACAGGCAAACAGTGGGCAGCCCCATGACCGCCTAATAAATACCTTGTGATCCATGAGTCCACCGCCTAGGCTAGCCTCACTCGCCCTTAGCACGCCCTTTTGAGTCCCCTACAGAATCGCTATCCCAGAGCTCGATCACCCGGGGGCCATGTCAGCCTAGTACTGTACAGTAGCCCCAAGATAGCCTGGTCAGCCCCGACTTCGGATCGATCAACTAGAGCACCCGATGTTTGGCCTTGCAACCATCGCTGAGAGAGCAAACTCGAATTTACCTAGTTTCTCTTGGGATGGCACCATGGGTCACCTACAGGCTGTCTATCACCTATCACTCCGACACACTCATTTCTTTGTTCTTTGCCTGGTTCTCTTCGTCTCTCCTCTCCCCCGGCAAGAGGAGCCAGGCAGGGCCACTCCCACACTTCGTGCCACACCATGCCTCCTGCTGCTTGAGATAGCCTTTGCACAGCCCTCGATCGATTCTGCTGAGATATGATCACTCCACCCAGCATCGCTACCAACATCCAAGTGTCTCGGAGGAACAACAAAGCAATGGCCTCCAATCCGCTAATCTCTCGCGCTTCTCGCTTATCTCAGACATGTGCTCCGATCTCGCTGCTCTGGGGCCAGATTTCCAGCTGGTGCCTCGACAAATGCCGAACTATTGTCCCTGTGAGACAGACCGGGTCAAATTGTACAGCTTAGTCTGATGAGATGAGCGTACGATAGTAAGAAAGTAGAAGTAATTAGCCACTGGTGATAAAGTTATCCTCAGTTGAAAGCAATGTCGGTCTATCTCCTCGTCGATACCACGGGATCTCTCAACTCATCAAGAAATACTAGCTTTTCAATATGGCGGGCACCTCGTCGGTAATTGAGCAATCCAGTCGTAATAGTACATGAAAGAGGCATGAAACTTTTTTCCTCCGTACGGGATACCACGGCCCTGGTTTTTGTTTCTCGTTCCTCGTCGTCGTTCATCCCGTTCCGTCATTCCTAGCATGAAGTGAAATGAAAAGGAAAGAAAAGGAGGAAAGCCATATTGAGAAAGTAAAACGTAATAAAACCCCGAAAGGATCCTGGCGCTTCCAGAAACCGAAGAAAAAGCCCGAAATAATGACCGTGCCAAATGAAAGCCTCACTGGAGGCGTTGTGGCTGGTCGGCGGCGTGTGAATGTGTCCTTGTGTCGTCAATGTCATAAGTCAGATCGGTCATACAAGAGGCTTGAACCCCCCTCGTCTCTGGCGAAAGAGAAATAGAAAAAGAGGGCGGGATAGAGGAAGGAGGAGTAGTGGGAAGCTGCAGCCTCCAGCCGTGGTGCCTCGATGGCGCTTGGCGCTTTTCCGAGTGTTTTTGGTTGTTCGTCGTTGCTTTTCGTGTCCAGGTCTCATATCATCTCGTCATTTCCGTCGATGAGTGGGGTGTCTCTACACCAGGTCGCATTGATATATCTTTCTGGTTCAGTGACAGTGCGAGGAGATGCCTGGTGACTCTCGAGTCAAAACTGGTCATGTTCCCCATCTCATCTCACTCATCCTAGTCTAGTCGTCGTACCAGACCTTGCTCCTCGGCTTCTTAATGCGGTGGACGTACCACTTGGCTCGCACCCACTGATACACGTTGATCGAGGGCACCTGGACAATCTCGACCTGCTTGGGCTGCTGCACGACGAAGCGGCGAAGCAAGAATTCAAACGGCGTCTGCACGCCCCAGCCGTGGCGGGGCGAGAAGTGGAAGTACCCGGCCCCCATGCACTTGGCTAGGTTGAGCCCGGCGTCGTACGCCACTGTCTGCCCGTGGTAGTCGGTCATAGTGCCGACCAGGGCAGTCAGCCGTCGCCGGCTGTTCTGGTACCGCATCACCGAGTGAAAGGTGGTCGTCGACGAGGTGCTGAAGACAAATATCATGGCGTCGCACTCGGGATAGTCCGCGGGATCGTTGCCCGTTTCGATGATGTCAAGCTCGATGAGCTCCGACTCGACATTAACCCATTTGCCGTAGTGTACCATGTTTTTGTGCTCTTCTAGATATTTGCCGAAGAGATACTGTAATGCCACAGCGAACAACGCGTCAGTGTGATCATCACTTCGCACCCGAACTTGTATTCCCACCGACCAAGGCCGCAGGCTTACCTGGTGGATGAGTGTTGTTTTGCCCGCTCCCGGGTCGCCAAACACACCCACGGTGAACTTCTTTGACTTTCCCGTCATTTTCTCTCGTTGGTTCTTGCGGTGAGGACAACAGGGAGAGTTTACAAAGCTCGGAGATCACGTATGGAGACTGCTGCACGAATCTTTCTGAGAAAAGAGAACGAAGAAAAAGGAGAGATTGAGGGGCGGGCATTCTGTTCTCTAAGTAAGTGAGACCAAAGCCCGCCAAGCGCACTCACTCTTTCAATCTGGAAGTTCGAAGTGTGCCATGATTGGATCCGTAGGTGGTGTAAGGTTTAATGGAAGGCAGGGTGTCGCACGCAGCAAGATAGAACCAGGGTATCCAGGACGGGTAGGGAGCTTCCCACCTTTTTGCATGCATATAACAAGGGCCTTGCGGCGCCCGACCCTGAGACACGCGACAGATGCAGCGACGAGGGGTCGACGACCCTGTTGATCCCACCAGAGATGCCACCGTAGGAGAGGGGCCACCTTTGCTCAGATCGCACGGTTCACCTCCTGCCGCGAGGCAGATCGACACCGAAATCTGGGAAAACAGTGGGGTTGGCCTCGTCTTGTTTCTTTGGGGTATAATCTTATGAGTATCTTGCTTTTACTCCCGCCAAGGGCTGGGGAAACAGTACAGAGATCGTCTGAGAAAAGCAGGAAGTCGGCGAGAGGAAACTTGGGTTGAGAGACGGACTCAAACCCAGAGCACCCAGGAGGCAGGAGATGGTGTCCGGAAGGCTTTACCGGCGGGAGGCACATGCCAGGGTCCGCGTCTGGCAGGCTGTGTGCACAGATCCTAATCGTCCGTGACTGGGTCTTAATTTCATCTCGACCATGCATTACTGTGCATATACAGACATGCTCAGTCAATGGTTTCGTGGGGGGATAGCGCCATCACCCACGAAGAGCCGCAGGCAGGATATTTTCGAGGCATGTTCCGGTGATCTGAGACAGGAGCTGAGAACAGCAGGCCAGTTGAGTTGAGGCAGGACGTGGGTATCGAGGGGGAGGTGCATTTTGGCACCTGATTTTGAGTGAAAAATCCCCTATTCGTAGAGGAAGCAGGTCAGGCTGGTCCAATGGGAAGCAGTCACAACATAGGGAGTCCAGCAAGGGGAGGCCCGCCTCTGTTCACTAGTAGCCCGGGGAAGGACACGAAGAACGGGAGGCTGAGGGAAGTCAAAGAGGGAGTGAAGGGAAAGAGAGAGAGAGAGGAGGGAAAAGGGAAAATAGAGTAAGGGAAACAGATGGGGCGAAAGCTTGCGGCCCGCACCAGCCTAGTGTGCCCCTCGTACTTACTACTGTGTAATGTCGTACCTCGTACTTTGTGTTCGCCAACGACCTGCCAGCCTGCACCAACCCCATCTCATCATGCTATCCCGGCCAATTCAGCTCCTATACAGATGCCGAGAAACACAGTCGCACATGAAGATCACACAGACCGTACTGCGCTGGATACAGACGGTCGTATAACAGAAAGGTTGTGCCAGGTAGTGGTGTCGTCGGTCATGCGAGGGGGTTTTGCCTTTGGGCTTGCTTGATCTTGGTCCATGGAGGCGACGGGTCGGCGGATGGTGCCATGCATCACTGACGAGCTAAAAGCACAAGAACTGCTTGTATCCCTCGAGTAAAGAGTATCCTACCGAGCACCGAGTGGTCTATCCCTAGAACAGCAAGCCACCGGATGTTCCATCCGATATATCATCCGAAGTTTGACATGTTCGCAGCTGGAAGCTGTTCAACCACCGACAAAATCTCCTCTGTGTCGTGTTGCCGGGTCAGTGTCGGTCAGGAACGTCTCCATCCTTGCGCCACCCAGCAAATGGGCAAACAACCCGGCGCGCTTGATGTCTCTCCACACGGTCTGGTGGAGGACTCCGAATGAACCATCTCTGCAAACCCCCGTGCATCCCAATGCGTCTTCAGGTGCTCAAGGATCTTTCAATTGCCCCAGCTAGACCACGGCTTTCCCTTACGGCGTCTCTTCGGTGACAGCTTTTCCCGTCCTAGAGAGAGAGACAGACAGATGCCCCCAGCTTTACCTGACACAGGAGTCCGACCCCGAACAAAAAGTCTTTGGCCAGAGTTTTTCTCGCCGAGAGAAAAAGTCCATCTGAAGAAAATTCGGCTTCCACCACATACATGCAGACTGCGATCCAATACAGAGGTCACCTACGGCTTTTCTGGAGCTTTAACTGCCACGACGAATGCTGATCGCTTCACATGATGACTTAGCGAATTCCACGCGGAATATCTAGCGTTGGATCCCTGGGGGACGATCTGTCTCAGCGACCATACGGTTGGGAACAAGACCCTGACGGGTACATTCAAACAGGCACTAGAGGCTGCAGTGGAGGCAGTCCTTATTCCTAGGCGAAACTGAAAATATCAGCGATATTCAGACTTCTGGCTGTTTCTGGTCAAGATGCATCCTGCATCCCCCATTAGACGGCGAATCAGCCCCGGTGGCTAACCTGCCTAACATTTTGCAGGATTTATGGATACTCTGACACTGGGGGACACGGAGGTCGATCCTGAATGCAGTTCTCGCAACTTCCCGCTGCTGATTTCAAGCAAGAAGGAGAAGGGTCACAGGGTGAAAGGCAGGTGGTGTCTGCACAGCTGACCAAGTGAAAACATCATGGTAATTATTGTAATTGTCTGCCTGGTTTAGGAAACTGCTAAATATTGTGGCAATATTTTTGTATATGAACCCAGAACGCTGACAAGTGACAGCACCACGAAACAAAGAGTCTCAATAATCTTGCAAGTCCTCCTCCCTCTCCCCAGCAGACGCGCGTCGAGGGTTCGGCTTCATGTGGAACCAAGTATTTGCAGACATGAGGCATGTGCCACTTCCCTGGTCCTGGGGTCGAACTTGCTGGGGGCTGCCAAAAAGGTAGGATCTTTTTTTTGGAGCCGGATTCTAAGGCAAAAGTGTCCATTCTCCACCTCGTAGATCTTGCTAGTAGATGATATTCATGGAACAGACACGGTTCGTAGCCCTGCGCAGGAACTCTCCAGCCCAACCCATTCGACGGGTCTGAAGCGGGCATCAGCGATCTGCCATTTCCAAGCGGTGTGCGCAACCCAGTGTTGTTCCTGGACAGCTATCGAATCAGAAGCAAAGAACAAAACCATGAGCGTCTGCATGGTTTCCGCATATTTTCTCGGCGGACGACTCGCAGCGGAATATGTATTAGCATCCTGGGCGACCTCTACTAGTTTCTGTCTAATCCAAAAACTCGCTGAGCGACGGCGTCAAATGCTGAAAAAGGGAGCTGACTTGCCGTTTTCAGTATTTCAGCGACACTTTCATGAGACAGCGAAACATCTAGGGTGAGGCCGGTCGGTTCAGATAGCAGATCTAGTCGGGGGCAAATGGTGATTAGAGGAGTTAGCACTTGCTAGACTGATAAGACTTGTTCGGTATGACGAGAGCCCATGCTAAAGTCACCGAGCTACGGACTCCAGGCTCTTGTAAGCATATTCCTGTCAGCATCGTAGGTGCATCGGATTCGGACGGAATCACTCAAATTGTGGCGGGCCAGTTCGGCTGCTTGGGTTCCCCATGGGTACAGAACCGTTGACAGATCGTGAAGCTCTGTGGATATGTGGCCATTACTCGTAGAACCGCAGAATCTCAGCGGTCTGGCGTTCGGGTGCGAGAATTTCAGCTATGCTTGCTTGGTCGAGGTCTCGCGCCGTGGACAGGAGGGTCGCTCGGTGGTTCAGTGCTCTGGTCGAAATCTGAGAGAATGAGATTGGGAGGGACACCGTGCGAGATGGTGATTCGCCGTGCAATTGTAGAACAAGTCTCCAGTCCTCAGTCGATCTCTGTGGTACCATGGGGAGCAGTGCGAGGGGCGCAGGCACAGGCACAGTTGGCCATGCGCAGCCGAGGATGCTGCCAAGCCACAAGCACGCGATCCCGTGATCCCGTGATCCCGTGTTCCCGGCACCGCACCTAATAGTGTACTGCGTATTTGCCTGCGCCCGCGACCCCTGCCACCAACCTGCATCGTCACGATGATCTTCCGAGAACACAAAACCCTCCGATGAGCCTGAATAGGTTCACTTCCCTCCTACTGCAAGCTCCATTCTGTGTCATGAGAAGATAAACTTGTTGGGCGAGGCCCATTTGCGTAAGTTATCTTTGTCACTGATGTCTACCACTCGCAGTTCATCACATCGATCCCCAAATTGAGGGCGCCCGGATGCCCTGCACTACCCCGTCTCGACTCTCTCGACTGTCTCGTGGTTCGACTCAGGCAACGAGACAGTGGTGTCATTGAACCTGCCTCGCTATCCCTGCCTGGAGCTCCCAAGACGATAATGCTCCTCCTGCACGTAACCCCATATCTTATAGCACCCTCGCGAAGCCCATGAGAAGAGAGCAGCGTGACACGGTGACACCACATCCAGCAATGATTGTTCCTTCGATCACTTTTCGTTGATTCTCAGCAAAGCTTCCTCTGACACCTTGGCCAAGAGACTTCCGGAGAAGATTGTCCTCAAGACTGTGGAACTATTAGGACCTTTGCGCCTCTATGCTGTGGAAAATGGGCCAACTCGGGAAAGTTCCGTCAAACCGGCCGTCAAATCGATGGACATCATCGTTGGCGGACTTATAAAACTCTTGGTTGCATACTGCCCGCCGCAATCGCACACCCTCTTGCCCGGATGACCCTAATTTGAGGTCGACGATTGATTCTCCATCACGGTGAAAGAAAAAATTTTGGTCAATCTGCAACGATGTCATCGTCCCCGCCCTTCTGCTTCCCGTGCTTCGTCGCTCGCGTCGTATCGCCGATGGAGCGAGTGCTAACCTAGGCACGACCACGACCACAACCACAACCACACGGCTTGCCGGTCACCGCCGGAATTGAATTGGTAGAGGGAAGAGATCAGGTCGGGCGGATTAGGAAGACTGCCGGGGTACAGCTGTTTACTCTCTCCTGCACACAAGGCCGCCCAGTCTGCTTCTCAGGACATAATAGCCCGTGACCGCTCGGAGGCACCACTGATGTCGGTTCATCATGAATCATTCTCTTCAGCATCTTCATTGAAGAAATCCCGCCATGGAGCTTGACTGACTGTCACCTTTCCACACGCGGAATGGTTGCGATTGGACTGCCTGGGTGGCATTTCGGCCCCAGCCATGCGCTGGCTCAACATAGAGCGGATCAATGCACGTGCCACACTCATCGATGCCTAGTTGCGGGGCTATATTCGACTTGGTTTCCCCCTGCCTCTAATGGTGAGTGCCATGTCCCTCGATCGTTGACTGCCATCGTCCTCCTGCACTCGACACCACATCATATAGAAAGTTCTGGGTTCGGCTATAAGTCTCTTAACCGCAACTGGACTGGGTTGGTTGCCGACGCTGCCAGACACTTGCAGACGCAGGATTTGCAGATGCTTGTGCCATTTGTTCGCTTGTGAAGACGGCAGGCCCTCGACAATACCAGAAGATGATCTTTTCCGTTCTTTCATTTGGCGAATGCATGCGCACAACCGGGCTCCTATTCTTTATATCCCCTCATCGCAATCATTGGTCCTGTGTTTGATATCTCGCATCACATCTGCATACCCATTCAACGGGTGCTCGGACGAATCGCTATTGGAGACACGTTGCACAGAACGGTCAAATGCGGGCCAACAACATGCTCCGGAATCTCCAAGGCGTTCTCCACTATCGAAGTGGTCACCTCCATCGATGCATTGCCGTCTGGTTAGCAACGATGCGAGAGGCGTGCTCTGGCCCAGGATATTAATCTGACATAAAGATGCTTTACAGACCGCTCTTTCTCTCTACGACCTTCAACTCCCTGTCTAGGATTTCAACATGGGTGTCTTCGAAACTTTGTGGTTCGACACGAAAGCGTCCCTCCTCCTTCCACTTGCTTGTTTCGTCTTGTGGATATGCTATAATGCCGGATTGGTCATTTATCGCCTATATTTCAGCCCAATCGCCCACTTTCCGGGTCCCAAGATTGCGGCAGTAACCTACTGGTGAGAAGCGTTGTTGTCTTCAATTCTGGCCTGTCTTGACACCCGTCCCAGGTACGAGTTCTACTACGACGTGATTCTGGGCGGGCAGTACACTTTTCGCATTCTGGACCTCCACAAGCAATATGGCCCTGTTGTCCGCATCAACCCGCGAGAGCTGCACTTCTACCCTCCTCAATTCTATGAAGAGATTTATGCGGGACCCACGCGGCGACGGGATCGCTGGGAACGCTACACCCAGGGCTTCGGCATGCCTGGCGCTGGAGCAAGCACGAATCCTCACGACTTACACCGGGCAAGACGCGCCGCATTGAGTCCCTACTTCAGCATGCAGAGTGAGTTGCTCTGTGAAACGACCTTGAAGTGACAAACTTTCTGGCTTTGGATGCGGACTAACACAGGCCTGCAGGCGTGCGGAAGCTGCAAAGTGTCATCGAGGAGAAGGCAGATCTGCTGATGGCGAGATTCAGAGAGTTTGGCAACATGAGACGAGAAGACGAAAGGAAACCCTTGAACTTGGAAGTCGCATTCGCTGCCTACGCGTACGGTCAGTCTCGTCGCTCGATCTCTCTTTTAGTTTCCTAGCCCCTGATGATTCTGGGCCTGATTCTGATCAGATGTCATCACCGAATACGCCTTTGCTCGCAGTGAACATCATCTTGAAGCCGAGGATTTTGATCCCTGGATGCTGAAAGCCGCCTCTTCCACCAGCTCCCTCGGCCAGATTGCAAAGCAGATGTATTGGATCTTTTGGTTGGTGCTGAATATTCCGGACTGGATGGCTCGGAGGCTCGACGCGAATGGTAAGCATGACTTCTTTGGGACGGAGGGATGAACGAACTCCGTTGGTCGTCCATGTGCATTCAGCTGACTGATTGTAGCCAGTCGTTACCTCCAGTTCAAGCGGGTAAGTGGCGGGCTACCATGTTCTCTCTGCCCCATTTGCTCATCTGCAGTCTTTTCTGGCTCCTGAGCAATCTTTTGAGGGACTAACAACGATCTTGCTCCGCTGCGGTAGGATATCAAGAACCAAATCGAAAATATCCGTAACGGGATCGACACATCGCACAAAACCGCCTCGCACCCGACCATCTTCCACGAAATTCTCGACAGCCCTCTGCCACCCGCGGAAAAGCGCACGTCCCGCCTTGCCGATGAAGGAGCCACGGTTGTGAGCGCGGGGGCGGTGACCACGGGCTGGACACTGCCGGTGATCGTATTCTACCTGCTGTCCAACCCACCTGTCCTGCAGAAGCTGAAACAAGAGCTGTCCGACGCCATCCCGGATCCCACCAAGCCCACCGCCCTCCCCGAACTCGAACGCCTGCCGTACCTGACGGGCGTGATCCAGGAGGGGTTGCGACTGAGCTACGGCATCTGCACGCGGCTGGAGCGGATCGCGCAGGACGAAGCGCTGGTGTTTGAAGACGGCTCGAGAACCTGGACGGTCCCGCCGGGCACCCCGTGCTCCATGACCAGCTACATCATCCACCGCAACCCGGCCATCTTCCCTAACCCCAGCGAGTACCAGCCGGAGCGGTGGATCGCGAACCCGCGCCTGGACAAGTACCTCGTCAGCTTCTCCAAGGGCAAAATGCAATGTCTGGGCATCAACCTCGCCTACGCCGAACTGTATCTCATGGTGGCCAAGCTGTTCCGCGTGTATGGCAGTCCACAGGTGAAATTCGACGGCGATGTCGGCCGGCTGGAGCTGTTCGACACAACCTTCGAGAAGGACATCGACATGCGTGAGGACCGCTTCATTCCCTTGCCGAGCAGGGATACCAAGGGCGTGAGGGTGCTGGTTGAGCTCAACTAGAGCACTCGTCCATCTTCTTCGCACCAAGGGACTCTTCTTTCTTCGCTGCTTCCTCAGAGACTGGTCTGGGACGCAGCGGTGGGTCGATTTGGAGTTTTGGATAGAATCCACCGAAGAGGGAAAAAGTTGGCTCAGACTGAATAACTAATCCTCTCCTTTTCTACAAACTGCCTCCGTCCTGGTCGTTCGAGGTGCAGTGTGTTCCCAAAGTGGCCTGCCCAGTCCAATCCATCCCCTGCATCTGCTCCATGCCCCTCCCCCTCTCTTGTCTCGTCCGATTCCCTGCCGTGTGGTCTGCGGATGCCCCTTTTTCTACATCTCAACATCTGCCACTGATGACGACATGAATGTGAATCAGTCCATCATCGTGAGAGCACAACCAAGGCCGGCCCTCGTTCCAGTGTTGTTCCCAAAGTGCCCCTCGGCCATCGCGACAGGGCTCGTTTCGTTTCTTGCATCTCGCCTCAACTTGGTCCGGCCTCTTCGCTAGAGTTCGGTCGCCGATCGGCCGTGTTCTTCTTATGCTAGTTCTTCTTGTCCGCCTTCCGTCGTCCATATCCATGTCTGTGTCCGTGTCCGTGTTCGTGTCCACGGCACTGAACAGCACAGACTTCATGATACCCTCTTTCGCAGTTTGGAGCGAGCGGTAGGGGGATCGTATCCATATCCATAATCACATGCACTCACCCGTCCATCCATCCATTCGTTCATCCATCTACAACTGCTCACCAGCCTCACGAACGTCCAGTGAGGCTCATAGTTTCGATCCGATCGACATAGCTCGAATCCAGACACCAAAGAGAATGCCATTTCGCGGTCTTGAAAGAGTGATTGGATGAATGGGTGAGGGAGTGAAAGACGGAGGGGGTTCCGCGTGAGCGTGAACCAAAAAACGGAGAGGAAGCCAGATATGTTCCCAATGATAGGAAAGGCACTGGGGTCGTTGGAAAGGGGAAGAAGAGGGAGAAGACAGCGTCCAGCCGGTGGGAAAGGCGACGTCCAGTCCAGTCCAGTGAGCGGGTTTAGCATAGGCATTGACTGGCCTGGATCACACTGCAGCACACACACAGCTCTCTCCGAGGGCGGAAATCTGGCGCAATTGCGGGACGATGGCAAAGGGCGGCGGCGGTGGTGGGTGGTGGTTCCCGAGGGGACTTGGGGAGTTATTCGAGATGAAGTCAAGTCACTATGAAAGGCGTGCGAGGCTCCTTCGGGTCTGGTTTTTCTCGTCGTTGTCGTGCAAGCGAAGCGCCGTTCCCGAGGAATCCCTACGGGAGCATGAGTTCTCTCGGGGGTGGAGAGGGAAGGGAGGGAGAAAAGAGAGAGTAGAGAAGAGGAAACACGGCGAGGCGAGGAGATGAGATGGAGGTCAGAAAAACAACGAATCAACGACCCAATAAGTCAATATCCTCGGCGTGCGAGAGATAACGTAAATGTCTGAAGAAGCGTCACGCATGTGGCGAAGGGAAGCAATCGATAGATAGATAGATAGATAGATAGATAGATAGATAGATAGATAGGCAAAATGAATAGAAGGAGGAGGAGGAGAGCAAGTGAAACATACAGCCAAAACCAGCCCCAGCATCATCATCTTTTTCCTTACCCTTAGCAAATCGGCGCAGAACAACACAATAGCGGCTGCATAGGGCGACTCGAATCAAGCAGGGAGTAACAAAAATATCCCCAGACCTCCCTTTGAGCCACACACACCACACATCTCGTCACGCAAAGGTCGGTCTCAAGGATCACCGGAGGGGGGAAAAGAACTTCGCCGGCCGGTCCTCTTTCCCTTTCATTTATTCGGAACCACGTACACCTGATTGTATTCCTGTTGGTATCCGTACCCAGATGGAGATGGATACGAAGGCGGTCTCTGGTAAGCCGCTGCGCGTTGATAGTGCATCCCGTATCCCTCCTGTGGCGGCAACTGCTGACTGGCGGGAGCATATCGTCCGCGGTTGGATCTTTTGGCGCGCAGGATACAGCAACCGACCAGGAAAAGGAAGACCAGCCCGCAGAAACCGGCAATGGCTCCGATGAGGATCGTCCGGTGTGCAGAGACCCATGATATCGTGTCGTCAGTGTCTGCATCGTCGCCGGGAGAGGAGCTCGAGGTCGAAGACGAAGTAGAGGTGGCAGTGCTCCCATACCAATAGCTGGAGAAGTACCGGGGTAGATTGTCAATCGTTGCGTTTCCGCCGTAGTATGTGAGCATCATCTGCAAAGCTGTCGTTAGCTCGAGTAAATATACAAATTACAACGTGTTTCTTGATATCACCGAAAAACGGGGCCCTCACCGTGTCCGTGGTGCCGATGGTGTCGGTACAGCTGAGGTAGGTATAGCCTGCTGGACCGCCGAAAGTCGCCGTTGCGCAAAGAGGGTAGTCTTCACCACTATTCGTACAGACCAAGTCAGCCGCTGATCAACAGTTCCCAGGTGGTGCGGGAGCAGACAGGCGGTCACGGTACATACCAGACAGTATTGAGATAGTTCCCTTGACAGGCCATATCACAGCCATTGTTGACCATCGAATACGGCACACAAGAGGTCACCCAGGCACAATCCGTCGTGTAAGCGTCCGCACAACAACCGACGGCATGAAGTTCGGGAGACCACAGGCAAGCTTGATAGTCGCAGACAAGAGGTGTATCTAGGCACACTGATCAGTATCATATGTGCTGACAGTTATGGAACAAAGCTGAGGCATTGTAGTAGAAGCTGATAAGATCCACTAATGCTTACTGAGATCACCGTTGACCCATCCACAAGTGTTGTCGTCGACCGTGTCCGTATCAGCTCTTTTGAGCAGATCGCGCCGGTGGGTCAGAATTGGAGCTGAAGTGATGGGACTGACGGGGATAGCTTTGGCCGTCGCCCGTTGACTGGTAGTGACTGAAGCGGTGATTTCTGCCATGGCTGTCAAGTATGGACTGGCTGTCTCTCTGCAGAAATATCAAAGACGCCAATAGACCACATAGAACAGAACAAGGGCCAACTTCCGTGGAACGGGGGAGACCAGGGAGGCACGAAGAGAGAGGAACGGGAGTACTTATGGGCGGATTGGCCGGACAGGTAGGCAGACTTGGGGCACGGTCCATTAGAAGAAAAAGCCATCGCCCATTCATTCAAAAAGCCCAAAAGAGCAAGAGCATTCGAGTCCGGAAGATGGACATGGCTAGCAAAAGGCCAGTGGAACACACTGTGTCGGATCCTGCGCCTCGAACGCCAAAAAGGTCACCGGCGCCCACAACCCATGCGGGTGCCCAAGCTCGACACGATTGAGCTTGTTTTGCATGCGCAATCTTGGTCCTCTTGGCATTTGGGATATGGTCGAAGTTTAAGAGGCCAGATTGCCCTGGTGTATGCCTTGTTGCTGGCGCCTTTGGCCGTAGCGAGCCTTTGAATACGAGATGGCAACATTGCTCGGGACTCTGAGTGAAATGCAAAGGAAGACGTTGGCGTAGAGCTGAGTGAAGGTTTCGCCAAGCTCTGAAGTGGCCAATCACAGGACGTCAATAGCGAAGATGGATGGGGGCTGGACGCATCGAGACCCGAGACAACGGGATGGAATTCACGGGCAGGAAATGAATGGGCCAGAGGGGGACAGAGGGATGTAGAGAGATAGATATGGTATGTATTCAATTCAGACGGCTTTTGGTTGAAGGCGCCCGCTAACAAATCGCCCCAGCATGACACAAATCTAACTCTGACAAGGCTGTCTCATGGAGCCACAGTCCTCGCGACGCATGCCTCGTGGTGTTCAAACCGACAGTGCCTCTATTCGACGCTCGAAATGCCTGGCTTATCCTTCTATGCATCCTAAATCAAGCGTGAAGGCATCTCGTAATCCAAACGGGGAACTCCCTGGCAAATCTCCTAGACCTCCTGGATATAATTGGCAGGAACACTTCTTGTCTCGCCATTCTTCTCGACGTCGGCCCACCCATCTCCGGAGCCCATACTGATCAATATAAACTTCTCTCCCTCGGCCATGTCGAACTCGGCGTCACTCTGGGCCGTGTAAGGATAGAGAGCTTCCACATATTTGACCTTCTTCGCGCCTCGTTTGGGCGCCACTGCAGGGCCCTGCTTCTTTTTGCCCGCACTCGCCAAATTCGACGAGGCCAGCGAGGCACTCGAGTTGGAATATAACGATGGTGGCCGCTCCTGTGCGGGCGTACTGGCGGCAGTGGGCAGTTCTTCCAGGTAGGCAGTTGGCACGAGGCCTTCTTTACCCAAGCCGGCATGGACTTTGGTCCAGCCACCGTCTGCTGATGGTCAGTACAAGTGAGTGAGTGCACTGAGTTGGGGCTTACGTACCGTCAGGTTCCAGTATCCTCACTTCGGCACCCTCTGGAACAGAGATTTCTCCCTCGTCTCTGGCTTCATATGGATAGATCATCTTGCCTCTGGGTTGACCACTCCCGTTGGCGGCCACGTCAGCGCCAGGAGGAGCACTGACATACGCCGCGGGGGGTGGTGCAACAATCCTGTTTCGTCTCGCCGCAGTGACCGTCGTGGATCCAGAGTTGGAGGTAATCGTCGTCAGTGGAGAAGAGGTGGCTGAATCGTCTAGGGCCGACAACCTGGGAACGCCGCCAGACAAAGACCTTGTGGCACTGGCCGCGTACCCAGAGGACAGACTGCTCATCGTGTCTTGCCTCATTAAGGGAGGAGGAGATGTGGCACCGTTCGAGGCAGGTGGAGGGGCTTCCACGGCCATCAGCGCTGCCGCTTGTCGTTCCGCTTTCAACTTCTTCTTCTCTTCCTTCGTCTGTTCTCCCGGACAGTCGGCAGGCACTTTCATGTGGCATTTGCTGTGGCACGTAAAGCCGCAATCAGTACAGATAAACCCTTTGGCACTCAGGCCCCAGATGCGATCACCACACAGATCACAATTGGTCGGGATTTTGAAGGTCTCGGATTTGAAGGTGTGACTCTTGCCGTACATGCTGAGATCGCCCACGACCGAAGTTATAGTCGATGTCTCCACTTCCGCCGTCAATCGTTTCCGCTCGACGGCATGCAGCTCCTCCTGCAGGGCAAATTGTGACCGCACCGATTCTACTTCGTCACGCCTGTCTCTGCCGTCTCGCCGAGCCTGCTTCACGTTTTCCAGCTCTCGCCTTTTCTGAGCGGACTCGGCCTTGAGCTGATTGATGAGCGGCTTGCTCTTCTGGAGGATGTTGCGCAGGAAAACTTTGGACGCCTCGTCGGTCATCATGTTGTCCGTATCCAGCCACACAGGAGACGGTTCAAAAACCATGTCAGGAGGTTCCTGCCACTGTACAGCATTGTGCCGTACAAACATGTTGCTGTCGAGACTCGGATTGTTGCGGGGGATTTCGTTCGAGAGACGGGTCATGAGCTCGGTGCTTCTCTTGAGAGTATTGGTCTCGAGGGTGGCGGCCACCAGCCATATCGAGTTGAGTTTCGAGACACGCGTCTCGTTCAGGTCCTGCAGCGAGTTGAGCAGTTCCGGGACGTATTCGTGGTAATAGCATTCCTTCATCTTATTCGCGACATTGATGCCGATCAGGTACGTGTTCTTGACATTGTTCATTTCCATCAACTGTTGGTTGTACGTGCTTTGAGCCTTGCTTTTGTCGAAAGACGATTCTGCCTTTTTCCTTCGGTTCTCCACCTCCTGACACACCGCATCGTATCTCTGTTTCAACTTTTTCAGATCGCCGTAAGACGAGTCCCTCTCCTTCACCAGTTTGGCATTGTAATCGGCATGGCTCTTTCTCAATTCCTCGAGTTTCGTGGCGGTATACTCCAGCGGCGTCGCGACTTGACTGATGAGGTCTTTGGAGAATTTCGCGTGTTCGTTCGCTCGCGCCTCAAGCGTCGATAGGTGGGTGGTCCATGTCGTGAGGGAGGCGGACTCTAGAGAACCCGGGGTCAGAGCGGGATTGTCGCCGACGCTCAAGTTGCTGGATCGTTTTGATTTCTTGTCATAGTATTTCTTTGCCAGAGCGGCCAACTTCTGGCTGTATTCCTTTTCTATAGCAGACCGTTCCTGGTAGAATTCTTGGATTTCGGTGAGCCAGGTAATGCCCAGGTTGACCCAGTTGTCGACCGGCTTGTAGCCGTCCTAAATCAACATTAGTGTACTGTTCAACAAAAGGCGCACAGAGGCGACGGCGAACCTTGAGCTCAGTGCCAAAGGAGACCGTCGCAACCTGAGCCATTGTAATCGCAGAAGGACAGGCAATCCAGACAGCAGCAGCATCATTCCATATCGTCAACCAAGCGTAGATGAAGAGGGTTCGTGGTTCTCCGATTTCTTTTGATCTTAGTGCAGACTGCGGCGCAGCTGGGGTTGTATGCGTACTCCTCTCCAGCGATTGGCGCGGGGACAAGTCGATCAAATAATCATCCGGCTTGACGCACGGGTGGCACTGATGGCACGGTCGTTTGGGGTGACACCCAGCGGCAATGACTGCCCGCCAAAGTCCCTGGCTCCAGGTACCAAGCACCCCTCACACAGAGACCGACGACCACCCAGGTACACCCAGGACCAGTGGAACTAGTCCTAGTCCAGTAAGGGGGCACTACCACAACTCGGCAGACTCACTTATGTACATACAGTTCGCAGTACGTCGTCCTTGTAGGCTCTTCACCAATAAAAGACTGCATCATTTCCCTGGGTGTCTAAGTGACACCTCTCCCTTCAATTTTAGGCTGTGGGTGTGGGAGTCCTCCTCTGTTAGAGCCCATACGCACAGGCGCTAGGTGGCCAGGCACCGAACCCCGCACTGACCACCACGCGTGCGCCACAACGCTTGCTCCAAACGCGCCACAGTTTTAGTGGGATCTGATTTCCTAGTCACCAATTTTCCATTCCAGCACCGCAGGCTGAATCATTTGAAAACATTCACACCATCCAGCACAGCTTGCCGCACCTTTGATCGGCTATTCCTTGCCTTGGTGGTGGAAATCTGCAAACACGAGATAAAGGCAGCGGTATTTCCGCATGTATTTTTAGCCAGCGATTTCTTTGTTCACTTCGGCCTCATTTCACCTTCTCTCTCACTCAAGTTCTCCCTTCCCGGCCTCAAGCAACCACCGATACATCGCATACCTCACACCTGTCAAAAGAGCGCCCGTCCTCCTCCTCCTCACCTCACCACCATGTCTGAAACACCGGCAGCCAGCGGCTCTCTGGAAGACCGCATCTCCAAACCCGAATCCACTTCGTGGGCAGATGAAGTAGCCTCTCCCGCAACCGAGAATCCACCACCCATTGCAAACGTGGAAGCGAAAGAGTCGGAATCATCACCACAGAATAATGGACAGCTCGATGGAGCTACCGAGCCTTTTGGGGGATCGCAGTTGGAAGAGCCCGACTTCGAAGTCGAGGTCAAATTGGCGGACATGCAGGCAGATCCTAACAACCCCCTCTACTCGGCCACGTCGTTTGAGCAGCTTGGGCTGTAAGTTGCGCCCTTTTCAAGTCTTCTCTATTTAGCGACTGACCTCATCAGCAACGAAAACATCCTTAAGGGCGTTGTGAGCATGAACTTCCGAAAACCGTCCAAAGTCCAAGAGAAGACTCTTCCTCTCCTCCTGATGAACCCTCCTCAGAATCTGATCGGTCAATCTCAATCTGGGACGGGCAAGACCGCCGCTTTCGTGCTGAACATTCTACATCGTCTCGATCTGAGCAGCGAACAAATGCGCAAGACTCCACAGGCCCTGGTGTTGGCTCCCAGCAGAGAGCTGGCCCGTCAGATCGAAGGGGTCGTCAAAGTCATGGGAGCGTTCGTGGATGGACTGATTGTGGCCGCCGCCATTCCTCAAGATGCGGCCAGCCGCTCGCGAAAAATCGAAGCGTCAGTGATCGTGGGAACCCCCGGCACGGTCATGGACATGATTCGCAAGCGATCCATGGACGTCAGATCAGTCAAGGTGTTGGTTCTCGACGAGGCCGACAACATGCTCGATCAACAAGGACTCGGTGACCAGTGCATTCGTGTCAAGTCGTGAGTTTGCGTTGTTCTCCCGTTTTGGCATGCCTGTTCGACTAACCAGAGCTGGCAGGTTGCTACCCAAAAACATTCAAATCGTCTTATTCTCTGCCACTTTCCCCGACAATGTCGTCCTCTATGCCGAAACCTTTGCTCCCGGCGCCAATCAGTTGACTCTCCAGCACAATGACTTGACGGTCGAGGGTATCAAACAGATCTACCTGGACTGCGACAGTGACAATGCCAAGTACGAAGTCTTGGTCAAATTCTACGGTCTCATGACGATCGGCTCGTCCATTATCTTTGTCAAGGTAAGCGACATGTTTTGTTAGGCGATCCGTTTCGCTGGGCTAATGGACGACTTAGACTCGAGAAACCGCCCACAACATTGAGCGAAAAATGACTGCCGAAGGCCACAAGGTCGTATCATTGACCGGGGGCATTGAAGGGGCGCAGCGCGACGTCATCATCGACGCCTTCCGGATGGGTCACGCAAAGGTTCTCATCACAACCAACGTCCTCGCTCGTGGTATCGACGTCCAATCCGTGTCCATGGTGGTCAACTACGATGTTCCGGATCGGTTTGTCGGCGGAGGTCGATACGTGGCGGATCCTCAAACATATCTTCACCGTATCGGTCGGACTGGTCGATTTGGGCGTGTGGGTGTGGCGGTGACGTTCATCAGCAGCCGAGACGACTGGCAGAAGTTAATGGAAATCCAGAAATACTTCAACACGCACATGACCAAGGTCTCGACGGACGATTGGGACGAGCTCGAGGAGCAGGTTTCGAGGATTATCAAGAGTTCAAGGGCAGGCTCGAATTTTACGGATGGTGCGAATATGGGCATGCATTCGTGAGGGCGGTTCTCCACGCAAGAATGTCCCCGAAGGAGAAAGCAGTTGCGCCCGATGAATTATGATCGACATGTGGGCGAAGCTATGCGGCAGGGAGCAAAGCGCGGGAATCTACTTCGTGATGTGCGTTTGTTCGATGTGAACTGTGGGAATGTGAGCGCATTGCCGCTGGCTCAGTGCTATGAGAGGGAAATAGAAACAGGACTTTTTAGTCGACGTCAAGATACCCACAAACGAAACTCCGGTACGGAAGAAAAGAAAATGAAAAAAAGTATTGACATGCGGATAGAGCAGATGAGCCCTTCCCGAGAATTGTACAATGTGATTTCTTTTTCTTTCGTCTTGTTCCGTCTACCTTTCGATCACATCCACGCGGTCGGCCCGTCACCAGTCGCAAGCTGAGCCCAACAGGGCGGCGACATTCTCGAGGCCCTCTCGGTCTTGATCATCGAAGCCGTTGAGCTGCATACAGTCGATGTCGATGACGCCGACAACCTATCGTACATTAGACGGGGGTTGGCGTTTGTTTGTCCACGTGGGTGCCCATTTCGTTCCGTAACCAGGTAACTGTCAAGGAAGGAGAAGGAGAAGGATAAGGCAGAAAAAAGCAGGAAAGGAAAGGAAAGGACAGGAGAGGAAACATGGGAGAACCCTCGGACGCGATCGATATAACTCACCTTCCCCCCCTCCGCCGCCCGAATCGGCACGACAATCTCGCTCTTGGTCTCGCCGTCGCAGGCGATGTGGCCGGGAAAGGCCTCGACGTCGGGCACGACGAGACTCTGCCCGCCCCCCGCCGCCGCGGTGCCGCACACGCCCTTGCCCAGCGCGATGGTCTGGCAGGCGACCTTGCCCATGAAGGGGCCGAGGATGAGCCCGCCGCCACCGCCGCCGCCGGTGGAGGTGCTCGGGTCGAGCACGTAGAACCCGGCCCAGTTGACGGCGGCGCCCGTCGGAACCGCCAGCGCCTCGTGGTACATGTGCCACAGCAGCGACGCCGCGTTGGCCAGGTTGCACACCCAGTTGCGCTGGGCATCGACCAGCGCCGTCAGCGCCGACACCACCTGCGCGTACGCCTCGGGTTTGCTCGTCGCCGACGCGAAGTGGGAGTACTCGGCGTGGTGCGGCGCCGGGGTCATCTTCTTTTCATCCTCCTTCTCCTCCGACGGATGTATCTGGTTTTTGGGGGGGTTGGTTAGTTAGGTGAATACGTCTCATGTACTATCATGGGCCATGTTCAGGAGGAAGAGGAAGGGAGAAGATCTCGACATTTACCATGGTTCAAATCCTCCCCTTTGTCCGGGGGCGATGGAATGTGTCGTATAGAGAGAGAAAAAAAAAGAAAAAGGCTTTCGAATTATCCCACTTCCTGGCCTCCTCCTTTGACACAATCTATTATGATTCTTCCTCCTCTTTTCGTATAAAGGGCGTCTCGTTCTGGGACCTCGTGGCCTAGATGTACGGCGATCAGACGTTGACGGTTGTTACAAACAGGCCATTTGAGGGGCCAACGGCAACAGCAGAAGGAGGTAGGTGTGCCGAGGACCCGTCTCGCCGTGCAACTAGAACCCATAGTGATCCAGCGAGCTAGGAAGCCCTGTCCAAGGCTAACGGAGGACTCTAGAGTATTTACGATAACTATAGTAGACCTGACTCCATGCCGGAGCCTACGTCGGACGTACGAATATGCTCGCTACTAGCAGTGAGAGGAGTGCTAACGGGAAAAGAGGAGAAGCTAAGATGACTATTTCCTTTGAATGAGGGTCATTATGTTGTGACCATGGTGATGTATAGATGTACGCTTATATGAGTAGAAGACAGGGCAGGTCTATTTCCATGCGTTGAACTGTGCCATTTATCTAGTAAAGGATGCTTTGGTGCATTACCACTACATATCATGCGTTGTTACTATCCTTGCATGCCTTTGCGGATGTGTTACACAGCCTTTGACACGTATTTTCGTTGAGTGTCGACAGCATGGCTGCCACACGTGCCGCACTGCCCTCCAATAACCAACTCCTCGAGGCTGACAGCATGTGCAATAGAGTACCAGACGGTCTACATGTAGAGGAAACTGGTTCTACCTTGGATTTAGGAGTAGCTCCTTCGACTTTCGAGAATAATCATGTCGAAAGAAATGAGGCTCTATCAGGCTGCCGTTGACCTTGATGAAGTATTAACAGAGAACGGGATCGGATATGGATGTTTCGGGGGTTGGGCCATCAATGCAATTGGTTACGATCGTGGCACAAAGGTCATCGACTGCCTCGTGGGCGCCGAAAATGACGACATCAACGGCATATTCTCGAATAAGCCGGGTTGGCATCGAATTCCTGGTCAAAGAGAAGACTACATCGCTTTCATCGTTGGAGAGAAGACGGAAAATATACTTGTTGAGATGTTTCCTGGTAAGCTTGAATTTCAAGTTGTTCTATGGCAGACTAAGGGAGATAGCTTCTACCAAAGCCTCGGTGAGTACCGAGGCCATGAAGTCCACAATGCGGACCATTGCAATTCGGACTGTCCCGGCTCGAGGTTATCCAATGTACCTCTTGGAAATCGTGTACATTTTCAAGGGAAAAGTGAACGCGGCAGCAAACCGGCCCAAAGCCTCTGACTGCGACGACATTGAATACTTGTGCGCTCATGAGTCGCATCTCCGAGAGCATGTGCATCAAATCAATGTAGAAGATGCTGGCAAGGCGGCCAAGAGGTACCCTTCGCTGTCCAACATGTTTAGCAATCTTGGTATCGATGTCAAGAAGGCAATCAAACAAGCAAGGAGCCTCGAAATCACCTCTATGCATCCTCCTCCTTTCATCTGTCAAAAGGCGTTGTTGGAATAGTGGCTGAGCATGGTCTACAAGTTGACCGATCTGGTCACCAGGAACTCCCTTTGACTCTGTCTGCAGCCATGGGACAAAGGTCTCTTCAGCCAGACCTCATTTTGCGCTTTCGGCTGCGGGACTTGCAAGACCCCTCGTTGGTTGCTGCAGATAGTGGCGCCACGATAGACAAATTGGGTAGACCAGTGTGTATGCCCGAATATCCAGCATCGAATGTTTCTGGCGCCAGTCCAATAAGGCACTTGGGAACTGAGGACATCCAAACAAAAAGCAGAATTCCAAGGGTTGGACAAATATTTCAGGTCGCAAGTGTTTTTAAGGACGGGAGCATGGTGCGTAACGACAAGTATCTTGCTTTCCGGATTCGCGTGTGCAACATCCTGTACGGATGTTTTGAGCCATTCAGTGTCTCGGTGGTGTTCTTCATTATGGCTTTCCACAGTCCAGTCGCCGATGTGGCTGAAATCCGCAACTTTCATTCTGACCCATAACTCGGACTCGCTCGGTATAGAGGTGTGTAACGTGCATCCCAGGATTGCTATTCTTCGATTCAGGTGGAACTGGGTTCTCTTCAAAACGGTCAATTTGCCGCCTAGACATCGTTTCAGCTCTAACGACCTGGCCACTTCGAGCCCTTCCTGTCTGGAGATGCCATAGAATTCGTGATTTCCAAGGACGAGGAAAACCCGCCAAAACCGTTGACATTGTACGATTAGAAACTCCAAGTATTTGCTGTAGTCCTTGAGTCGGCCAACGTCGCCTGCCAGGACTAAATACGGCGAGACTTGGGGGATCTCAAAGTCGTAAGTTTGCTGGCTCTCCAGATGAAGATCTGATATATATTGAAATGATACCGAGTTTTCATGGGGTTTCAAGCGAGGCATTGTGCTTCGGAAGAGGGCGAGCGCGAATAAGCAAGCCTGTTGAAAAGCCGAAGTCCAGGATTGACGGTTTTCGCTAGTTTCTTCCTGATCGTGAACCGGCTCTTGCGTACCCGGGATCATCATCAATTCTCGGTCATCTTGGCAGTGATAATCGCTCTCCAAAAATGGATTTTGACGTTGTGGCCTGGTTCCTATCACGCCGAGAACATATTTGAGCTCTTCTTCTCGACCACAGTTGAGATGCGTGTTGCACCAGGCTTCACTTAGTACCATTCCATCAACAAGTTGCTCCACGCAGACGGCAGAGTAGGTGTCTTGAGCCTCACAAACCCCCCTCAGCAGTCCCTGTAAGAGCGATGACAGACGGGGGACAGGAATCCTTGACAGTTCGGATAGATCAGTGGAGAAGTTGAACTCGGTGCTGAAGGCAGTACGAGCTGTACTATATGCAGAACGATCAACGATTGAATGCTTGAGCGGCTGAAGGTGGAAATGGGTGTCAGAAAAGATAACAAGGGTTAGGTAGTCTTCTTCAATAAATGCTTCGAAGCGAGGATATGGCTTCTTCCAGTCGGGGTGTGCATCGGTCCACGCTGTGCGTACAAAAACATCGTTGCGAGCATTGATCAGTCTGGCTGCGGCATCTAGCTGCGAATGCGGGACACAAATACCCAGGGTCTAGTATAATAAGTAAAGCTTCATTCGTTTCTGTCACATCAAACTTACATTGAGTATTCGAGGCACATTGTAGTAATTCAACGCAACTTCTTCGACAACGCAAAATACGATGTCCTCACGAGCAAAGGCAGCCTGCACGGCCGCTATCACTTGACAGACAATCATGTGAAGTAGACGTCGAACAACGCACACATTCTCTCGTGTTTTGAACCACGGCAATTTGGTGATGGGAAGGTGGTGGTATGTGGATTCTCGCTTCGCTGGGCCCCTCGACAGCCTCGACTTCTCCTTGCTGGACTCAGCAGAGAGCACTCGGTAGTTGCACCCAGAAGATGCCGCGGGCTCTGACGGACGATGGAGCTGGCAGAGCTAGACAAGACAGCAAGGAAGGACGAAGGACGCTGACCCAGGAGGAGCTGGGGGAATGCGGTAGGCTACCAGGGGGATGAAGATGTGGTGGATGTGTCAATTGGCAAGTTCGCCGGGCTACGGCGGATTGTTTAGCTCTGGGTGGCTGTGTCATCTGCGGCCTTTCAGAGAGAAAAGAAATCATCCGAAGAGTACAAGGATAGACGCGAACAAGGCAGAGACCGAAGCTAAGAAATAGGGAAACGGACTCAGACTGGTAGGCCCATTGATGGGGCTTGCATGGATCGCAACTGACTGAGATAGTCGAAAAATCCCATAGTGTCAGTTCCCCAGCATCTGGTCATCACATCCTGGAATATGTCGGCGTCCTCTTTGAATGAGCCAACGCCAAATGAGGTTGTATGTTACAGGAGAGGTAATCCAGCTACCAAAGCGATGTGTCTTGGATTTGAAAACGGGGGTTGAAATGATTCAGAGATGGAGATCCGCCGCTGAGTAATTTGTTATTAATATTAATTATTATATGTCCGGTGTGTCCTGTCGGCGCAATATAATACTGGCGGACACTCGGCCACATCTGCCTCCGACCCGGAATCGGACTAACTTCAACTGCGGCAACAACACCAAATCACCCCCGATGATGGCCACCAACCCCGATTGCGCCACTAGTGATGCCGCTACGTATCGGACCGTGCATCCACCGGAGCGAGCAGGAGGAAGACGAGGTGCTGGATGTATGTGTCGTCTCCGGCTCCCACCAATCATACACAACATGTCGCCCATCACAAGCCGGGAGTAGCACACTATTGGACAGGAGAGCGCACGGACCAGGGCATTTCTTGAAGAGCTCCGCCTGATCCAAATCCAACATCCATCCCGCCTCCGGCACAAGATAAAGACCCCACGACCAGCACTCCTGTAACGTGGTTTTAAAACGAGGAAAGAAAGAGAGAGAGAGAGACAGAGAGACAGAGAGACAGAGAGACAGAGAGACAGAGAGAAGCAAAGAGCAAACATGTCCTGTCCCGACTGCTTCCGCGGCGCCATCCACGGCCACGCCGAGCCCACGGGCAAGATGGAGACCGTCCACGGCATCCAGACCTACGTCGCCGGCGGCAGCGACCCGGCGCGGTCCAAATCCACCATCGTCTACCTGCCCGACGCCTTCTCGCTGAAGCTGGTCAACAACAAGATCCTGGCCGACAAGTACGCCTCGGCGACCGGCTGCCGCGTGCTGATCCCGGACGTCGTCTACTCGGGCGGCATGCCCGTGTCGGTGCTGGAGAAGATGGAGTCCCTGATGGGCAGCTCGCTGAGCGTCATCAACTTCCTACCCAAGGCCTACACGGTTCTGACTCTCCTCCCGCACGCTGTCCCCTTCATGATCTGGGGCCATCCGAAGAACCCATACCCGACCATCCTGAAGTTCGCCCGCGACGTGCGCGCCGAGCTGCCGGCGGGTGGCAAGCTCGGCGTCGCAGGCTTCTGCTGGGGCGCGTGGCCGGCCACGAAGCTGTGCACGGAATCCGCCGTCAAGGGGGAAACGGGCCAGCGTCTGATCGACGCCCAGTTCAACGGCCACCCGTCGTACATCATCAAGGAGCCGCACATGGTGGTCGACGCGGTCAAGGCGTTCAAGACGGCCTACGCGTGCGCCGTCGCCGAGAAGGACTTTCAGTTCAACGCCGACGTCGCGGCCAAGACCGAGGCCCAGCTGCGCGACGCCGTCGGCGGGAGCAAGGGCGACGGCGAGGGCGGCTACAACTACGAGTTTCGGATTTACAAGGGCGCCACCCACGGCTTCTGCGTCAAGGCCCGCGAGCAAGACATGCAGCACTACCACGACGCCGCGAAGCAGGCTACCGATTGGTTCAACAAGTATCTGAACTGATATCCAGTTGATTGGAATAAGCAGAGGGTGCTGGACATATGATGATGGCTCTGAACGAGACCGTCGAGTGGATGTCACACACAGGAGGGAGGGAGGGAGGGAGGAAGAGGTGGAACTTTACATTCAACACAAGAGCAATTTCAGAGAAGCGCGAAAGAGCAGTGATATGAAAAGAATTCCTTTCTTGAATGAATTAAACGGACGGAATGGGGCTTGCTAGCTGAACTGACTTAGGATCGACCATGCATTGCAATTGTTTGTGGCAATTCCTGGTTTCCCCCGCGCTCCCGCCATCTCTACTCGCTATGGATCGACATGCTGCTCGAGGATACAATGGATGAATTGATGGATTGATGGACGGGTGGATGGATACATACGAGGCACAAGCGATTCGACTCGATCAACCCGTGGCCATAACACCACTTAGTGACAAAATGAACAAAATGGTCGTAACGTCACCATAGGCTTGTTTCCAATCTTGTTTCGATATCCACACCGGTCGATCCCTGCTTGCTATCTTTGGGATTGTTGTGTACTATATTACTACTACTCAGTAGTACACACACCACTTTGTCCGGCCCGTGGACAGAACCCTTTCGTGCGGAAAACGAGCTGGACGAATGAATGGTAGTATTTCACAAACCGACAGACAGACAGACAAACAAACAAACAAACACACGAAAACACGCAAAAAACAATCAATCCATCCCCCGGGAAAGAATGCGGTCGGGATGCATGGAATGGGATGCGATGGGAATTGATGGAACACCGAGCAGCAGCAGGACCGGTTCGATAATGACTCAATGACTCAATCAATATCAATATCAATATCATGGCCTCAGACTGCGGCAGAGGCAGCTAGCTAGCTGTCCGTGCGAGATTGATGACATTGTTTCGGTGCTCTTCAGCTCACGAACTAACTGATGACGCGGGACTCATTTGTTTCTTGCTAGATGGACGACATGTGTGTGTGTATGTGTGCACATGTTTCGAGATCCCAAGTGTTTATTTTATTTGTTTGGTTGTTTGTTTGGTGTTTCTTTCTTTCTTTCTTTCTTTCTTTCTTTCTTCCTCGTCATCGTGGATCGATCGAATGCAGAGTATGTCAATGTCTCTCCCACCCCCCGTCGCGGCGCCGTGGTCTCGTAAAGGCATAATATATACAACACAACACAACCAGTCTGCGAAAAGATGTACATCATTCCAGCGCCCCCATCACCCTAGAGAGTCCCCCGCACCCGTATAAAACTCGCAATATATAGACGCTTCATATTCAAACCCTTCATCTTCTTAAGCAACCTCGCTGGCAATCTGGCCATACCATTTCTCGTGACACTTCCAGTCCACCAGCCGAACTCTGTCGAGAGTGTCCACAAGTCGATTCACCTCTTCCAGGAACTCTGGCATACCGGCGCGTGCCAGAACTTCGCCTGCGCCCGTCGTAGTCCGGACTCTCTCAGCCGTGCTCGCTGCCGAGAGTCTAGCGAAGACATGTTCTCGCAGAGTCTTCAGAAGGAAGGTTGCAATCTGCTCACTGAACACATCTGCGCTACTCGTCCCAGCGGACTCGTTCATTGTTCGATCATGGCCCGCATCCTGCTGTGCTTGCACGGCTGCATCGCGGTTTCTCGACGCAGCTGCGGCAGTGGGCAGCACCCGCCCGACGAAGTTGGCCAGGCCTTCTTTGGTCGATTCTGGCATCATGTGGGATGATTCGATCAGAGAGACGATCCGGTTGGCGTCGACCTTCAACAGATCCAAAGCCATCAGCCGTTCTGCGTCCTTGGCCCACAGAGACTCCCTGTTGCGCCTGAGTCGGATCTTGGTGGTAAGTAGAATCGAGGAAACGGACACGACATGGAAAACTCGAGCTCGTAATTGCAGCAGGCGGATATGGTCAAGCTGCAGCGTCTCGGGAATGTCACGAGAGCTAAGATGTGAGTTGCGCAGGACCAGGTCGGTCAGACCTCTGGCATACACCACGGATGCACTCACGGTTTGAGATCCCACGCTCGACTTCGCATTTGCCCACCACTCCTTGGCTCTTGCCAGTGTATGCACACCTTGTTCAAGATCCCGTTCAAACGATGCAATTTCGTGCTCGTGTCCGTGTTCCAGCACCGCCTGAGAGGCTAATCTAAACTGGAAATTGATGTGGTCTAAAGTCATCAAATCGATAATATTGATGAGTTCGAACAGACGGTCAACCGTGTCGCTGGTCGAATTGGTGTCAAAGGCACGCACGATCTCGTCTCGCCCCGGGGAGCAGATCTGTGCGAGCACCCCTGCGACAGTCCTGAAAAAGGAGTCGTACGAGAACATGCCGTTCCGGCTCTGTTGACTGATCAAAGCCGGGTCCAAAAAGCCATCAACCTTCCCATAAAGAGGGTGTCGTGAACTGATGAGTGTCATCAGCTTCTCGCGGATGAGACCGGCCATGGAGTGAGTCCACCGCGCGGTGGCCTCTCGGTCTCCATCTTGGAGATCTGCACGCATACTATTCCGGAGCGAGTTCATCAACCCTTTACGGGCCTCCGTCCAAGGTTGTTGTTGTACCTCAAAGCTGCCATTGACCAGTATTTCGTGTGCAATCTCCCGGTTGGATGGTAGGAGGGTCATCATCTCGGATAGACTATCAGGAAAAGGTGTTACTCTGGCCATCTGAACCGATCGACCGGTTCGAGGCGTTGCAGGAGGAGTCATCAAAGTTCCCTCTGCCACATTCGACGCTTCGGCAGCCGGCGTGGAGGCTCGTGGGACTTGCTCTGTCCCTTTCTGTCGCTTTTCTGCCGCTCTTTGCTTCCGAGCCTTCCTGACGGCGGTGCGAACTCTTGACAAAGCCTCCTCAGGACCCGCAAGTCGTTTTAGGCGAGCCAAGAGTCTGATCTGCTCCTGGCGGACAGCATCAAGATAGTCCTCGGCAACGTGGCCGTGGTGATCATCTTTGGTGGCCTGCAGAATCAAGTCCAAGTTGACAAATGAACTGACCATGATGTCCACAAGAACACCCAAGTCCTGGCTTTTCCATGCGTGGAAAGTCGAGGTAAAGTCGTTCAAGGCGAAGGAGAAGGCCTCGACCGCGGGCTGTGACTGAGTCGTCACGCTCTTAATGCAAGAGTCGAAAGCGTCGACCAGCGAACGTGATTTTGCCATGAGCTCTTGCTCCTGGGGTTGACTCCCACCATGGCTGAAAGCTTGCATCGGATGTGTGAGGATAAGATATGCACTCAGGAAAACCCGGACAACGCCGGTGTCTTCCTGGCCGTTATCAAGGACACCTAAATGTCTGAGAACGGACGCTGTGGCAACAGTGGTCCGTTGGTCGGAAATAAATTGTGTCAATTCTTCGAAAGAAAGCCCTTTCGCTCGCTGCAGATCGAGTCCCAGGGCCGAAAAATCCGAGAGTATCTTGCGCGTGTGGTATCGCCGCCAGGACCGCTGGATGACTTTGGCAGCGTAGACGCGATTCGTTCGCTTCAATGCTGTTGGGGTGACCTTCTTCTCCTCGACCGCAGCCAGTGAAGTTGTCCTCGACCGCCGTGTGCCTTGCTGGTACATAGTCCTCCGTCTGTCTGCCTCCGCATACTTCTCGGCCATCTCTTCCTTGAGTCTGGCCAATTCAGCGGCCTTTTTCTCCTTGGTCTCCTCAGCAATCTTTTTGGCCCGCTTCACCTCCTCCTCACAACGGGCTGCAATCTCTGCGAGCAATTTTTCCCGCGCCGCCTGCGCGGCCAACGCCTTCTCCTCACTGTATGACACCCTTTGCGCTGCTTTTGCGGCAGCCGCCCGGAGCCTGACCTGTTCAGCATGTGCGGCGCGGTCCGCCAGGCGAGCCTTTCGGCTCTCAATTATGGAAGCTCGTCGAAGATGTTGCGCGATGTGCGTGCTGCGGGGTCCGCCATGGCTCGACAGCGCGGAGGAATGAGAGTGGATCGATGACAGCGAGCTTCGACGAGACGAGTTCGCAGAGGACTTTCGGCGCACAGAGGATTTGCGGTGGAACCGTGCAGCTATATGGGGGGGAGGTTCGGTATACGACCGTGGGTCATCGGCGCTCAGGTTCATCTCGACGTCTTCGGAAGCCGGAGTTGTCGGCTCCATGCTGGACTCGTGGGAATCACTGGTGGTTTCCGAGATGATATTCAATGGAGAGATCAGCAGCGACGCCGGCTTGAACTGAAACAAGGTTCAAGGTTGAACAAAAACGTGGATGTCGTGGCGTAACTCGGGCTGACTCTCAAAGCAGCCGGGAACGTCGCACGAAAAACGCACAACAAAGAAGAGTATACAAGAAGAGAATGCTATGTCCGCAGAAGAGAACGTCGACAAGAAGATGACTCAAGGAAATGCTCAAGAGGCAGCCAGGTGGGAGGCTGGGAAGAGGGGAATATGGGAAAGTTTATGCCATTTGGGAATGACGAAGCCATGGTTATGGTTGTTGTTTTGCCGCGCAGTGGCTGCTGGAACCTGCCAGCACCGCCAGCCAGTCGGGATTTGATCGGTTCGGGTGAGCCACTGGTGCCACTAGCGCCTGGACTCCGGGCGTCTGGCTGCCTATCAGGTCCTAAGGTCCCCCAGCCTCGCCTATAAGACTCCGGAGCTCGGCAAACGACCGCTAAGCAACAAGCTCCGAACTGTCGAACTGCGTGGTGAGAGTTTGGAATTATTGACCACAGTGTTTCCACACCCAACTTGACTGACACCAGTCGCTGCCCACCGAGCGCTTGGTACAGCTCCTTCCAGTAGCTGCATCCTGGATCGAGCACACCCTCTAGACCTAGAGGTAGGACCCTCGCTTCTGCTGCTGTCTGAATCCTCGAGTCGATCAAACTGCAACCGACCTCAACCTGAATCGAGACAAGCTGAATCCCTCTCCTCACTCTCATTCCTTCATCCAATCCAGTATGCCTCGGGCATCGACAAAGTCAAATTCGTCCAGTGTCTCCCGCCATACTTGCTCGATAAGTTGTTTGCCTTCTGGGGTGTACAAGATTGAGGCGAACCTAGAAGACAATGCCTGCGTCAGTGACCTTTTCCAATGCATCTGGGGACCAAAGAGGCGGGAAGAGTCAGCCACTTACGGCCGGATCTGCCAGTCTGCGAGGTAACATCCATGGGACTCTTTGCCCTTGGAGATCGTGGCATCAAGATACGTTGACGCGCCATGTGCTGGACTTCTGCCTGTCGCCGCTCCCAAGAGCCATGAAACTACCGCTCTCAGGCCAGTGAGGTGACGCTGAAGATTAGTCCCTTTGACATAGCCAGGGTCCACCAGATTCGCAACCACGTCGTCAGCCGAGACCTTGTCCTCAAGCTGGTATAGAAACATGTGGGCAAGAAGTTTGGACACAGAATAATTGGTGAAGGGATTGAAAGTCTCAACTATGTCGAGTGACTTCAAGATTCCCTTGTTACTTTCCGGGGTTTTGGCGATCAGGGCCAGTCCAGAGCTTGTGATCGACAGACGACCCGGTCCGTCTGGTGGCGATTTCTTTTTGAGAACCGGTAAGAGTAGAATGGCAAGGAGCGCTGTCGAAAGGTAATTGACCTGCATCATCTCCTCGTGGCCGGTATTAGCGTTCACTTCGAATCTGGGGTTGCCGATCCCAGCGTTGAGAATCGCCATGTCCAGACGGGTCAATTCGCATTCTGCCCGTTTGGCAAAAGCTTCAACAGACTTGTACGATGACATGTCCAAGGACCAGACCTTGATAGTTGCTTTCGGATACAGTTTTGACAGCTTGGCAGCTGCCGCTTCGCCTTTTTGAACAGACCGGACGGCAAGGATCAGGGTAGAGAGGCTGAAGGACAGCAGCTGGCGGGCAGCCTCGAACCCAATCCCAACATTGGAGCCTGTAACGATCGCGACTGATGTGCTCTCAAAGGTCATATCAGCACAATGGCCGTCGTACGGATGTCAAGGTAACTATCCCAAATGGCATGACGGGTGGTTTACATACCTTTGCCGGAGAGATTGGTCCCCTTTGGAAGCTGTGAAGGTTTGGCCCTGAATTGAGACTCGATGAAGATCTTCAAGTAGCTCTTCGTCAAGGGAGGGAGGTCTTTGGAAGACGCCATCATGCACTAAAGCAGACCGTTCTGTCGAAGTCGCAGACCGGAATTCAGTGAAATGGTGTGTGGAGTGCCGGGGTCATCTGTGACATTATATAGGGGCCCCCCGTCATGGTCCCCCTTTGTGTCCACATACGTTTCCTTTCAACCGGAGTGTACGGGGATAAAGCACGAGCGGAGGTAAGTAATGGAACTCCGTTGAGGATTGATGCTGATGGCGTGAGTGCAAGGGTTTGAGTTAGACGGAACGCTCCTCTTTGGAAAACGATCAGTTCAACTCCACGGTAACAGATCTCAACGGCAAGACAATTTCGAATGCTAATGGATGGAGCATACTTGCCGCATCCATTGCATCGACGGACGACCAGGCGGCAAGGCTCCCTCGTATTTGCTACGAGACTTTGTGGTTGAAAGAGCTATACTCAGAATGGCAAACAATCTCAACTGAAGTAGGAAGGTCAGCGACATGGTGTCAATCAGAGCGCGAAATCGTCGAACCGCGCCGGAACTTGGACATGCACAAGCCCGTGTGGTTTGGATTTGAGCGATTCCGGTCTGCCACCAAGGTCCTCATTGTCTCGGCTGAACACGCTGTCGCTTTTGTCACGACCTATAGCCGACAACGGCAAACAATCGAATGAGCTGAGCTGACAAAAAGGCCATCAACAACCCTCTGCCCTTGTTGTCCCACCGCCCTTTCCGTCAAATTATTTTGTTGCAAACCCTAGTGACTTCGTCCTTCCAGGTGACTGTGGGGAGGCCTTTCTGATCTGACAATACAGCACTGGTGGCTCCATTGCAAATAGAACGTCAAGTCTCTCACGTGACCAACATAGACACGACCTCTGGAACTTTTCAGAACCCGTGTTGAGTCTACCAAGGGTATGGCCAGTACCTTTCTCTGGCTGAATAGGTGGGAAGAAGAAAAAGACAAGGTCTGGAGACAGCAATGGGCCATGCGGTACCGGGACAGAACCTGGGCATGAGTGGACGTGCTGCCTCCGATCATACCAGACTCTCATCAGTGTCGAAAATGTCTGATCGTCAGCTGGGTCGTGTCTTTTGGCGTGCCAAACACGACCTCACGAATTCATTGAGAGAGCACGTCCTGACCTGGCTTCCCCGATTGCACGCATAATATTGATCTGCATATCCTCGACAACTCCCCAATCTCTGCGTCCCCCGCCACAATGGAGTACCGACTCGTGCTAGTCCGGTGCAAAGGGTCACCCTGGCCACGAAGAAATAGTTCGATCTTGGGAATGGGTGGTTTCCTTTCCGGGGGCGGCAGATGCTGGAATTGGCTCGCATATTTGCCTCCTCCACGTCACGCCTGGGGAACTGCGCTTATCCATGCCTGTATGGACAGCGAGAGACGTATTTGGCCAGGATCCCCCCCCTCATATGTTGTGGCTTCGCTTCAAAGACGTCCCACCTCGAGACGGCGGAAGCCCCAGGCATTCGACTAGGTGGAACAGTGTGCTCAGAGAGTTCAGTAGACTGTTCACGATCTGGCTCACTAGCGCCACGAGAGAACAGGCCCTCTCTCGATATTCTGGGAATTGAATCTGGAGTGTGGACACTCTGCACCTTTTTCATTCTCTTGCTACCCACCCTTTCCGTTGTCCATTTGGGTCACCACAGTCCGAGGCGGATTCACCAGATTCACCCTCAGGATCTATGGAGTCATGATTCTGAACACCGAAGCAGCATCTGCACCTTGTTCAGCCTTTGCCAGAAACATCCGAGTGTGTATTGCCTTCTCGGGGTTGGTCTACCCGTGTGTCTTGCTTGCCACACAACTTTTGAGACCTTGCAAAGGTGGCACTGGCATGGTACATTCGATTGGCGCCATCGGCGTTCATATCGGATGCCCCTCCAAGTTACCATCCCATTTGCCAGCCGGCAGACAATGCCGTTTCCTGAATCTCGACACAATGCAGGACGACATTGCCGGAATGTCAAGAGAATATCGGCTCGTTGTCGAATTTGACCGCCCCTTGACACCATCAATTCAGGGCATGCATGCATCGTATTCTCCTCACAAGCTTGAAACTGGCCCTTCCAGCAACGCATTGGGCTCGCTCTGTTAGCGCCGTCGGTCACCATCTTTCAGACGCAGTTTCTCAGGCTGTGTCACAGACTTGCCGCAGTGGGATCCTGGTCTAGTGACCCCTCTACGCTAAAATTGCCATCTCGTATTGTTCCCGTCGGACTTGTGAACTGTTTGGGCTTCACGGCATCGGGTAAAGATTGACCAAGACCTCGTTGCGAACGAAGTTTCCGATCTTGGGGAAGATGTGAGATGGCTGCGAACTTGAACCTTGCCTGGGGATCGGGCATTTTGCTGAGAAACGCCCGGGCAAGCAACGAGCAACGGTTCTGAGTGTCAGACTTGCTCCCCACACGACGCAGGTGCTCCTGGGTAGGAATTGACAGGAGCCCAAGCTCAATCAAGTTGCCACAGCGTTCTCTCTTTCAGCTCTACCCAAGTCAGGAGCGTTCTAAGGAAACGACAAGCGAGATCTTCACGCTACTACTGCACCACCTCCCCACAATATGACCTGTCACATTGCAGTCAGGCAACTCTCGCGATTGGCCATGACCTTTTCCATCTCCAGCATTTTGAGTTTGGTGCCTCTTTGCTAGCATTGGGATTGTTTGAACGATCAGCTCTGAGACTCCTTCGATTGCCCGCATGGTCAACCACATGGAACATGTCTACGGCCATCCCGGCTTGATCACAGCAGTCATGGAAGGCATTGCAAGTGTCGGTTCCGGGCGAGCTTGAATGCATTCGCGCGTCAATGAGCGACCGTCGACGGCCAATCAAGCTGCATTTCAGAACCTAGCGTCCTGTCGGCTTCGTATCTCGAGCGAAAAGTCCGTCGCTAGGCTTCGGCGCGTTGAAATCGAAATGGCAAGGTCTAAGGGGGGCACTCAAGCGCTGGGGCATGGGGGTTGAGCCATGTCAAGTGGACGGGTCGGTGGCTTTTTTGAATCCCTGTCTTTTTCTCAGCACCGGATTGACAGAGAAAGTCGGTGGTTGGATCTGCATCTCATGGCTCGCCCAAAGGGTCTTCCGCGCTAAGTTGACTCGGACAACATGGGCGAATGAATTGGCGCATGTGGAATCCACCAACGTGCAAGATCCAGTTTGCAGCCTCTTCACGCACCGACTTTTTCGCCAGCTGCCATGATCCGAGATTTGCAGGGCTTACCTGGAGCGAACCTCTGCTGCCGTCGGAAAGCTGTCACCGATGGCGGCCTGCAAGAGCACCAAGGCTCCCCTGATTGGTCCTATGACAGCCGCACGCTGCCCACCATCGCCGGCCATTCTTCCCGGCTTAGGTAGGCTAGGTGATTCATCTGAGGGGGCTGAATATTGAACACCCTCTATCGATCTCTTTGAGGCTCGCCATCGGTTTCTCCTGCCTTACGGTCAAGCATCGCTATCTCACGGCCAGGGGGGGCCACTCTGAGTTCGCCGACCCTATGGCCTGAATACACTGGACGTTCCACATCGGTCATCAGCATTCGCAAGCTGCATCCGGATCGGTGTGCGATGCTTTGGACTTGCAAGCCCGACTTGATGTCGAATTCGGACCTCACAGAAGTTTCTGGTCAAGCAGATCTATGTCTGGACGGCACCAAAAAAAGCCATGTCGACACGACTATAAAGCTCTGTCTCTCCCTTCCTCCACTCGATCCCTCTCTATGCTTCTTCGTGCTGAGGTATCCACTACTGTTTACATTAGCTCCCTTCTGTTTTTCGGATGGCAGAATTCGGTGCTTTGAAACCAGCACCCAGTGTCCTCATGAGTGAAGAGTGCAAGAAGAAAAGAGAGCTCGAGGTCACCGACGCCGAAGACGACCAGCTGAAGAAGCGACGAACAAGTAAACAGGTCCACTGGGATTTGGCTCCGATGCCTCCTTCAGCTGCTTATTCTGCTCCCTCCGCCTCTGGCGGCCGGGACTTGCCCAATCCTTCGGGTCTGCCTCGGTAGGTTTTCGCCTTGTCTCTCAACCCACCTCTCACTGATGAAGAGGAATGACAGGTTCTTGGAAATCGAAATCCCAGATGCGAGCTACGGCAAACCTCCCTGCAAACGACAAGGCTCGCCACGTCCGTGGACCACAGACTTCGCATACAGGCAGCCGAGATGCCACCATTCGGGCAGTCGTTGCAATTGTCAGTTTGCTACCGCCACAATGGTTCCCGCCCTGGAAGTCTCCATGCCATGGTTATCGTCGTCGAGCCTTTTGCATCCAACTGAGCCAATGTCTCCATTCGAGGACATATCTCCGACCTTTGCCTCTGACCGTAGCGGATGGTCGATTGGTGTTCAACAGCTCCCAACCCCCGGGCAAGGTACAGAGAATCCTCACGACATGACTGCCAGCGCAGACGAACCGATGGAACCCAAGGGTACCTATTATCTCGCTGTGGATGAACTTCAAAGCCAGCCTGTGCCCGATGCCGGCCACTCCTTTGCTGAGCAGGCACCTGGAACAGCGGAGGTGACGCCCGTCAGCCATCTGGCTCACCCAGGTTCGGGATCCATCAGTCCTGCGTGCTGTTCCTACGCGGGAGACAAAAACAAGAAAGTCCCACAGGACGCCCCGGTCGCTCAAGTTGCGGATGGCATGGTCGTACCTATGGCTGTCGACGTGTCCTTCGGCGGCGCGGCCCATCCAGGTAAACCATACAGCTGCACCTCGGCGTACAACCACAGCTATGTTCTCTCTTCACCTGCCCATCCTGTTGGGTCCAACACGCCTCTCACTCCGCCAGAGTCGGCAGGCGATCCGTGCCCATCGCCCGTCATACGTGACCCCATGGGTTGCCCTATTCCGGCCTTCCAACATCCCATCGAACGAGGCCCGATTCATGGCCAATTTCCGACCACCCGTCCAGAGGATTATGTTTCCGCGACGCTGCGCCCAGTGTACCCAGCCCGTTCTGCCTTGGCTGCTGCAGCCGACCCGTCCTGCAACTCCCCATACCAGCAACGACCGATACGTCTCTGTCCTCGTCACCTTTCGTCATTCGTAACGCATCAGCATACCTTCGTTCCACCGTATAGCACACGCTGGGCTCCATCGCACCCTGATGAATACTGATCCAAGCCTACTCCTTTGTTATTCGCGGTTACCGTTGGCGAGATGATTGAAGAAAGAGAGGCAAATAAGCACCAAACAATTCACCTGTGTGTGGGCGATGTGCGTTGAGAGGCCCTGATGACGGCAGCAGCACAGGTGAAGGAGGGGAAAAAGTATGGGCACACAGTGGCTATAGACATGCTGTTTTCCCTCGTTGCTGGTCATATTGTGGCTAGCCTTGTCCTTTCTTCTTTTTCTTTTTCCTCTTCCACCATCGCCACCATTCGCTCCAGGCAGGATGAGTCCATCAGAAGTTCTGGAGTGTCACTCTCAGAGTAGGTGGTGGTGGTGGTGGTATCAGGGCAGGTGGTAATTGCAACAAACCACCAAAAGCAAGTTGAATTGCTGGGGAATTGTGACATATGATGATTGTTTTGTTCCTATTTCCGCTTGCACAGAATGAACAGGCCCCAGAAGTGGCAGATATCTATCTGTCTATCTGGCTAGCTAGCTAGCTGTTTATAGTATGAAATAGCACACACAGTTCACATAGCTAACTAGCTCGCTACCCCAGGCTGTATGCGAGAACGAGATCACGAATACATACCTATACATGCATATCCATGAACGGAGTGTTCTTCATGCGAAACAACATCAGTGCCAGCCCAGCCTCTGCTTTTTCTCTGTACTCAATCTATTGTATCTATCCCTGGCGAGCTTATCCTCTACCAAAACAAATGTTTGGGCAGCGAGGGCAAGCGAGCCCAACCATTCAATCGAATCCAATCCAATACAACAACAGTGATCGTACGGTACCGTCTGCTTCCTTCCTCTGTCTGTACAATGGATATGTATGGTATTGTAAGTAAGACACACAAGTCGGAAGACGACCAATGCGGCCATGCCGACCGGCTGGACAACAAGCGTTCAGGATCTGGCGTCTGCTTGTCCGACACACCTCCTCCCTCTTTGTAACAGCAACCCTTCCTCTGTTGTCGGTTAGTTGTGGAGCCACCATCAAATTTCCTGGCCCCATTTCCGTTTTTGTAAGGTTTCCTCCTCGCTCACGAGTTCCTGCAACTTCTTAGCAAGGGTTGCGAGTCCATGTTCCTGTGGGCTGTGGGCTGTGGGCTTTGTTTGGATAGGGCCGGCCTGCATGCATGCCTGCTCTCTTTTCACTCAGTCAACTCGCGAACTCGTTCATCCAGATTGAGGCTTCCACGGCACCTCTTTTCCAAGTCGAGGGGTGCATAAAGGATGATGATCCACTTCTGGGAGGGTGGCAGGCAAGGGCATGGCCAAGCCAAGGCGAGGCAAGGGAATTGCGATTTTTCGAAGCGCGGTTCCGCGTCGAAGCTCAGATGCCACGACCGACAGAAAGAACCCTGGATCGACCGGAAAAGCCAAAAAGTCGAATTTCGAAGGCCAGGGTGATTCAGATGGACCTGGGATCAGCGGCAGAGAGGTAAAGAGCAAAGGGTCAGGAGGAGGGTCCTTGAGCGACCGACCGATCGACCGCCCATGCCGCCGTTGATACGGGCGCACCTTGTTACCTGGCTTTGCTGCGTAGCTCGCTCCCCACCGATAGCAGCGCCGCCATGTTAATCAAGCGAAAAAGGACCTTTCCGACATGTCTTGACCAATATGGACACCGCCCGATTAACCCGCCCGCCCACCTGCCCGCCATCTTCCACAATCCACAACATTTTAGGCCATGGTGGTTAGGGCAACGAAGACCCATCCCGGGCGGGGAGCCCTGATTCCTGGAAGGAAGCAAGGGGGGAAAGGAATAAACCTTGATGTTGTCACCACAGCGCCAAAAGGGGGGATGGAGGTGTCATCAGGCTGAGTCCGACCATTTTGGCAGAAGCGTTTGTACGGGAGATAGACAATTGGGCAGATAGTCGGTCTCCAGCTGCTTGTGGGTGGATTCACATCTCGTATAAAGGCCTTTGAAGGGAGGACGCCAGAAAGCCGACGGGAATTAATTTGTCATTTCTTTTGCGGCCCCGTTTCCCTTGACCCCTTGCAAAGCAATGGCGCGGTACAGCGAGAAAGCAAAAGGCACATGGGGAATGAAATGCATGCCTTCATGCGGGTTGAGAAAGACATGAGCATAAACTGACTCCAGCTTCCTTCTTGGAACCCAAGCAGCGTAGAGCATACAGACGCGGCTTTGACATCAAACCTCGTGCCGCACGCAGGCTTTGCCATCGAACCAGATCTAGGCGCGATTATGAACTCCGCCCCAGTCAGAACGGGCGGGAGGGGAAGAGGAAGGAGAGTTTTCTGGACTTCTTGATCGAGGAGGTCGGGGTGTTGATCGCGACCTTGTTGTTGCTCGACTTGTTGTTAGAGTTTCTTTCTTTGTCTCCTGGCTTCTTGCTAATGTTAACTCGCATCAATTGTCGCCTGGAGTATGACCCGAACGTGCATGCATCATGCACCATGTAATGCCTTGGAGTTGGGACTATGTGTGACTGCTCTCGATACTAGGACGGTTGGAGGCGCATTTGAGCCGATCATCAGCCCGGGCGCTTGTTGCTGGTTGGTTACACAAGGTGGTTTCGACATGCCGTGGTCCTGGAGTCATTACGCACGCCATGCATGCGCTAAATCTCCCTGCCTATCTTGGTCTAGTGGCCTAGGATGTCCATGTCTGTGATCAGCAGGTCACAAGTGCAGGGAGGCGGATGAAAGCGCGGGCGAGAGACCGAAACTCGTATTTTTTTTCGCCTACGAATTGTGGAGTTGGTTGATCTCGTGTCAACACTATTCGTTTTCGGCCAGCTGTAGTCCATGCATGCCTCTTTCGTAGTAATTGTCGCGGATTGGAATGAGGGCTTTAGAACCGACGACGAGGAGGAGGAGGAGGACGGGACATCGAATGACTGATGGGCTGATCGACGTTGGTCAATCGCCACGAGTGATGCTGGAGGTGCTGGTACAGTCAGTTCTACATTCTCTGAATACCCATGACAACATGATGGATCGGATCAATGCAATGCATCTGCCCGGTTGCTAAAACATCTATCTCTGGGTTAGCACGCATCTCGGATGGTGTGGCTGCTCTCCTCCCTGGGCGTGGACTGTTACCAGACTCCGAAACTCCGGTGAAGACCATTGCTGGCTGCGTGGGTTACACACAAAGGTGAGTCTGGAGCTGAGCTCATGTGCAGGAGTACAAATAAGAGGGAAAAGAAATAATGGGGATGAGATGATGTTGAGGTTGTTGCAGTCACAGTGGAAAAAGAAGGAGGAGGAGGGAGGAGCCGCAGCAGCAGCAGCAGCAGCAGCAGCAGCAGCAGCAAAAAGTGACCAGGCATAGTGTGTGTCTCGTCGCCGTCACCACAACCACCACCACCAACACAATACCACCAATACTTTGTTATTCCCCCAGAAATCAAAGACCATCTATGTCGATGTCAATGGATCGGATCAATGGACGTGATTGATTGATTGATTGATTGATTGTTCTTGTCGAATAGTATGTTATATACCGGTGGTAGCAGCGCTCTCTCCCTCTCTCTCTGCCACCCATATGACGGACTCATGGCATGGACCAGCCGTATTCTGTCATGAGAGCATGCATTGGCATACATCAAACATCTTCATTGACATCGCATTGCACCCTCCTTCACGCCCTTTTGAAGTCCCTTCCATTCCTTTCCTTTCCCCAAGCGGATAGATAATATGACAATCAACCAACCAACCAAGCAAAGCATTCTCATCTCATCTCGTCATGTTCGTCAGACAGACATCCTTTCCAAGCGTTATGATGGTGATGTTGATATCGATGTGCCATGGCGCCAGAACAGAATGCCCAGAAGAAATGCCCATTCTATCACACACAGGCTGCTTTGTTGCAGATGGATGAATATACATCACCATACTCACAAACCCCAAGAAATGCCACAAGTCGTCATTAATCTTCGTGTCAGCTCCCATACACATGTGCCTCCAAGCTGGGTTGCTATAGTGCCAGAGCCCCGTCCCAGACACCGCCGGAGATCTAGCTGATCAGGTAAATTCGACCGTCCCTCCGGTCCTCCCCTCGCGGGCCAACTTCGCCTGTGCCCGTTCGGCCCGCCTTCTTCTCCGGTTGTTGGCATACTCGGTCGCTCCACTCGTCTCCGTACCAGGAGAAGTCACGCCACTCCCTGCCGGGTACCCGAGGTTGCTTGCTGACCCCGGGATCGGCGGCGGAGGCGGAAGAGGCACTTGATATGCTTGACCATAGCCTGGTTGCACGCCCGGCGGTTCAGGCGGAGTAGGGTAAGGGACCGCGGGAGGGGGAGAAAACCCAGCAACAGACGCAGGCGGCTGGGGAGTCCTGGCCGCAGCCGAGTGTGGCGTGGTGGCAGCCGCAGCAGCAGCGTGAGCCGTCGCTTCATTCTGCGCCGCCTGCTCGGCCTCCAGCGCTTCGGTGCGTCTCCATCGTCGATCGGCACTCGTGGCCCCCATCGCCTCACTGTCGCTCCCACTGAAACTCGAGCCTCGCCGTGATCGTCTCGTTGCCGCGGACGCGTGACGTTCTCTTCTCCGTGCTTCCCGTTGTGCGGCCACTTCTTCTTCCGTCAACCGCCGCAGCGTCACCTGGCGGCCGTCGTTGTGCATGTTGATTTTCACGCTGACAGGAGGGGAATCCACGCTGTCAGCCGCATGGTTGCGACGTCGACGGCGGGAGTCCTCCGCCGCTGCCGCTCCGAGGGCTGCCCCAGCCAGTCCAGCGGCCGCCTCGTCGCCGAGATGATGTCGATGCCGTTGCCTGCCGGATCCCGTGGTGTAGAGTTCGCTGCCTGACGAGTCTAGGTGAGGTGGAGGTACCGGAGGGATATCTGCGGGGCCTGGAGGGGGGATGGGATAAGCCGCAGACGGCGGCCCTGGCGGAACGATGGGAGGATCCTGGCCGACGGGTCGGATTCGATCCCGGTCGGCCAGAGCACTGGCTGCGGCGGCACCGACACCTGCTCCTGCCGCGACCGGGATGGCTCCGCTCATTCCTGGCGGTCCCAGATCGGTAGACAGGTCTGACGCGGTCTGACTGCCCATCCTACCGTGGCGCATGCGTCGGGGGGGAGCCACTCCGTCGCCCGTGTACCGATGACCCGGGTCCATGCGCGCCCTTCGCTCATCCTCGATCCTCTCCCTCCTCAGCTGTTCGGCGCGAATATCCTCTTTGCGTTGTCTGCGATTTTTGAATAGTTGTCGAATGGCGAACACCGTTCCCCCTGCAGCCACGGCATCTCGGAATCCGTGCGATCTCCGGTCGCGCCGCGAAGGGGATCCAGACATGTATGAGTCGTACGAGTACAATGACCCGGATGGTCTGCGTCCGTCCGATCCGGGTGTCATGGGGGTTTGTGCGAGAGGGTGCGTCGGTCTGATGTGGCCCGGACTGACACCACCCGGCGTCACTGGACGAATGGAGGGTGGCCTGCCTTCTTCGATTCGCGACATCGAGTCTGTCGTGACCGACTGGTTGCCACCGAGAGGTGGTCTGTAAGGGCCCACGTCCGAGTCGTCATCGCGGTCTCTCCGGCCCATCAGCTTCTTTACCGCAGCGACAGCTCCTCCGATGGCGGCGACTTGCAGAAGGCGATGTCCGATGCCATGGCGAGACCGGTCAGACATTTTATCGTCGTAGTAATAAGACGATCCACTTCCGGTCACTTCGGTGCCAGAACCTCCATGCACGCGGTGAGGCGAGTCGTCCCTCCTCGACGACCGTCTCCTGAACAACGCCGCGAGACCCGCGCCCGCTGCTCCAGCCAGGGCCAGTTTCCCCAACCCAGTGTGTCTGCGGTCATCATCCGTCTCAACCACATCGACATGATGATTGCTCCCGCCGCCGGGCCCGTAGCGACCTCGTCTTCTCTCGGCCAAGTATTGCAAGACAAAATACAGGAAAAGCAGGAAAAAGCCCCAGAGCGAATAGAGGACAAACAAGTAGGGGGGCGATCCGTAGAGCGTCAGACCCAGTGCAACCTGGACGATGCCGAGCAGAGCAATAGCCCGGCCCATCCAGTGATGGAGCATGGCGCTGAGAGGAATGTGTGGTCGCTTCCTCCCTTTTTCTCGTCGGTGCACCATGCAGCCTCCCAGGACTTGCACCCAGACCAAGACATAAATTGCGACACCGATCCCATGGTGTGGATTGGTCAAGCTCCTGTTGGGACCGACCGCTTGAAAGCCGAGAATGATGATGACCGTGCTCAAGAGGAGGGTGAGGATCTGGAGCCATATGTGCATTCGGAGGGCAAGTCGGGGCTGGCGGCCGTAGAATCGCATGAGGAAAATCGCGAGCGGCACGATCCCGAGGAATGTGATGGCGGCAATGATGCCGTGTGCTTCGACCAGGCCATGGTATCCGGTCAGGGAGAAGAAGCGATTCCCCATTCCTGATTGTTTTCGATCACGTCAGTCTACCGTCTTCATCACAGAATTGCCGTGTTCTATCTTCTTACCATTGTATCTCATTGTCGCGAAGTTCAGTCCCACGAGGTTGGGCAGGAGGAAGTCATCTCTTCCTGCGTCCCAAGTCCCGTCGCCCACATGCATCGTGTTCGAGTCATAGGTGCTGCTCCCGGGGGGGGAGAGTTGCGGTGAGGGCGACATGGCTCGAGGGCGATTGACGGAAGAAATTTGGCTGGAGGCTTTTCCTCCGACGGTCAAGAGGCGGGAACCATCCAAGGTACGTTTGACTCTGATGTTTCCCCTTGAACAGCAGTCGGTGGGTGACTTTTGCGACTAGATGGGGAGCTGTCACGGATCTGCGCCTTTTTTGTTTACTTGGAGCTCGGTGAGCGGGGTCGATAAGTGGCCAGCTCGCTTTGTGCCTGGAGGAAGTGCGGATGGAATATACTGTACGGTGGGAAGACGCAGGGAGCGGACTTGGAGCTGAAAGGGCAACTGCTCGTAGGTTGGGTAGGAAAAGTATCACAAAAGCAAGTCCGTAACGGACAATTGGGATCGTGTGGATGCGTCCGGCGTGAGGAGCGTGAGTTGTCCTGCTTCCCTGCAAAGGTGCAGGTGGCTGCCAAGATCGAGCCAGAGCCGTAGGATGGGCAACAACCACAACCCCGGCACCCTCCACCCCTCGCCCCCCAGAGAGAAGCGCCTAGTGCCGCTAAAACACAGGCACCGACGCCTAGTCAGCTGGCGCGGCGGGCACCCGTGGGCTTGTCGATTTCTTCACTGTCCATTCGCCACGCGGTCGCCTCTGCCCGTGGCTACCCGCACACTACGCATATTCAACACCCTGGTTCGTGCCTTGGAAGTGTCCGTCATGGACATCGACATCACCGTCTTTCCATCTTACATACACACATACAACAGGAGCACGAGGAGACCCAACAACTAGCAAAGTCGATGCCACTGCCGCCGCCGTCACCAGATTTATCTTGGACTCCTTTCGACGTCGACCATGATTGATGCCGACCAGTGGGCTCGCTTTGTCACGGCCGTGTCAAGGTACGCAGTAGAATCTCAAGTTAATCGCCCTTATCAGTGCCCAGATAAGCTAGACACAAGATCCTTGGTTCTAATCGATATACATATGCCTGCAGACTTCTAGGATGGGTCTAGTAAGTAATAGCCTACCGAGAGTTCAGAATCGTACCGTCTCGTCGCTGATTCTTGTGACAGTACATTATCCTGGAGCGCCTCATTCTATCCCCAGCCGTGGCTGAACTGGAAACGTCGGTCCACTCAAGGCCTTGCCATAGATTTTCCACTTCTCAACGTTCTGGGGTTTGTATGCTACAGTGCCTCGACCTGCTCTTTCCTGTATTCACCCACAATCCGGAAACAATATGCAGTGAGGCACCCCGCGTCCCCGGAGCCGACCGTGCAGTCGAATGATGTGGCCTTTGGTCTGCACGCCGTGGTCCTCGTCATCTTGACGTACTCGCAATTCTACTCACGGCTATGGGGCTTTCGAGTGTCGGATCACCAGCGAGCCACTCGCCCGGTGTTGGCAATCGTGTGGGGGAGCCTCCTCGCTGTTGCTGGCATGGTTGTCCTGGTGACTTCCCGCTCGGGGTTGAAGGACCAGGATCCAATGGACTGGGCCTGGATAGACGTGGTGAGATGTTCTTTTCGGCTCTCCATCGTTGTCACCGCGTTCGACCGCTAACGGGAGCCTGTCCGCAGCTGTACACCCTGGGTTATGTCAAGCTGGTCTGTACTTTTGTTAAGTACATCCCACAGGCCTTCTTCAACTATAAGCGCCAGTCGACCGAAGGCTGGAGCATATTGCAAATCTTGTTTGATCTGACCGGGGGCGTGCTGTCCATAGCTCAGCTGGTGCTCGATGCGAGCTTCGGCGGTGACTGGAGTGGAATCACGGGGAATCCTCTGAAGCTGGGGCTCGCGAATATTAGCATGGGCTTTGACTTGCTTTTCATCCTCCAACACTATGTTCTGTATCGGGGACGAGAAGAGATGTGGAAGGGCTCGGACGGCGACAACGACCCCGAACGGCCGCTACTCAGTCGTTGACTGCAGGCCGTCTTCCTGTGCCTCGCATCAACAGGCAGGAGACGACATTTCCTCAGCAGTCTCGGGCCCAGACAAGATAATTTCGAGTCGAAAGGGAACGGCCACTTCCAGCTGAGAGCCCAACGGGTTTTGACCTTGGGCTCGCATGGGTTTCTCAATCTGCACTTTCGTTTGAGAGGCTTTTCGCCGGATCTGGACCAGCGGAAGTGCGGGCTGTGCAGAGCGAGGGTCGCCGGCCCCTCGCTAAGCCACGCTTCTAGCGACGATTCAGTAGGATTGGACCAGCGAACTCCGACCACTGCTCAGAGAGGGGATGAGTTGTGGAAATCAAGCATGGTCAAAAGGACCAGTGTCGAATAGGTGAGCCCGGGTTCTCAGTGGAGTCAATCCCGACGACCTCGATGTGCCAGAATCAGGTAGCTGGACCTGGCTGTACCTGTCGCCGGTGCTGATCACATTTGAGAATCTTTAGATCACATCGACATCACTTCGAAGAGCAATAATAGATTATGTGCCAGTGTTGGCGATGGTGTTCCGTATTGCGTACTCCGTATCCGGCAGCATGGGATTTGGGATGCCTTGCCAAGCCCCCAATCCTTTGATAACCTGACCAATACCGCTTCCACGCTGGGTTTCATGTGCTTCTAAGAGTCCGATCACCAGTGATCGTGCGGAGTATACATACCTCGTACACCTCGCTCTTTCCTGTTTCCATGGACCTCGCCGGCAGTCGGACATGTGCGAACACGATTACAGAGCTCCTCTTCAGCTTCTTCTGTAGCCACATTGGGGAAGCCTACATGCAAGGCGTTGGTGGGAGTGCTTCTCCGACGCGCCGTAGATTTGCGGAAGCTACATCCTTGTGAGCCTAGTTAGCGCTTCCGTGGCAAAGGGGGCTGAGAGGTTTTGGTCGCTTCGGATGAGGATGGGATTGGACTGGAGTGCACTAGACCCAGACGACATGGGGGACTCCATCGGCCAACAAGAAGAGTCGCCGTGCAGTCTCAAAGCGATCTCTTTGGCTGTGCACGAGCCGAACGGCAGGTTGTACTCGTCCGTCTTGCATGTTTAGGGCAGACGCCTGGTTTTGCTCAGAGTTGGAGGTGACCAGGTCCTGGAGAGGTGAAGAAGCTGGCAGACGGGATTCCAAGCAAGTTCTTTGCGACTGCGGGGCGAGCCAGCGAAGCTAAAAAGGGTCAGTCGTCAGCTAATCAGTCATACGATATGAATTGAGGCTCTCGAACTGCCCATTGTAGGAAATCGCCAAGATGACTGTGTCGAAAGATTGATGGTGGGAGAGAGAGATGACAGAAAATGAGTTGATGGGCAGGGTGACAAGACACATCACTCCTTGCCATGCAGGTGGCACCAGTCCAGTATGGCGTTTTCGGGGAGGGGAATGGAGAATGGTGCTTTGAGGCCCAATCTGCGAGGTGAGGCAAGTCAGAGTCACAGAGACACCAATGAGAAACCAAGGTTTAGTGCAACCGGTTGCTGTCGTGCTGCCGGTGTGTTGGTGTGCTGGTGCCAGCGCCTTGCATCTGTGTGGGCATGGCTATTGTAGGAGGTGTTGCTTTTTCGTTGCGTGGCATCAGCTGCAGCGTGTCGGTCTCGGTCTAGCAATTGCTTGGTTGGGTAGTGGGAGGAGCAGCCGAGAGGAGAAGCGAGAGAGCACGAGAAAGAGACAGAAAAGGACTCTCTCTCTCACCTTCGTACATACGTAGGTCCAGGGCGCAGTCTGGGTTGCTTGTTTCCCTGTCCATCCTCAAAGCGGCATCTGACATGCTGGCGGATCGGAATCAGAGCCTCCGTAATGCATTGTTCTATTATTTCTTGCCGAATACTCCGTGTTAATAATATGTACTGTATGATGATATGATATTTCTGGGCCTCCTGTCCAGCAACCTTCTTTTCCCTGTGTCCGTCCCCTGGAGGTGACACCTCTTCATTGGTATCAGCCTCCCGGGAGTGGGTCGCTGAGTTAGGGACTTGGGGGGTTGTCCTCGCCTATCACGTTCAGGCTTCCAACCCCCCCAAGGCATGCGTTCGATCCGGTTGATCTCCATTAGCAACGAGTGCTCACTGCTCAGTAGTCGCCTAAAGGAGCCTCTTCGCCAACCCATTCAGCTTTGTTCGCGCGAGCCTCCGCTCTTAACAAAACAGCCTCAATTACCCTAATGCAACAGGCACAACTAAGCCCTGCACTCCCACTGACTTCTCATGGAGCCACCAAACTTTCGTCGTCGCAAACAGCAGCCCATAATACAAAGGCCGAGGGTCCTCCTAGTGACATTATTCTTACTGCGTAGTTTTCTTCCTTCATCCCTTCGGACGGACTTTGTAACCATCGAATCCCCCCGAAGTTGCTTTGGCGAGGGGGCTGTGCCGTGTTCATACTGTGGACTCTATCTACGCTAAGCCTCCCAAGGCTCCAACAATTCTTTTTCTACTCTTCATCCTTTTCAAACCTTGCTGCAAGAGACGGGAAGGAGAACGAGAACGAGACGAGGGGGAGAGTAGATGAGAGGGTGAGGTGACTTTGACTCGTCAGTTTCGATCCCAACCTAAACGCCTCTGTGCTCGGCTCCGCATCCAACAACAGCCTCGCAGCCAGACCGTTTGTCCTCTGTCCTCTCTCTCGCCTGCTGAGTGCCGGTTGTCGACTACTTGTACACACAATCACCTTCAGCAATCCCGAGCCATCCACAGATTACAGACCATCAGACTCGTCCAAGACCCTACCTGTGCTCCCACATCCAGCCAATCCATCCAGAGCCTCCAAGAGCCTCATCATCACTGTGTTACAAATACCCCTCACTCACTCCCGGCCTGCATTTTCAACTGACCAGGTCACACACACACCCTGACCAACAAGCCCGTCAAGCCATTTTGCTCTCCGGTATGAGAATCTTACCACCCTTTCCCCAATTTTGCTTTCATCTTTGGCCAATGCATCCCCATCCTCGTTCAGCCGCTCTCTGCCCGAATACGCAAGTCGCCACGCTTGTCTTCCCGCCTGACCAAGGTCTGGAACCTTTTGAGTTCGTCGATGCCCCTCCACTTACTCCCCCATTCCCCGCCTACTGTTGTCCCCTCGAAAGGCAGGATGTTGGAACAGCCTGCGATCCATCAACACGGGCAATAGCACGTCCGACACCAGTCCCTCTCTTGTTCACTGTCATGCGCCCCTGGTGGAGTGTGCACCACCGCCGGTAACGTGAAAAAAAAATCTCACACACTGACATGGCATATGGTCCACAGACATCGATCCCCGACGACATTTACCTCCATAGTCAACCATCCCTCTGTCCGTTTCAGAGCCATCGCCGCATCCCTTTTTTTGGGTGGTCTGCCATGTAATTTGTCGGGTTCACTCATGTCCCAAGATCAAGATATCTTTTACGACGTCGAGCGGGATATCATTGCACCCTTCCGAAGTCCTGGGCTCGAGGCCGTCAAGCCGGTGTACGGTCCCCGAGAAAGCCCTGCTCCTCTTATACCCGTCGAGGATTCAACCTCAGACGACTCAGAGGCGGAGGACACGGACGCGGGACAACGGCGGGAGAAATCTCTAGCACGAAAGGGTCGAACCAACCACACCTTTGCCGATAGCGTACTGATTCTTTCCATAGATCCTAATGAACGAATACTTGCCAGCCAGGCACGGCAAGAGGCGTTGAACTCGAGGAGTCCATCAGAAGAGGCGGAGGCGGAGGATGAGGACGGCGACGAAGACGACAACGAAGGCCAAGGTGGCTGGAGACAGAGGAGGAGGCCCGAGGTGTTTATTCGGAATGGAGTTGGGCCTATGCCGGTGCCGCAGCCGGCCCTGCTCGCCCATCCTCCTGGGCTTGACGACGACGTCGACGACTTTCCCATGATTGACAATCCAGCCACTGTGGCTGAAGGGCAACCGGTGCGGCCGTCTCCGAGATCTGGGCACGGGCACGCCCTCCAAAGGTCCGAAGGGCATACTCAACCCTCCCATGCTGAACCCCAGCAAGCAGATCTGGCAAGAAAGCAGTTCAACACAATCCCACCCCCGAGGACTCGCCCGCTGTTTCCCAATCTGCGGCTGAATCTTGCTCCGAATATCTGTGACGCCGATCAAGATGACGACTCGATCCTCCGGTCACCGATTCTGGGAAAATATGCGATATCGCCTCGTGATGCTCATCCAGATTTCACCTTACCGGCCATGCAACATATGTCCCCTCCACGATCCTCGCCTGCGGGTATATCAGATTATAGGATGACGCTTCCGTCTCTGAAGATCGCCATTGGCGATGTCCCGGACCCCAGCCCGGGGGCGTTTGCCTGCCCGTCTCCGAGCGTGGGTCGGGCTTTATCGGGCCAGATTGCATCTTATGCATCTCCGGCCTCCTACTCCGCATATTCTGCCATGTCACCTCCAGATCCGCGGTCTCACAGTCAGTGGCGCACAACGACCGGATATTCCACCGCGTCAACGTACTCCGACTACACGTCATCAACGTCCGTCTCTGTCGGGACGCCAGCCTCGTCAATCATCACGCCGTCCCCGGCGGCCTCGGGTCCTTGTTCGCTGACTCCTCTTCCTGAGCACGATCAAGAAGAACAAGAGGAGGACAGCAGAACGCAGCACGTGCCGACCAACGAGGCTGATTTGGCATTTCAGGGTGAAGTTCGATTCTTACCTCAGCAGCCTCAGCCTAAAGCTCATTCCAACGCTCGACCCCAACCTGGAAACCGCTCGAAACCTCAGTTTCAACGTCCCAGTCGACCGAAACCTCCGCCCAAACCCGTTGCTCGCTCAAAGCCTCAACCCCCGCCTCGCCCTCCCACGAAGCCTGAGTCGCAACCCCAACCTCCGCTTCAACCTCATACTCAGGCCGATGCCGAATCTCAGGCTGAGTCCGAGGTCGAATCTGAACTCTCCGAACTCACCGAACTTGAGTCTGATTTTGACTCGGAGCATGAGGCTGAGTCCGCCCCACCATCTAAATCACACCCCAGACGTCCATCCGTGTCTCAATCCAAATCTCAACCCGAACTGGCCCCCAATCCCCCGGCAGGCCATCGCTTCTCCCTAGGTCCCTACAAGTGCACCTACGAGGGATGTAATGCGCCACCCTTTTCGACCCAGTACCTGTTAAACAGTCACATGAACGTCCACTCTAACATGCGAACTCATTTCTGCCCCGTCAAAGATTGTCCTCGAGGGTATGGTGGCCTGGGGTTCAAGAGGAAGAATGAGATGATTAGGTGAGATCAAGGTCACTTTTAGAAATTGAGTCTCCGCCCGTTACTGATTTGCTTTCTTCCTGACAGGCACGGCTTGGTTCATACATCTCCCGGATATATATGTCCTTTTTGTCCGGACCAGCAACACCGATATCCGCGGCCCGACAACCTCCAGCGTCACGTACGACAACACCACTCGGATCAAGATCGCCATGACCCCAAACTCCGTGAAGTCCTCAATCAGCGCACGGATGGAAACAACAAGGCAGGAAAGAGGCGCATGCGCTTGTTCGGTCCTTGAGCCCTTTTGAGGTCTGTCAGCAAGCGGGGTTTGAGCCGGAGACGAAGCAACTTCTACAGCAGATACTGGATGGATCATTTAGGTCGGATTTCTTGTACAGCACGTTCACATCGATTTTGACTAGCGCCAGCATTTATATTCTTCCGTGGCTTACACCGACCAACAGCAGCAACAGGAAGACTTTCTGTCTCGAGGGATGCACAACGATCAATATAGAAGGGAAATATTCGAACCGCTGCACTCAGCCTGGACACCTCCCGATATTCTCTGCCGGTTCTTTCCGCATTCGACACCTCTGAGCGACGGCGAAATGGATACTCAGACAGTCTACGGGCTGCGGCGGGCGGCAGCTTTGGTTGTCTATCGAAAAAGGCATGGGTCGCGCATGATGGGATTTCATCCATCCGTTTTTATTTACGAAGTTATGACTCTGATGACCACCCGCCATGCCCTGTTATACATGTCATGTCATGCTTCTGGCAGAAGCTGCAAACAAACCCTTTTTCCAAACAACTCTGGCAATGTCTATATATATACATACATCTCTCTTTTTCTCTCCCCCTCTCTCGGGAACTTGATGGTAAAGTGGCGAATGGAGTTCAAACCGGGGTGAGGTGGGATAGATACACACCTTGACTTGTCTGTCACCCGGAGAGGCGACACCATACGACGCGGTGCGAGCGAGGGAGGGGAGAACAGAAACGCAAGGAAATTTGTTCAACTACAAACTCCCAATCAAGCCCCAGCCCAGGGTCTCTCGAAGTACGTTTTTGTTGCATGTTCCTTGCCCCCCGGCAGTCACTATCTATCTATCTATGATCATGACGCCCAGTTTGGGGGAGTCCTGGCGCGATGCCAATCAGTTTGGGGCGCAGGGGTGTGTGTACTCCTTCCGGGGCTCTCGCCAGCCTCAGCTGTCTCTCTCTCCCTCTCCTCTCTCTCCTTCTATCTCATTCGTTCTGGTCAAGGCCTGCTACAAGTCGAACCCTTCAGATAATCAAAGGTCGGCAGCAGATAGACGGACGGACGACGGACACCTCGTGGTTGTTTTCGGGTCATGCTGAAGCGCAGGTTGTGTCAGAAGCAACGAGTTAAAGAGACATGCATATGCGTATGATATAGATACTTGGGTGAACCCTTGGAGGCTCTGCCTACCTTTTCCACACGTTGTTCTTGTTTGTTGTGTCCTCGACAGTGGACTGACTCCACTTCTACTGGCATATATATTTCTATGATAAAGAAGAGGCTTCCGTGCAACGTCGTGCCCGACTCGTTGCCCGCTGTGGCTCAGTTCAAGTCCTGCACTGGACTGGACTGGACTATGTCCCTCTGCCGCAGCCTCTCTCTCGTCGTCTCCGCCTCTCCCTCCCCTCGAACTCCATCAATCAATGACTTCCCCCTACTCGTTGTAGGCCCTCTTCTTCACTGTAACACGCAGAGAAAGGGCGATGCCTGCTCTAGGCTTCGAGCTGACACGCCGCCCCCGTCACCAGGGACACAGTATCTGTGCAATCGGGCTGAGAGCGGGTTATAGTGCCCCCTCCACCCCTGGATCCAGCTCTGAAGACGTCTTTGTTGTTGAGGTTGGTTCGGGGACGACGATAACAACAATTCTACTACCATCCCGCATTCTCCGTCTCTGTCTCTTTCTCCTTCCTGGAACATTTCTTCCAGGTTTCGATCCGGCGGAGAATGAATGTCAAAGGTCACGATTTGGTGAAGCGGAAATGCGCATCCTCCGTCGCGTCTCTGTCTCCAGCCTCTCGGCCGCCGAGCGACCGCCACGTCTCGTCTTCAATCTGGACGCACCTACCGACGGTGTCGCAGTTCAAGAGATCCCCGCTACTCGTCGTCCGCGTCGTCGTCGCTCGGCCACCCACGCGCAGCTGCTGAAACGCATCCAAAATCACCGCAGGAAGGGTATTTTCCGTGTGAACGTAGCCGACGGTCCGGAACTTGTGGCACGCAGGCAGAATAGGTCGATATAGGAATGCAACTATGTTATTTTACTCGTGGTGGTATCTGTTGGAGTAGTAGTCCTGGTACTACCATCGATATTTGTATCAGGAGGTTGATCTGATGAGGAGGATGATGGTGGTGGTGACGACGACAAGGAAACGGAGAGCTTGTGGATACCGTGAAGCAGAGGCTTCCCCCTCACGACGCGCTCGTCGAGACTCGTGTGCATATATTCCTCACCGTCATTCTTCTCTACCTCGTGAAAGTACACGGCCCGTTGGCCTAGCAGGTGTGCTGTAGTTCTTTATGGAGCTGGGGCCCGTAGCGCGGCCCTTTTGCCCATCCTCGGAGGAACGCGTCCACCTTCTCGCGATAGATCAGGACGGGTGCGTGGGCGGTGCACCAACTCGCGCCACGCTTGAACGACACATGCTGAACCCGGTTCGGGCAGAGGTATTGCCCCCCCTGCCATCGCTGCCAGCGGTACAGCACGTTGCAGCCGCAGCCACAGGCCATCATCTCGGGGGGATCTTCCTCCAGGAGACGGAGGAAGCGGAGATTTTCGTCGTCGGCTGTAAAAAAGTCGATGTGCTTGTTGATGTTCTTGTCTCTTCCTTCTCTTCCTCGTCGCTCTTGAGGATCCGAAAACTGCTGAGATTGAGAGTGAGACTGGTGGTCCACGAGGAGCGTGTCGTAGTGCCATTTCGATGTCAGACCCATACACGCGACCGCGCTCGCGGGCAGAAACGAGACGATGTGCAGCAGAATCACCGATGGCAATTTCTCCCAAGGTCGACGTTCGTGTAGCCAGGGCTGCTGGGACTGAGACTCGGACTGGGACTTTCACCACCTCGCACGCGGCGACTATCGGCAAGAGTCGTTGTCGCAGTTGTGACAAGGACCAATCTTTGAGTAAGAGAAGTAGCGAGAGAAGAAGTCCAACCATGGTGGCGTCTCTTGTCTCTAAGTGAAGGCTCATAATGACATACAGTAGAAAGAAGTATCATCATCCACATTGGGGAAGCAAGATATAATAGAAAAAAGGTCCAAAGGAATAAGGAACAGAAGTAGAAGGTCTGACTTGTCTCTGTGCCAACAAAGTTAATTACAGTCGTTCCTACCAACAGGTTCTTTGGCCCTTCAGAGGTACCAGACAGAAGTCTTGCTAAGGCCAAATACCAAGGGTTTAGCCATGGCGCCTGGATAAGCCATGGCGATGATGGCGGTTGGTATCCTCTTATGTAGATTCCTTGGGGGAGGGGGGATCTGCTGGCAAGACCATGCCGTTCCAGAGGATTCACGCCATGTGGCAGTTTGGGTGTCTCGGTCTATGCTGCCACTGTAGAGGGCAAAGGAGGGCTGCCACGAGCTGGGTTTGTCTTTTCGTGGTTAGGAAGATGACAACCATCTCGACTGACGCTGGTATAGTCTTTGCAGATGAAAAACCCGATCTCTTTTTTCCGGCTAGACGCCTGCAATACCGGATATCTTGTCCCGTATCCTCTCCGCAAGGGTTGTCCCCGATTCTTGTCCTTTGCCCTCAAGCAACCCGTCAATCTCCTTCATGGTGGTTGGTTCCGTCAGACCCCAGATCTTCCACGGTCCCTCCTCGCCCTTCGTCGTCATTTTTTGTATAACCACATAATCGACGTGCTTCAGCATAACGTCCTTGTCACTGTCGGCGAGCAGATAGTTCTGAATGCTGCTGATGCGCACGATGCACTGTCGGAGGTAGGTATCGGCGAAGGGCAATGGGGCAAGCCTGTCCGAAACGACTCTGGTGCTTGCCCTCGGTAGAAACCCCGAAAGGGGCCATCTCTCGAGCCAAGCTGGGTAGCGAATGCCCGAGTAGCTCACGAGCGTCCACGGTTCTTTCCTCCGTCGCAAAGCTTTCCGTTGCTCGACCCGCGTCCTCGCCTGGGCCATCAGACCTTCGCAGCAAATGACCTGGAGTCTCTTCAGATCGCCCTCACTCAAGGCTTCGTGGAATTCCCTGTGCAGGTCCCGCGCAATCTGGTTTCTCTGAGACAGCTCCAAGGGCTTTCTCAGCTTTTTTCCCGTCAGAGGGTCTCGTTTGACGTCCCATTTGAGGAACACCACCAAACTGTGAAGCAGGTCAGCTGCAGCCCAGAGTTTCCTCGTATCCAGTCATATCCTTACCTCCACCAGTCTTTGACAGCAGTCTTGAATTGTAGCCAATGGATCCTGGTTCTCTTCATCACATTGGGGCTCATCCAGCCCGGAAGGTCCGTGGCAGCAGGAAGCACGAAGGTCTGGGGTAGTTTTCCCAGATCAGTGCCGATCTGTTGCCGGTTGGCTTTTTTCATCTGGCTCTTCATGGACACATGCTTTGGGAGCTTGGAGTCGATGTTGGGGATGCTCTGGGCGACTCCGGCGGCGGCATTTCTGCGTCGTGTGGTTGTGAACTGGCGAGTGTAGACCGACGGTAAACGATGCGCGCATTGAGGGCAGATCTGAAGGGTTTGGCCAGAGGGAGTCGGGAAGGATAGCTTCAGAGTCTTGCTTGAGACTCTGGCCACGGGATGTGCCATCTTGAATTGGCAATGCACAGGAAGAATGCTCTGCCAATTGAAGGGCGTCGTTGACAAGGTCGACAAAGCTCCAGGAGAAAAGTGAGCGCAGTCAAATGCTGGATCCACGTGACTGCGCATGGCGCGTCGCCACACTTGCCTTTTGCAGCGTGAACCAGGGTTCGCCAGCTCAAGACCTGGCGGACTCAAAACCGGACTTCACTTTGCATATAATATTGCTTGAACGGGTGTTTTGAACTTGCTTGACGGCAGTCATGTCTACTAAAAAGGATATGCGAAGGGCGGATCTCGGTCAGTCTGAGACTTGGTCAGATCTTGAAGCACACAGTCGCTGACGAGTGTCCCCAGTCATTCCTTATGTCGAGCCCAAAGACGAGAAGCCCACCGATTTCAGCTCGACTCTGACGAGTACGATGCCTATGGCAGCTGTGAGTTGGCAGATGCGACTACTGTACTATTAACATGCTAACGACAAAGGTAGATGTTCACAAGAAATAGGTAAGAGGTAGCACCGCTGTTGTCCTGTTCATCGCTAACCATGACGATCAGGTTGCTCGGTTGGTAAGAGGGATGCACGCCCCCGGACCACTGCCTGAAGTTGACACAGCAAGGTTTTCTCTACTCACAGCTCTTCTGAATTGGTTGGGCGAGACACCGGCCCAGAGGCAAAGTCCTAGTGGTACACCCGGGTATATGGCCTTTGGCATGGCTGGTAAGTGGCAGCATGGCCTTTGCATTGGTGGATCTCGAAGCTGATAATATGTCTGAAAGTGCTTGCCGTTGGCGTGGTATGTTGTGCGGCTGGTCCACCCACAGGACTGAACACTGACATCGTCCGCTAGACATATATGCCCTTGTTTCTGCCGCCGCCGCCAAATGCAAGGGCACCAGCAGCACCAGTGCCCGCTGCCTGAACATGTGGTATTGAGGGATTAATCTGTGAAGAAGGACCTGACCACGAAATTCTTGGAGAGGTCGTTTAAGGCTTTGCGACAATGTATAGGGAGCATTTGCACAGTGGATTGGTCTCTGAGGTTGCTAGGTATACCTAGTCTTTGTACGGGGAAGTTTCCCTTTGTCCCTGCGAGCCTCCGATGCAAACAAGCACCTGTCACTAGGCCTAGAACCTGGAACCTGGAGCCCACCAATAATTTTTGCCACAAGCCCAAAGTAGTTGGGCCCCCAGGCAGGTACCACCTCTTTCTTCCAGGCCTTGGCGCCCGCAACGACGTAACTTGCAGGCGCAGTTTGGGCACCGTGAATCCGTGATTCTTTTGGGTTCCAACCCCACCAAACTGGCACCGCACCCCAACCAACCAACCAGTCACTGCCTCCTGCGTTCGCCTCTTGCATCAGCCGTTTTCCTTGCCCCCTTCGCTTCGTTTTCTCTCTTTTTCTCATACAAAACCCCAATCCATCACCACACTCTCCACTCAACCACGACTCTTTCGCGTGCAGCCGGACGTTCAACAGTCTAACCTTCCATCACCGACACCACTTCTTCCTATCCAACCCGTTTCTCGAGACAAACGAGTTTATGTCAACTATCCAAAACCTCAAAACCTTTGGTAAGCCGACCCCTCTTCTCTCATCCCCTCTCTTGCCACTTTGGCCGCCGCCCGTCACCCCTCAACGCCTTGGTCTCTATCGCGAACCTCGACGCCGTCTGATCGTGCGAATGATGGCTGGAGAGCGTGCTGCAGATGACCTTGACGACCCTGGCGTGCTGGACGGACTCGAAGACTCGGTGTGTGTGACTCACGGCTAACTGCTTGGTCCTGCAGACCCCTTCGCGGAGGCCGACGACGACACTGGGGAAGCGAAGCAATCCCAGAATTACATCCACATCCGCATCCAGCAGCGCAATGGTCGTAAGACTCTGACCACCGTCCAAGGCCTTCCGAAGAAATTCGACCAGAAGAAGATCCTCAAGGTCATCAAGAAGAAATTCGGTACGTAAACAAAGAGACATCCACCAGCCTCCAGGGACATGGGCTGACAACAGACACAGCCTGCAATGGCACGATCGTCACGGACAGTGAGATGGGCGAGGTGATCCAGCTTCAAGGGGATCAGCGCAAAGATGTTCAAGAATTCTTGGTCGCCAAGGACGGCCTCGAGCTCGATGCAAAGACTATCAAGGTAAGCGAGCTTCTACACCGCACAACCACGACGCATTTGACTCACTTTGTGTGCCAGGTCCACGGTTTCTAAACGTCTCGGCCGGCATCCTGTGCTATCCTGCTCGGTCATCGAGGACAGATAGAAGTTCGTCTCGACTGGGCGCCAAATCATCTCCTTGAACGATCACTTCTGGCCTGTTCGTCTTCGCTGGTCGATGCAGTGGCCTGGTCACGATAGCATTTTGGGGATGCGATAAGGTTACGCGTTTGATGATACCCACGATGGATATTTGGCCTTTCGGATGGGAATGGGGAGGCACGGGATTGTTGCGTTGCGATAACGATACGGGACCGGAACCACAGCAACATTTGGCTGTGTCGACAGTGCTCAGATACACTGGGCCGGGGAAGGGGGAGGACATGAGATATGAGGATTGGGCTGGTTTCTATCGTTGATCCCACCAGTCCCTGCATGGTAGCTTGTGAAATGATCCATCAGAGTATGGGAAACAATGCGTTTTCTGTTTTGCTTTGGTGTGATGTCTGTTTCCATTGTGATGACCAGCGGTTCATGCACCACCGCTACACACATCCCTACCATCCCTTGGGTCGACCAATTCAACCCATGCCTCTGTCCATGGACCAAGCCCTGTTTCCTCTGTTTTAGATAACTGTAATTAACATTATCAGCTGCAGCTGTCGAACTGGCTCTGCCTGCCGAGATGGGTAGAAGCTCCCCCGAACTCAGCCCTGATTCAGACGAGGGTGATGCCGCCTACTAATACTCAGCCCAGCTAGCGCGAGGCGGGTAAGAGATTCACCTAGAGAATCAGTCTTGTGAAGTATTTGATTCTACGTACTTGGTATTCAAGTGCTCGACCTCCTCTGCCCTCTGATGTTCACTTGCCGACGGGAACAACTCCATCTCACTCTTCGTTTTGTTCTCATTCTGTAGTGAGAAAGAGCTCTCGAATACAACAATGATCTCTATCATTGCATAGAAGTTGGCATTTGTGACACCGGGTACGAGAAGTAGGCCGCCAATTTCGGTGGTAGGATCACTGAGGTCGTAGACGTGGACGTCTCGCCCAGCTGACCGAAAGGCTGCTGCATGGGGACGATGTTTCAAAATTGAAGGTTTAGGCTTGCAAATATTAGGAAGAGTAGAAGTTTGTGCGCAGGTTCAGAGATGATGATGATGGGAAGAACCAGGCTGGCGGCGAGGTTGAAAGGCGGCAGGGCCTGGCGACTGGGTCAGTTTTTATGTTCCTGTCTTTTTCAGCCAAGAAAGAGTCTGGAATATAATATGTGACTTGATTGATTGACTCTTTTGTCTCTGGTACCGTGTGGCTAGCGAGGCTGTTCTTATCGGTGTTGGTGTTGGTGTTGGTCTGGCACCATATTATATAAAAGGAAAAGGTCACGCGCCTTTTTCCTCGTCTGCTCTTTCGCCCTTTTCTCCTTTACTTGAATAATAATAATACGTATGCATCTGGAGCCGATCGACTGTCTACACGTCATCAGGAGGTCGAACCTGGACTAGAAGAAGAAGAAGAGGAAGAAGAAGAGGTGAAGATTTGCTGATATTATTCTCTTCCTTTCCACCTCGCTTGCTTGCTGGGAAACAAGGGGGGGAAGGGAGACTACCACATCTCTCACAACCCACCCCCAGCCCTGCCTTGGGCCAGGCGATGCAGCAGCCGCCATAGCGCTGCAGCACCATTGTCCAACACTGGCGACACCTTCGGGGCGTCGTCTGGGCGGCCCACCATCATATTATTATCATCATTATGGCGGCGGCGACGATGCTTTCGTCCCACCCAACGGGAACGACAACAACAACAACAGCAATAACAACAACAACGGGGGTATGAACAGCTTCCGTCACGCTGCATCGTCACCTGCAGTGACCCATCATCAGCCCACAAGCAGCAGCAGCAGCAGCCTGATGTCTTCTGGCGGCGGGGGAGGAGGAGTCGAGAATGCCAACAACATCGCCAGCGTCGCCATGTCGGCGCGATACCCCCGTGTCGCCGTCCTCCTGGGCGTGCAGCCTCGCTGGCACGTGCCGCTGCTGCTGTGTCGGGCGCTCTCGACCGTGTCGGCCGCGTGGTGGGCGTGCCAGACTTGTTTCAGCATCTATCAGCTCATCTCGGACTACGATACAAATACAGGCATCGATACCGACACCACAGCCGGAGGAGATGCGGCCACAGGTGGTGGTTCGCTGTTGTGGGAACATCGCATCTTCAGGCGCCTGGCCGTTGCGCAGGTCGGCTTGAGCTTTCTCTGGGTACGTACTGTATATGTACATCCTTATCCTGTCCCGAATACATCCCCCCCCCCCCGGCCCTCCTCCATCATCCCGGTGCAATGCCAGTCCCTCCCCTGGACTCTCAGTCTCGCCTGTTACTAGAGGATGGCTGCTCTTCCCCTGTCCCCTTTTCCCTGAAACCCAAGACTCGCTCAAGCTAACATCCTGTCCCTTCTTCTTTCCTGCTCTCCAGGCCGGCGCCGCCGCATACCTAGCACACCTGTTTGCGTCGTCGTTGATGGCGCGGTGGCTGCTGCACTACAGTCCGCTGGCGGTGCTGGTGCGGCTGTGCAGCCTGTCGATCGTGCTGTCGTTTGGCTGCCTGCAGGTGTTCCGGGCCACGGGGGCCACGCGGCCGGACCTGCTCCAGCTCAGCCGCAGCCTGCTGGCCTGGATCGCCATCGCCGTCGCCCTGATGCTCGCCTACTTCTGCACCCAGCACGACCTCTTCGTGGCCGCCGCCGCCGCCGACCCAAGCCCGGGCCCAGGCGCGGACCCCGGTGGAACCTCCCCCCGCGACAACGAGGACGCCCACCGCCGCCGCCGCCAGATCCTCCGCCTCAAGTGCCTCTACGTCGTCTCCGCTTGCAGCCTGTGCAGCCTCCTCGTCTTGGTCGGCATCGTCCAGCTCGATCCGGAAACGGGCGTGCTGGACGGGTTTATCACGGCGGTTTTCGGCCACGGGAACGCCGGAGAGAGTCAGGGCTGCTCCTACCACCCATCCTCCTCCTCCTCCTACTACTACTACATGACCACATTCCGGGATTGCATCGGGACGTGCAAGGCGTTGGCGTCGGATATGCTGCGTCAATGGCGCCGGTTCGCGGACGGTACGGCCAGGTTTGGGGCTGAATTGTGACGACGATGACGACGACGAATGCAAAGAAGGCGAAGGGGTGGACGGATGAAGAATCGCGAGGCAGTTCATTCTCTGCTTTGCCTGTCCCTCCCTGTCTTGATTATTTGTTTGTCAGCGATTGAGTAATTGATTGATTGATTGATTGACCAGAATGTGTGCCGATGCCCCGCAACGCAACGCGTCAATGTATGGATGGATGAGTGGATGGGATGGATATGTGAATGGGATGAACGATTGAATCACGCCGAGTCAAGTAGTGTCGATCCGCAACATACAATGCAACGGAACGTCTGCGACAATATCCTTCGATACGCACAGAGAAACAAAATGTATCTGACAATCCATGCGATGCAATCCGCCTGAGGGAGGCTTGTCATGGGAGATCAGTTATGTTATCTTATGGATGCACAATACCCTGTCCTTATAGGTATGTGTGTGTGTGTATGTGTGTATGTGTCGTGCTCGACAACCTCTCCTCTCCTTGCATCCTGCTCTGCACCCGACTCCCTTCTCCCTGCTTTCTATATCCGCCTTAAGCAGCCGGATGTGTATATATATATCATCTCTTCCTTTCTCTCTTTCCTTCTTAACTCTTGCCTTGGCTTGTTCCCCTTTTCCAAGTGGAAATGGACTGAACACGTCCACTCCATCGCCATCGTTGTATCCATCCGGGGAGGTATTCTCTGCTCCCGCCACCCATCTCTTTGCCATATATCTCACTGAAAATACTTAAGAGCGTGTGTAGATCTCCTCTTGCCATATATCACCCAATCATATCATGTAACCTCCCTTTTTCTCTATTTCCCTTTGGGCGAGGAGAGGAGTCTCTGTACATCTGTATCTCCTCCCTCATCTATTCAGCGAGCTGCGACTCCGCTTCCTCATGCCCACCTCGGGCCGCTGTCTCTCGCTGTGACTGCCTGTCCGCCTCGTCGCGCCGGACGGTCCTATCTCTGGCGCAGATCTCTTGTTGGCCAGGACGCTCTGCAACTCATGACTCTCGCCACGCTCTAGGGAGTCGTCCACCACGGCGACCTCGTCGTTCTCGTCCGGAGGCGACACCCCCCCACCGTCCGCCGGCGTGTTCTCCCCACTCTCCCCATACGCACCACCGACACTCTCCATGACGAAGGCGCCGGCCGTGGGCGCGTCGAGGGCCCGCAGTTCCTCGTCCCGAAACCATTTCGGCATCAGCCATGTACGGAAGGGGATCAGAAGCAGGATGATGATGGGAAACCCGATCGCCGCAATGGTCTGCGAGATGGCAAAGGTGGCGCCGAAGCCGACCAGCTCGCACGCCACGAACACCCAGATGGCGGCCCGGCGCTCGATCCGCGCCAAGGGGTCCGTCGCGTCCGTCAACTCCTTGTCCCGGGCCAGGAAGAGCAGCTTTTGAGTGATGCCGTTGCCCACCAGCGCTTGCACGCCCATGACGAAGAACAACCCCGCCAGCACGCCCTGGGGGATCAGGTGGAGCACGACCAGCAGCGGTCCGCTCATCGTGACCAGGAACAAGAGCCCTTGGGCAAGGTTGCTGAAGCGCTGCTCGACGACGTGGTCCGTGACCCGGACGAGGTGGCCTCTCGCCTTCTCATCGACGACTTGCCTCGTGACGCAGAGGGCGTTCGTGTGGAAGGGCGCCTGCGGGATGAGGCCATTCGGGAAAGGGATGCCCAGGATCCCAGCGATGCCCGTGGTGAGCCCCAGGAGGAAAATATCCCAATGGAAGCCCGGGGGTTTGCGGAGAGGAAATTCCGTCCCCTGTGCAATAAGGGATGACACTAAAGGCTTTGGGTCAGTCGAACGTCGATCACGGGTCAGCTGGCTGGCTGAGACGTACCGTTGTGATCAAACCAGAATAGGACGGTCAGCAGGATCGCAAAGGGAATTGCCAGGAAGACCTCTCCCACGCTGATGTCCCAGAAATGGACAAACCAGCCGCGGTCCGCCGTCGGGTGGAATGACTTGCTCGTCGGCAGGGTCTCGAGATGGACATTCCTCATGTGGCCGATGTGGACGAATCCCGTGAAGAAGACGATGGTCAGCGGGGTTCCGTAGTCCTCGATGAATTTCCGCACGTGGCGCTGCAACAGGTTGCTCTCGCCGAGCACACCGCACCCGTATGCGAAGCCCAGGACGAGCAGACTGACCATGACGGACAGGTAGGCACTCGTCTCACCGGCCAATCCCCACTGTCGGGTCAGGACCTGGATGCCCTTTTGCAGGTAAATGAAGGCCACGTAGAACCCAAAGGTGTCACAGCTGAACCGCGTCACGTAGGTCAAGGCATTGCAACTGTTCGTGATAGCCAGGAACCAATGCATGATCAGGGCCCAGATGCCGATCCAGGCCATGAAGGCGAAGAAGTTGGTGCCCTGGGGCACGATGATGTCGTACACCGTATAAGAGAAGACGGTGATGGGACCGGTGACGCCCACGATGACGAGGGGCTGCGCGGCGAACAGAGAAAACACCACACACGCCATGACCGAGGAGAGGAGGACTTCGTTGACGCCGTACGAGTTGTGAGTTTTGGTGAACATGTCGAGGGAGAAAGCCAACGCCGGGAGGATGCTGGAAAAGAGCAGTCAGCGGCCGAATATGACACACCATCATGGGAGTCTCGGAAACTTCTTTCTGAAGACTTGGAAAGAGAAAAGGAAGTGAGGTCTCTGTGCAAGCGGTCGATTGTATATGGATGGGTATATGGATGGTGCGTACTTGGCAAAGTACATGTATACGGTGGCCGGGATGACTCTATAATCCCACGCGTCCTTCCAGTCACTCCAATAGTACGGGGCCCGTCTCTTGACGTCGTCCACCATACCCTTGAACCACCGGATCTTGTACCACTTGTCGGTGCGCCGGTGCGAGGAACGGGTCGTCGGTCGCGAAAGGTGCTCCGAGAGGCGTTGGATTTCCTCGGGGTCGGGTCGGGAGTGACTGGAGTGGAAGGACGCTCGATGGGTATGCTGCTGCCATGGCTTCTTCTGGATCGAGTGAGAGGAGGACCGACGGCGTACAAGGGCAGGGTTGGTGCGGGAGGACGAGGGCGTGATGGTTTCAGTGTGAGTCGCCATGCTGTCTGTCGTCGTGGACGAGCGAGGCCTAGGGAGCCGCAGTCGAAATGAGGTCTTGTTCGAGGGCTATCGTCCCTCTCATCGAGCGAGGATGTCGGTGGAAAGGATCCAATGTAAGAAGGGAATAGGAACGAAACACGCAAGACGAAAGAAAAAATACGGCGATGCGTCAGCCCATCCTTTGAGCAAAAGACAAGGCTGACCTCGTCGATAGCATTGAGCTCAGTGGAGCGTGCTTCCGGTGCCAGAGGGTAGGAAGAAGATGAGGACGGCGGCGACGACGACAATGATGGTGGCGAGGTCAAAGATCGTCATGCATCCATCATTGATCACCGCCTTTTTCTGCGCAGGGAAATTCCCCGCATTCTGCGTCTCCTGCGCTCCACCGTACGTCCCCCATTTCTCCAAATCCCAATACGGTCGCGTATATAAACCAGAGACACCAGGTCGCCGCTTTTCCTATACCCTGTATACCCAGATTCCTGCATCCGAGAAAGCATCCCTAACATTGTCGCTGCATGTGAAACACATTCCAACGCCTTGCCGTCCGCTGGAGGCTCGTGATATCAACGCCGATCCCATCCCAGGCTCCTGTTTCCACTATATAAGTCGACCTCGTTTCGAGAAATGTGAGCTGATGATCACGACGGCCGCCAGAATGATTAGACCAGAGACAATTGATGGTCCCCTACATTTGTCAATACCTCTCCACCACTCAGGTCAGGAGAAGACTCACCTCGTCACGCCCAGACCTAGAGAGCTTTCCGTTTTGCGCTCGCCATCGCGGTCGCCCTCTCGCACCCAACCATTCCCAGTTGGGACTGACTGTTTGTCGATGATCTTGTCAATCTCGTCGATAACTTCCGCGGCACTGTTGTATTGGAAAGTCCAGCATTTCCGAATCACGGGTCCCAGAAGTAGGTGGTTGGTGTCGGGAAATTCGCCGGCCTCGTATAGCCGCTCAATCTCCTTGTCCGTCTTGCCATGGTAGGGCTGCCACATGGTTGAGATCTCAAAAATGACGCAACCAAGCGAGTACAATTCGGTGTGTATGCTCGGCGCCTCACCATGGAGAAATAGTTGGAATCCCTCATGGGTGCCCGGTAACACCGAATTTTCTTTCCCGTCGATCGAGGAGCCAGCAAAATCACACAGTTTGACGTTGTCTTGGTCGTCGAGCAGGAGATTGTGGGTTCCAATGTCGACCTGAAAAACACCCTGTTCATGGATATACTGCATCGCCTCGCCCGCCTGCCGTGACCATTTCAGAATCTGTGTTTTGGTCAGGAGTTCATTTTTCTCCCGGAGTCGCATCAGCCGCAGCCGCAAGGGGTATAGGAGCCGCTCCAGGATGATCCCTTTGTCGTGCAGGGAGATACACTTGAGAATGCGTGGGTGGTGACTGAGGCGCTTGTAGATTTCTCGCTCAATCTTGTGGGCGCAATGATGCCTCTCACTGCCCCCAGCGACTTTGATAACAGTCTTGTCGTCCAAGGCGAACACAATACCAGATGAGCCGTTGGAGACATATGGGAGGCCGTAGACAGAGCCTTCAAGCTTCTCTGCCCACTGGGCCATTCCAAGCCAGATTGATGTGTATAGCCAGCCTGGGAGAAAGTAAAAGCCCAAGGACAGGAGACGATGGTTTGACGTTGTCGCACTTCACGGACCCGTATGTCAAAAAGGGATTTAAGAATTGACTGGACGAATCAGACGACCTTCCTGGCTTCTTGGCTTCTTGGCGGCCCTCTCTTCAGCCAATCAGAGTAGACACCCTACACCTCTACTTGTACCTCGTCCTCTGCACTTGGGACAGACGTTGGCCTCAAGTGATCAGTCCAATGCTGGGGCCGACGTAGGGTAGGTGGGAATACGGTGATGGGACGGTGACGCAATGTCACGCGTTAGCCTTTCTTTACTGAGCAGATTGCTACGACTCACAGGGATGGTCACCAGCACAAGTGGTGAAGGATTCTGCCAAGCATATTTCATGAAGTGAATTTCGTCGTTCAGAGTCCTCCTCGACGCTGCAACACGATGTTGTCATGATGGGAATGAGGGGTAGAGGTGGTAGAGGGGTCCTGAACACGGCCTTGGCGACATGAGGCCATGTATGCGACCTTGTCCTACCCAAACCCCCACTTCCAACAGATGGCAACCAACGTCTTCACTGGGAAGAATTCTTTTGCGACTCGGTCCCCCGCGCGAAAACCATCAGCTATATCTTCTCTCGGAGTGGACCTGAGTCAATATTCTGGCAGCGGCAGCAACCCCGGCACCAAAATGTGCACCTTTATCGATCTGAACAACGTCCACGATCAATATGCCCAGAATCCCAGGCATGTGGTCACGGAGAGGACGTAAGTGGGACGTAAGTGTTGTGCACACAACCGCGGCCGAAGGACCTTCCGCTATTGCCCCAGCTGAACATTGCTCTCTCGATGGGGATGTTCAGTTCGGGTCGACTCGCCCGAAAGGGGCTTGTCCAGCATGTGCTGATGGCAAGACTCTGAGGGTCGTAGGTCTTTTTCGTCCTTGGAGCCCCAAAAATTGGCTCAATGATACCCGTGCTGACCTCGTGGTCAGGTCAACGTTGTTGGTGGTAGATAGAGTTCAAGCTCTCTTTACTCGGCAATGCCATCAGGTCCTTGCAGGCACCGGTGGAATTCGTTTCAATGGGTGATGACGGTTCTGGGCGACGTTAGGGAGGACTTCCAGGGAACAACTCAGAGCGGTCACTTCGATGGTAACGTCGCCTGATTGATATGCTTGAGAGGATCTCTGGTATCAGTCTTGGCAGGGGGGGACGGGCGTTCATGGCAGCATTATAAATTGCTCTTCCGGAACACCATACCATCCGGACATTGGAATACTCGACTTGCCTTTCGCCTGTCGGGTGCGTGTCGTATCTATTCCACCGGCTCAGCGTTATCCGACCTGAGCTGTGATGGGCAAGCTCTCCAATCACATCATGGAGAGTTTTGAGTCGCAAGGCTTTAATTAAAGCTTAAATAGCACCCGGGAGGGCGGGAGAAGCTGCTTTCAAATCCAGTCGCGGACGGCGGAGAGTAGGTCGTGGTCTGGACGCCGCACAGCAAGCAATTTAGTTGGAGCACGGGTCTCGGATACAACGCCGAACTGGAAACGCCTTGGCCATGGGGAATCAGTTTACAGTCTTGGTAATAGCCTGTGGTGGGCGGGGACTATATCATATTAATATGGATATGACAGCGGGGAAGAAACCCAGAACGAACCCCGTGACGAAATGATTCACTAATCATCCGAGGCAGTTGGACTTAGTCAGGATGTTCGTTAAAGGCGTATTATCATAGCTAGCTGGCTATCGGATCGGGGGACGAACTCCAACGTACATATTGTGTCATTGAAGATCCTGGAGCCCGCAAACCCCTTGGATTTTAGAATATAGGGACATCAGTATACGATTCAACCAAGGTGTATATACATACACCAAGCAAATGACCCATCGCCTTGCCCAACAAGCCCGACATATTATTACATCTGCCGTCACCACCACCATGTCTTCCACCCACCAACCCAACATCAAACTGTACACGGACTCGACGCCGAACGGGATCAAGATCTCGATCGCACTGGAGGAGCTAGGCCTGCCGTACCAGGTCGAGCACATCGACATCTCGACGAACCGGCAGAAGGAGGCCTGGTTCCTGGAGATCAACCCCAACGGCCGCATCCCGGCCATGACCGACACGTTTCGAGCCGACGGCCAGCCCATCCGCCTGTTCGAGGCCGGCGGCATCCTGCAGTACCTGGTCGACGAGTATGATGCCACCGAACACAAGATCAGCTTCCCCCGCGGCACGCGCGAGTACTACGAGATGGTCAACTGGACCTTCTGGCAGAATGCTGGGCTGGGGCCCATGCAGGGCCAGGCGAATCATTTTGTGAGGTGAGTTCGGTTCATTTGATCTTCGTAAGGGATAAGGGGTGGACAGGGAGATGGGAATGTTGGTGATAAGTAATCACGGCATCAGAGGGCGACATGGGGTGATTCCAATCAACACTAACTGGCTGTAACCGCAAAATAAAAGATACGCTCCCCAAAAGATCGAGTACGGCATGAATCGCTATGTCAACGAGACCCGCCGCCTGTACGGCGTGCTGGACAAGCACCTGCAGTCGTCCAAGTCCGGCTTCATCGTGGGCGACCACATCTCCATCGCCGACATCACCACCGTCGGCTGGGTCATCTACGCCGGCTGGGCAGGCGTCGATATCGACGAGTTCCCCACCCTCAAGAAGTGGGAGGAGATGATGACTGCGCGCCCGGCCGTCAAGAAGGGTTGCGACGTGCCCAAGCCGCTCACCATCAAGGAGCGCCTCAAGGACAAGGCCGGGCTCGAGGCCTACGCCAAGAAAGCCAGCCAGTGGATCGTGCAGGGCATGCAGGACGATGCGAAGAAGTAGTTTCGACCGAAGATGTAGAGTGAATAGCAAATGCACTGCGGTATTGCATGTACAGTACCAGCCACCTGCAGTCGCAAGCTTCTGGATGTGTAGACGAGATAATGTGCTTCAAGGCCAAGAAGCCGAACGGCCCGCCTTGCGAATAGACACACTTACCGTTCAATTATGTCCTTGGCCGATCATTTCCGCTCCGTTGAGCCTGTCCCTGCTTTGCTCTGTTGTCTCTCACGCGTGTCCCCTCGATGGACGCCTGCCTGCTTCGGCACAAAGGGTGGGCCAGTCTCTACCTCGCCCTTTGACTTCTCCGTCCCTTGCATCATCGTCTCCCTACCTCCGACCATAGGCTTTGCGGGCCGTCGCTCGAGCAGGGGGTTACCCTGATCAGCGACATCACCAGACAAGGGTGACAATGGGTGCTCTGGTCGGGAATCCATCGTCGTAAGGCACGACCCACACCTCCAACGTCGGCTTGGTTGATCGCGTCAGTTGTGCTGTTGAAGGGATTATGGGGAGATAGGGGTCATGCTCGGCCACATTTGTGCATTGCATTCGCTTGGTCGGGAGATGAAGAAGGGCATCTCTCCCGACTGGCGATGGTGGCGAACGAAGCGACAGGGTGACGAGCGTTAGGGGGTAGGGTGTATTTCGAAGTAGTCCCGTAGCTTCCATCACACCTTCTCTTGCATGCGTTAAATCCTTTCCAGCCTTATCCTGAAGAAGGGCATCTCCCGACTGGCGAGGGTGGGCGGTGAAGTGAAGGAGTGACGAGCGTCAGTGGGAATCGTCCCTTTCGAAGCAGGCCCGCAGCTTCCATGAGACCTTCTCTCGCATGCGTCGAATCCGTTCCAGCCTTATCCGAGCATGTCGTGCAGATCGCAGATAATGAAGGGTAGCAGTCGGTACGTCGTGGGGCCTGGCACAGTACCATAGGGAGAGCTCCACAGCTTCCCATGACACCTTGTAAAGCAGCAACAAGTCCTTGTAGAGGCTGATATGTGCCACGGTAGTCTTCCTTGGGCGAGGTGGTTAGATAGAAGTGGATACTAAGACCTTCGATACGGGACCAAGGGTGTCAGTCAACCGAAGCTCCATAGCTTCTATGGGTCCTTCTCTTGCATAGCCGTAGAAATTCGCCTGTCCGGGTGATATCACTGATATTCAGCCGAAAGCTGGAGCTGGATCCTTCCTTCCGATGTTCTGCCAGTCTCATGGCGTTGGGCCTGACTTAGTCTGCAGACTCGTTAGCACGGAATCCAAATATACATTGCATTCTCCTGGCAACGTTTGGAGAGCGCCAGCGACGCCAACAAGCCCACTGTCCAAGCGCCCACCGCGACAAAAGTCTCCATAACTTCTTCATCTCAAAGGCTGGCGGTGACGGCATTGTGGGCATGTGGCGTCTTAGTGTTGTAGCCTCGTGTCTCCGGTTCGACAGGAGAGCAGGCGTAGGACTGGAAATTTCTTCCACAGGGGGCAGAAGGAGTCGGAACACCGTACACCTTATCGATCCACCTTCTGAAGATGGAATGCGTGTAGCACAGACGTTGTGTGCTGAGCGGAGCCTCCAGCCTTGCTGGTCCCAAGTTAACCCAGTGTGACGGTGGCAGGTTCCACGGTGGTAACGATAACAATGGATTGTCCGACCAGGTTTCAAAGGTAGCGAAGAGCTAGGGAACGTGCATGCATGTGAACTAGGCCGCCTCTAGCAACGGGTACGGCATGGTCGTCCCAGCCGTCTCCAGTGGGAGCTCGCTTGCTGAGATCCTTGGAGCTCTTGGTGGGCTTTGGTTGCTGACGAGGCAGTATATTCCGTTCTAGGAAACCCCCACTGCGTGACCAATTAGGGCGTTCTCAACTGCCCTAAAGGAATGGCTGCATGACAAAGTAGCTCACTCAGCCAGTGTCGAGCGTTTCTAGAAGGCACAGCGAAGAGGGAATGTGTGAGTGTGCAGGAAACAGACCCAGACAATTCGTGCTGGTGGGTAAATTGCAAGAGACTCTCGAATCATTCCCATTAATACGAACCTGCGTGCCGTCCGGTCTAACCATAGACCTCGCATTCAGCCGTGGCAAATATGTAAACCAGGGAGAGCCTGTCGACCGTTGCCGGCAGCCACCATGAGCAAAAGGTGGCTCTTTCATCCAGTTGTCGACAGGGTTTCCCCAGAGTCAACTGCTCTGTCATCCACCTTCATTACGACATAACACGTCCAGACCTCAGAACGACGAGCTCGCCCTTGCCCATCCGGGCAGATGATGTGGACGACAAGGAAAGCACACACAAACCAGATCTTTTTGAGATCCGTGGCGTGCTGACTCAAGTCCTGTGCGGAATTGCCAGCAGCCCGGACCTGCAAGATTCGACGGTTGGCGAGGCGATGTCCTGTATCTGTGACACACCGTTCGGCAGGCAAGTTTGAAGTTGTACCGTCTTTGCCATGCAGAACAAAGTGCGTGGAGGATGCAGGCTTCGGTATCAGAAGCACTGCAGGGATGAAATTTGTCGAAACAGCGGTCACCAGTTCCGTGGTTTCATGTTGGCAGAGCTTTGTGCCGGCAGGATGCGGAGGAATGATTGGAGGAGTGACTTAGTCGAACGACCCCACGACTGAAGGCTTTGGCTGATACGGCCCAACCCTGGTGTTCGCTTCACTCGCTAAGGGCACGAATGATTTGCGATGGGCCGTGGCTCCTCCATCCGCCGTCCGGAGTCCACCAGATCTCATCACCTGGTGATCACAGCCAAGTCTGGAAGCAAGTGTATCCGGTGTTCCGGATCGGCGATCTGCCGCATTCATGAGGTCGTTGGTCTGCCTCGTCGCCTGCTCGTCGCCCTGCTGTGGTTCGGTCAGAAGGCACACTCAAGTCAAGTGAAGGCGAGATGCAGGCTAGAAGGAGGGGGTTGACGAGTGGCGTGTTCATCTTTGGACTTTGCATGCATCAACCTGGCATGTGATGCCCAGCCATCTTCAAGTTCATTATGCAATTATGCAGCAGCATTGAGGACCAGTCAGCCGCGCAAATCACGCTATTCCTGACGAGGTAGTGAACAGATCTTGAAGAGGAGAGAAGTGTGTTTGTACAATTTCCAAGCGTCTGATTGTACGAGAGCAACTCAGCCGAGCTGCAGTACCAATCAATGGACAACGCTCGTGCAATCGTCATCATATTGGCACGTGTACAGAAACCAGCAACACGCTCAAGGTTCAAACAATTGCCAGATAACAGGTTTTGGCGACAGCTGAAGCCTGATGCGCTGTGTTGGGTCCAAGGACGGGGATACCAAACGAAGCAGGGTCAACGATCACCAGTGGGATCGACCCCCTGATAGGAGAGGCAGGTTCACCGCAAATCCCCTTTTTTTGGGCCCAACAGGCGTCCCATGGCCCTAGAGGCCTGAATATCAACACATGGTCTGGGCACTGATAAGGTGACCCGAGTCTCTGGATCCTCCTCTTCGCAATCACTTCTTTGGGAACGAGGAAGCAAGCGGCCTCAAACCTGGAAAACCCGCGCGAGGACATGCTGAACGAGCGACGATTCATAGGGAGGCAAGAACCATGGGAGTCAAAGTGCGCCTGATCAACGTGTCCACTGATCTCTTCAGACAGAGGCGTGGAAGGCATACGTACTGCGAGACTGGGGAGAACATGAACCACGTCGTCTCTCTCCCATGTCATGGTGAGATAGGAAGGAACGGAGAATCGTTCACGCAGATCTTTTTCTTCCAGGGCAATATGCCGAGAGACTTGAGAGAAACATTTGATAGAGCGAGGTCATCGCCCTGAACAATCATAGAATATTGTTGCGTTGCCTCTGCAGCTTACCCAAGCCAACAGAAACCCCCATGGGTGCTGGATGCTTGATGCCCGGGGTGGTGTCGAAGGCACTGACGAAAAGAGACTGCGGCAGCGGAAACGTTTTCGCTGTCGAAAGGGTGGCCAAACCCGATTGCATCAGGATCGAGTAAGCTGGATGCAAACCAGCTGGACCACCCTATCCACGAGGACATTCCTTCTGTCTGGGAGACCTGAGGCAGAAAAGAAGGGAATGGGGTTTGAGGCCAGGCACTTTGAAGTCATCAGGCTTTGAGACAAACAACGATTATTTCCGATTCGTTTCGGTGGGTGGCCACGACCATGATTCCTGCTTACGGGAGAGGGAGGTGGTGATTGGCCGTGGTTAGAAATTCAAAGATTAAAAACTTTGGATTAAAAATTGCTTGGTGGAGAGTGAGTGAGAGTAGAAGCAGAAAGTGCGTTGCAGAACCAACAGTAGTAATAGTGGTAGCAAGGAGGGGGGGCAAAAGAAACAACAAACGGGGACGGAAGTAAGGAAAACTTAGGAACTTTGAGTCTCTACGAGAAATTATTAACATTAAAACTCGTACGACGAAGGGAATTGGAAACCAGTGGCTCGTCTGGTGGGTCGAACAACAACAATTGTACGAAAAATCCCGACGAAGACGGGACCAAGAAGGGTGAACAGTCGAGAGGAAACATGAACCAACGACATAGCCATATCAATAACAACAACAACAATAATAATAATGAATGCTGAATAAAACGTGAGCCGAAGCAAGAAGCGAAGGTCCAAGGTTCCTGGGGAATTTCTGATTTGATTGAATTGAATGGAAATGGAATGGAATTGGAATTGCAATCCTCTATCCCTTTCGGCTCTCGCGCCACAAAATTTGGCTGACCACCGACCGTAAGGGGGCCGAGAACAGGTATGTTAGGCTCGTACAGTAGTAGAACGAGAGATTCGAAAATTAATCATAATAATAATCCAGTGGTAAGTAAGGCCAGTCAGGGCGGCCGACGGATGGTTTCGGCCGCAAAACCAACTGTCAGGCCCCGCCCCTGCGTGCGAGAAGAGCAAAATCCGATTCCGGATGACTCAACTGCTGCTGGCGGGTAGTGCGTGATCAGCAGGCAAGCCAGGCTCGGAGAGATTTCGTTCCAGCGCCCCAGCTCAGCATCGGTCGGCTTTAATCTAAG